AACCCTAACCCTAACCCTAACCCTAACCCTAACCCTAACCCTAACCCTAACCCTAACCCTAAACCCTAACCCTAACCCTAACCCTAACCCTAACCCTAACCCTAACCCTAACCCTAACCCTAACCCTAACCCTAACCCTAACCCTAACCCTAACCCTAACCCTAACCCTAACCCTAACCCTAACCCTAAGATCTAGTCGAGATCAGTAGAGAGCATGGTCGTAGTGCAGTCTCCATGGAGACCATGGACTCCTATGGACTCACATGCAAAGGAGGGCCAAGCACAGCCACGAGGAGGACCAAGCTCAAGGAGCAGGCACAGCCACGAAGAGGACCAAGCTCAAGGAGCATGCAGATGGTTACCACTCAGGGGCTCGAGAGACAAGAGCCAAAGGAACTGTCACTGATCAAAGGAGAAGGAGCAGTGTCGAAGGAGTCGACACCAGGTCATGAGGAGGAGGAGCAGTGTCGAAGGAGTCGACACAGCTCAAGAGGCACAGGGGTGCCAAGCAGGAGAGGCCCCTGAGCAGTACTCGATGAAGAAGGTACTCTCTGGAGAGAGAGCAGGAGCAGCATCGCTGGCAATGCTGAGAAGAGGTATATAACCATGCTTTCTCATCATCAATAGGTCAAGTGGATCCTCATCCACTCTACTCACCATAACTAGTTATCACTTCAGCATAAGTATATATTAGTTTCAGTCAGCATAGCAGCAATCCATCAAAGGTTGCTCCTCATCATAGTGTGTGTGTTGTATCACCACTACCTGACATCCGAAGGCGCCCATAGCAGGTTAGCGGTCCGGATCAAGATAGAACCAAAGGCAGTAGTCCACTGCGGTCCGGGGATCACTTCAAGCATCAAGTCAACACACTGGACACTCGTGTTGATGCCACCAACCTTATCACCAACACCATCAACCTCATTATCATCGACATCACCAATCTCATCACCAACACCATCAACCTCATCATCATCAACACTCACACCAGACCTTGGTGTCATCATAACATTGATATTGATCATGCCGAGCTACCCCTGAATGGAGTGTCCACAGAGGTCAGCTGAAACCTACGATAGTATATACAACGAACGCCACCTGCTGTCACTGCACAACTTGATAGTCCCTGATACTGAGACAATAGCTGTCGCACAGTTTGATAGTCACTGAGCATCTCAACAGACCAACCTGGGTTTCAGGTGCAAGACCTCTGACATGAGGATGGCCCTCTGTGGGGGCTGCTGCAGGCATGCAATGAGCAGCAACTTGAATTGTGGCTCAAAACGGAAATTCACCTTGAGCTCTGCAAAGTACACCCAGTCTGTGAACAGTGCATGATCCTTGAAATCTGGTGCATGACTACAGAGACTCAGGTAACAACCTGCCGGGTAAATGCATAGCAGGTCTGCAGGAGAGATGGTCACTGCAAATGAATCTACATCGTACTCCACACAGCCATTCCAATCAGTGATGGGTGCCAATGGTGGAATGGGTGGCAAGCATGCACCCTCCTGCTCCCTGCCATTGTCAAGCAGTCTTGTAGGCAGGGGCACTACTGGCTGAGGATCAGGAACTCCTGCATCCACTGCAGGCAGCAGTACCACAATGCCATCTGCTGGCATATCCTGCACATCCACCAAGTCCAGGTTTGGCTCCAGTGTGGGAGTTGGCTGCTGCACTGGCTCAGGCTCAGGCTCCAGCTCCAGTTCTGGCAGCTGTGGTAATGTCTCTCCCTCCTCCTCTGCATCCGAAGGCTCCTCCACCTCTGCCTCCTGTGCTTGCAGGTCCAGAGACAGGATGGGAAAAGGGTCAGGCACTTCACCAGTGGACACGTCAAGTTCAGAATTAGTTGGATTTTCCATCTGCACGTCCTCTGGCTCTGATGCCTGTGCCTGTGCCTCTGCCTGTGCCTCGGCCATCACATAGTCCAAGTTATCCTCCACAAGTGCTAGAGGCAATTCCTCTGAGTCTGCCATGCTAGGCTCAGCCTCTGGAATTGAATTCAAATTTGAATTCTCCTCTGCAAGGATGGCAGGATCCAACATGTCCAGGAAAGATTCACACTGCATGTCTGCTGCAGGCCCAGGCTCTGGACTTACCACATCATGAGATTGCTGAGTTGAAATTGCAGGCATAGGTTCCACCTGAGTCTGCTGTGTGTTCTCACCTTGGCATTTGCAGATGCCTTGGTGTTTGCATAGTGCTGCCACATTCATGACCACCTGTCTGCAAAAGCATGCAACAAGTCCAACAGCAGCTGCAGCATCCTGACTGACTGCAATGCCCTTGTGCACCTTATGCAAATGGTTGGTGATGTTGCTTTCAGCATAAGCATAGCTGCACACTGGACAGGTGATTGGTGGCATGGCTGGAATAGTAGTTGACAAGTGTGTGGTAGACTGTGTTCCTGTGTTGCTGCAACATCAAATTAGAATTGGACTGTCTTCCAGACTGTAGTTGACTGTCTTCCATTTCAATTGGACTGTCTTTGATCTGTAGCTGACCATCTCTGATCTGTAGCTGACTGTCTTCCCAGCTCAGCACACACAGAAAATCAACTTTGTATTGGACCATCTTCCCAGCTCAGTGCACACAGAAAATCAACTTTGTATTGGACCTTTGAAATGGACCATCTTGAATTTTGAAGTGGACCATCTTCCAGGAGGGCAAGACACATCTGCCCCAAGGCCTGAATTTTGAAGTGGACCATCTTGAATTTTGTATTGGACTGTCTTGAATTTTGAAATGGACCATCTTGAATTTTGAAGTGGACCGTCTTCCAGGAGGGCAAGACACATCTGCCCCAAGGCCTGAATTTTGAAGTGGACCATCTTGAATTTTGAATTGGACCATCTTGAATTTTGTATTGGACTGTCTTGAATTTTGAAATGGTCCATCTTGAATTTTGAAATGGACCATCTTGAATTTTGAAGTGGACCATCTTCCAGGAGGGCAAGATGCATCTGCCCCAAGGCCTGAATTTTGAAGTGGACCATCTTGAATTTTGTATTGGACTGCCTTGAATTTTGTATTGGACTTTCTTGAATTTTGAAATGGACTGTCTTCAAAATTAAATTGGACTGTCTTCGAGGAGCGCAAGATGCATTTGCCCCATGGCCAGACACCCTTAGAAGGCTGAGTAGTTGTGGGGTTTAAGTGCAAGAGTTGTGCTGGAGCTCTGCATTGCTCTCGAGCTGTGCATTGCTCAAATTGCGCTGCTCCAGAAGCATGTGTGTTGCTCCAGCTGTGAGTGCGTTGCTCCAGCTGTGCATTGCTCAATTTGCACTGCTCCAGCGAAAATAAATTTGTTTGCATTGCAGCACTTGAGCAGTGTAAATTTTGAGTGCATTGGAGGTCAATGCAGTCACATGAATTTCGAATTTGGCAGAGTGCAATTGTGCATTGCCCGCAAGCAAGACACACCGGCTAGGGCTAGGGCTAGGGGGTCCCTGTATTACCGCTCCTGTCTTCTTTGAGCTATGTGTTGACTCCTTCCACACTGCTCCTCCTCCTCAAGTCCTCTTGTCCTGCTTGCCGGTGTCCCTGACACAGCTCTTCTTCCTTCGACCGGCAATGGTTCTCTTCACTCCTATCTTGTGTGCCTCCTGAGTGGTAAACATCTGTGTGTTGCTGAGCTTGGTCCCCGTCTTGGCAAGGCTTGGTCCTCGGCCCAGCAGAGCTTGGTCCCCTCGTATGTGAGCTTGGTCTGCCTCGCATGTGAATCATCGTAAGGACATCCTTATTACTGATCTCCACGGAATCTGCCACACAATCATGCTTACTGCAGATTCTGGCAGGATTTGTGATATCAATGACACTCATGCAGATTTCACTGAGATCTGTCATAGAGCTGATTCTACTGCAGATCTCGGTGAACTCTGCTGCAAATCCTATGATCTGCCTGATCCCCTGATTCCTGCGCTCCCATCATATGAACTAACGGGTCTTCCTGCTTCCTGCGCATTCAGGCCCATGACATATGCCTACAGCAGAGCACTCAGACTCTTAATCTGTTGAGGAATGCACAATCAGGGGTGGTAAAGCAAGTAGCAAATTGTTAGCATTTGGAGGGAACTAAGTACAAAGCAATATCAGAAGTATATATGCCTCTACTGTCAGTTGATTTGTGCATATATATATGAGGTGACATGTATGATGGCATGCTGTTGCCAAATGAGATAGAAGTCGTTGGTGGGTGATGACGAGCATTGGTGGGAGCTGACGGGTGGCGACGCTGAGCGAAGTTTGCTGTCGTGTTAGAGCATGAGTACGCGGTCATGTGATTTCACTGTGAGCACACTCACGCTCATCCCGCAATCCTAAACTCCTTTATGCTCTCCTATTGTTTTTGTTATGGTATGAATTGATGGTTCGAATAGATAAGAATTAAGCATCATATGTCGATGGTCTAGATTGACAAGATAAGCGACCATGCCGTTGCATCGGCAGTTGGTACGGATGCACCCAGTCACAGTTGTCGGTGAGTAAATGCATGTGGCGAAGCGCTGCATCAAATGTCGCTGACCTCTAATGACCTTGCTTCATGGCCCAGATCTCAAGCTTGCGGAGCAATCCTTTGAGATTCTTGCCTCCCTTGTTCGAGTTGCCCTCCAACCAAGTCTGCATCCTCTCCAAGCAGGCGTCGAGCTTGGCGAGTACGGCGTCCTTGTCAAGCGCCTCTTCAATCTCACCGTCTGCATTGCGGACTTTCGGGTTGAGGCAGATGTCGAAGAGCTCGTTCCATAGCCCAGACTGCCAGTACCTCTTCATACTTGCCGCGATCTTGTACTTCGAGCCTTCCTGCTTCGTGTCCATGTAGCGACCAAAGAGCAGGCAGTGTGCGACGGCAGCAATGCCGAACCAGTCGGTCTCGAAAGTGAAACTTTCACCACGTCGCATCTCTAGGCAGTCCTTGGTGTCCGTGTCCCAGTCGGCGATGAAAGCTTGCGAAGGATCGGGGTATGCGGTCAGGTCGATGGCACGACCAAAGTCGATGAGTGCAAGACCTTTGGATGACCAGCCAGCAGATCCGTCGCGAGCGTAGATGTTTGACCACGCACTGGCAGGAGAGACGTCTCCCAAGCGGAGAAGACAGTTGTCGATCTTGAGATCACCGTGAATGATGCCGGCCTTGTGCATGCCGAGAATGACACGAAGAAGTTCGGTAACGAAGAACATGGCAAGCACCTCCTCGAGACCTGCGCCACCGCTGCCGGTGTCGGCGCCTGCTGCGGCAACGCCTGCAGTGGGTGAGTGATTGATGACGTCGAGCAACGTTCCCTTTTCACCCAAGTCGAGGAGCAGGAACGAGGTGTCGGAATAGCAATAGAGCTTACGCGCTGAGATGATAGACGGGAGGAGGATATCGGGAAGTCGGGCTTGGAGCTGGGTGAGGATGTGAAACTCCCAACGGTTGGCTGGTGACTCGACCTTGATAGCAACTTGCTTGCGCCTTTCCGACTCATCGTCCTCGTCATCATCATCATCATTGGAATCGGAATCGTCAGAGTCGCCATCTTCCTTGGCGAGGTTATCGCCCTGCGTGTTGTGGCTAGTGGCGGCAGAGTCAACGTCGTAGCCTAGGAACACAGCACCGTATCCTCCTTCGCCAAGCTTGCCGCGGATCTCGAAAGGATGGCCACCAATCTCAACCTTGAAGGGTGAGGAAAGCTTGCCCGTGCCTTGGAAGACAGTACCACCCATACTCTTGCGCGTCATCTGGTTGACCGCAAGGCTGGACTTGCACTTCTTCTGCAGCTCCAAGAGAAGATTGTCTGAGGAAGCATCGGCGAGTCCCACAAAGCTCGGCGTAGACTCGACAGGTGTGTCAAGTCTTGCGAGGATCGCATTGAGAACGTTGGGGTCGACAGGTGAGCACGGATTGGGTGGATTGAAGTCTTCAACCTCTGCATCAACAACAACAACAACTTCGGCTTCAGCCTCAGCCTCTCGCTGCGAATCGGCGGAAGGATCCTCAATGACAAGCGAGTTGTCAAAACGCTCATGAAGCTCCCGTCGTTGAGGGCGATCCTCTCCTTCACCTTCACCGTCTTCACCGTCAAGTTCGCCTTCGTCTTCGTCATCGTTCTCGGAAGCTGCATAACGGATGGTCAGGCCCTTAGTGAGCTCGAAGGAAGCTTTATTGTCGGCATTCCAGGCGGATCGATTGGCGTCCTCTCCAAAAGTGGAGGCAAAGCTGCGCTCGTCGGAAGGGTTCTGCGAGTTGTCCGCCTGCTCAGCTTCCTGTTCAACAGCCCGATTATGGCTGACGATGGGGCCGGCAGTCAAAATGGCGCCGGCCGCACCACTTCCCACACCTTGGTCGTCGTTGTCATCGTCCTCTTCTTGATTCTCTTTGACGGAGAGCCAAGACTTGAGTGCGGAACCAATGGCTGACCGCGTCGCTGTGCCTGGGGTGCGGGCGTTGGTGTAGCGCGTGAACTCGTAGGTTGCCTCGGTGATGGGAGTGAGGGGCTGAAATTGAGGTCGGAAAAGATGGTCGTTGCCCTCGTAGCCAGGATCATGGCCTTCGATGGGCTCGCCGTTCTCATCAACGACATATCCTTCCTCTTCCTCTTCCTCTTCCTCTTCCTCTTCCTCTTCCTCCTCTTCTTCTTCTGCCATAGGCTCGATCCAGCGCCGACTGGCTGATTGCCTGTTGGAGGGCATAGGCGTTGCTGGCACAGGTACAGGTGCAACTGTGACAGCATCTTCGGACGGAAGACCAGATGGTCTTTCGGGCGAGGCTGTCTCGGTGATGGCTTCCGCCTGGTTCGCGTGCTCCTGTTCAGCCTGGGCTGGCGAATCCTCCTGTTCCTCATCGTCCTCGTCCTCTTCACGGAAGATGGGCTTGGAACCGAGTGTGGCGAGCGTCGACTTGGATGATAATGGCGTGCGCATAGGGTTAGCACCACCCAAGCCAAGTCTTGGTGCCTGACTTGCGAGCGTCCTGAGAGGGGTTGCTGAAACACCAGCATTCTCGTCGTTCTGGACGGCAAACTTGGGGAGGTGATTAGACCTAGACAACGGTGTCGGGGTCGGTGGCACATGGGCGGCAGAGCCGAGGCTGATCTGACGCATGCTAGGTCGCGAGACACTCGCAAGAGGCGCAATGTACTCATCGTCGTCTTCCTCATCATCGTCGTCCTCATCCTCGCTGCTCTCTTCGTCCGATTCGCTGTCGCCATTGAACATGTTCTCGACCTCTAGCAGCGTAGCTTTGGTGACAAGTGTGGGGCTCATCCTGACCTTGGTGGTGTTCTCACCCTCACGCTTCTTCTTCTTCTTGAGACTGGGCCGCAGGTTGAGTGCGACAGCATTTGCGACTGAGTTGTCCGGGTCAAAGACGTCCCTGGATGGGAACATGCCAGTAGTCTGATCGATATGGACCGTCTCTGTGGGTTCGACGGCGAAGTCATCCTTTGTTTCAGTCTCGGCTGGAGCGGCAGATGGAGCTTTGGTGGGAGGGCGATCCTCAGGAAGCCAGCGTCCGGCCAGTTGATCGAGATAGGACCAAGGATCCGAGAGAGCCTTGCTGGAGTCGGCAACATCTTCCCATCCTTCCATGACAGAAGCAAAGCCCCGCTTTCTTGCCATGAGCTCTTCTAATGTCAACTCGCACTGCCATCCGTGCTGCTTGTAAAAGGCTTTTTGCGACTTGGACCGAAAAGAAGGATACATTTTGACGACTGGAGCAGCGTGCTTCTCTCGCTTGCCATTTGTTGATGCGGTGGCGGCAGCAGCTTGAGAACCGGAAGCGCTTGAGGATGCGAGAGGCTGGACGGAACGGGAGACCGTAGTCTTTGTACGATGGCTCTCGCCACTGGATCCCGTGCTAGAGCTCGAGACTTTGCGTGAGGAGTGTGACTCTGGAGCGACAGGACGCAAGCTAGCAGGGTCAGGTACGAGCTTTGCGTCCTTGTCCCAGTAGGCAAAGGGGTTGCTGCGTAAGAGATCGGTCTCGCTGGATTGCGGCTTGCGACCCAGACCAGCAGCGTGTTTGCCGAAATGGTCCTTAGGAGTGAGAACGCCGGCAGGCTTTGGGGTGGCTGCAACATCGTCAGCTTCATCATCGTCGTCATCATCCGAGTCCTTGAAGACGGCTAGACCCGAACCGGGCTTCTTGGACACGCCACCGGAAGCGCCAATCTTGAAAGACTTGAGGCCGGATAAGCGATCTGCCTGCATGTTTTCCTGGTTGCGCGATGCGACGGTACCGATCTCTTCCCAGCCTTTTGTGCTAGCGCTCTGTGACTTTGATCGGGAGGATGGCTCCTCGTCGTCGTCGTCGTGGAAGACGTTGAGCTTGCGGCCGTTGTTGAGAGAAGGCGTTGGCGTGCTGAGACCGATGGCGCCGACGGTGGCACCTGCTCCTCGCATGACATTTGCCGAATGACTACGAGCGGGACCTGTGGATGGTTGCTTTTCGCCGAGCATGCTTCGACCAGCAGTGACCATGGCAGCTTTGAGAGCGTCGGCGTAGTTGGTCGCAAGACCTGATGAGGAGGAGCCCGAAGATTCAGGCATGGCTTGATGTCCGAGAATGATCCGGGATTTGTACTCTTCGTAGCGACGTTTGATACGGTCGATAGGATTGGCTCTGCGAGCGATGCCGAGCTTGTACATGGCATCGGCTTCCTCGTACATTCGCTGTCCTTCGAGGACGACAGCGAGCTCTTCGTAGAGACTGGCGAGTTTGGTGCCGATCTCGTTGGCGAGCAAAAAGTTGTAGACATCACGAGCACACTCGACATTTCTTGCGTAGAGGATCCAGAGTCGAAGGTATCGTGGGTCGTGGGTGTACTGCTCCGAGTCTTTGAAGTGACGTGTTGCTCGCTCGAGAAGCGGAATAAGGCCTGACTCGTGCGTTTGACCGGATGGATAGTTGTCGATGCACCATTTGACGTACTTTGTCCAAGCTTCTAGAGGGTCGTCTGAGTCGGCGTTGTCCTCGGAGGTTACGAGCGCTTCGTGTTCGGCGCGTTGTTGCGCGAGCAATGTCTGTCTCTGCTTGTGCTGCATGTTGAGTGTGTTGGAGAGAGCGTGTGCAGATCTGCCCTTTGCGAGAGGCTGTACGTTTTCCTTCTGTGATTCGATTGCGTTAAAGTCGATGATGGGTGTCGAGGAGGTCTGCTCTATTTTGGAACCTCCTGGTGTGCGAAGCGGAGTCTTGTGTGGTGTGACGCCAAATACAAAAGCATGGTCCCTGGAAGGTGTAGTAGGCGCCTTGCGAGGGGTGACGGCGGGAGGCCCCATGCTGGAAGACGCTCCAAACATGAGGAAAGACGGTGCACGTGAATGAGGACGAGTGTATTTGCTTGTCGCCGCTGTTGCCGTTGGATGGGTATGCGCTGGCGAGTTGGACCTATTGGCAGCTTTTCTAGTCGAGGAGTGTATGGAGAAGGTGGAGGGCAATGCTGCAGAACGGCGGATGGATAGATCTTGAGGAGGTCTGCTTTGTCGATAGGCGATGGCGACAAGAGCAAAGGGGTGCAACGAGCAAGGCCTCGAGCTCGACTCAGCATCACTTTCGCGCTGATGTGCTTTTCTGTGTTTGCTGCACAAGAGTGTTGGTTTCGGTGTGTTTGTGTTGCTTCGCGGGTGTTGCTTTTGCCGCGTCAAGTCACGTGCCTAAAGCCTCCACACAAGAAAAAGGGGGGGGGGGAAAAAAAAAAAGAAGAAAAAAAAAAAAAAAAAAAAAAAAAAAAAAAAAAAAGGTGGCAGCAGACGGCTCAACGCGACACGATCAGAAAATAATAGTGAGGTTTCGGTAGCCGCACGCACGCCGGGACTCGGCCTCGGCAAGGACCTCAAAGACCGAGGAGTTGGGCGTTGGCATGTTTTTGAAAGGAATCTAACATATCTTTGCTTACTAATGATGAGTGGAGTGTAAAAGTATAGTGAGAACTGGGCCAGCCGAGACGGTGAACCTTAACGTTACCGGCCCGTGCCTGATTGCGACGACGAGTGACTTCCATCCGCCAGCTCACGGATCTCACTGTATCAGCCGGTTCCGAATACCGCAGGTTGATGAGCTCATGCTTATTAATCGCACCGACGCATCACGTGGATAGTTTTTGTTATTTCAAATTGCCCAGTCCCAAAGCCGAGTTGGTGGTTGAGATTGTTGTTGCTTCTGAACCACCACCATCTCCACCTCTCCGACCTACTCGCTTACAAGTTCGTCGTAGGTAAGTAACCGAAACCTCTCTTGTGCTTCAAGTGAGCAAGCAAGAAGAATTGGACCGGCCGTTCATATGTGCACGAACATCGTGTACCTTGTCTGTGATAGGCTTTGATGTAGCATTCTCATTGCATTCGCCTTCCACCTCTAGACCGTGTCACTGGCATGCTACGCTGCTTCGGACGATTGCGAACGACCTTGCTCGGCTCTTGTCTCCCAGATCTCGTCCTGCCCAACACTCGCTTCCAGTTTCTACCTTCGGTGAACGAATCTCACCTCAGAATGGCCACACGACGCTCTTCGAGTCGCACAGCGACATTTGCAGCAAGCCAAGAGGTGGCCAAAGTAGCATCTGCCTCTCCGTCACCAGCGAAACCAAAACGAAAAGCCACGGATTCAGCATCATCGGTTGCACAGAAGAATGGAGCCAGAAAGTCACGCAAGAAGGCTGTCGCAGACTCGGACTCGCCAAGCGCACCAAAGTCAGAAGACACAACGGCTGATCCGAGCTTGCCAAAGAACATAAAGATGCCTGCTACATTATCGTATCCACGCCCTACATCACCTGGAGCCGTCCGCGTCACATGCTGGAACATCACCAGCCTCAAGTCGAGCGAGCCCAAGGGAATGATGCGCTACATTGAAGCAGAGGATGCAGACATCATTGTCCTCTCAGAGACCAAGGTCAATGACGTCCCCATGCATCCCGGCCTGACAAAGATCTACAAGCATCAATACTGGGGCATAGGCAAGAAAAAGGGTTATACCGGATTGGCGATCCTCTCAAAAATCGAGCCTATCAAGGCTGTCTATGGTCTACCGGGCCTCAAATATCAGGACACGAAAGGTCGCATAGGTGAGTCGATTCCCTTTCCTCTCTACATTTTCTCTCTACATTTCCTCTCTCAGCGGCCAAGCCGAAGGATCATGACGCATGCTGACATCTGGATCTTAAAACAGTCACGCTCGAGTTCGAGAATACCTTCCTCGTTGGCACTTACGCCGTAAACGCAGGCGAAGGCCTCAAGGTGAGTCTCATCCCCGTCCCTTTCACCACTTCGTTCACCTAACCCGTCACCTTGTTGATCGCTCAGCACAAGCAACGACATACTGACCAACAACTACCTCTTCATGACTTGATGGTGATGGTGTTTTGATCGACAAAGACCATGGCGACAAAGCAAGCATGGAACACTGCGTTCGCTACCTATCTCGCATGGCTTGATTCCAAGAAGCCTGTCATCTGGTGTGGTGACTTCAACGTCGTCCAAGACGAGCGTGACTTGGCAGGAGCGTCCAAGAAGTGGAATAAGACTCCAGGCTACACAGCCATTGAATGCGATGCGCACCGCGAGCTAATCCAAGGCACCGCAACACCAACATCAAAGCCACTCGTTGATGTATGGAGGCAGAAACATCCGGATGCTGTCGGTCATTACAGTGAGTACTCACCCCGTCTTTCTCCCGCACCAGCCGAGGTCGCTCCACGCTCTCACGGACATCAGACAATTCTGACACCTTACACCTTGTTGTGGTTGTGTCTGTCTCAGCTTTCTACGGCTGGCGAGGTTTCTGCAGGGCAAAGGGTATTGGCTGGCGTCTTGACTCTTTCATTGTAAGTCTTCTCTCTCATGCCCATCCCCGCCCGCGCCCGGTCCGTCGGATTTGGATGTCTAATTCTCACTGTCTCTTCGTGTTTCTACCTTCAGCTTTCCGAACGCATCGCAAGCAAAGCACTCGAATGCGAGATCCGACACGAGTGCTTTGGCGCCAGCGATCATGTTCCGATCGTAAGTCAACTCAGTCTGACGCATCTCCTCCATGCAGAACTTGCTGACCTGATCCTTACACCCTTCATCTTGATACTTGAATTCAGTACTGCGACATCCAAGGACCATTATAGAAACATCCGAGGCAATAAAAGACTCTTCTTTCGTTCAAACGCTTTAGACCATGTTTGCTCGCGGCACAGTCAATCTGATGCGATGATCGAGTGAGATTGCACGTGTGAATAAGGGAGAGAGAGAGAGAGGTGAGGATCTAAGCGCCAAGCCGCTCGGCAATCATCTTTGCCACAAAGTCCTTGCCTTCTGGTGCCAGGTCCGGGTTGACTGCAAGCGCTTGTGCTGCATCCTGTACAGCCTTTGTCTGTGTCGAAGCTCCTTTTGTGTTGGGCGAGACACCGGCGGCCTTGAGCACCGACTCTGGTTCAAATCGTTCGTACGAGCCGCCGATCTGTTCGTTCTGCAATGTGATCCTGGCTGCCTTCAACTCTGCTGCCAACGGCTTGTTGTCGCTACCTTCCAATTCTGATGATCGCAGGAGTGCGACTTGGTTCTGCGAGGTGTGGCCGACTGCTACAGCGGTGGGGTTATTGGTTGGTCCCAAGATGTTTCGTCCTCCTGCTCGAATGTGAAGCTTGAGAGCGTTGACTGCAGTCTTGATGCCGGGAAGGTTGAGTTTGGCGTGTGCGACTTTGGTCGGCGCAGCAGTCTTGCCCTTGCCTTTGCCACCAGATGATTGTGTTGAAGGTGCAACTAAAGCGAGATCCGGTGCAAAGATCGAAGAAGGTCGCGGAGCCTGAGCTACAAGACGCTCAAAGCCAGGCTTGGAAAAGAAGGGGCTGTTCCAGTCTGTGCTTGGCATCGGTGCTGGCACTTTTCGTGCTCCTTTGCCGAAGCTCTTGACACGTGTGCCCCTAGAGAAAGGCGATTGAAGAGATGCTGAAGAATCGTCAAACACCGAAGACAATCGCTTGTTGCGTCGTTCACCGCCTGCATTTCGGTTGCCCGTGTTCTGTCCACTGGGCTGGGATGGGCTGCGGTTCCATTGTCCTGCTCGCAAACGTTCTGAAACCCGGCTGCCAGAGTTGGAAGGCCGTTTGGACTGGTTGATACTGCTGGAGCGTGGTCGAGGTGCCGGTGCGCTAGAAGCTCCCTCTGCAAGCTGGTTGGCCGTCGAAGCAAAGCCTCGGGCGGAGGCGCGTACGGAAGCGGTGAGCCTCGGAATCGAAGCACTCATCGCGATCGCCAGATTCTGTGATGTTGAAAGAAGTTTTGTGGTCAAAGAAGGAAAGTAAAGAGATGACGTCGGAGTCAAGAGGAACGATCCAGGTTGGATCAGCAAGAATCAAGAAGATCCTGTTCACCAAAGCGGCTTTTGCCGAGATGTTGTTTTTTTTGTTTTTTTTTGCTCGTCACGTGACACTTCGATGTTACATCGCATTTTATTCAACAACCAACCCCCATAAAAAGACCTGCTCTCTATAGCTCCGTCCTTTCGAGTGGATACGACTGCATAGAATGAATCTCTACCAATCGCCGAGTATCACTAAAAGCGGCCTTTCGGCAGTCAGGCCGTGATGGTGGAGTTACTGACACTGGTCACGTTGATGGCGTTGACCAACGACGTAGTTGTTCATAGTTGACGTCAGGTCTACCGAGCTGAAAGAGATGCGGTGACAAGTCGCAGCCGCCGAGCTGAAAGAGATGCGGTGACAAGTTGCAGCCGCCGAGCAGTTCAGATTGATGCCATTCGAGCTGCGTACCGTGCCAGAGACGTTATGGAAAACGAGGTGGTCAAAGTGTCGCAGAAGTTAACCTGCTCCTTGACCTTGTAGTAGCCACTTTGATCGTCCGCTTAAACGCGAGATTGACGTTAACGAGTCCCAATTCTCAAGCCCGAGCGACTCGCTACGGGCGAGAGACAGCAAACAAATTTGACGGTAATAGGTGATGCTTGAATTTGATTGATTAGAGGTATGCTATGATTCTGTCCACTGTCCCCAGAGATGCGATGAGGAGCTACGAGGGAAGTTCGTCTTTACAGCGGTCGGCACAAGCGCCAGACCCAGAGGTCGCCTTCTAGCTCTCGCGAACACCATGTTCCGAAATGGATCTATGATACCTATGGAAGCAACAAATGATCTACACAAGTCTCCAACGGAACGGGATCTGTAGTTCTGCTTGCCGGTTTCGGTAAAAGGCGGCGTCATCGTTTGATACGTTAGCGATACCTGAGGATCAATTTAGGTTCGTTTTGACAGCCGGCAGCGCTGCGGTGCTCCGTAGAAAATTCATGCTAAAGAGGAGTTGCAAGGATTCGGTTACTCGACATACCTTACAGCACAATCAGGATTCCATCGGAAAGCGTAGATGGTGTCCGGTTCCGAAATTATACAAAAAAGCTCGATTCATGCTTCATCTTCTTCGGCGTCATGCTTCCTTTCGGGCTGGCCGGATCTCCCAGGCCGATCAATGGAACGAAGGTAGCCCATGACGGTGAAATCGAAGGGTGCTGTCCTAGTGAGAAGATCAGGCAACTTTTCGCCAAATGACTGTGTTGTGTCACGTCGAGAAGAACGGCGCTTGTTAAGTGTTGATGTTTGTTGCGATGCTGACGCGGATGCCAGAGAGGCTGATGTTTTTGAAGGTGTTGCCGTTGTCATCGGTGCTGCAGTGGAAGCAGACGCTGTCGCGGCTGGAGACGTACTTGCAGCTGTCGCTCCAGCGGAAACTTTCCTATCCTCTTTCGGCTTTGCAGCCGCTGCTAGCTTTGTGCTCTTCCCGAGTGGCGTTGTACCAAGAAAAGCTGCTAAAATACTTTCAGCTTCGCTCTCAGTGAGCGCTCCGCCAAACCCTCGTCCTTTTTCACGCTTCGAGTCTCGCTCTTCCGCGTCCGAGTCCAATGCTTCCGTCAGAGCCCTTTGCGTCTCGCCATCCAGTCCAGTCTCGGAGGGTGACCTGGACAGGACGACTTTGAGCTTCTTCCTCGCTCCATCACGTCCGTCTGTTTCAGGAAGAGGACTGGAACAAGTCGCCTCTGCATCGGTGGCTTGGATCTCGGCCAAGGATTGCGATACTTTGAGCGAGCCCGTATCTGCGACCGTAGGATACATGTAACCGATCGAAGAGACCATGGAAGACACAGCCGAAGACGTCGATACTGCAGAGGGAGATCGGTGGTCACGAGTCTTGACAGGAGACTGGCGAAGGCTGTGACGTGGCGAGCGTTGCTTCGGGGGAGACGACGGCGCACTGGCATCGTCTAGTGCAGACACGACTTCCTCATCGTCATCTTCATCGTCAAAATCGGAGAAGGAACGGTCAGCGTACTGGCGCTGACGAGCGGATGCAACAGCAGCTGCGGCTGCAGCAGCACGTTTTGGTCGCCCGTTGGATCTCTCAGCTGATGCTTCGGCGTCCTCCTTGGATGTGGATTTGCCCTTGTAGATACCACCGACCTCTGGACTGCCACGCCTGCGCGCTCGCCTTTCTGGCGAGACGGCATCCATTGCTGCCCTAGCTTTTGTTGTTGTCGCGATGACGTCCCTCTTCTGACTCGGACTTGTCTCTTGAGCTTGAGCACCTGACGATATGCGCCGCTTGCGACGACCTTCTTCGACGGCCTCGACTGCAGCAGCAGTGAGAGGAGTAGGAAGGGTCTCAACTCTGTGCTTTGGCTGACGTGAGCTATGCCTCGGCGTTGTATCGCTTCTATCGACAGAGGTTGGAGATTGCTTGGGGGCTGTCGGGCTTGCGCTCTCTGCCGTCTCCCAAGTAGCGCGACCACCTTTGATACGAATCTTGAGTCTAGGCGACTGACTACGTGTGCTCATGTCATCAGCAGCAGCAGTGCTAACTTTGTCCGCTGTTGCGTCGGCCTTGTTGGGCGGTGCGGACGGCCCAGGTGATGCAGGCTTGGCATCGTTTGAAGTGGACAGCAGAAGATCGTACCGCTTCAAAGTCTCGTAGGCATCAGCCAACAACTCCTTTCGGACATCTTCGATGCGTTCATGCAGAGGCTTGAGTGGCGCTTCTGGTTGGTGATCTTTGTCAGCGTTGCTTGCTGCTGCTTCTGCTCTGACCTGATCGCGAGCCACTACGATGGGCTGGAGCATGCGTGCCTCGGCGATCTTGAGTTGCTCGATGCGTGAAAGCAGCTTTTGTCGGTCGCGAGAAAGGCGGTCGACCTCGGCCTTTCTCTGACGCTTTTCGGCAGACTCTGGCTTGCGATGTCTGCGCTGGTAAGCAGCATCGGAAGTATCCTCAGCAGCTTCGGATCGAAGACCACGCGTTTTGGGCATGTAGAGGGTATCGTCGCGTGGCTTGAAGTCTGGAGTTTCGATGAGCTGTTGCCGTTTGATAGCAAGTGTCGAGATGACTGATGAGCTCGAGGGAGCTGACGGTCTGATAAAGCCGGTTGTCTCGACTGCCTTTAACGATGGCGTCGCTGCTGTCGTGGGGATTGATAGCTGGCTGTCCTCTTTTTCAGCCTTGATGTGAACATGGGTGGCAGGAATGTTGTCGGCTGAGGCCGAGGCATGCGGAAAGATAGCACGGGAGAGAAGTTTGTTATCGGAAGTGAGGAGGATGATGGAAGAGGTGGTGAAGATGCGGTTGGATGTGGATCTGACTTGAGATGTATCTGAGGCACGTCTCGCTACTGCGAGCGATGAGCTTGCCCCATTGGAGTTGCTGCTTTCGGCTGTCACGGCTTGTGGAAAGGAGGAAGAAGAGGGTGATGAAGCTTGATCGATCAAGAGTAGCTCCTCTTCAAGCATCGAGCCAGCAAGAAGAGAAGAGACCTGTGACAGACGCGCGGGCATCATTCGTCGACGAGAGGTGCGTTGGACAGTCGGTGTCGATGTCGGGGCTGCGCGGCCGGCCGATGGTCCAGCCTGGAATGTGGGTGTCGAGAGTGGAGAATGGGAGGACAAGGCTCTTCCAGGACCCGAAGAGGATGGCTCCAACTCTGCTGACTGCGGACCAGGTAGTTGTCTCGTAGTGGACTGAGGTGTAGGAGGTGCGGAAGGCGGAGGAGAGCTGGGAGGCGATGAGAGCTCCATATCGACGTCTGCAACCTCTTGAGCATCCTTTGAGCTCATCTGACCCAATGCGATGGGCGCTGAAGCAGCAGGAGTGACTTGGAGCATGACTACGTCCTGATCCGACGACGATCCGCTGTGCTGCTCTGTCTCGTCGCTGGGAGTACGGCTGTGCTTGGCAGCTTGATGCTCATCGCCATCCTGTTGCAGCTGCGGTGGCTGATTGCTCACATTCGCCTTGGATGCGGATGAAGACGAATCCGAGTCGGAGCTGGGAGATGAGCCGGCGAAAAGCGAGGCCAACAGGCCAGCGGCCCTCGCCATCGTGTCGAAAGCCAGATAGCCGAAGGCAGCTCGACCAGCAACGACGTGGAGTGCAACTTGGAGCTATGAGGAGTTGATCATGAATGCAATGAGGCTCGTTTGCTCAGCTTTGCAGTCGAAACTCAAATTAGTCGAGATGATGTTTGTCGCCAATGTCGGCACGTCCGAACGGCGAGAAAAGCTGAGAAGCGGCTGAATATGAACGCGAACACCGTTTTGTCACAGCGATTTCGCCAGTAATCGATGGCTGAGCAAGGTGTGATGTTTGAGTGTGATGTTCGGTTCGGAAGGTGCCGACAATGGCTCAGTCACGATAGCAACGGCTCTTCCGACAAAGTGCAGGATCCGTAAGAGATGCTTCGGTCACTTTTGCAGTCATGACTGCCTGCGTGCATACAGCCAGTTTTGGCAGCGGAAAAAAAAAATAAAATAAAAAAAAAATAAAAAAAAAAAAACCGGCGCCTTCTTACGACTGCACGGTAATTGAAGATAACAATTAATACTCGGCGATATCGGGGTCACGATCAGACTCCCTTTACCACAGCCATGTGTTCTATGTAATGCTTAGTTTTCATAGTGTGAAACTAAATGACAAACACATATATATACTCCATTCGCCACTCTGGTCCTATCCGAGACAGGACGTGTCACTTCATTCATACTCCTGTGTTGCTATGATACTGAGTGCCACTGTGCTGTCGCCATGACAACAATCATGTACCTCATTGTGCTTCTCACTTAATTGAGCCTCCCGTGTCTCGGTGTCTTGGCTGTAACACATGCATCTTGCTTGAGATGCTGACACATCTTCAACTCCCCCTTTCGGCAGGATCTCCAGCCCTATCATCCTAGCTAATCGTGAGGTGTTGAGACCCTGTAAAGGTTTTGTCAAGATGTCTGCAACGTTGTTTGCTGTTCCAATATGTTTGATTACCACATTGCCCTCTTGCACATGATCGCAGATGAAGTGATACCATGTGTCGATGTGCTTTAACTTCCAATGTTTGGCTGGATCCTTACTCACCTGCATGCACCCCTGGCTATCTGTGTATAGTATGGGCCGAACATTCATGATCTCCAAATCCCAGAGCAGGTATGAAAAGAACAATGCTTCTCTCACTGCCTCGGAAGCAGTGACGAACTCAGCTTCAACTGCCAATAGTGCCACACACTTTTGAATGTGAGACCTCCAGCTTACTGGACATCCATATACATATGTTATCAACCCTGAAGTACTCCTTTGTCCATTTGTGGGGTCAGATGCCCAGTTTGTGTCAGTATATGTTGTTACCGGTGTATCCGAGCGCTCGTTTGTCTCCCCTCCTAAATGCAACTGGTATCCATTCATCTGGTTCAGATACTTTACCACATGAATGGCTGCCTTCCATGCACTGTCGATCGGGATCAACATGTATCACAACAATATGCCAATGGCAAAGGCAATATCTGGTCAGGCTGTGTTGGAGACCCATAATAGTTGGCTGACCAACTCTTGATATTTCTTTGCTTGCTGAGGATCACATCTCTCGCCTCTGGTGACATTCACTATGCTTAGCATGGGTACCCAAGATTTCTCATTTGCTCCTCCTAACCATTTGCTCACCATTTCTTTGATGTATGCCATTAGACCTAGAGATATCTTCCTCCATTTTCTATCATGTGTGATCTTGATACCCAGAAATTCTTTGATCCTTCCATTGTCTTGTGTTTCCCATTTGTCCATGATCTCTCGCTTGGTGCAGTCTACTTCATCACGACTGGGTGATGTTATCAGCATGTCGTCCACATATGTTGTGATGATCATGATCTTGTCACCTGTCCCTCTTGAGTATAGGCATGGTGCACTTGGCATGCAATGAAAACCGATCATCTGGAGATGTGAGTCTAACTCAATGTTCCATTCTTGGCCTGATTGTTTCAGACCGTACAGTCCTTTCACTACCTTCAATGCTTTTCTGGGTGGTATCTGTCATGGGCCTGGATGCTCAAGAAGCAGGAGGGTCATGGGTTCATATGGAAGGAGCACAGGTATCGAAGACCTAGTCGACACCAGTAGAGAGCATGGTCGTAGTGCAGTCTCCATGGAGACCATGGACTCCTATGGACTCACATGCAAAGGAGGGCCAAGCACAGCCACGAGGAGGACCAAGCTCAAGGAGCAGGCACAGCCACGAGGAGGACCAAGCTCAAGGAGCAGGCACAGCCACGAAGAGGACCAAGCTCAAGGAGCATGCAGATGGTTACCACTCAGGGGCTCGAGAGACAAGAGCCAAAGGAACTGTCACTGATCAAAGGAGGAGGAGCAGTGTCGAAGGAGTCGACACAGCTCAAGAGGCACAGGGGTGCCAAGCAGGAGAGGCCCCTGAGCAGTACTCGATGAAGAAGGTACTCTCTGGAGAGAGAGCAGGAGCAGCATCGCTGGCGATGCTGAGAAGAGGTATATAACCATGCTTTCTCATCAATAGGTCGAGTGGATCCTCATCCACTCTACTCACCATACAACTAGTCAATACTTTAGAAACACAAGTACTCATTAGTTACAGTCAGCATAGCAGCAATCTATCAAGGTTGCTCCTCATCGTAGTGTGTGTGTTGTATCACCACTACCTGACGTCCGAAGGCGCCCATAGCAGGTTAGCGGTCCGGATATAGATAGAACCGAAGGCAGTAGTCCACTGCGGTCCGGGGATCACTTCAAAGCATCAAGTCAACACACTGGACACTCGTGTTGACGCCACCAACCTTATCACCAACACCATCAACCTCATTATCATTGACATCACCAATCTTATCATCAACACCATCAACCTCATTATCATCGACATCACCAATCTCATTGTCATAGGCCTTAGGACACGGGCATGGAGGTTCATAGAAGGGGAGCATAGAGTACCAAGGCTCGGGTCATAAAGGAAGACCACCATAGCAGGCCTAAGGATGGTTGAGCAAGAGGCCGGAGGCCTAGCTGGTACTAGTAGCAGGCGTAGTGGGAGAGCAACTTGACCGGCCTGTATGCAAGGAGGTCCAAGCACGTCATGGAGGACCGGCCTGTATGCAAGGAGGTCCAAGCACGTCATGAAGGACCGGCCTGCTGACAAGAGGTCACCGGTAATCGGCAAGCAGCTCATGAGGAGGAGGAGCAGTGTCGATGGAGTCGACACAACTCATGAGGAAGAGGAGCAGTGTCGAAGGAGTCGACATAGCTCATGAGGAGGAGGAGCAGTGTCGAAGGAGTCGACACAGCTCAAGAGGCACAGGGGTGCCAAGCAGGAGAGGCCCCTGAGCAGTACTCGATGAAGAAGGCACTCTCTGGAGAGAGAGCAGGAGCAGCATCGCTGGCGATACTGTGAAGAGGTATATAACCATGCTTTCTCATCATCATAGGCCGAGTGGATCCCCATCCACTCTACTCACCATATAACTAGTCAATACTTAGAAACACAAGTACTCATTAGTTAACAGTCAGCATAGCAGCAATCCATCAAGATTGCTCCTCATCGTAGTGCGTGTGTTGTATCACCACTACCTGACAATCCGTAGGCGCCCATAGCAGGTAGCGGTCCGGATATAGATAGAACCGAAGGCAGTAGTCCACTGCGGTCCGGGGATCACTCAGCATTAGTCAGCACACTGGACACTCGTGTTGACGCGACCAACCTCACCACCAATCTCATCGACATTCACCAACAACCTCATCATCATCAACACCAACACCAGACCCTGGTATCACCATAACCTTCATAACGACATTGATCGTGCCGAGCCACCTCTGAACGGAGTGTCCACAGAGGTCAGTCGAAACCCACAATAGCTATCGCACAACTTGACAGTCACCGAGTATCTCGACAGACAGATCTGGGTTTCAGGCGCGCGATCCCTGACACAGGCCTCAGCTAGACACGTGCAAGCAAACAACGCGTCATCTCCAGGAACTCGGCCAATCCAGAGTTCAATTCCCGTTCGGCGATCGGCTGCGCAACCTTATTCAACTCGATCACCGGCTCCACCTTATCTTCCGTCTCAACCTTATCGACCGCCACAACCTTATCCGACGCGACACTCCACCCAACCCCTTCCCCACTCAAACAACCGTCCTCCTCCCCATCAACCCACTCCAGCTCCAAAAGGAATCCCGGCACCATCAGGAGGCAGCAACAACACCTGCCATTTGTGCAATGGTATCGGACACTGGGCCAGGGACTGCCCTAGCAGGAGGGTAGACTCTCTGGGATCACGACCTATGGGACCAAAGGTCATGGTCGTCACCAAGGACCCCCTCGACGAGGCCTCCGACTCTGGAGATGGCCGCTCAGGCAATACCGAGCCAGAGCAGGAGGACATGGACCTCCGGCCTTATCAGCAGCATATGGACTCGGACTTCGATCACGAGGAGGAGCAAGACGATGATGATGACGAGGGAAACGTCAGTGGGGTGATGCACTGATGGCATGCATTGCTCTACAAACCTCCTCGCCATCACTCTGTATATATCAAGATTGTCAAGTATGTTTCTCGACCAGTGGAGGCAAAGCAGTACTGGAGCTCTCTGGAATGGTTCAAGACCATCCTGCTCGAATACTAGCTGATACCGGTGCTGGTTTGTCCATAGTTTCAGATTCTTTCATTAGTAAGTACCAAATACCAACAAAACCCATAAAAACAAGATCGATCCATGGTGTCACCGGACACCAGCTATCCATCAATAGTGCTGCGAGCATGCAGGTAACTATTGGTAACCACAATCTGGGTGTGGTTGAAGCTTCAGTGGCCAACACTGCCGACTACGACCTCATCCTAGGGTTCACTGAGCTAAGGAAGCTCAAGCCCACCATACGATGGGATACGGGCCAGCTGGAGTTCAAGACTCAGGAGCAGGACCGACCCCCGAAGAGACCCCCTGAAGCAGCAGGAGCAGGGGACCTAACAGTTGAAGTAGATAAAGCCGCACAAAGCGTGGAGACAGTGAAGGTAGTGCTTACGGCCGAGTAAAAGGCCTGAACATCTTAGCACGGACCACATGTGTCACAACCTACTCAAGGCAAATGCTTTGTTATGCTCCGCAGTCCGCCGCTCTACTTTTGTATATATAGACTCCTAGCTCTCTCGCTCTCTCTCTCTCTCCTACCATCATCAACAAAAGACACCTCAACCCCAACCTCTGACGAATGACGCCAAGACGCTGACGAATGACTTCAACTGATTAAGAGTCTGACACTCAACGCAATGCCGCCATCGACAAGAGCTGGACAGACGGGAAGGGGCGATGATGATCAAACGACCCCAAGCAACGGACAGGAGGAAGGATGGCTCACGCAGGTAGTCAGAATCCTCCAGCTGGCGAACCCAGCACTAACGGCCGAGGAAGCAATCGTACGAGCTATGGGTCTCATCAGCATTAGCAACCAGACCCCGCGCAGGGAAACCGAGAAGATCCCCAAGGAGGTGTCGAGCGCCATTGCGCACATCAAGAAGCTCAGCGACAGCAACTGGCACACTTGGGAACCTACCTTCATCGACTGCCTCCAAAGAGTACATAATGCGAAGGAGATACTGTATGGCACGGTAGCGCCTGGAAACGAGGAATACGACGAAGACTTGGATAAAGCCCTCGTGGGCCTCATCCACGCCTGCTGTGACAACAGTCCAGACAGCCGTATCGACACCTACACCGTCAGGGGAGTGGATGAAGAAGTCCAACTCGGTAGCACACTCTATGCCAAACTCAAGAAGGCACTAACGTTGAACGACGCTGTAAAGCGAGCAGGACTGCAGGATCGTATTCACACAGTGCGATTGCACAATCGAGACGTTGTCAGGCTAGGCAAGGAACTCGATTCGATCTGGAACGATGCGGCACGCCTGGGAAAGCGTTTCGACGAGGACCTCAAGAAATCAACTCTCTATCGCTGCACGGCCCAAGACTGGTTCTATGCCAACACCGTCGACGCACTGAAAACGGCTAGACCAGACTGTAAATATGACGAAGCCTACCACGCACTCGCCAAGAAACAGCAGGATGGTGAGGTCACCGGCCGTATTAGAGGAGCAGCAAGAGTTGCCACAAGTACGGACCAGGCGGAGCAAGGACCCAGAGGCAGGCGCGATCCTCGCAACCCCTCGGCCCCTCCAAAGTGCTACGCTTGTGGAGGACCTAATCACATTGCTCGAAATTGTACGAACGCACGAGGCACAAGCGAACCTGTCGCTCGTACGACACAGGAGGTGAACCACTAGGAACTCGGGTGCACCTTTCTAGCAGTCGACAGGGGCGAGCGACCAGCATGCGACACCTGGATCATCGATTCAGGTGCAACCCATCATATGGTAAATGATGAGAGAATGCTGCTCACCTCAACGAACAAGGTCGGCCAAATCAGTACGGCAGGGGACGAAAAGCTTCAGGTGAAGGCTATAGGAGATGCCTCCCTTCGGGTCGGTGAGGCCACCATCCAACTATTGGATGTGCTTTATGTACCGAAACTGAATGCTAACTTATTGTCCGTACAAGGCTTGATCGAGAATGGTGCACGAGTAATCTTCGATGAATTTGGAACTACCATAAAGCAGAATGATGGTACCCAAGTACAATTCAAAAGGGACAGAAGACAGGGCCACTTCAAAGTGCGAGGACAAGCACTGGCTTTGGAACTGGAGGAAACACGAGATGGCGTCCCAGAGGACAACCAGAACACAGGAAAACTAGATAATGCCCCAGAGGGCAATAAGGACACGAAGCATCGAGACAGCTACCTATGGCATGAGAGGTTCGGACACCCAGGACGAGACAAAACGAGGCAAATCCGGGCCCATTACCTAGGTACCGATGAGGAAATGGAACATGAGTCGAAGCACTGCAATGCGTGCAGTCAAGGAAAACAGACTCGAGCACGGATGAGCCAATCAGAGTCAGAAAGAATGGAGGCACCATTAGAGCTGGTACACGTAGACCTGATGACAGATTTCAAAGGACATGCCAACTACCACTATGCACTAGTTGCTGTGGACGACTTCTCCTCTCTGATCTACGTGGAACCACTCTGCACAAAGAGTGCTGCACTCACGGCACTGAGAAGGTGGATAGCCAGGATGGAACGGGCAACGGACAGGAAACTCAAAACACTCCGCAGCGACAATGGAGGAGAATGGTGCAGCATAGCAGCCGAAGACTGGCAAACTCAAGAGGGTTTCAAGTGGCAAAAGAGTGTCCCGGGGATCAGCATCCAAAATGGACGGGCGGAGAGAGCAATCAGGTCGGTCCAAGAAAAGATGCGCTCGATGCTGATTGGTCGAGCTTGCCCTAGAGAGTTGTGGCCGTACGCAATCACAGCAGCAGCACACGTGATGAACCTTACCCCGTCGGCCACCAAAACCATTCCCCACGAGGCCTTCTATGGAACCACTGCGCACAAGCTGGCCCAGCAACTGCGAGTCTTCGGATGCTTGGCATGGGTTCATGTTCAACAGAAGGACCAGCAAGGCAAGCACGGAGCTAGAGCAAAGCCAGCCATCATGATTGGGTATGACGACGAACACAAAGCATGGAAGTTTTGCAACCCGGACCAGCCTGCGTCAATTCAATGGAGCAACTCAGCAACGTTCCATGAGGACAAAGGATGGAGTGATCGCCAACAAGAGGCAGTCAGGCCTGTGGTGACTGCGGAGGTCGAGGAGGAGAGTGTCACGCCAGTCACAGTGGAGGATCTCCTAACAGCCGAAGACAGCACAGTAGGCGCCGCCAACACAGCAATACTGAACCTGGACCCAACACTTAGGGAAGCAATGGATGGTGAGGATGCCCAGCTCTGGAAGGAGGCAATACGAAAGGAGCTAGAAGGACTCGAGGCAATGGGGACTTGGGAGGTGGTGCACCAACCGCCAGGAGTACCACTTGTGGACTCTAAGGTCGTGCTTCGGCTGAAGCTTGATGCTGATGGTGTACCTGTTAAGCACAAGGCACGACTGGTTGCAAGGGGCTTCACACAGAGAGAGGGGATCGACTACCAAGAAACCTTCTCTCCAGTAGCACCCCTTGGAGCGATCAGAGCCATCTTAGCACTAGCAGTGCAGAACAACTGGGAGATACATGCTCTGGACATCACTATGGCTTACTTGAACTCCACGTTAAAGGAAGCAATCTACATGAAGCCGCCAGAAGGATCAGGAGTAGCACCCGGCAAGGTGTACAAGGTAGTCAAGGGCCTATATGGCCTAAAGCAGTCTGGGCGAGAATGGAATCAGGAGTTCGACAGGTCTTTGCGACGCATGGGATTCTTCCAGGTAGAGTGCGCTCCCTGCATCTACACCAAGGGACAGGGTGAAGATATGGCCATTGTGGTCATCTACGTCGATGATACATTAGTCATAGCACCACGGCTGGAAACGGTCCTAGAGGTTAAGAAGCAGATTGGTCAGAGATGGAAGATGGAAGATAGTGGTGAGGTCTCTCACTTCTTGGGCATCAAAATCAGTCGAGACCGTGCGATGCGCACCATGACGATTGGTCAGTCAGGGTACATCGACCAAGTGCTGGCAAAGCACCTGGACAAACGTACGAAGCCAACCATGGTTCCAATGCAGAGCATACCGGAGGGAACCCTTGTCGCAAGCGCAGCACAACAAAAGGAGTATCCGGTGATTGTTGGCAAGCTGCTCTGGGTTGCCAACAGCACCCGGCCCGACCTTAGTCTCACCGTGGGTGTTCTTGCTAGGCACATGCGTGAACCATCGCAGGAGCATTATCAGGCAGCACAAAGGGTCTTACGCTACCTCGAAAGCACAAGGCAGGTTGGATTGGTTTATAGGGCAAGTGAGTCGCAAGAGCCACTGGTTGCACACAGCGATGCAAACTGGGCAAGCGATGCCACCATACAGAGAAGAAGCACATCGGGGTCAGTGGCGTTAGTGTACGGGAACCCAGTAGCCTGGAAGTCAGCGACACAAAAATGCGTGTCGTTGTCTGCTGTCGAGGCAGAGTTCATTGCAGCCACGGAAGCAACACGTGAGGTGCTCTTCCTCAAGCAGCTGCTACGCTCAATTGGCATTGCCACAGGCACACCGACGGTCTACTCGGACAACACTGGTTGCATACAGGTTAGTAAGGACCCAGCACAGCACTGGAAGCTTAAGCACATCGACACCAAGTATCACTTCGTCCGTAACAACGTACAAGAGGGAAGGGTGCAGATCAAATACGTAGACACCACAAGAAACTTGGCAGATGTACTCACGAAACCCATTGGGAGGCAGGCAATGCAGCAAGCAAGATCTGGGCTACACCTGCAAATACCGGCAGCAGTGTACGGAACGGGGTCCCCGAGCTATGCAACAGTGTTGAAGAACGGAGGTCACACCTTGAAGCAACAGCATAATGAACAGGGTACATATGCTGTTGAGGGGGGGAGTTGAAGTAGATAAAGCCGCACAAAGCGTGGAGACAGTGAAGGTAGTGCTTACGGCCGAGTAAAAGGCCTGAACATCTTAGCACGGACCACATGTGTCACAACCTACTCAAGGCAAATGCTTTGTTATGCTCCGCAGTCCGCCGCTCTACTTTTGTATATATAGACTCCTAGCTCTCTCGCTCTCTCTCTCTCTCCTACCATCATCAACAAAAGACACCTCAACCCCAACCTCTGACGAATGACGCCAAGACGCTGACGAATGACTTCAACTCTAACCATGAGGAGACCAACCCTTCATGGTAATGAGTTTGTCTCAGCAGAGCGCATACTACGAGCAGCTCTGGAAGATGGACCCATAGGGTTCATGCTGTTGGAGGAACCACCATCATCACTCCCGGCCTTTGGTTTCGTACCTACAGGCACCGACAAAGGAATCGAGATGGAGGTGGAGGTGGACAAGGTGGTGACGGCTGCGGACATACCAAAGCCATACCAACACTTGAGAGATGTGTTCGATGAGGTGGAAGCAGACAAGCTGCCCCATCATACCGAGCATGATCTCCACCTCGAGTTGATAGAAGGAGGGAAGCCACCTCAAGGGCCCCTATACCTTAAGGGACCCAAGGAGATGTCCGAGTTGAGGAGGTACTTGGATGAGAACCTCGAGAAGGGGTTCATAAGACCATCGAAGAGCCCAGCACGATCACCAGTGCTCTTCGTACCAAAGAAGGATGGAGGTCTCAGACTCTGTGTCGACTACAGAGGTCTCAACGAGATCACTATCAAGAACAGAGCACCATTGCCCCTCATCGAGGAGCAGCTGTTCTTGCTCAGGAAGGCAAGGATCTATACCAAGCTAGACCTTAGAGCAGCATACAACCTCATCCGGGTTGCTAAAGGAGATGAATGGAAGACAGCGTTTGGCACTCAGTTGGGACTCTATGAGTACCTAGTGATGCCCTTCGGCCTAGCCAATGCTCCGGCTCACTTCCAATCATTCATCAATGTCATCTTCCGAGACATCATTGGAGTATATGTGGTAGTATACTTGGATGACTTCCTGATCTTCAGTGACACTGAGGAGGCACATGTGAAGCATGTCACCGAGGTCCTCACTCGCTTAAGGAGCAACAGGCTCTTTGCTAAGCTGTCCAAGTGTGAGTTCCACACCAAGACGGTGGAGTTCCTGGGTTACATCATCAAGCCAACGGGTATTGAGATGGACCCAGAAAAGATACGGACTGTCAAGGAGTGGCCGATGCTGGCGTCTATCCATGACATCCAACGGTTCCTGGGTTTTGCTAACTTCTACAGGAGATTCATAGCTCACTTCGCTCGGATAGCCAAGCCATTGACATCACTGGTGAAGCCGACGGAACGCTTCAAGAAGTTTGAGTTGCCGGAGGAGGCCCAACAAGCCTTCCATCAGCTCATTCAGGCGTTCACATCAGCAGGAGTGCTTCAGCACTTCGACTACCACCTTCCAACAAGGTTGGAGACCGATGCAAGTGACTTTGCTATAGCAGGAGTACTCAAGCAGGAGCATGAAGGACGATGGCACCCAGTGGCCTTCTACTCCAGGAAGATGTCTTCTGCCGAGAAGAACTACGAGATCCATGATAAGGAGCTCCTAGCTGTGGTCGCCTGCCTCACTCAGTGGCGACACATGCTAGCTGGACTACCTAGTCAACTAGTCATCCTCACGGACCATGAAGCCCTCAAGTACTTCAAGTCCCAGCGACGCATCACTGGCCGACAGGCTCGATGGGCAATGCTACTAGCAGACTTCGACTTCATCCTGCAGTATCGACCAGGAGACAAAGGTGGTGAACCCGATGCTCTCACCAGAAGGGCAGACATGCAACCAGCTGGTGAAGAGCAGGATCACAATGTGAGGCAACTACTGCCTCCTCGGGTGTTTGCGGAAACAGCGGACCATGACTCGACCCTAGTGGCTCCCATGCTCTCGATGGAGACCATAGCAACGAAAGGGCTCAAAGACCTGGTCAAGATCTTCCAGCCCTTAGATCAAGAGCTACAGGAGATACACTCAAAGAAGCCCTTCGAGCTCAAGGACGACCTATGGTACAGTGGAGGAAGGTTAGTCATCCCCAAGGTGACCATGCCAGGGAGGACTAACAACCGACACTCAAGGAGTGCCAAGGAAGTAGATGGACAGTCTCTCTCTGTAGAGCACCTGCGATTCATGGTGATGACCCAATGCCATGATGGTGTTACTGCCGGACATGTAGGAAGAGATGCTACCATCAAGGCAGCTCAACGGCACTACTGGTGGCCAAGCATGACAGCTTGGATTGCTGACTATGTAGCTAGCTGTCCAGTTTGTGCGAGGTACAAAGCTCCTCGTCATCGTCCGTATGGCCTTCTACAGCCACTTGCCACACCAGACAGGCCTTGGGGATCGATATCCCTCGACTTCATTGAAGGACTACCATCTTCAAAGAACTATGACTCCATCCTCGTCATTGTCGATAGGCTGACCAAGTTTGCCATCCTGGCCCCGACCCATAAGACAGTCACGGCTAAACAGACTGCAGTGTTGCTATATGGACACATGGTTAGACTCTTCGGATACCCTGATCACATGGTCTCGGACCGAGGCAGGCAGTTCATATCAGGAGCATGGAAAGCCTTTGCAGAGCAGATGGGTGTGAAGCACTCACTTAGCACGGCTTATCATCCTCAAACTGATGGTCAGACAGAGAGAGTCAATCAGGTCGTGGAGCAGTACCTAAGGATGTACTGCAACTATGAGCAGAACGACTGGGCAGACCTGCTGGACACTGCAGCCTTTGTATACAACAACACGGTCCACAACAGCATTGGTGTCTCACCATTCTTTGCATGCTATGGATGGAACCCCAAAGCCCATCCTGACATCCCTCAACAACTAGGAGTCAATGATCCAGGTCGCTTCGAGTACCTCATGGATGGGAAGGAGCGTTGCAAGTATCTTCAGGAGCAGATCAGGGAGGCACAGCGTCGGACGGTGGACCAGTATAACAGGAAGCACAAGGACATCGAGTTTAAGGTGGGTGATATGGTCTATATCAACCGCCGGAACTGGAAGACCAGGCGACCTACACCAAAGCTGGATACCCGGTTTGCAGGACCCTATCCAGTCCAGGAACGAGTAGGACGCCGAGCATACAGGATCACATTGCCAGCAAACCTTAGGGTTCATGATGTGTTCCATGTCTCCATGCTCGAGCCAGCAAAGACTAGCTCACTTCCTCACAGGACAGACCAGCCAATCATACCATCACTTCCTGATGAAGACCTCGACTTCGAAGTAGAAGCACTCATTGACAAGCGCTCATTCAATGGGACTACGGAGTACAAAGTGCTTTGGAGGGGGTACTCAGAGGAGGCAGCCTCTTGGGAACCCGTCTCAAACCTCGACTGTCCCGACCTCATCCGGGAGTATGAGGTATCAGAGGGGGGAGGAGCGAGCAGAAGAAGGAGGAGAGAGCAGGAGGAGGAGTAGGAGGAGAGGAGCTAGTATGAACCAGACACAGAAGCATGACTAGCCTCAACGGAGCTCGGCTCTTAAGAGGGGGGTAGTGTCATAGGCCTTAGGACACGGGCATGGAGGTTCATAGAAGGGGAGCATAGAGTACCAAGGCTCGGGTCATAAAGGAAGACCACCATAGCAGGCCTAAGGATGGTTGAGCAAGAGGCCGGAGGCCTAGCTGGTACTAGTAGCAGGCGTAGTGGGAGAGCAACTTGACCGGCCTGTATGCAAGGAGGTCCAAGCACGTCATGGAGGACCGGCCTGTATGCAAGGAGGTCCAAGCACGTCATGAAGGACCGGCCTGCTGACAAGAGGTCACCGGTAATCGGCAAGCAGCTCATGAGGAGGAGGAGCAGTGTCGATGGAGTCGACACAACTCATGAGGAAGAGGAGCAGTGTCGAAGGAGTCGACATAGCTCATGAGGAGGAGGAGCAGTGTCGAAGGAGTCGACACAGCTCAAGAGGCACAGGGGTGCCAAGCAGGAGAGGCCCCTGAGCAGTACTCGATGAAGAAGGCACTCTCTGGAGAGAGAGCAGGAGCAGCATCGCTGGCGATACTGTGAAGAGGTATATAACCATGCTTTCTCATCATCATAGGCCGAGTGGATCCCCATCCACTCTACTCACCATATAACTAGTCAATACTTAGAAACACAAGTACTCATTAGTTAACAGTCAGCATAGCAGCAATCCATCAAGATTGCTCCTCATCGTAGTGCGTGTGTTGTATCACCACTACCTGACAATCCGTAGGCGCCCATAGCAGGTAGCGGTCCGGATATAGATAGAACCGAAGGCAGTAGTCCACTGCGGTCCGGGGATCACTCAGCATTAGTCAGCACACTGGACACTCGTGTTGACGCGACCAACCTCACCACCAATCTCATCGACATTCACCAACAACCTCATCATCATCAACACCAACACCAGACCCTGGTATCACCATAACCTTCATAACGACATTGATCGTGCCGAGCCACCTCTGAACGGAGTGTCCACAGAGGTCAGTCGAAACCCACAATAGCTATCGCACAACTTGACAGTCACCGAGTATCTCGACAGACAGATCTGGGTTTCAGGCGCGCGATCCCTGACACTCATCACCAACACCATCAACCTCATCATCATCAACACCCACACCAGACCTTGGTGTCATCATAACATTGATATTGATCGTGCCGAGCTACCCCTGAACGGAGTGTCCACAGAGGTCAGCCGAAACCTACGATAGTATATACAATGAACGCCACCTGCTGTCACTGCACAACTTGATAGTCACCGATACCGAGACAATAGCTGTCACACAGTTTAATAGTCACCGAGTATCTCGACAGACCGACCTGGGTTTCAGGCGCGAGACCCTGACATTAGAGTGGATCGTTCAAGCAGCTCCTCACGATCACCATGACGGACCCAGACCTCAACAATAAGCTCGATAGACTACTCACTCTATTGGAAGCACAGCTAGAGCTTACCAGACAGGGTCATCGAGAGGAACGATTACTACGAGCTCAACTGAGCAGGGAGGAGACAATGGACCTCTCTCACTCAGAAGACCAAGCAGGAGGAGGAGATGAGTCTATGATAGGAGACCCACATACTCCTACTCCAGCTCCACGACCAAGACGATCAGTCTCATTCAACCTGGATGAGCAGGAGGACATCAACTACGAGAAGTATGCTTCACCTACTGGGCCAAGATATGTCAAGACTAAGCTGGACCCCTACAGCAGGACTAGGACGGACCCTTACCCCCTGGACCACGAGGAGGATACCAGCATCATGGCAGAGCTTAACCGGTCAAAGCCCATTGCCACCCCCTTTCCAAAGTTCAATCCCCGAGACATGGAGATCTTCATTCTAGAAGCCGAAGCATGGTTTAAGTTCAACCAGGTGTATGAGCAGTCTAGGATGATCAATCACATGGGTGCTCAACTGGAAGGGACAGCAAGAGAGTGGTGGACCTCCAAGCTCCGTATTGATAGAGCTAGAGAAGGAAGGTTGTTCAATGATTGGCACTACTTCACAGAGCGACTGTCAGAGCAGTTCAACCCATGCAATGCTAGGATGGAGGCATACAACAAGCTGTTGGCTCTCAGACTCACAAGTGATACTCCTGGTACCGCCACACGTCATGTAGAGCGGTTCAGAGACTTGGAAGGACAGGTCAACCTAGATGACAACGAGCTAGTGATTGATCTCTTCAGAGGTAGTCTCACTCGCAGCATACAGGAGAAGTTCGAGAGGAATCCACCTGGGAAGAGATGGGAGTGGTATCGAGAGGTTGAGGAGATCGATCGACAGAGGATGCTACTACAGCAGTCCTCGGCTAGACACTCACTCCCAAATGCCACATCACCTCCACTAAGAACTGGGTCTCGGCCAAATCAAAGTTCGATCCCCATCCGACAACCCACTCAAACTTATCCAGCTCGATCACCATCACAAGCAACTACACAAGCAACTACACAAGCAACTATACAAAACCTAAACCGACCCCTTCCTCACCATCCCACCCAACCCTCGAAGCAAGGAAGCCCTGCTCCATCAGGTATCAACACCTGTCATGTATGCAAAGGTATTGGCCATTGGGCCAGAGACTGCCCCAGCAGGAGGGTAGACCCTCTTAGCTCTCGACCCATGGGACCAAAGGTTATGGTCACCACAGCAGACCCCTTCGAGGAGGCCACCGACTCAGGGGATGGCCACACAGGCAGCACTGAGACGGGTTACCCCGAGGCCATGGACCTCAGCTCATACCAGCAACCCATGGACCCCGATCACGAGGAGGAGCACAATGATGATGACGACGAGGGAAACGTCAGTGGGGTGATGCACTGATGGCATGCATTGCTCTACAAACCTCCTCGCCATCACTCTGTATATATCAAGATTGTCAAGTATGTTTCTCTACCAGTGGAGGCAAAGCAGTACTGGAGCTCTCTGGAATGGTTCAAGACCATCCTGCTCGGATACTAGCTGATACCGGTGCTGGTTTGTCCATAGTCTCAGATTCTTTCATTAGTAAGTACCAAATACCCACAAAACCCATAAAAACAAGATCGATCCATGGTGTCACCGGGCACCAACTCTCCATCAATAGTTCTGCGAGCATGCAGGTATCTATTGGTACACACAATCTGGGTGTGGTCGAAGCTTCAGTGGCCGACACTGCGGACTATGACCTCATCCTGGGGTTCACTGAGCTACGGAGGCTCAAACCCACCATACAATGGGATATGGGCCAGCTGGAGTTCAAGACTCAGGAGCAGGACCGACCCCCTAGGAGACCCCCTGAAGCTGCAAGAGCAGGGGACCTAACCATGAGGAGACCAACCCTTCATGGTAACGAGTTTGTCTCAGCAGAGCGCATACTACGAGCAGCTCTGGAAGATGGACCCATAGGGTTCATGCTGTTAGAGGAGCCACCATCATCACTCCCAGCCTTTGGTTTTGTACCTACAGGCGCAGACAAAGGAGTCGAGATGGAGGTGGAGGTAGATAAGGTGGTGACGGCTGCAGACATACCAAAGCCATACCAACACCTGCGAGATGTGTTTGATGAGGTGGAAGCAGACAAGCTGCCCCATCATACCGAGCATGATCTCCACCTCGAGTTGATAGAAGGAGGGAAGCCACCTCAAGGGCCCCTATACCTTAAGGGACCCAAGGAGATGTCCGAGTTGAGGAGGTACTTGGATGAGAACCTCGAGAAGGGGTTCATAAGACCATCGAAGAGCCCGGCACGATCACCGGTGCTCTTCGTACCAAAGAAGGATGGAGGTCTCAGACTCTGTGTGGACTACAGAGGTCTCAACGAGATCACTGTCAAGAACAGGGCACCATTGCCCCTCATCGAGGAGCAGCTGTTCTTGCTCAGGAAGGCAAGGATCTATACCAAGCTAGACCTTAGAGCAGCATACAACCTCATCCGGATTGCTAAAGGAGATGAATGGAAGACAGCTTTTGGCACTCAGTTGGGACTCTATGAGTACCTAGTGATGCCCTTTGGCCTAGCCAATGCTCCGGCTCACTTCCAGTCATTCATCAATGACATCTTCCGAGACATCATTGGGATATATGTGGTAGTATACCTAGATGACTTCCTGATCTTCAGTGACACTGAAGAAGCACATGTGAAGCATGTCACTGAGGTCCTCACTCGCTTAAGGAGCAACAGGCTCTTTGCTAAGCTGTCAAAGTGTGAGTTCCACACCAAGACAGTTGAGTTCCTGGGGTACATCATCAAGCCAACGGGCATAGAGATGGACCCAGAAAAGGTGCGCACTGTCAAGGAGTGGCCAATGCCGGAGTCAATCCATGACATCCAGAGGTTCCTGGGTTTTGCCAACTTCTATCAAAGGTTCATAGCCCACTTTGCTCGCATAGCCAAGCCCTTGACAGCACTGGTAAAGCCTATAGAACGGTTCAAGAAGTTCGAGCTACCAGAGGAGGCCCAACAGGCCTTCCACAAGCTCATCCAGGCCTTCACATCAGCAGGAGTGCTTCAGCACTTCGACTACCACCTTCCAACAAGGTTGGAGACTGATGCAAGTGACTTTGCTATAGCAGGAGTACTCAAGCAGGAGCATGAAGGACGATGGCATCCAGTGGCCTTCTACTCTAGGAAGATGTCTTCTGCTGAGAAGAACTATGAGATCCATGATAAGGAGCTCCTAGCTGTGGTCGCCTGCCTCACTCAGTGGCGACACATGCTAGCTGGACTACCAAACCAACTGGTCATCCTCACTGACCATGAAGCCCTCAAGTACTTCAAGTCACAGAGACGCATCACAGGTCGACAAGCTCGATGGGCAATACTACTAGCAGACTTCGACTTCATATTGCAGTATCGACCAGGAGACAAAGGTGGTGAACCCGATGCTCTCACCAGAAGGACAGACATGCAACCAGCCGGTGAAGAGCAGGATCACAATGTGAGGCAACTACTGCCTCCTCGAGTGTTCAAGGAGACAGCAGACCATGACTCGCTCCTAGTGGCCCCCATGATCTCGATGGAGTCCATAGCATCAAAAGGTCTCAAAGACCTGGTCAAGATCTTCCAGCCTTTAGACCAAGAGCTACAGGAGATACATAGGAAGAAGCCTTTCGAACTCAAGGATGACCTATGGTACAGTGGAGGAAGGTTGGTTATCCCCAAGGTGATCATGCCAGGGAGGACCAACAACCGACACTCAAGGAGTGCCAAAGAGGTAGATGGACAGTCTCTCTCTGTAGAGCATCTGCGATTCATGGTGATGACCCAATGCCATGATGGTATCACTGCTGGACACGTAGGAAGAGATGCTACCATCAAGGCAGCTCAACGACATTACTGGTGGCCAAACATGACAGCTTGGATTGCAGACTATGTAGCAAGTTGTCCTGTATGTGCTAGGTACAAAGCTCCTCGTCATCGTCCATATGGTTTGCTACAGCCACTAGCAACCCCAGACAGGCCCTGGGGCTCCATATCCCTCGACTTCATTGAAGGACTACCACCATCAAAGAAGTATGACTCCAAGACCTATGACTCTATCCTAGTCATCGTCGACAGGTTAACCAAGTTTGCCATACTAGCTCCAACCCATAAGACAGTCACAGCCAAACAGACTGCAGTATTGCTATATGGACACATGGTTAGACTCTTCGGATATCCAGATCACATGGTCTCGGACCGAGGCAGGCAGTTCATATCAGGAGCATGGAAGGCATTTGCAGAGCAAATGGGTGTGAAGCACTCACTTAGCACGGCCTACCATCCTCAAACTGATGGTCAGACAGAGAGAGTCAATCAGGTCATAGAGCAATATCTCAGGATGTACTGCAACTATGAGCAGAATGACTGGGCCAACCTGCTGGACACTGCGGCCTTTGTATACAACAACACGGTCCACAACAGCATTGGTGTCTCACCATTCTTTGCATGCTATGGATGGAACCCCAAAGCTCATCCTGACATCCCTCAACGACTAGGAGTCAATGATCCAGGTCGCTTCGAGTACCTCATGGATGGAAAGGAGCGTTGCAAGTACCTCCAGGAGCAGATCAGAGAGGCACAACGTAGATCAGTAAACCAGTATAACAGGAAGCACAAGGACATCGAGTTTAAGGTGGGTGATATGGTCTATATCAACCGACGAAACTGGAAGACAAGGAGACCCACACCCAAGTTAGACACCCGGTTTGCAGGACCCTACCCAGTTCAGGAACGGGTAGGACGCCGAGCTTATCGAATCACATTGCCAGCAAACCTTAGGGTGCATGATGTGTTCCATGTCTCCATGCTCGAGCCAGCAAGAACAAGTTCTCTTCCTCAACGTGCTGAACAGCCCACCATACCATCACTTCCAGATGAGGACCTCGACTTCGAAGTCGAAGCACTCATCGACAAGCGTTCACACAATGGGACTACGGAGTACAAGGTGTTGTGGAGAGGGTACTCAGAGGAAGCTGCTTCATGGGAACCAGTAGAGAACCTCAACTGTCCCGACCTCATCCAGGAGTATGAGGTGTCGGAGGGGGGACGAGTGAGTAGACAGAGTGGAGAGAGGAGGAGAGAACAGGAGGAGTAGAGAGAGGAAGAGGAAGGAGGATGACGTTGAGAGAAGGAGGAAGGATGATGTTGGCGATGTTGTCAAGGAGGAGGAGTCAGCATGAACCAGACCAGAGCATGCTGTCATAGGCCTTAGAACACGGGCATGGAGGTTCATAGAAGGGGAGCATAGAGTACCAAGGCTCGGGTCATAAAGGAAGACCACCATAGCAGGCCTAAGGATGGTTGAGCAAGAGGCCGGAGGCCTAGCTGGTACTAGTAGCAGGTGTAGTGGGAGAGCAACTTGACCGGCCTGTATGCAAGGAGGTCCAAGCACGTCATGGAGGACCGGCCTGTATGCAAGGAGGTCCAAGCACGTCATGAAGGACCGGCCTGCTGACAAGAGGTCACCGGTAACCGGCAAGCAGCTCATGAGGAGGAGGAGCAGTGTCAATGGAGTCGACACAGCTCATGAGGAGGAGGAGCAGTGTCAATGGAGTCGACACAACTCATGAGGAAGAGGAGCAGTGTCGAAGGAGTCGACATAGCTCATGAGGAGGAGGAGCAGTGTCGAAGGAGTCGACACAGCTCAAGAGGCACAGGGGTGCCAAGTAGGAGAGGCCCCTGAGCAGTACTCGATGAAGAAGGCACTCTCTGGAGAGAGAGCAGGAGCAGCATCGCGGGCGATGCTGTGAAGAGGTATATAACCATGCTTTCTCATCATCATAGGACGAGTGGATCCCCATCCACTCTACTCACCATATAACTAGTCAATACTTAGAAACACAAGTACTCATTAGTTAACAGTCAGCATAGCAGCAATCCATCAAGATTGCTCCTCATCGTAGTGCGTGTGTTGTATCACCACTACCTGACAATCCGTAGGCGCCTATAGCAGGTAGCGGTCCGGATATAGATAGAGCCGAAGGCAGTAGTCCACTGCGGTCCGGGGATCACTCAGCATTAGTCAGCACACTGGACACTCGTGTTGACGCGACCAACCTCACCACCAATCTCATCGACATTCACCAACAACCTCATCATCAACAACAACACCAGACCCTGGTATCACCATAACCTCATAACGACATTGATCGTGCCGAGCCACCTCTGAACGGAGTGTCCACAGAGGTCAGTCGAAACCCACAATAGCTGTCGCACAACGTGACAGTCACCGAGTATCTCGACAGACAGATCTGGGTTTCAGGCGCGAGACCCCTGACATTAGAGTGGATCGTTCAAGCAGCTCCTCACAATCACCATGACGGATCAGGACCTTAACAACAAACTAGACCGGCTACTAGCACTAATGGAAGCTCAGCTAGAGCTGTCCAGACAAAGCCATCGGGAGGAACGACTACGACGAGCTCATCTGACTGAGGAGGCAACGGACCTCTCTCACTCAGAAGACCAAGCAGGAGGAGGAGATGAATCCATGATAGGAGACCCCCATACTCCTACTCCGGCGCCACGATCAAGACCATCAGTCTCATTCAACTTGAATGAGCATGGTGAGACCAACTATGAGAAGTATGCTTCCCCCACCGGGCCGAAGTATCTCAAGACCAGGGACCCCTACAGCAGGAGCCGAGTGGACCCTTATGTTCAGGACCAGGAGGAGGAGGCAAGCATCATGGCAGATCGTTCAAAGCCCATTGCAACCCCGTTCCCAAAGTTCAATCCCCGAGACATCGAGATCTACATTCTAGAAGCCGAAGCTTGGTTTAGGTTCAATCAAGTCTACGAGCACACCCGGATGATCAACCACCTGGGTTCTCAATTGGAAGGCACTGCTCGAGAGTGGTGGACCTCAAAGCTACGCTTTGATAGAGCTAGAGAAGGGAGGCTATTCAATGACTGGCAGTTCTTCACCAAACGACTAGCTGAACAGTTCAACCCCCGGAATGCTAGGATGGAGGCTTACAACAAGCTGCTAGCTCTCAGACTCACTAGTGATGCACCAGGAGCTGCCACACGACACGTAGAGCAGTTCAGAGACTTGGAAGGACAGGTCAACCTAGGAGACAATGAGCTAACCATTGACCTCTTCAGAGGAAGCCTTACTCGCAGCATACAGGAGAAGTTTGAAAGGAATCCACCGAAGGAGCTATGGGAGTGGTTCCGGGAAGTCGAAGAGATCGACCGACAAAGGATGCTGTTGCAGCAGGCCTCAGCTAGACACGTGCAAGCAAACAACGCGTCATCTCCAGGAACTCGGCCAATCCAGAGTTCAATTCCCGTTCGGCGATCAGCTGCGCAACCTTATTCAACTCGATCACCGGTTCCACCTTATCTTCCGTCTCAACCTTATCGATCGCCACAACCTTATCCGACGCGACACTCCACCCAACCCCTTCCCCACTCAAACAACCGTCCTCCTCCCCATCAACCCACTCCAGCTCCAAAAGGAACCCCGGCACCATCAGGAGGCAGCAACAACACCTGCCATTTGTGCAATGGTATCGGACACTGGGCCAGGAACTGCCCTAGCAGGAGGGTAGACTCTCTGGGATCACGACCTATGGGACCAAAGGTCATGGTCGTCACCAAGGACCCCCTCGACGAGGCCTCCGACTCTGGAGATGGCCGCTCAGGCAATACCGAGCCAGAGCAGGAGGACATGGACCTCCGGCCTTATCAGCAGCATATGGACTCGGACTTCGATCACGAGGAGGAGCAAGACGATGATGATGACGAGGGAAACGTCAGTGGGGTGATGCACTGATGGCATGCATTGCTCTACAAACCTCCTCGCCATCACTCTGTATATATCAAGATTGTCAAGTATGTTTCTCGACCAGTGGAGGCAAAGCAGTACTGGAGCTCTCTGGAATGGTTCAAGACCATCCTGCTCGAATACTAGCTGATACCGGTGCTGGTTTGTCCATAGTTTCAGATTCTTTCATTAGTAAGTACCAAATACCAACAAAACCCATAAAAACAAGATCGATCCATGGTGTCACCGGACACCAGTTATCCATCAATAGTGCTGCGAGCATGCAGGTAACTATTGGTAACCACAATCTGGGTGTGGTCGAAGCTTCAGTGGCCAACACTGCCGACTACGACCTCATCCTAGGGTTCACTGAGCTAAGGAAGCTCAAGCCCACCATACGATGGGATACGGGCCAGCTGGAGTTCAAGACTCAGGAGCAGGACCGACCCCCGAAGAGACCCCCTGAAGCAGCAGGAGCAGGGGACCTAACCATGACGAGACCAACCCTTCATGGTAATGAGTTTGTCTCAGCAGAGCGCATACTACGAGCAGCTCTGGAAGATGGACCCATAGGGTTCATGCTGTTGGAGGAACCACCATCATCACTCCCGGCCTTTGGTTTCGTACCTACAGGCACCGACAAAGGAATCGAGATGGAGGTGGAGGTGGACAAGGTGGTGACGGCTGCGGACATACCAAAGCCATACCAACACTTGAGAGATGTGTTCGATGAGGTGGAAGCAGACAAGCTGCCCCATCATACCGAGCATGATCTCCACCTCGAGTTGATAGAAGGAGGCAAGCCACCTCAAGGGCCTCTATACCTTAAGGGACCCAAGGAGATGTCCGAGTTGAGGAGGTACTTGGATGAGAACCTCGAGAAGGGGTTCATAAGACCATCGAAGAGCCCAGCACGATCACCGGTGCTCTTCGTACCAAAAAAGGATGGAGGTCTTAGACTCTGTGTCGACTACAGAGGCCTCAACGAGATCACTATCAAGAACAGAGCACCATTGCCCCTCATCGAGGAGCAGCTGTTCTTGCTCAGGAAGGCAAGGATCTATACCAAGCTAGATCTTAGAGCAGCATACAACCTCATCCGGGTTGCTAAAGGAGATGAATGGAAGACAGCGTTTGGCACTCAGTTGGGACTCTATGAGTACCTAGTGATGCCCTTCGGCCTAGCCAATGCTCCGGCTCACTTCCAATCATTCATCAATGTCATCTTCCGAGACATCATTGGAGTATATGTGGTAGTATACTTGGATGACTTCCTGATCTTCAGTGACACTGAGGAGACACATGTGAAGCATGTCACCGAGGTCCTCACTCGCTTAAGGAGCAACAGGCTCTTTGCTAAGCTGTCCAAGTGTGAGTTCCACACCAAGACGGTGGAGTTCCTGGGTTACATCATCAAGCCAACGGGTATTGAGATGGACCCAGAAAAGATACGGACTGTCAAGGAGTGGCCGATGCCGGCGTCTATCCATGACATCCAACGGTTCCTGGGTTTTGCTAACTTCTACAGGAGATTCATAGCTCACTTCGCTCGGATAGCCAAGCCATTGACATCACTGGTGAAGCCGACGGAACGCTTCAAGAAGTTTGAGTTGCCGGAGGAGGCCCAACAAGCCTTCCATCAGCTCATTCAGGCGTTCACATCAGCAGGAGTGCTTCAGCACTTCGACTACCACCTTCCAACAAGGTTGGAGACCGATGCAAGTGACTTTGCTATAGCAGGAGTTCTCAAGCAGGAGCATGAAGGACGATGGCACCCAGTGGCCTTCTACTCCAGGAAGATGTCTTCTGCCGAGAAGAACTACGAGATCCATGATAAGGAGCTCCTAGCTGTGGTCGCCTGCCTCACTCAGTGGCGACACATGCTAGCTGGACTACCTAGTCAACTAGTCATCCTCACGGACCATGAAGCCCTCAAGTACTTCAAGTCCCAGCGACGCATCACTGGCCGACAGGCTCGATGGGCAATGCTACTAGCAGACTTCGACTTCATCCTGCAGTATCGACCAGGAGACAAAGGTGGTGAACCCGATGCTCTCACCAGAAGGGCAGACATGCAACCAGCTGGTGAAGAGCAGGATCACAATGTGAGGCAACTACTGCCTCCTCGGGTGTTCGCAGAAACAGCGGACCATGACTCGACCCTAGTGGCCCCCATGCTCTCGATGGAGTCCATAGCATCGAGAGGGCTCAAAGACCTGGTCAAGATCTTCCAGCCCTTAGATCAAGAGCTACAGGAGATACACTCGAAGAAGCCCTTCGAGCTCAAGGACGACCTATGGTACAGTGGAGGAAGGTTAGTCATCCCCAAGGTGACCATGCCAGGGAGGACTAACAACCGACACTCAAGGAGTGCCAAGGAAGTAGATGGACAGTCTCTCTCTGTAGAGCACCTGCGATTCATGGTGATGACCCAATGCCATGATGGTGTTACTGCCGGACATGTAGGAAGAGATGCTACCATCAAGGCAGCTCAACGGCACTACTGGTGGCCAAGCATGACAGCTTGGATTGCTGACTATGTAGCTAGCTGTCCAGTTTGTGCGAGGTACAAAGCTCCTCGTCATCGTCCGTATGGCCTTCTACAGCCACTTGCCACACCAGACAGGCCCTGGGGCTCGATATCCCTCGACTTCATTGAAGGACTACCACCTTCAAAGAACTATGACTCCATCCTCGTCATTGTCGATAGGCTGACCAAGTTTGCCATCCTGGCTCCGACCCATAAGACAGTCACGGCCAAACAGACTGCAGTGTTGCTATATGGACACATGGTTAGACTCTTCGGATACCCTGATCACATGGTCTCGGACCGAGGCAGGCAGTTCATATCAGGAGCATGGAAAGCCTTTGCAGAGCAGATGGGTGTGAAGCACTCACTTAGCACGGCTTATCATCCTCAAACTGATGGTCAGACAGAGAGAGTCAATCAGGTCGTGGAGCAGTACCTAAGGATGTACTGCAACTATGAGCAGAACGACTGGGCAGACCTGCTGGACACTGCAGCCTTTGTATACAACAACACGGTCCACAACAGCATTGGTGTCTCACCATTCTTTGCATGCTATGGATGGAACCCCAAAGCTCATCCTGACATCCCTCAACGACTAGGAGTCAATGATCCGGGTCGCTTCGAGTACCTCATGGATGGAAAGGAGCGTTGCAAGTATCTTCAGGAGCAGATCAGGGAGGCACAGCGTCGGACGGTGGACCAGTATAACAGGAAGCACAAGGACATCGAGTTTAAGGTGGGTGATATGGTCTATATCAACCGCCGGAACTGGAAGACCAGGCGACCTACACCAAAGCTGGATACCCGGTTTGCAGGACCCTATCCAGTCCAGGAACGAGTAGGACGCCGAGCATACAGGATCACATTGCCAGCAAACCTTAGGGTTCATGATGTGTTCCATGTCTCCATGCTCGAGCCAGCAAAGACTAGCTCACTTCCTCACAGGACAGACCAGCCAATCATACCATCACTTCCTGATGAAGACCTCGACTTCGAAGTAGAAGCACTCATTGACAAGCGTTCATTCAATGGGACTACGGAGTACAAAGTGCTTTGGAGGGGGTACTCAGAAGAGGCAGCCTCTTGGGAACCCGTCTCAAACCTCGACTGTCCCGACCTCATCCGGGAGTATGAGGTATCAGAGGGGGGAGGAGCGAGCAGAAGAAGGAGGAGAGAGCAGGAGGAGGAGTAGGAGGAGAGGAGCTAGGATGAACCAGACACAGAAGCATGACTAGCCTCAACGGAGCTCGGCTCTTAAGAGGGGGGTAGTGTCATAGGCCTTAGAACACGGGCATGGAGGTTCATAGAAGGGGAGCATAGAGTACCAAGGCTCGGGTCATAAAGGAAGACCACCATAGCAGGCCTAAGGATGGTTGAGCAAGAGGCCGGAGGCCTAGCTGGTACTAGTAGCAGGCGTAGTGGGAGAGCAACTTGACCGGCCTGTATGCAAGGAGGTCCAAGCACGTCATGGAGGACCGGCCTGTATGCAAGGAGGTCCAAGCACGTCATGAAGGACCGGCCTGCTGACAAGAGGTCACCGGTAACCGGCAAGCAGCTCATGAGGAGGAGGAGCAGTGTCAATGGAGTCGACACAGCTCATGAGGAGGAGGAGCAGTGTCAATGGAGTCGACACAACTCATGAGGAAGAGGAGCAGTGTCGAAGGAGTCGACATAGCTCATGAGGAGGAGGAGCAGTGTCGAAGGAGTCGACACAGCTCAAGAGGCACAGGGGTGCCAAGTAGGAGAGGCCCCTGAGCAGTACTCGATGAAGAAGGCACTCTCTGGAGAGAGAGCAGGAGCAGCATCGCGGGCGATGCTGTGAAGAGGTATATAACCATGCTTTCTCATCATCATAGGACGAGTGGATCCCCATCCACTCTACTCACCATATAACTAGTCAATACTTAGAAACACAAGTACTCATTAGTTAACAGTCAGCATAGCAGCAATCCATCAAGATTGCTCCTCATCGTAGTGCGTGTGTTGTATCACCACTACCTGACAATCCGTAGGCGCCTATAGCAGGTAGCGGTCCGGATATAGATAGAGCCGAAGGCAGTAGTCCACTGCGGTCCGGGGATCACTCAGCATTAGTCAGCACACTGGACACTCGTGTTGACGCGACCAACCTCACCACCAATCTCATCGACATTCACCAACAACCTCATCATCAACAACAACACCAGACCCTGGTATCACCATAACCTCATAACGACATTGATCGTGCCGAGCCACCTCTGAACGGAGTGTCCACAGAGGTCAGTCGAAACCCACAATAGCTGTCGCACAACGTGACAGTCACCGAGTATCTCGACAGACAGATCTGGGTTTCAGGCGCGAGACCCCTGACACATGCCTCGACGGAGCTCGGCTCTTAAGAGGGGGGTAGTGTCATGGGCCTGGATGCTCAAGAAGCAGGAGGGTCATGGGTTCATATGGAAGGAGCATAGGTATCGAAGACCTAGTCGACACCAGTAGAGAGCATGGTCGTAGTGCAGTCTCCATGGAGACCATGGACTCCTATGGACTCACATGCAAAGGAGGGCCAAGCACAGCCACGAGGAGGACCAAGCTCAAGGAGCAGGCACAGCCACGAGGAGGACCAAGCTCAAGGAGCAGGCACAGCCACGAAGAGGACCAAGCTCAAGGAGCATGCAGATGGTTACCACTCAGGGGCTCGAGAGACAAGAGCCAAAGGAACTGTCACTGATCAAAGGAGGAGGAGCAGTGTCGAAGGAGTCGACACAGCTCAAGAGGCACAGGGGTGCCAAGCAGGAGAGGCCCCTGAGCAGTACTCGATGAAGAAGGTACTCTCTGGAGAGAGAGCAGGAGCAGCATCGCTGGCGATGCTGAGAAGAGGTATATAACCATGCTTTCTCATCAATAGGTCGAGTGGATCCTCATCCACTCTACTCACCATACAACTAGTCAATACTTTAGAAACACAAGTACTCATTAGTTACAGTCAGCATAGCAGCAATCTATCAAGGTTGCTCCTCATCGTAGTGTGTGTGTTGTATCACCACTACCTGACGTCCGAAGGCGCCCATAGCAGGTTAGCGGTCCGGATATAGATAGAACCGAAGGCAGTAGTCCACTGCGGTCCGGGGATCACTTCAAAGCATCAAGTCAACACACTGGACACTCGTGTTGACGCCACCAACCTTATCACCAACACCATCAACCTCATTATCATTGACATCACCAATCTTATCATCAACACCATCAACCTCATTATCATCGACATCACCAATCTCATCACCAACACCATCAACCTCATCATCATCAACACCCACACCAGACCTTGGTGTCATCATAACATTGATATTGATCGTGCCGAGCTACCCCTGAACGGAGTGTCCACAGAGGTCAGCCGAAACCTACGATAGTATATACAACGAACGCCACCTGCTGTCACTGCACAACTTGATAGTCACCGAGTATCTCGACAGACCGACCTGGGTTTCAGGCGCGAGACCCCTGACAGTATCTTGATTCCTACTGGGGGCTTTAGATATACATCATGGTGTATAGTAGAGTTCAGGTATGCTTGCTTTACGTCAATAGAGTCTATTTCCCAATCTCGTATTGCTGCAACAGTGATCACCCCTTGAATGGATTGGATGGGCGCTACTGGTGCGAAGACCTCTGTGTAGTTGATGCCCTCGCATTGAGTGAAACCTCGTGCCACAAGCCAGGCTTTGAACTTTGTCAGCACGAGGTTCACATCGGTTTTGATCTTGAGTACCCAACATGTGTCAACAGTGTTTGCACCCTTCGGTAGGTCGACAATCTCCCACATGCCCATCACTTCTAATCCATCCAGCTCCTTTCACATGGCCTCCTCCCAGTGCTTTCTGTCTTCTCCACTCATTGCTTCATGTATGGTTGGGTCCAGGTTCTTTCTCCGTTCCGGTTGCATCACTATGAGTCCAAAGGATTTACTGTCAAACTGAGTTTTGGCGATTGATCCTTGTTCCATCACCTCCGCCATTCCTCTGCTTAATCTTTCTTCCGAATCTGTCTCCATATCCATGTATTCTTGTAGTGGCCTTTCATCTGTTTCATCAAATATATTTTCTTTGTTATATCCTAGGTCTTCAAAATCCTCTTCTGTCATCATTGCTGGAGGTGCCTTTGTGTCGACCGGTCGCCACTCCGTTCTGTCTGACCAGCACTTTGATTCCATGAATTTTGCTGAATTGCTCCAGAACATGTTTGGATTATAGTCTGGACTGTAGAATAACCAGCCCTTTCTCTCTAGACTGTATCCCAAGAAAATGGATGTGATGGCTCGCTGGTCCAGTTTCTTGTTGTCCCATTTGACTTTGGGTATGTTTACCCATGCCAGACAACCAAACACTCATAGGAGTCTTAAAGCTCGCTCTGGCGACTTACCGAACATGGCTTGATAAGGGAACTCATTATCAATGCTCAGAGTGAGGTTGATTTTGAATGCCGCAGCTCTGATCGCATATGGCCAAAACCTCTTTGGCAGTCTCCTCTGCATCAGCAATGTTCTCATCTTCTCTCCAAGGGTCCTGTTCATTCTCTCCACCCGCCCATTTTGTTTGCTGTTGTACCCCACGGTGGTTTGCCACTCTATGCCCTTTTCTAATGACCACTCTAATGCATCGTTGCTTTTCCATTCAGTTCCTTGGTCGGAACAGATTGCTTTTAGCTTCTGATCTGTCTGTGTCTCCAGGAATGAAACAATCCTTTTGAGTTGCATGAATGCATGACTCTTTCACACCAATGGCTGTGCATACACATACTTGCTATGATCGTCGATTAGCACCAGAGTGCACATATACTCTGTCACGTGGGATGAGTCTATTATTAGATCGATGTGGATGAGGTCCAGGGGCCCCACAGCTCTTTTGCTGCTACCTTGCCCCATCTGGGCACTTGTGCTCTTGGATTGTATGCATTGCTCACATGTCAGAGCGGTGTTTGGATCCAGATGCATGGTATGCTTATTCTTTAATTTACTCGTGATTGTCCTGGCTTTGTCTCTTCCTGGGTGTCCAAGATGCTCATGCCATAGTTGTTCCTTTGAAACTTTCAGCTCATTCTTAATATGCTCGAACTCCTCATCAACACCTTCAAACAGTGATGCTGACATGACCATCGCGCTTTCTTGCCATGTGTCGCCTTGGAACTCCAAAAGTCCTCGCTTGCAATTCTTTGCAATTTTAAGTGTCATGCCATTTGTTAGAACAATCTGGCCACCAGTTGCGTCCAATGTCACTCATGCTCCTTCATCCGTTAATGAATTTGTTGACAGAAGGTTAACATTAAGATGCTTCACATATAGTACATTTTGGAGGGAGATTTCCCTGTAATCTGTTGATATGCTTGCATCTCCTATAGCTGCCACTTCCAAAACCTTGCTTCTGGCAGTAATTATCTGCTTTTGGCAAGTTCTCGGGTGGATGAGCATGCTATAGTTGTTTACCATGTGATAACTCGCCCCTGAATCCAAGATCCAATGAGCTGTTTCCTTGGTGTTCAGAGGGTCTTGTGAGAGGGTGAGGGAGCACCACACTTCCTATTTAAGTTTGGCGAGGGGGGAGTCTTTGGGGATGGTAACCAAAGCATCACATTGACTAATGCCATGTCCCGGTCGCTTGCAGATCCAGCATCGGATTCAGTGTGATCTTCCTGCATTCTTTGGGCTCGTGTGGCCATTGTCGGCTTCGGCTTCGGTCTCTCCGGTCCATTTGCTTTGATCATTGTTGCCGGCAGTCCGAGCACTGGCTTGGCAGGGGTCAATCTTTTGCATGGGGACACTCTCAACAGTGGTCTGTCGGATGCTTAGTGCGGTGGCGAGGGTGTTGAAATCGATTTGATGGACGGTGGCAACTGTCATGGGCCTGGATGCTCAAGAAGCAGGAGGGTCACTGGTTCATATGGAAGGAGCACAGGTATCGAAGACCTAGTCGATACCAGTAGAGAGCATGGTCGTAGTGCAGTCCCCATGGAGACCATGGACTCCTATGGGCTCACATGCAAAGGAGAACCGAGCCACATGTGAGGAGGGCCAGGCACAGCCACGAGGAGGACCAAGCTCAAGGAGCAGGCACAGCCACGAAGAGGACCAAGCTCAGATGGTTACCACTCAGGGGCTCGAGAGACAAGAGTCATAGGACACTGGCAAGCAGGTCCTGAGGAAGAGGAGCAGTGTCGAAGGAGTCGACACCAGGTCATGAGGAAGAGGAGCAGTGTCGAAGGAGTCGACACCAGGTCATGAGGAGGAGGAGCAGTGTCGAAGGAGGCGACACCACTCAAGAGGCACAGGGGTGCCAAGCAGGAGAGGCCCCTGAGCAGTACTCGATGAAGAAGGTACTCTCTGGAGAGAGAGCAGGAGCAGCATCACTGGTGATGCTGTGAAGAGGTATATAACCATGCTTTCTCATCATCAAAGGTTGAGTGGATCCTCATCCACTCTACTCACCATAACTAGTTATCACTTCAGCATAAGTATATATTAGTTTCAGTCAGCATAGCAGCAATCTATCAAGGTTGCTCCTCATCATAGTGTGTGTGTTGTATCACCACTACCTGATGTCTGAAGGCACCCATAGCAGGTTAGCAGTCTGGATCAAGATAGAACCGAAGGCAGTAGTCCACTGCAGTCCAGGGATCACTTCAAGCGTCAAAGTCAACACACTGGACACTCGTGTTGATGCCACCAATCTTATCACCAACACCATCAACCTCATTATCATCAACACTCATCAACCTTACCACCAATGTCATCAACCTCATCATCATCAACACTCACACCAGACCTTGGTGTCATCATAACTGAAGCATTGATATTGATCATGCCAAGCTACCCCTGAACAGAGTGTCCACAGAGGTCAGCCGAAACCTACGATAGTATATACAACGAATGCCACCTGCTGCCACTGCGCAACTTGATAGTCACCGATACCGAGACAATAGCTGTCGCACAGTTTGATAGTCACCGAGTATCTCGACAGACTGACCTGGGTTTCAGGCGCGAGACCCCTGACAGCAACCGTCTCCTTATACACCGGATGCCGGATCGTGCATTTCTGCAGAGCCGAGAACAATGTATCATTGGCGAATGGTTTGCCGAGGTGGCTACTTTCAGTCTGTATGGACTGGATCTCTTGAATTAGCTTTCTGGCATCCAAGTGAAACATCTTTGTGTCATTGAGCTGCGAGATGAGTGCAAGTCTGTGAGACGTCTTGGTGGCTTCATTTGTGAGACTGTTTTTGATCTTTCTCCATACTTGGTTGAAAGTAAGGTACTCCTTGATTACATCTAGAATGAGGTAGTTTACATTGTATTCTCTGGTAGTGTCGATTGTTCCATGCAGGGCATTGATTAAAGCATCATCGAGGGAGTGGCTCCATTTCGGGTGCTTCTTGTTGTACGTTCCCTCAAGATGTTTCATCACATGGGGCACGGATCGGAGGAAAGATTTCACATGAGTGCTCCAGCTATAATAGCTGCATGATGTGAGCTTTGGCACAGGTTCGAGGAGCTTTGCTAGGGTGCAGAAGTTATATCTCTTGTCATCATTATCGAAGTTGGAGTCAGAATCGGTGTCTTCATCAGCTTCATTGTTGATGGCCTCCGGCTCGTTTTCATTCATGGCATCATTGTCAACCTGAACCTGGGTGTTCTTGCCTTTTCTGCTTCCTTTGATCCTCATTTCAGTGTCTTCTACCATTGTTGTCGATGAGTTTTGGTTAGCTCGGTGATAGCTTCTTCAGACTCTTAATCAATTGAAGATAACAATTAATACTCAGCGATATCGGGGTCATGATCAGACTCCCTTTACCACAGCCATGTGTTCTATGTAATGCTTAGTTTTCATAGTGTGAAACTAAATGACAAACACATATATATACTCCATTCACCACTCTGGTCCTATCCGAGACAGGATGTGTCACTTCATTTGTACTCCTGTGTTGCTATGATACTGAGTGCCACTGTGCTGTTGCCATGACAACAATCATGTACCTCATTGTGCTTCTCGCTTAAGTGAGCCTCCCGTGTCTCGGTGTCTCAGCTGTAACACGTGCATCTTGCTTGAGATGCCGACGCATCTTCAACTACGGTCCTTCCGAAGAGAATCTGGACCCTCTTTTCTTTCGCCGTTCGTTTAAGCTCTCGTCACACGGGCGTGAGAGACTTGCTTGGCCAAGCCAGGGCTGTGCCACTATCAGTAGCTGAGCTCTCATCTTCCGTCATGGAAGCTCATCTAATTCTCCAAGGACTGGCAGCTGACTGTTCCTGTCGGATCACCCGAAATTCGCCTTTGGATTTCAATCTGCCAAAATTACACACCAAAAAAGAGGTCAAGAAAACAGCCGAAAAAAAAAAAAAAAAAAAAAAAAAAAAAACCCCAAAAAACCCCCAAAAAACAGTTGAAGTAGATGAAGCCGCACAAAGCGTGGAGACAGTGAAGGTAGTGCTTACGGCCGAGTAAAAGGCCTGAACATCTTAGCACGGACCACATGTGTCACAACCTACTCAAGGCAAATGCTTTGTTATGCTCCGCAGTCCGCCGCTCTTCTTTTGTATATAAAGACTCCTAGCTCTCTCGCTCTCTCTCTCTCCTACTATCATCATCATCAACCACCGACTCCAACGCACTGACGACTGACTCCAACGCACTGACGAAGGACTTCAACTGATTAAGAGTCTGACACTCAACGCAATGCCGCCATCGACAAGAGCTGGACAGACCGGAAGGGGCGATGATGATCAAACGACCCCAAGCAACGGACAGGAGGAAGGATGGCTCACGCAGGTAGTCAGGATCCTCCAGCTGGCGAACCCAGCACTAACGGCCGAGGAAGCAATCGTACGAGCTATGGGTCTCATCAGCATTAGCAACCAGACCCCGCGCAGGGAAACCGAGAAGATCCCCAAGGAGGTGTCGAGCGCCATTGCGCACATCAAGAAGCTCAGCGACAGCAACTGGCACACTTGGGAACCTACCTTCATCGACTGCCTCCAAAGAGTACATAATGCGAAGGAGACACTGTATGGCATGGTAGCGCCTGGAAACGAGGAATACGACGAAGACTTGGATAAAGCCCTCGTGGGCCTCATCCACGCCTGCTGTGACAACAGTCCAGACAGCCGTATCGACACCTACACTGTCAGGGGAGTGGATGAAGAAGTCCAACTCGGTAGCACACTCTATGCCAAACTCAAGAAGGCACTAACGTTGAACGACGCTGTAAAGCGAGCAGGACTGCAGGATCGTATTCACACAGTGCGATTGCACAATCGAGACGTTGTCAGGCTAGGCAAGGAACTCGATTCGATCTGGAACGATGCGGCACGCCTGGGAAAGCGTTTCGACGAGGACCTCAAGGAATCAACTTTCTATCGCTGCACGGCCCAAGACTGGTTCTATGCCAACACCGTCGACGCACTGAAAACGGCCAGACCAGACTGTAAATATGACGAAGCCTACCACGCACTCGCCAAGAAACAGCAGGATGGTGAGGTCACCGGCCGTATTAGAGGAGCAGCAAGGGTTGCCACAAGTACGGACCAGGCGGAGCAAGGACCCAGAGGCAGGCGCGATCCTCGCAACCCCTCGGCCCCTCCAAAGTGCTACGCTTGTGGAGGACCTAATCACATTGCTCGAAACTGCACGAACACCAACAATAACCCCGCACCTAGTAGAGACGGACCCACCCCCAATCTGGCACAGGAAGTGAACCACTAGGAACTCAGGTGCACCTTTCTAGCAGTCGACAGGGGCGAGCGATCAGCATGCGACACCTGGATCATCGATTCAGGTGCAACCCATCATATGGTAAATGATGAGAGAATGCTGCTCACCTCAACGAACAAGGTCGGCCAAATCAGTACGGCAGGGGACGAAAAGCTTCAGGTGAAGGCTATAGGAGATGCCTCCCTTCGGGTCGGTGAGGCCACCATCCAACTATTGGATGTGCTTTATGTACCGAAACTGAATGCTAACTTATTGTCCGTACAAGGCTTGGTCGAGAATGGTGCACGAGTAATCTTTGATGAGTTTGGAACTACCATAAAGCAGAACGATGGTACCCAAGTACAATTCAAAAGGGACAGAAGACAGGGCCACTTCAAAGTGCGAGGACAAGCACTGGCTTTGGAACTGGAGGAAACACGAGATGGCGTCCCAGAGGACAACCAGAACACAGGAAAACTAGATAATGCCCCAGAGGGCAATAAGGACACGAAGCATCGAGACAGCTACCTATGGCATGAGAGGTTCGGACACCCAGGACGAGACAAAACGAGACAAATCCGGGCCCATTACCTAGGTACCGATGAGGAAATGGAACATGAGTCGAAGCACTGCAATGCGTGCAGTCAAGGAAAACAGACTCGAGCACGGATGAGCCAATCAGAGTCGGAAAGAATGGAGGCACCATTAGAGCTGGTACACGTAGACCTGATGACAGATTTCAAAGGACATGCCAACTACCACTATGCACTAGTTGCTGTGGACGACTTCTCCTCTCTGATCTACGTGGAACCACTCTGCACAAAGAGTGCTGCACTCACGGCGCTGAGAAGGTGGATAGCCAGGATGGAACGGGCAACGGACAGGAAACTCAAAACACTCCGCAGCGACAATGGAGGAGAATGGTGCAGCATAGCAGCCGAAGACTGGCAAACTCAAGAGGGTTTTAAGTGGCAAAAGAGCGTCCCGGGGATCAGCGTCCAAAATGGACGGGCAGAGAGAGCAATCAGATCGGTCCAAGAAAAGATGCGCTCGATGCTGATTGGTCGAGCTTGCCCTAGAGAGTTGTGGCCGTACGCAATCACAGCAGCAGCACACGTGATGAACCTTACCCCGTCAGCCACCAAAACCATTCCCCACGAGGCCTTCTATGGAACCACTGCGCACAAGCTGGCCCAGCAACTGCGAGTCTTCGGATGCTTGGCATGGGTTCATGTTCAACAGAAGGACCAGCAAGGCAAGCACGGAGCTAGAGCAAAGCCAGCCATCATGATTGGGTATGACGACGAACACAAAGCATGGAAGTTTTGCAACCCGGACCAGCCTGCGTCAATTCAATGGAGCAACTCAGCAACGTTCCATGAGGACAAAGGATGGAGTGATCGCCAACAAGAGGCAGTCAGGCCTGTGGTGACCGCGGAGGTCGAGGAGGAGAGTGTCACGCCAGTCATAGTGGAGGAGGAGACCAAATCAGAGGCTGCAGTGGAGGATCTCCTAACAGCCGAAGACAGCACAGTAGGCGCCGCCAACACAGCAATACTGAACCTGGACCCAACACCTAGGGAAGCAATGGATGGTGAGGATGCCCAGCTCTGGAAGGAGGCAATACGAAAGGAGCTAGAAGGACTCGAGGCAATGGGGACTTGGGAGGTGGTGCACCAACCGCCAGGAGTACCACTTGTGGACTCTAAGGTTGTGCTTCGGCTGAAGCTTGATGCTGATGGTGTACCTGTTAAGCACAAGGCACGACTGGTTGCAAGGGGCTTCACACAGAGAGAGGGGATCGACTACCAAGAAACCTTCTCTCCAGTAGCACCCCTTGGAGCGATCAGAGCCATCTTAGCACTAGCAGTGCAGAACAACTGGGAGGTACATGCTCTGGACATCACTATGGCTTACTTGAACTCCACGTTAAAGGAAGCAATCTACATGAAGCCGCCAGAAGGATCAGGAGTAGCACCCGGCAAGGTGTACAAGGTAGTCAAGGGCCTATATGGCCTAAAGCAGTCTGGGCGAGAATGGAATCAGGAGTTCGACAGGTCTTTGCGACGCATGGGATTCTTCCAGGTAGAGTGCGCTCCCTGCATCTACACCAAGGGACAGGGTGAAGATATGGCCATTGTGGTCATCTACGTCGATGATACATTAGTCATAGCACCACGGCTGGAAACGGTCCTAGAGGTTAAGAAGCAGATTGGTCAGAGATGGAAGATGGAAGATAGTGGTGAGGTCTCTCACTTCTTGGGCATCAAAATCAGTCGAGACCGTGCGATGCGCACCATGACGATTGGTCAGTCAGGGTACATCGACCAAGTGCTGGCAAAGCACCTGGACAAACGTACGAAGCCAACCATGGTTCCAATGCAGAGCATACCGGAGGGAACCCTTGTCGCAAGCGCAGCACAACAGAAGGAGTATCCGGTGATTGTTGGCAAGCTGCTCTGGGTTGCCAACAGCACCCGGCCCGACCTTAGTCTCACCGTGGGTGTTCTCGCTAGGCACATGCGTGAACCATCGCAGGAGCATTATCAGGCAGCACAAAGGGTCTTACGCTACCTCGAAAGCACAAGGCAGGTTGGATTGGTTTATAGGGCAAGTGAGTCGCAAGAGCCACTGGTTGCACACAGCGATGCAAACTGGGCAAGCGATGCCACCATACAGAGAAGAAGCACATCGGGGTCAGTGGCGTTAGTGTACGGGAACCCAGTAGCCTGGAAGTCAGCGACACAAAAATGTGTGTCGTTGTCTGCTGTCGAGGCAGAGTTCATTGCAGCCACGGAAGCAACACGTGAGGTGCTCTTCCTCAAGCAGCTGCTGCGCTCAATTGGCATTGCCACAGGCACACCGACGGTCTACTCGGACAACACTGGTTGCATACAGGTTAGTAAGGACCCAGCACAGCACTGGAAGCTTAAGCACATCGACACCAAGTATCACTTCGTCCGTAACAACGTACAAGAGGGAAGGGTGCAGATCAAGTACGTAGACACCACAAGAAACTTGGCAGATGTACTCACGAAACCCATTGGGAGGCAGGCAATGCAGCAAGCAAGATCTGGGCTACACCTGCAAATACCGGCAGCAGTGTACGGAACGGGGTCCCCGAGCTATGCAACAGTGTTGAAGAACGGAGGTCACACCTTGAAGCAACAGCATAATGAACAGGGTACATATGCTGTTGAGGGGGGGAGTTGAAGTAGATGAAGCCGCACAAAGCGTGGAGACAGTGAAGGTAGTGCTTACGGCCGAGTAAAAGGCCTGAACATCTTAGCACGGACCACATGTGTCACAACCTACTCAAGGCAAATGCTTTGTTATGCTCCGCAGTCCGCCGCTCTTCTTTTGTATATAAAGACTCCTAGCTCTCTCGCTCTCTCTCTCTCCTACTATCATCATCATCAACCACCGACTCCAACGCACTGACGACTGACTCCAACGCACTGACGAAGGACTTCAACTAAAACGTCATGTCATGCTGCAACTTGAAGCCACCACAAGGCGTTCGTTTGATGACGATGGATCAGTGTTCGAGCAGAATATGGCAAGGTTATAGCAGCTCTTTGAGCAATACAGTACATAGGGATCGCAGAGGGTCGCGGTCGAAGCAAAGTGATTCGCATCGCATACACATGAGACCCGGGCGCGAGGCTGTGGCAAGAATCTAGGGCGCAGAGAGACACATCTCCATAAACGTATCATAGTTGATCTGCACCCATCCGCTGCGCTGGCTATCATGACGCTGGAACGACTCGGTCAGTGTCTTGATCACCACGCAAGCTCGTACGAATCGATCAAAAGTGATTCCAGGTGGACCTCTCGCTGCTGTCGAACCCATGCCGCCTGCAGCACCACCAGGAGCAGCAGTGTCAGAAACGACTGGAAGAATCAAGGTCAGCAGTTTGGTCAGCTTTGTCATTGTTTTAAAAGATCACTGCCATCAGAGCTAGCAATGCTATACTCACTATACTTCTGCGAAACAATATGCAACAGTTTTGGCGATAGTCTGTAGCCAAATGACTGCAAGGCGTTCGCCAGCTCGTTCTCGTCGATCGATCCGGACCTATCTTGGTCAAAGTGTCGGAAAACGCCCTGCCAGTCCTGAATGTACTTCCACAGGCCGGCAAACTCGTTGAAGCTGATGTGTCCGCTGCGGTCAACGTCAAAGACACTCATCAGCATCTTAACTGTGTCCAGGTCGAAGGGCGTCCAGTCGCCGTTGACAAGCGCTTGACTGAGTTCTTGAGGGTTGATCTGACCGCTGCGGTCTCGGTCCACTGCAATGAACCATTGCCAGAGTTGCGGGTCTGCGCCAGGAGGAGGTCCGGTGGACGCGTTGAATGCCTGTGGGCGACCGTATCCCTGACCAGGAGGTGGAGCGCCGTAGCCCCCTCCACCCTGCTGCTGGCCGGGAGGTGGAGCCCCATATCCGCCCTGTTGCCCGGGAGGCGGAACACCGTATCCACCCTGCTGAGGAGGAGGTGCACCGTATCCTCCTCCGCCACCGTATTGCTGCTGCTGGCCGTACGCGCCTTGCTGTCCTGGAGGAGGAGCTCCGTAGCCGTAGCCGCCGCCGCCGCCGCCGCCGCCGCCTCCACCTCCACCGTATGAGTATTGGCTTGACATGGTGGTTGTCTTTTGATCGCTTATTTCGATATTAAGTTCGTTGCAATCTTGTTTTGAGCGGTGAACTTTCAGTCCTTGGTTGGAGATATCCGTATGGCGTGCGGATGATCAGAAGATAGTGGAGGTGTTAATGAAAGGTGTTGCTGCGCATTCCCGCTCAACATCTCTGCCGAAAGGTGGCCCAAGCTCCCGCAACTATGAAAAATGACGTCAGGCGCCAAAATTACACTCGATCTAACACACTTGACGAAAACGCTTGCCTTTGTTCTTACACAAGTAGCAATGCTTCGCAACATACACATACACATCTGATGCTCTGCTGTATGATGAATCTCTTCTATTCTATGCCGTATCTGCCGGATGTTGGGCTAGTGATGATGACGATGCACACTAGCAGGAGACAAGTTAGCAGCGCCGTTGCTGCGTGTTGCTGACAGGCTGTTTTCCTACAGGCTGCTGTACGAAGGCGAGTCCGACATTGGTGTGCTTCCAAATACACCGGCTCCACCTGGTGATGCTGCTCCACCAACCTTCTCCAGCTGAACTGCTACACTCTCCAAGCCATGGATGCGAGCCTTGAGTAGGTTTTCCACCTTCTTGGCGATTACTTCTGGTGTAGTTGCTCCTGAGGCTGCGCTTACGCCGTTGCTGCTGTGTGTGCTGTGCTCGCTTTCGTAGTTGTGGCAATGGCCGTGACTGTGATTGTGATCGTGGTAGTTGGCGTGACTATGGTCGTGACGATGGCTGTGGTCACGAGAGTAGTCGTGGGCATGGTCGTGCTTGTGCTCATGTCCATGGCTCTGCTTGTGACCATGAGCACTATGTTGATGCTTGTGCTTGTGCTCGTGATCGCGCTCGTGCTGATGCCCGTCAGCAGCAGCAGCAGCAGTAGGCGGCCAAGTAACCTGGACTCGAATCGTCCCCACCAGCGTCTCTGCATCCTTTGGCCAGAACCTGGGAGAGTGATAGGAGGCAACACCCTCGATGCTCCTCAACGCATCCAGCGCCTCGTTCATCTCCTCTTCTCTATGCTCTCCTACCTCCAAGCACAAGATCCTGCCCGACTCCAACACCAGTGGAATCACAGAACCAACAATCATGAAGGCGATGAAAAGCGAAGCAATCGGATCGAACCCAGTCCAGCCAAACTGCCCAATCAGCAGCGTACTGATGATGACTCCTACCGAGCCGAGCGTGTCAGCCATGACGTGCAGATAGACACCCATCATGTTGTGCGAGTGTCCATGTCCGTGTCCGTGTCCGTGATCGTGTGCATGTGCATGTCCATGATCGTGTCCATGCCCGTGCGAATGACCATGATGATGATGATGATGTCCACCAGTAGCCCACATACCGAACAAGTTGACCGCTAAACCCATACTACTGACTACTAGCAGCTGTGTGTTATTGTTCATCACCGGTGGCTCGATGATCCTCTGCACCGCCTCGAAGACGATAAATACCGAGATCAAGATCAAGAAGATACCATTAGCGAATCCACTCAACGTCTCCACCCTCCCATAGCCATATGTAAATGTCGAGTCGGTAGGCCAGGTGGCCATGACACTGGCAAACAGGCCCATACCGATGGCTGCGCAGTCGAAGAACATGTGGATGGCGTCACTGATCAAACCTAAACTGTTGGTCCAGACTCCCCAGAGGAGTTGAACGCCCATGAAGGCGAGATTAACGACAAGAAATTGGAAGATCTTGCGTGAATCTGGGTTGGCAAGGATGATCTTGATGGTTCGTTTGGTGGCTGCGTTGGCCGAGGTGAAGGAATCGACTAGTTCTTGTAGAGCTGAGACGTCCGATGAGCTGGTCGATACTGCCTTGCCCTGGTGGTCCTCGCCAATGCTGGGCGAAGATGAGGCGGTAAAGCGTGTAGAAATGTGATCAGGCGAGTTCTTGAGGATCGAGCGCAGCGTTTGGCCGACCAGCAAGGCGACACCTACTTGGGACCAGTGAGGCTTGTATCCGAACCCAACGAATCCGATGGCAAACGAGGCAAGCACAGCAATCGGCCAGCCGTGGGCAACTCTATCCTTGGTAGAGGCGTGCGACTCGATCGAAGTGCTAACGAGTGGCTCAAGGATCAAGAAGCCGAAGCAGATAGCGAGATAAGCGGGGAGATGGCTGAAGCTGCCTCCCTCTCCACTGTTCGATGAGGGTAGGATGGAGGAGATTTCTGGGAAAGTCGAAAAGCCGAACAGCTTGAGCAAGAGCGACGAGGGTACTGCAAAAGCAGCAGCAACAATGGTAGCCACTATTCCTGCTCTTCTTCGTCCGCCCGTGTCTCTGCTAGCACTTAGCAGTGCGCTCTCTTTCTCGATCGTCAGCAATGCAAAGATAAGCAGATAGGCATGACCAGTGAGCGTACCAAAGACGCTAAAGTTGGCCGCTGATGCCTCCACGGCTGCTGAAGCTGCTCTCAACTGCGAGGGCGAAGCTAGACCGGCCGGTCTGTTCCTCCTCAAGCTATCTGGCAGATCGGAATCTGTATACATGTCCAAGATGTGTCCTGAATAGTCCAAAGGCCCTCGTGAAGGCGAGTCGAGGTTCGAGACAGAGGAAAGGAAAGAGATGGCAAGGGCGAAAAGTGTCGTGTAGCCACCGTAGCTTCGACCGCTCAAGCTCTTTGCAAGGTCTACCGCCCATATCTCGCAGTGTTGGGTAAAGATGATGACGTTGACTGCGTCGAGTTTGCGGACAGCCATGAGCCAGACGAGGAGCTGGACGAATGTGATTGCTGCAAGGGTGCAGAGACGGCGCTTATCGACTTGTTTGACTGCTGGAGCCCATTGCCATGCCTTGAACCAGACACCTTGTAAGACGGCGGCGATGAGGAAAGCGAATGTTGCGATTGCCCAAGAGCTCGTGCTGCTCTTCCTATCCCTACTCAATCCCGATGGTTCTGTGAAAGATAGCTGGGAGTGTATCGATTCGCTGTGAGGCCAAGATAGCCAGGATCGCACAAGCAGAGCTGCTGATGCCAGAAGAGTCTTGTTGAGCAGCAAGCCGAGTAAAAGATCAGTCGGGATGGGGAAACCTAGCATTGAGCTCGAGCCGCCGCTAGCAGAAGAACGGGAAGGTCGAGTAGGAGATGCGACCGGCTCCATGCGCACCTTTGGGCGAGTGCGCGAATCTGGTGTGCTGTAGGATGACTGCATGGTGACGAAGCGCACCTCAGCTCAGATCGCGAGTAGCTGAGCATCCACTGGGACCAGCTCAGTATCGTCGAAAGTGTTGTGATGGTTTGAGCAGGAAATGGCGATTCGCAAGTCGATCATGTCTTGACCGCTATCGCAAGTCTTGGCTTCCTGGAACAAGTTGATCCGAACACCGTGCGTCAAAAGCCTACTTCTCTGTGTGTGTGTGTGTGTGTGTGTGTGTGTGTGTGTGTGTGTAACCCTAACCCTAACCCAGTCATTCAGGAAGGAAGACGGTGAAGGGCCTTAACCGTCAGGGTCCTCACACTCACACTATCTGAGCCTGTCAATTTCGGCGGCGTAACATGGAAAAATCTCGAGGTACAGAATGCAGCTTCATCTGTTGTATTCGATGCGGACATGTGAGAGCTTCGAGTCCAGCAGACAAAGATTCAGTTGAAGATTGCAGATAAAACGCGACCGATTGGAGCCACTAGCAAGCTCTTGTATGCAGTTGTATTACTTCTTGAATGCTTATCTTATATTCATGTGATGCTATATACATGGTCATATATATACTTAGCAATCTCCTTCAGCCTGTGCAAATGTGTGATGTGTCACTCCTTGTGTTACTCCTGTGTTGTCACCTCTTGTGCATTATTGTAACAACTCCTATGCATCCCACATGTGTCGCCACCTGTATGCACCTTTACCTAATTATTAGATCGCTTAAATTCTGTGGACCCCATATGATTCTGCGGACCCCGTGAATCCTGTTGGGATGCTGATGCATCTTCAACTCCCCCCTTCAACAGCATTACCAACCCTAACAACTGAGATAGCCGGGATGTTGCTAAACCCTTCAATGGTTTTGTTAAAATGTCTGCAACATTGTCTGCTGTTCCAACAAATTCTATCTCTATCTCCCCATCCTGAACATGATCCCTAATGAAATGATATCTGGTGTCTATGTGTTTCAATTTCCAGTGCTTTGCCAGATCCTTACTCACCTGTATACATCCCTGACTATCTGAATGTAAGACTGGATGGGCAGCGTTGATTTCTAAGTCCCTGAGGAGGTATGAAAAGAAGAGTGCCTCTCTCACTGCTTCTGAGGCAGCAACAAACTCAGCTTCCACTGCTGATAGTGCCACACATTTTTGGACATGTGACTTCCAGCTAACTGGGCACCCATATATATATGTCATTGCTCCCGATGTGCTTCTCCATCCATTTGTTGGGTCTGAGGCCCAATTGGTGTCACTATACATGACAATCAGTTGCTTCAAGTGTTCACTTGATCTGCTCCCAAGGTTCAGTTGGTAGTCACTGGTTTGGTTGAGATACTTCATCAAGTGTATAGCAGCCTTCCATGTGCTGTTGGTTGGGGTCGACATATATCTTGTCAGTATTCCCACTGTGAACAATATGTCGGGTCGTGTGGTATTTGCTACCCATAACAATTGTCCCACCAGTTCTTGGTATTGTTTTGCCTCTAGGGAATCACATTTATCGTTCCCTATGGCATTAGGTATCTCTGGCATTGGTACCCATGATTTCTGATCCATCGACTGTAACCACTTACTCACCATGGCCTTGGTGTAAGTGGTCAAATCAATTGACATCTCCCTTCTTGTCCTGTTTTGTTTGATGTTGATGCCGAGGAACTCTTTCACTGGGCCATTATCTTCTGTTCCCCACTTGGACATTATCTCCCTTTTGGTGTGATCCACCTCCTTATGACTGGGCGAGGCTATGAGCATGTCATCAACATAGGCTGTGATAATAGTTAGGTTACTTCCAGTTCCTCTTGAATACAGACAAGGTGCACTCAGCATGCAGTGAAAGTCTATGCTCCATAGGTACGAATCCAACTCTATGTTCCATTCTCGCCCTGATTGTTTCAGTCTGTACAGTCCTTTTACTAGCTTCAAGGCCTTTCCAGGTGGGATTCTCATTCCAAGCAGCAGTTTTAAGAATACATCATGATGTAGCATTGAGTTTAGATACGCTTGCTTGACATCAATACTATCTACTTCCCAGTCACAAACCGCTGCTATGGCTAAGACTCCTCGGATTGACTGAATGGGTGCGATGGGCGCAAACACTTCAGTGTAGTCTATACCTTCTCTTTGTGTGAAACCTCTCACCACCAGCCTTGCTTTAAACTTCGTTGGGATGAGATTTGCATCTGTTTTGATTTTTAAAACCCAATGTGTGTTGACGGCGTGCATACCTTTGGGGAGATCGACGATTTCCCATGTATCCATGGCTTTCAAACCATCCAGTTCTTTATGCATTGCTTCCTCCCAATGTTTCCTGTCCTCTCCTGACAATGCTTTGCTAACTGTTGGGTCTAGGTTTCTTCTCTTTCGATTGTTTATTGCCATGAGTCCATAGTGATTGCTATTGGTCCATGTGTCATCAAGCGTGTTGGTGTCGGTATCGGCCCCGCATTCTATTGCCTTTGTTGTATCTTCACCCAGATCTTCTTCGTCGTTCAATCCATCTGTTTCTTTCATATTCATGTACTCATTCAGCAGCTCCTCCTCTTGTTCATCGAAGAGGTTCATATCTGTGTATCCAAGATCGTCTATGTCTCCTTCGTCTGCTAGTACTGGTGGTGGGTGTATGTTTACTGGTTTCCACTCTGTTTTGTCGGACCAGCATTTTGTCTCCATGAATCTAGCTGAGTTGCTCCAAAAGATGTTTGGGCTGTAGTCCGGGCTGTAGAAGAGCCATCCTTTTCTTTCCAGACTATACCCCAAGAAGATAGATGCTACTGCTCATTGATCTAACTTTTTATTATCTCTTTTGACCTTGGGGACGTTTACCCATGCTAAACATCCAAAAATGCATAGGAGTCTTATGAGTTGCTCCAGCGACTTCCCAAACATGACTTGGTATGGGAACTCACCATCAATGCTCGGAATGAGGTTCATTTTGAAGGCTGCGGTCCAGATTGCATAGGGCCAGAAGCTCTTCGGTAACCTCCTTTGCATGAGCAGCATTTGCATCTTCTCACCCAAGCTTCTGTTCATTCTCTCCACATGTCCATTCTGTCTGCTATTGTACCCTACTGTCATTTGCCATTCAATGCCCTTTTCATATGCCCACTGGAGTGTGTCATTGCTTCTCCATTCTGTACCTTGGTCAGATCGTATTGCTTTCAGATTCTTTCCCGTCTGTGTCTCAAGATATGATATGATTGTTTTGAGCTTGGGAAATGTGTGACTCTTTCGTAGCAAAGGCTGCGCGTATACATACTTGCTGTAGTTATCAACCAGTACCAATGTGCATGTGTATTCCGTTGTGTGTGACGAGTCGACTATCAAGTCGATGTGGATGAGATCAAGTGGAGAGACAGATTTCTCTCCACTACCTTGCCCCATTCGGGCTGCTGTGCTTTTGGATCGGATGCATGGCTCACACATTGTAGCAGTCCCTGGGTTTAGGTCTGCTGTGTCATTTTCTCCTAAGCAGTTGATGATGGCCCTCATCTTATCTCGACCTGGATGTCCCAGACATTCATGCCATAGTTGTTGTTCGGATATTTTGGCTTTGTTCTCAATATGCTCGAAATCTTCATCAACACCTTCAAATAATGACGTTGATGTGATCATTGCATTTTCCTTCCATGTGTTGCCTTGAAACTCCAACAGTCCTCGCTTGCGATTCTTGGATATTTTGAGTAGCATACCATTTGCTAAGTGTATTTGCCCTCTGGTTGAGTCTAGTGTCACTCATGCTCCTTCGTCTGTCAGAGAATTTGTTGACAATAGGTTAACATTGAGATGCTGAACATACAATACATTTTGGAGAAAAACATCTCCATGACTTGTTGATATGCTAGCATCCCCTATAGCAGTCGCTTCCAGAACCTCGCTTCCAGCAGTGAATACGCGCTTTCGGCAGGTTCTCAGACTAATGAGCATGCTATAGTTGTTTACCATATGATAGCTGGTGCCCAAATCTAGGATCCAATGATGGTTCCCTTTTGAATCTGGGTGGCTCTGCCAACTTGGTGCGAAAGAGCACCAGGCTTCCTATTTGGGCCTGGCGAAGGGGGAATTTTCTGGTATGGTCACCGATGCATCACATTGACTGATCCCATGTCCAGGCCTCTTGCAGATCCAACATCTGAGCCTTCAAGGTCTAGTGGCGACTTTGGTGCTGGTGCTGTCAGTGTCCTTTTTGTCTTTCTCCTCCTTTCCAGGTGTCTCATCCTGGTCATCACTGCTGATGACTCTGGCACTTGCTTGACAGGGGTCAACTCTCAGGGTGGGGTTGTTCTCAATCACCAACTGCTGAATAGATAGGGTGGTGGCGAGGGTGTTAAAACTAAGCTGGCTGACAGTGGTGATGGTCTCCTTGTACATTGGGTGTTGGATAGTGCACTTTTGTAGATTATGTCATGGGCCTGGATGCTCAAGAAGCAGGAGGGTCATGGGTTCATATGGAAGGAGCACAGGTATCGAAGACCTAGTCGACACCAGTAGAGAGCATGGTCGTAGTGCAGTCTCCATGGAGACCATGGACTCCTATGGACTCACATGCAAAGGAGGGCCAAGCACAGCCACGAGGAGGACCAAGCTCAAGGAGCAGGCACAGCCACGAGGAGGACCAAGCTCAAGGAGCATGCAGATGGTTACCATTCAGGGGCTCGAGAGACAGGAAGTCGACACAGGTCATGAGGAGGAGGAGCAGTGTCGAAGGAGTCGACACCACTCAAGAGGAACAGGGGTGCCAAGCAGGAGAGGCCCCTGAGCAGTACTCGATGAAGAAAGTACTCTCTGGAGAGAGAGAGCAGGAGCAGCATCGCTGGCGATGCTGTGAAGAGGTATATAACCATGCTTTCTCATCATCATAGGTCGAGTGGATCCTCATCCACTCTACTCACCATAACTAGTTATCACTTCAGCATAAGTATACATTAGTTTCAGTCAGCATAGCAGCAATCTATCAAGGTTGCTCCTCATCGTAGTGTGTGTGTTGTATCACCACTACCTGACGTCCGAAGGCGCCCATAGCAGGTTAGCGGTCCGGATATAGATAGAACCGAAGGCAGTAGTCCACTGCGGTCCGGGGATCACTTCAAGCATCAAGTCAACACACTGGACACTCGTGTTGACGCCACCAACCTTATCACCAACACCATCAACCTCATTATCATCGACATCACCAATCCCATCACCAACACCATCAACCTCATCATCATCAACACTCACACCAGACCTTGGTGTCTTCATAACATTGATATCGATCGTGCCGAGCTACCCCTGAACGGAGTGTCCACAGAGGTCAGCCGAAACCTACGATAGTATATACCACGAACGCCACCGCTGTCACTGCACAACTCGATAGTCACCGATACCGAGACAATAGCTGTCGCACAGTTTGATAGTCACCGAGTATCTCGACAGACGGACCTGGGTTTCAGGCGCGAGACCCCTGACATTAGAGTGGATCGTTCAAGCAGCTCCTCACGATCACCATGACGGACCCAGACCTCAACAATAAGCTCGATAGACTACTCACTCTATTGGAAGCACAGCTAGAGCTTACCAGACAGGGTCATCGAGAGGAACGATTACAACGAGCTCACCTGAGCAGGGAGGAGACAATGGACCTCTCTCACTCAGAAGACCAAGCAGGAGGAGGAGATGAGTCTATGATAGGAGACCCACATACTCCTACTCCAGCTCCACGACCAAGACGATCAGTCTCATTCAACCTGGATGAGCAGGAGGACATCAACTACGAGAAGTATGCTTCACCTACTGGGCCAAGATATGTCAAGACTAAGCTGGACCCCTACAGCAGGACTAGGACGGACCCTTACCCCCTGGACCACGAGGAGGATACCAGCATCATGGCAGAGCTTAACCGGTCAAAGCCCATTGCCACCCCCTTTCCAAAGTTCAATCCCCGAGACATGGAGATCTTCATTCTAGAAGCCGAAGCATGGTTTAAGTTCAACCAGGTGTATGAGCAGTCTAGGATGATCAATCACATGGGTGCTCAACTGGAAGGGACAGCAAGAGAGTGGTGGACCTCCAAGCTCCGTATTGATAGAGCTAGAGAAGGAAGGTTGTTCAATGATTGGCACTACTTCACAGAGCGACTGTCAGAGCAGTTCAACCCATGCAATGCTAGGATGGAGGCATACAACAAGCTGTTGGCTCTCAGACTCACAAGTGATACTCCTGGTACCGCCACACGTCATGTAGAGCGGTTCAGAGACTTGGAAGGACAGGTCAACCTAGATGACAACGAGCTAGTGATTGATCTCTTCAGAGGTAGTCTCACTCGCAGCATACAGGAGAAGTTCGAGAGGAATCCACCTGGGAAGAGATGGGAGTGGTATCGAGAGGTTGAGGAGATCGATCGACAGAGGATGCTACTACAGCAGTCCTCGGCTAGACACTCACTCCCAAATGCCACATCACCTCCACTAAGAACTGGGTCTCGGCCAAATCAAAGTTCGATCCCCATCCGACAACCCACTCAAACTTATCCAGCTCGATCACCATCACAAGCAACTACACAAGCAACTACACAAGCAACTATACAAAACCTAAACCGACCCCTTCCTCACCATCCCACCCAACCCTCGAAGCAAGGAAGCCCTGCTCCATCAGGTATCAACACCTGTCATGTATGCAAAGGTATCGGCCATTGGGCCAAAGACTGCCCCAGCAGGAGGGTAGACCCTCTTAGCTCTCGACCCATGGGACCAAAGGTTATGGTCACCACAGCAGACCCCTTCGAGGAGGCCACCGACTCAGGAGATGGCCTCACAGGCAGCACTGAGATGGGTGACCCCGAGGCCATGGACCTCAGCTCATACCAGCAACCCATGGACCTCGATCACGAGGAGGAGCACGATGATGATGACGACGAGGGAAACGTCAGTGGGGTGATGCACTGATGGCATGCATTGCTCTACAAACCTCCTCGCCATCACTCTGTATATATCAAGATTGTCAAGTATGTTTCTCTACCAGTGGAGGCAAAGCAGTACTGGAGCTCTCTGGAATGGTTCAAGACCATCCTGCTCGGATACTAGCTGATACCGGTGCTGGTTTGTCCATAGTCTCAGATTCTTTCATTAGTAAGTACCAAATACCCACAAAACCCATAAAAACAAGATCGATCCATGGTGTCACCGGGCACCAACTCTCCATCAATAGTTCTGCGAGCATACAGGTATCTATTGGTACACACAATCTGGGTGTGGTCGAAGCTTCAGTGGCCGACACTGCAGACTATGACCTCATCCTGGGGTTCACTGAGCTACGGAGGCTCAAACCCACCATACAATGGGATACGGGCCAGCTGGAGTTCAAGACTCAGGAGCAGGACCGACCCCCTAGGAGACCCCCTAGGAGACCCCCTGAAGCAGCAAGAGCAGGGGACCTAACCATGAGGAGACCAACCCTCCATGGTAACGAGTTTGTCTCAGCAGAGCGCATACTACGAGCAGCTCTGGAAGATGGACCCATAGGGTTCATGCTGTTAGAGGAGCCACCATCATCACTCCCAGCCTTTGGTTTTGTACCTACAGGCGCAGACAAAGGAGTCGAGATGGAGGTGGAGGTAGATAAGGTGGTGACGGCTGCAGACATACCAAAGCCATACCAACACCTGCGAGATGTGTTTGATGAGGTGGAAGCAGACAAGCTGCCCCATCATACCGAGCATGATCTCCACCTCGAGTTGATAGAAGGAGGTAAGCCACCTCAAGGGCCCCTATACCTTAAGGGACCCAAGGAGATGTCCGAGTTAAGGAGATACTTGGATGAGAACCTCGAGAAGGGGTTCATAAGACCATCGAAGAGCCCGGCACGATCACCAGTGCTCTTCGTACCAAAGAAGGATGGAGGTCTCAGACTCTGTGTGGACTACAGAGGTCTCAACGAGATCACTGTCAAGAACAGGGCACCATTGCCCCTCATCGAGGAGCAGCTGTTCTTACTCAGGAAGGCAAGGATCTATACCAAGCTAGACCTTAGAGCAGCATACAACCTCATCCGGATTGCTAAAGGAGATGAATGGAAGACAGCTTTTGGCACTCAGTTGGGACTCTATGAGTACCTAGTGATGCCCTTTGGCCTAGCCAATGCTCCGGCTCACTTCCAGTCATTCATCAATGACATCTTCCGAGACATCATTGGAGTATATGTAGTGGTATACTTAGATGACTTCCTGATCTTCAGTGACACTGAAGAGGTACATGTGAAGCATGTCACCGAGGTCCTCACTCGCTTAAGGAGCAACAGGCTCTTTGCTAAGCTGTCGAAGTGTGAGTTCCACACCAAGACAGTCGAGTTCCTGGGGTACATCATCAAGCCAACGGGCATAGAGATGGACCCAGAAAAGGTGCGCACTGTCAAGGAGTGGCCAATGCCAGAGTCAATCCATGACATCCAGAGGTTCCTGGGTTTTGCCAACTTCTATCGAAGGTTCATAGCCCACTTTGCTCGCATAGCCAAGCCCTTGACAGCACTGGTAAAGCCTATAGAACGGTTCAAGAAGCTCGAGCTACCAGAGGAGGCCCAACAGGCCTTCCACAAGCTCATCCAGGCCTTCACATCAGCAGGAGTGCTTCAGCACTTCGACTACCACCTTCCAACAAGGTTGGAGACTGATGCAAGTGACTTTGCTATAGCAGGAGTGCTCAAGCAGGAGCATGAAGGACGATGGCATCCAGTGGCCTTCTACTCTAGGAAGATGTCTTCTGCCGAGAAGAACTATGAGATCCATGATAAGGAGCTCCTAGCTGTGGTCGCCTGCCTCACTCAGTGGCGACACATGCTAGCTGGACTACCGAACCAACTGGTCATCCTCACTGACCATGAAGCCCTCAAGTACTTCAAGTCACAGAGACGCATCACAGGACGACAAGCTCGATGGGCAATACTACTAGCAGACTTCGACTTCATATTGCAGTATCGACCAGGAGACAAAGGGGGTGAGCCCGATGCTCTCACCAGAAGGACAGACATGCAACCAGCCGGTGAAGAGCAGGATCACAATGTAAGGCAACTACTGCCTCCTCGAGTGTTCAAGGAGACAGCAGACCATGACTCGCTCCTAGTGGCCCCCATGATCTCGATGGAGTCCATAGCATCAAAAGGTCTCAAAGACCTGGTCAAGATCTTCCAGCCTTTAGACCAAGAGCTACAGGAGATACATAGGAAGAAGCCTTTCGAACTCAAGGATGACCTATGGTACAGTGGAGGAAGGTTGGTTATCCCCAAGGTGATCATGCCAGGGAGGACCAACAACCGACACTCAAGGAGTGCCAAAGAGGTAGATGGACAGTCTCTCTCTGTAGAGCATCTGCGATTCATGGTGATGACCCAATGTCATGATGGTATCACTGCTGGACACGTAGGAAGAGATGCTACCATCAAGGCAGCTCAACGACATTACTGGTGGCCAAACATGACAGCTTGGATTGCAGACTATGTAGCAAGTTGTCCTGTATGTGCTAGGTACAAAGCTCCTCGTCATCGTCCATATGGTTTGCTACAGCCACTAGCAACCCCAGACAGGCCCTGGGGCTCCATATCCCTCGACTTCATTGAAGGACTACCACCATCAAAGAAGTATGACTCCAAGACCTATGACTCTATCCTAGTCATCGTCGACAGGTTAACCAAGTTTGCCATACTAGCTCCAACCCATAAGACAGTCACGGCCAAACAGACTGCAGTATTGCTATATGGACACATGGTTAGACTCTTTGGATATCCAGATCACATGGTCTCGGACCGAGGCAGGCAGTTCATATCAGGAGCATGGAAGGCATTTGCAGAGCAAATGGGTGTGAAGCACTCACTTAGCACGGCCTACCATCCTCAAACTGATGGTCAGACAGAGAGAGTCAATCAGGTCATAGAGCAATACCTCAGGATGTACTGCAACTATGAGCAGAATGACTGGGCCAACCTGCTGGACACTGCGGCCTTTGTATACAACAACACGGTCCACAACAGCATTGGTGTCTCACCATTCTTTGCATGCTATGGATGGAACCCCAAAGCTCATCCTGACATCCCTCAACGACTAGGAGTCAATGATCCAGGTCGCTTCGAGTACCTCATGGATGGAAAGGAGCGTTGCAAGTACCTCCAGGAGCAGATCAGAGAGGCACAACGTAGATCAGTAGACCAGTATAACAGGAAGCACAAGGACATCGAGTTTAAGGTGGGTGATATGGTCTATATCAACCGACGAAACTGGAAGACAAGGAGACCCACACCCAAGTTAGACACCCGGTTTGCAGGACCCTACCCAGTTCAGGAACGGGTAGGACGCCGAGCTTATCGAATCACATTGCCAGCAAACCTTAGAGTGCATGATGTGTTCCATGTCTCCATGCTCGAGCCAGCAAGAACAAGCTCTCTTCCTCAACGTGCGGAACAGCCCACCATACCATCACTTCCAGATGAGGACCTCGATTTCGAAGTCGAAGCACTCATCGACAAGCGTTCACACAATGGGACTACGGAGTACAAGGTGTTGTGGAGAGGGTACTCAGAGGAAGCTGCTTCATGGGAACCAGTAGAGAACCTCAACTGTCCCGACCTCATCCAGGAGTATGAGGTGTCGGAGGGGGGACGAGTGAGTAGACAGAGTAGAGAAAGGAGGAGAGAACAGGAGGAGTAGAGAGAGGAAGAGGAAGGAGGATGACGTTGAGAGAAGGAGGAAGGATGATGTTGGCGACGTTGTCAAGAAGGAGGAGTCAGCATGAACAGAGTATGCCTCGACGGAGCTCGGCTCTTAAGAGGGGGGTAGTGTCATGGGCCTGGATGCTCAAGAAGCAGGAGGGTCATGGGTTCATATGGAAGGAGCACAGGTATCGAAGACCTAGTCGACACCAGTAGAGAGCATGGTCGTAGTGCAGTCTCCATGGAGACCATGGACTCCTATGGACTCACATGCAAAGGAGGGCCAAGCACAGCCACGAGGAGGACCAAGCTCAAGGAGCAGGCACAGCCACGAGGAGGACCAAGCTCAAGGAGCATGCAGATGGTTACCATTCAGGGGCTCGAGAGACAGGAAGTCGACACAGGTCATGAGGAGGAGGAGCAGTGTCGAAGGAGTCGACACCACTCAAGAGGAACAGGGGTGCCAAGCAGGAGAGGCCCCTGAGCAGTACTCGATGAAGAAAGTACTCTCTGGAGAGAGAGAGCAGGAGCAGCATCGCTGGCGATGCTGTGAAGAGGTATATAACCATGCTTTCTCATCATCATAGGTCGAGTGGATCCTCATCCACTCTACTCACCATAACTAGTTATCACTTCAGCATAAGTATACATTAGTTTCAGTCAGCATAGCAGCAATCTATCAAGGTTGCTCCTCATCGTAGTGTGTGTGTTGTATCACCACTACCTGACGTCCGAAGGCGCCCATAGCAGGTTAGCGGTCCGGATATAGATAGAACCGAAGGCAGTAGTCCACTGCGGTCCGGGGATCACTTCAAGCATCAAGTCAACACACTGGACACTCGTGTTGACGCCACCAACCTTATCACCAACACCATCAACCTCATTATCATCGACATCACCAATCCCATCACCAACACCATCAACCTCATCATCATCAACACTCACACCAGACCTTGGTGTCTTCATAACATTGATATCGATCGTGCCGAGCTACCCCTGAACGGAGTGTCCACAGAGGTCAGCCGAAACCTACGATAGTATATACCACGAACGCCACCGCTGTCACTGCACAACTCGATAGTCACCGATACCGAGACAATAGCTGTCGCACAGTTTGATAGTCACCGAGTATCTCGACAGACGGACCTGGGTTTCAGGCGCGAGACCCCTGACAGATTAGAGAACAGAGTATTGTCAGTGAATGGCTTTCCCAGTAAGCTGCTCTCTGTTTGGATGGTCCTTATTTCCTGGATAAGCTTTTGTACGTCTGAGTTGTGCATCCTTAGTTCGCCTAGCTGAGCGATCAATGCAATACAATGAGATATGGCAGTGGCCTCATTGGTGAGTCCATTTTCAATCTTCTTCCATACATGATGGAACGTATGGTGCTCCCTGATGATGTCAAGAATCAAGTAATTGATATTGTGCTCTCCAGTGGTGTCAATGGTACTGCATAATGCATTTGTCAAAGCATCATCGAATGTGCGGTTCCATTTGGGATGTTTCTTGTTGTATGCTCCATCAAGATGCTTCATGGCGTGAGGAATACATCATAGAAAGGACTTGATATGGGCATTCCAACTATAATAGTTGTGCGATGTGAGTTTTGGGATGGGCTCAAGTAGTTTTGCTAGAGTACAAAAATTGTATGGCTTTCTATTGTTGTCGTGATCTGAGTCAGAGTCAGTTTCTTCCACAGCATCATCATCAATCACCTCAGTGTCTGACTTGTTGGTGGCCTCATTGTCAATGGCTCATGGTTGCATTGCCTTTCCTTTTCTTCCTCCTTTGGCCTTGCTTGTGACAGCTTGAGCTTCGGCCTCTTGTACCATGTTGTCGATGGTCCCAGTTGGCTTAGTCGGTAGAGCTTCAGACTCTTAATCAGTTGAAGATTGCAGATAAAACATGACCGATCAGAGCCACTAGCAAGCTCTCATACACAGTCGTATTACTTCTTGAATGCTTATCTTATATTCATGTGATGCTATATACATGGTCATATATATACTTAGCAATCTCCTTCAGCCTGTGCAAATGTGTGATGTGTCACTCCTCGTGTTACTCCTGTGTTGTCGCCTCTTGTGCATTATTGTAACAACTCCTATGCATCCCACATGTGTCGCCACCTGTATGCACCTTTACCTAATTATTAGATCACTTAAATTCTGTGGACCCCGTATGATTCCACAGACCCCGTGAATCCCGTTGGGATGCTGACGCATCTTCAACTGATTCACCACACTCACAAAGGGCAGAATCAAAAACCCAGAGCAGAGCAGAGCAGAGCAAAAGGTGAGAGGCGAGGTATATCCAATCCGGTTTGTAGCAATGTAATCCCGTGTAACAAAAGAGACGAAAAAGCAGCAGAGGTGATTGTGTGTAAAGTACATCAAGCGGAACACAAAAAAAAAATTAGTGACAAGTAGCAATGCTTTTTAGGTAAGCCTAGCCGCTTAGGGAGCAAGGGCCTTCTCCGAGCGACCAAGGTCAGAGTTCTCAACAGCGTGGACCTGGCCGGCATCGAGCTGGTTGAGGGCATCCTCCTCGGCGTCGAGCTTCCTGAAGGCAAAGCAGAAGCCGATGAAGCCGGCAAAGGCAAGGCAGGCAAAGACGGTGTAGTTCCAGACCAGGTTGGGGTCTTCCGAGAGGGCAATGAATGCCTGCTGGAGAGCAGCAGCGATGGCCGAGGTGAAGAGGAACATGGACATGACGAGCGAACGCATCGACTTGGGTGCCTTGGAGAAAGCGTACTCGAGACCAGTGATGGAAGCAAGAATCTCGGAAACGGCGATGAGGATGTAAGAGCCGGACTGGACCCAAACGGTGATGGGAGCAGGGATAAAGACACCGTCAGCGTCCTCGCAGGTGGAGGCAGCCTTGCCACATGGCGACTTCTTGTAGATGAAATGCTGAACAACGGCAGCCCAGACCATGGCAAGAGCACCAGTCAAGAAACCAAGAGCAATCTTCTTGAGGGGAGTGAAGTTGATACCGGCCTTGCGAAGAGCAGGGTAGAGGAAGAGATCAAAGATGGGGATGAGGATGACAAGGGCAAACGGGTCGAGGTTGGAGACGACCTCGTTGGGCAAGCCATTGACGTCCATGGTGGCAGCCTGCGAGACAAGGTTGTTGGTGATCTGGTTGTAAGTGAGCCAGTAGAGGGGGAACCAGAGGAAGACAGTGCAGGCCTTGAAACCACGACGAACCTCGTCAACCCAGGCATCGTCAAAGGTCATCCACTTGGGCTTGGTCTCGGCAGACTGCTTGGAGGGCTTGGCGCTCTCCCAGAAGTCGTCCGAACGCATGTTCTTCATGAGCTTGACGGGGTTGGCGGTCCAACGGCCCTTGGTGGCAAAGGCCCAAAGGCGCATGCACTCGGCAAGAACAGAGCCGGAAGGGGGAGTCTTGACGTAGTACTTGGAGCCAAAGACAAGGACGGGAATGCAGAGAGCAAAGACGATGGTAGGCAGGGTGTAGGCGAGCCAGAAACCAACGTACTTTTCGGAGAAGGACATGCCGAGCTGACCACCAAGAGCACCGATATTGATAAAGAGGTAGAAGTACATGAAGATACGGCTGATGGTCAAGATGGGGTCAACAATGACACGCTCGCCGGTTTTGAGGGTCTGGACGGACTGCTTGGAGCCGTTAACCTGCTCGGCAATCAAAGGGCTGATGGTGCTCTTGAACCAACCCGTTCCTACGCCCATAATGATGATGGCAATGACGAAGCAAGCCATGGCACCATCTTGGTTGTCGAGAACGGTAGGAAGCGAAGAAACGATGAGGAGAACGTGACCAACCATGGCAACAAAGACGGCGATGCATATGGTCTTGAAACGACCCCAGCGGGTATCGGCAAGGTAAGCACCAAGAATGGGCATGAGGTAGACCCAGAAGGTGTTGAAGGTAGTGAGACCAGTGGCGGCCTGCTGACCCTCGCCGAGGGCACCAGACTGGTCATTGGCGCCACCGGCACCAGCACGGCTGCGAGCAGGACGAGGCTGCTGGATGAAGTTCTGGAAGACCTGAATACAACCATAGTAGGAGAAACGCTCTGCAAGCTCACAGAAAGCAATGGCGTAAGTGGTCCAGGGGAGCTTTTCGGGGACACGTCGCAAAGTGGCAAGGTCCTCTTCGGTGGGGGCGACAAAGTCGTCGTCCGAAACAACGGCCTTGACAGCAACGCCACTTTCGAGGTGAGCAGCTGGGTGAAGGTTGTCGCTGCCGCCGTGAGCTTTGACGCCGGCGACGTAAAGGTCACGCTGGGCCTCGGCGTGGCCAGCGATGGCGTTGTCCTGGATATCGAGAGGCATGCTGTGCAACCGAGAGCGACAAAGCAATGGGATGCCACAAATGGGGGGTTAAGGAGATTCACCCCGGAGAGCGAACGCGGATGGCGAAGAAGGGGAGGAAGGGATGGATGAGATCAGGAAGGAGGAAGGTTCCATTGACCAGAGAAAGATAAGGGTTTAAGAAGGGGGGAGGGGGAAGGGGGGAAAGCGAAGAGGGACCGACGGGAAGGAGCGCGGAAGCGGAAATGAAAAGAACAAAGCACGCAAGCGACTCAAAAGAGAGAGGCAACTGAGCAGTGAGGGAAAGACAGCAAGCAACCTCTGCTCCTTGATTGACTGAGTGATTGATTGACTGAGTGATTGATTGACTGAGTGATTAATTGAATGAGTGATTAATTGAATGAGTGATTGATTGATTGAGACTTGTATTCAGCGCGCAACCGTACACGCCATATGGAAGTGACAGTGGCGTTGAGAGAGGCTTGATAAGAATTAAATTGCAACAGAGACACAGTCCCATCGAAGGCTCGATAGCTCTCAAAGAGACGATCCGACAATCGTTAGTAGCGAGTCTCTTATTTCTTCAAAGCTTTGGCGGTGAGAATGGCAGAGTCGGAGTCGGGTCGAGCAACTGATTAGCAATTGCAGCCAATACGAGAGAGAGAGGCTTTCGGCTATTCCGACGTTGCACATCAGCACAGTCACTGACCGAGAGAGAGGCCAGTCAAACACCCCAAGAGCTCAAGTGCACTTGCGAAGACGAAGCATTCGGATCCTCGTTGCCACATACGAAAAGGGCCAGAGAAGGAAGAAAAAAAAAAAAAAAAAAAAAAAAAAAAAAAAAGAAAAAAAAGAAAAAAAAGAAAAAAAAGAAAAAAAAAGAAAAAAAAGAAAAAAAAGAAAAAGAAAAAAAAGATAATAATGATAAAATAACAAAATAATAATAATAAAAGACAAGTGTGATGGATTGCCGAGGTGATTAACGGTTGCTCGTGTTTATGAATACGAGACTGTTCTGAACATCTTGCCTCGATGCCTCACTCTGCCCGGTGAGGTGCGAATAGGTTCGAGTGTTGCTCATCGGCTCTCCCGTCGTTGATGCTGTGTTGTTGAGCATTGTCTCTCAAGTGTACTTACTCTCTCCTAGCAGAGAAGTGTGATTCAATCAGCATGGATAGTCGCCCAAAAAGCATGGTCTCTGGACCTGAATGAGGTTGCATTGACAAGCGAGCTCGGAGCTCGTTTGTCCGAGTATCCCCACCCACAGCCGCTTGCCCTTATCCATTTCTACCTGTATCTGCTGTAGTGGATCCAAGACTGCCCGCATCCTGTGTGCTCTCTTATCGGAAAGCGAGCCAAGTCATGCTGATATCCTTGGATCGTAACGTGACCCCACTTTCGAATGCTGCCCAGCTGCAACTCGCCATCGTCTCGAATATCGGTCTTGTCGGTCAATCCGCTAGCAGAGGACAAGCCAGAGGCGAGGTTGCGGATGTTGCGACTCGCTACTCGTTCATTTGTCATCTGTGTGGTTCGCAAGCCCCTCCCCGCCAATGAATGGCGCAACGCTGGCTTCTTGCTCAGCAGACGCAAATTCAGCTTAGGTCGGTTTCGGGTTGGTATCTCCGATGCTCTCCTCGCCTTGTCGTCTGGCTTGCAACAGAAGCTTGCCATTGCCAACCTGCGCCTGTACACGGAAAGGGCGATTTGCAATCCCTTATCGCCGGCGTTCGAAAGCAGAGAAGAGCTAGTGTGTGGAAAGATGTGAGCCAAGAACCAAGCTTGCCTATCTCGTTTCCATCGAAATTGAAAAGAGCGACAATGCGGCTGCAAGTTCAAGGAGGGTCAAATAGTGCCAGGAAATTCTCCCTATTGTCAGCTGCAAAAATGGCTGTCACGAGTCGCATATCCCGATGTCGCAATCTCAAATTCGAATTCCAGTTCGGTCGAATCGCCGTTCGAACTTTTGTTGCTTTTTCTCAACTTGTTCGCCATGCCTATGTTCGCCATCTCTATGTTCGCCATCTCTATGTTCGCCATCCCTTGTTCTTGCCAGCTCTTCGCTATTCGGCCGACAGTCCGACCTCTCGCCTTTGCTTTCAGCCATCCACTGAGCCTGCCAAGATGCTCTTTGCTTCCCAGCGTCACCGATGCCTCCGCCAAAAGATCGCCCTCTCTTGAACAGCAAGAGCTCATGTCACTCCATCAACCAACCCACCAACGATCCATCATTGCTTCCTCCTTTGCCACGCAATCTTCATCCAAATGGAACGATGGCGTGATCAGAGGATGAACAACAGAGAATGACCAACAGACCCTGCATGCGCGTCCACCCGACAAGCCAATGAATCGATGTTCGAGCGTGCCAAGATGAATGAATTGCTGCTCTAACAATTTCGCTCTTCTCCAACAGCGCGATCGGAAGCGAATCGGTCAATCGGGAGTCAATCAATCAATCGGGAGTCAATCAATCAATCGGGAGTCAATCAATCGGGAATCGCTGCTCTGATCTTGCCAGATCGCCAAGCACAGGCCACCAAGAACATCACAGAGGACCCTTGATCTCGACTTACACTATCCTTACTCTATTGCACACAACTAACACTCCCCGGTACTAACCCCTCGTCAGGGCAACTTCGATCCCTTGCTGGGTGCCGCCTTCAAACACTGCCGAGATGTCCGCGGTCAAGCAGAGCGATGGCCTGTTGCAGCCAGGACCATCATCGCCACTCTCTGCCACCGACGCTTCCGGCTCATCATCATCCACATCAACGACAACACGGTCTATCGCATCACGAGTCCGCTCCGTCCTTCTACAAGGTCCGCAAGATGCACAGGATATTCGAAAAGCACTCAATACTCTGGCGGAGATGTATCCTGCTCCTCCGACCTCCGCATCCACCATCTCTACTAGCAAACTCGACGCTAAGAAGAGAGGCAACAAGTCAACCGCCACATCCGACGCCGACCCTCTGAGCCTCGTCGACACGGCACGAGCGAGACGCGACCTAGACAAAGACATTCGCCAGCGCCAGCTGGCTGCTACTGATCACATCCTCGCCGTCCTACAGACCGTCGATCATGGCCTTGTTCGACTTTCTCAAGATGTGGCAGCCATGCACTTCTCCTGCGATGCGGTCCAAGACAAGCTCTGTGCAGCTGAACAATCCAGTCGATACCTCGTAGAGCATGCAGAAGGTCTTGAACGACAACGAGCCGCTGCGCTCATCCAAGTCCAAGTCGCGAAGCTGTTTCTGGATCGCTTTACGCTGTCTGAAGCAGAACGAGCGTCTATCTACTCTCGCCAAGTTCGTGTAGGCAATCACCTCTTCGCAGCCATGGACAAGCTTCAGCGCATTCGGAGCGAATGTCAGATCCTTCTGCAAGGCTCTGAGTCTCTCCCCTCTTCCAGCAACCCAACCTCAAGCTCCTCATCCGCAGCAGCTGCAACGGCAGGCGGCGGCACAAGAGCAGGAATGGACATCATGTCTTCCACTTCTGCCGACCTTGAACAGGCCTACCAAAAGCTGTACAGATGGTGCAGCTTCGAATTCAGACAACCCGTCAAGGAGGGCCTCGAAGTTTCACCCAGCTTACGCCAAGCTACACGGCGACTCAAGACATCACGCCAAGACCTGCTTCGATCGGCACTTACAACGCTGGTCCAAACACGCAGTTCTATCCTTGCAAACGCGTTCATGGCTGCACTTACCATAGGTGCCGGTCCACCCACCTACCTTCCCGGACCAATCGAGTTGCATGCACACGACCCGATACGATATGTTGGTGATATGCTAGCATGGATCCACCAAACAGTAGCATCCGAGCGCGAGTTCCTCACAGCTCTCTTTGACGAGAAGGAAGGCGAGGGCGGTCGAAGAATTGGTCAACGACGTCGTGGACTTGAAGGCTCGCTTGATCTCACCCGATCTGATCCAAACTCATTCATGCTCGGCCCTGGAGAAGCACTTGTCCGAGAAGTACTCAACTCAAATCTCGACGGTTGCTGTCGCCCACTCAAACTTCGCATCCAACAGACACTCGGCTCGCAGGAAGGCAGCGTCACCTCCTACCGACTTGCACATTTGGTCCAATTCTACCGCTCAACAATGGAAAAAACTATCGGCTCACGTGCTGCACTCAGCAAAACCCTTGACGAGCTATCGGATCTAGCAGTGGCAGCGTTCGCAGAAACAGTCGAAAGACAAAGCAAAGGCATCCAACGGTACGATGGGTCACCAGAGCAAGATCTTAGCTTGCCTCCGCCATTAGTTGGCACCCTGGCAACTCTGAAGGAGTTGCTCAGCGAGTTCTCAAGGTCTCTTGCTGAAGATCCCGCTTCCCAAACTTCGGAAGGAGCACAAGCACCAAAAACAGAAGACATCAAGCCGTCACTCGGGAATTTCGATTTTGTTCTGACAAAACTCGTCGACCCACTAAGAGATCTGATTCAGCGCATGGCATCCTTCCATATCTCAAAACGGCCTCGTTCTAAAGCGGAGCCTACAGCCAAATGGGAATCGCTCCTGTTTACTGCCAACTGCCTCGACTCTCTGGTCTCGACTCTATCGCCTCACAGCTTCGCGGGGTGGAAAGTAAGTCAGCTGCGATCTACCCTCGAAAGTTGCCTGCTCGAGACCAGTGATATGCACTCTTCCAATCTCGTTGCCAAGTCTGGTCTCTCATCGGTCATTGCAGCGCTAGAGACCAAGGGAGAGGCAGGTGAAGCCGAGATCAAAGGGGCGCTCAACAAGTTCCAAGATGTCTTGGCGCAAGAAGATCTCCTGACAGCCAAAGAGCTGGATCGATTGACAAGCCCAGGCGCCAGACAGAGGGTGCATAGAGCAGCGTTGCAGAACTTGACCCGGTCTTATGCTCTGATTGCTCAAAAAATGCAAGGGCAGGAGGGATTGATCAGACGTTCGCCGGAGCAAGTGTCTATCCTGCTCGGCCTCTGACATCTTGACACATGTAGCAGAGCATTCTCAATTCTCTTGTATTGCAATCAGGTCAGAGATACCTCAAGCCAACCCAAGCAGTCCCAAGCGCAGTGATAGCGCTGGCTAAGAAATTCACCGCATTGTTATCCAGCACATCCGCTCCAGCGATCCTCTCCCAAATTGGCTCCGGTGCATCGTCCTTGTTGCGCTGGATAACATCTCTAATGCTGCCCACCAGCACCTTCTTGCTCGTTGCACTGTAGACGGTTTGCTGAACAGTTGCACCGAGAACAGAGTCGATGAGTGAGCCTGTGAAGCCGGCAGCTGTGAAGAGTACGATCAACTTGAAATATGGCGCCTTGACGGTGATACTAGAAGTTGGCAACGCGGGGTTCAAGTAGTAGTGAACTGCCAGGGAAGCTGTTTGGACAAGACCGATCAGTGTTCCTCCCAAAGCAGAGACTGTTAGTCCAAGAGGCGAGACGCCTCCGTTTGTGCCGCGAGGGACCTTTCTTGCGGGGTTGGTGACTAAACGTGGTTGACCTTTAGAGAGGATGCCGAGTTCAGAAGCAAGAGTATCGGCCATACAAGCTGCGTAGTGGCCGCCAACTACGAGGGTCAAAAGCAAGTTGGATACATCAATCCCCCTCCACACGGTCAATACTTCCTTCCCCAGTGGATCTACGCCATCTCTCCGGTTGAGTGCTCTGAAAGCGACGCAAGCTACTACAGCGGTAAGACTGTTACACAGCACCTGAACAGCGTTTCGATTTCCTGAAGTGATATCCCGCTTCCTCTTCCCATCCTTCTTCTCGATAGCGACGGTGGACGCTGCAGAAGGGTGCGTCTCATGCTGAGCTTTGATGGAAGCTTTGAATCTGGTGGCCTTGGAGCCGACGAGATAGAAAGTGATCAGCGTGAGTCCGTAGCCGATGAAAGGGTTGGCCATGGTTGCGTACCCGACCACAGCGGCTGTGAGAGCACCATCAAGAGAGAGAGACCCTTTGCGGTAGCCTGAGTAACCGAGATTCGTCGCGATTCCTAGCGGGATCGGGTAGAGAGACGACATGGCGGCGAGTCGAGGCGAGGGTGAGATGGTGGCAGAGGGAGGGGGCGAAGGCAAGTGGGAGACGGAAGTGGAGGAATCGAGGCCCGGTCTGTGCGTGCAGCTGAACTAAAAGACAAAAGCGATGATCGGGATCGGGATCGGGATCGGGTTGTGGATCGGGTTGTGGATCGGGATGTGGATCGGGACGAGAAGTTTGGGCCCGATTGCGCTTTCTGTTCTGAGGTTTTCATCTTTGGCATCGTAAGGTGCTGGACAAGATGGACAGAATCGTTGTATTGAACCGGAGCACATTTTCATGGCGGTGATCGCTTAGAGGCCGTCGATGGACGATATGCAATTGTGAAAGGATGGCTTCTGATGATGGTAAATAAAAGTACATGCGATTGGCTCCACTCGGTTGCGAAGCGGAGAGGAGAGAGGAGATGAGGAACAGCTCCGTTGCGACACGAATTTGGTCGTGGAGAAGGTTCAGCTTGAAGGAGACAATAGGCCGGCCATTAAAGCATCCTGCGCTTCTTGGGTCGCACACCTCCGATTTTGACGGGTGTCTTGTCGGTCATCTTACTGACCAAGTTCTTGGTTGTTTGCCCTTCACCTGCCAACAAAGCTCTGAATACAGCCTCTCTTCCCTGTCCAAAGCCGTTCCACAGGACTTGCAGATGAGCAATCCTCCAAGCATTCTTGAACTCGTTGATCTTGCCGAACATGCTGAATGCAGCTCTGTAGCCAGCTTCGTAACCGGAACGAGCAGACTTCTTGAACCCGACAGACCCACCGGATGCCGAGGCGAGAGGGTCGCCCGTAGGGCTCGTGAGAGTGAGGATGGTGTTGTTTCGTGACGAGTTGACGAACAAGCGGTGGGGTTGCGCGAAAGATGAAGAGGTGTTGAATTGGGTAGATGAGTAACGAGAGCCTCGGATGAGAGGGGAGCGCGATTCCTGGAATGTGGAAGAGGCCGAGTCGGCCTCTGCGGATGCCTCTGAGCCGGGAAGGGTAGACGAGACAGCAGAAACGGAGCCTAGAATGTCGTCAAGATTTGTGGACGGTGCGGCTCTTCCACTGGATGCGGTGGCTTCTGCTTCGGCGGGCTGGGAGGAAAGATGGCGCTGTTGAGCATCAGAGACGTTGCTGCTGCCTGCAGGGGAAGGGTCGGATGTGGGTTGGCCTGAAGCTTGCGATTCGAGCTCCTGCGTAGACGCCGACTTGTCCTTGTCGTTGCGCCATCTTGAGGAGGTGGCAAAGCTACGCTGCAGAGCGAGAGGCGATGCACGGGCGATGGAGCTAGATGGTGAGCATACTGACAACTCTACTGCCTGTCGCAAGGACGGCGTCCACTGTCTTGCTAATCCTCGAAGCATCTTTGCTGATTAAAAGCCGTTCCTCTCAAGGACCCGAGTGTATTCTGCTTGATAGTCGAGAGCAGCTGTTCCCGAGCGGTCTCGTGTGAGAAGGATGTCGCGAGGCAAGTTTGATCAAGGCAAGACGGTGTATAACAAGCAAGGTATCACCAGCAGCAAACGGTTACAGAGCCACATTTTTGCATTCCGATAATTCTTCCCAACTCTGGATAGCCCTCTAATGATTACGTCATCCTAGTCTTCCCACGTGATCGCAGTTAATTTTGACACCAAGACGCGCCCAGAAAGGCAAGGTTAAGACTAAAATCTACTTTTAGGGGGTGTACACAAGGGTCCAGTGCCTGAACCAAACGAGGAAAGTGTCCCCTTTTTTTTTTTTTTTCCCTTTTTTTCCCTTTTTTTCCCTTTTTTTTTTTTTTTTTTTTTTTTTTTTCCCCTTTTTCTTTTCTTTTTCCAGCTGTCAAACAGAGCACAGAAAAAGTAGATAAAAGCCACACAAAGCGTAGAGACGGTGAAGGTAGTGCTTACGGCCGAGTAAAAGGCTTGAGCATCTGAGCACGGACCACATGTGTCACAACCTACTCAAGACAAATACTTTGTTATGCTCCGCAGTCGATGCGGCTCTCTGCCGCTCTTCTTTTGTATATATAGACTCCTTCTCTCTCCTCGCTCTCTCTCCCTCTTACCATCATCATCATCATCATAAACCACACGAAACTCCAACTGAAAAGGGGCTTCCGGATAAAAACTTGGCTCTGCCCTAAGCACTAATGCTTGTGCCCCCTGAGTTGCTTCATCATTATTGTTCCAAGCAAAGACCCACAGGGCTGCGTTTCGTTGCTCGGATCTCCTCACCGCCAAGTCTGCTCTGTAGTGCAGGGCTGGCTTCATATGAGGGAGACCTATGTGAAAGGTCCTAGGGCCACCAAGAAAGCAGAGGATGGCGTGCAACATCTACTCGAGAACTTCTGCTCCGGCCTCTTGGATCCTCGAACAGGGGCCTGTAAGCACGGCAACTTCAACTCCGCGGCTGCACTCTTTCGTCGCTTGGCGTTGCTTTGCGGTTACGCTTCTCTTTATGCTCAGTCCCACCGCGGCGCCCCGGCAACGCCTGCAAGATGTTGCCTCCCTGCCCTGAGCTTGTAATATATAGCGCTCGTTCCTGCTCGGCTTCATCTTGCCATCTCACTCCCACCATCTCATCTCCCTTCCAGCTCTATAGCAATCGGAGAGGCATCGCGTCCAATCTTCACCATGGCTGGACGCTACAACCCTGCTTACGATGGCGGCAACATCCGCCAAAACTTCCCATCTTCCGCCTCTTCCTCCTCGCACCATCACAGCTCAGCTCACCAAACAGGCCTAGACGTCGACACCGTCGATTACTGGGACGAGACAGGAGTCCCTGCTCCTCACCTCCTCTCCCCTTTGCACTCTGTATCGCCCTATCCTACCACTCCTCGCCAACACCACGACGAAATGCAAGAGCTTCACGCAGCCCCTTCCGGCTACCTCTCTCAATCGCCATTCCTCCCCTCCCTACCCTCGCACCCTGAATCTTTTGCCGGCGGTGCTTATATGCCATCTTTTGAGCCCCGAGAATCGCTCAATCACAAGTCCTCCAATCGCGGTCACGACTTTGAAGACGATGAATCGCTTTACTCCTCCTCGCCTCGAACCTCTTCCGATGCCTGGCGTCTCTATGATGCCCCACAAACCGGAGCACGAACCTCTCTTGCTCAAGCCCGAGAGCGCTACATCAATCGCAAGTCCGCAGCTCTAGCTGCCACCGATGGTGTATACGACTTCTCCACTCCCAAACCTTCGCGCTTCTCACCCAAGCAGAAGAAATGGATGATCGGCATTGGCTCCCTGACCACAGCCATCGTTTGTGCCATGGTCATCTTCTTCGCCACTCGCAACAACACCAACGCTACTATCGTCGACTCTCCTTCCGCTTCCACAGGTACAGGCTCCGGAAGCAAGGGAGACAAATCAACGGCAGGAGTCGTCACATCTGACGCCAAAGACCCGTCAAAGTTCGAGAAGGATCCTCGTCTGCACAAGTCCATGTACGGACTTTGTTACACGCCTTTCCACGCTCAATATCCTGAATGTGGTGCAACACAAGCAAACGTGACGGAAGACGTGCAGCTGATGTCCCAACTCACCACAAGGCTAAGGCTGTACGGTTCAGACTGCAGCACCTCCCAACTTGTGCTCGAGGCAATCAAGCAGACAAAGGTGGATATGCAAGTCTTCTTGGCCGTATGGGTCGACAATAACGCAGACACCTTCCAGCGTCAAGTCGATAACATCCTCGATGCTGTCAAGCAGTACGGCACTGATCACATTGCCGGTATCACTGTCGGAAACGAGTATTTACTCAACCGTGGCTCCCTCGCCACTCTTCTCGGCCACATTTCCACTGTCAACACAACCGTCAACGCTCTCCCCGGTCTCGGAAAGTACATTCCTATCGGCACCGCAGACGCAGGTTCTATGATCTCTACGCAGCTAGCCAGCGGCGCAGACTACGTCATGGCCAACGTCCACCCTTGGTTCGGCGGTCTTCCGGTCGACCAAGCTGCCGGTTGGGTCTACTCCTACACCAACAACAACGAGCCCGCTACCGCCCTACTTGCACCTAACAAGCCCGCCCTCTACGTCGCCGAAGCAGGTTGGCCAACTGGTGCCAATGAAACCAGACTCGAAACCTATCAGGGCGCAACAGCAGGTGTAAGCGAGCTCAACACTTTCTTGGATACTTTCCTCTGCCAGAGCAACGCAAACGTCACAGAGAAGGCTCTCCAGCCAAGCTTTGTGTTTGAAGCCTTCGACGAACCCTGGAAGGATGTGCTCTATGGAGGTGTCGAGGCTCATTGGGGTCTCTTTGACAGTAACAAGAAGTTGAAGGAGGGATTGACTATTCCTGATTGCCCTTCGCCATAAGCAGACGTTTGTATGTATCATAGCTGCTCCATGACCCACATCGACTTTCAATGACAAGCATTCACAATACTCATTTTGGTAAACAACTGTGTCTCTGACGCTACAGAACCTCAAGTGTAGGCGCAACCTCCACCGCAGTCCTGGCACCTCCACCAGTATCTTATCAACCCTGTTTGCTGTTGACAACCTTGCTCCACCCTTAGACAGGTCTCGACACTGTCAATTGATCATCCCAAGAATGCTCAGACGTGCCTTGATGCCCCAGCACTCCGCAACATGCCGCTCCCCCTCTGTACAGAGCATTCACAATGCTTAGCCAATCCCGACCCAGTTGCCAGCAAATCATTCAGCCTTGCTCAAGTCCAAACAAACCATCAAACCTTTGCCCAGTGTCGCTTACAGCAATCTACTGTCTGATTCCCGACAACAATTCACCCAAGAGCGAAGCCGGGCTTGGTTAGTTGTTCAGCCTCAGAGTCTGGGCCCGGGTTCTGGCACATGAGCCCTGGCAGTAGGCTGCAATCAAGGTGTCCAGCTTGCTTTGCACCTCTTGGATGCTGCTCCCATCCTCACTGCCCAACTAAATGATTTCAGCGATGTCAATGCAGAGAAGAGCGCTGTGTTGGACCAGGGGAAGTTGCTGGACGCTATAACAGAACGCAGTCGATGCCTTGCGTGTTGTCGGTAAAGCTTGCAACGAGAGAAAGAACGGCAAGCGCAAATGCAGAGGCATTGAGGATGTTCACGTCGTGCTGCAAGGGAAGAGGCTATGGCGACATCCGACAGACTTGGCAATCGCCTTCACGGACAGCATCGAGATACAATATACCAAGCACACGCAATCAGGCACAGGACATACAAACGAGCAGGTATAGCATGGGGTGACAATCACCGTTCTCGAGTGAATAAGAGAACTAGCAAAAGGAGCTTTACATAGTGCTCCCCATATCAGTCTTTCTACGAGCCCTGTCTCTCGGCTGTCTGAAGATGGCTTCCTCTGTCTTCTTCTCGCCCTTACCTTTGGGCTTAGCCTTCCCGACCTTCTCTTTCCTTTCCTCCTTCTTAACCACTGGCGTCTCGAAAGCGTTGGGGGCGGAAGAGAAGTCGAACTCCTCGTCGAACTTTCCTTTCCTCTTCTTGGCAGCAGGCGCAACAGCGTCAGCGTTGGAGCCCGCAGCGGCAGCGGCAGCCTCAGCTTTGCGCTTCTTCTTGAGCTCCTTTTTGGAAGACGTTCCGTCGGCCTGAGGCTGAGAAGCAGATGGTTTGGATGCCTTGGCTTTCGACTTGGACTTGTTGGAGGAGACTACGATGTATTCTTCCTTCTCTTTTTCCTCCTCTGACTCAACTGCCTCCTCCTGTGCGGGCTCAGGGGCGGGTTCGAGCGTTGTTCGCTCCTCGCGAGGAACGAACGCGACGCTTTCGGATTGCATCACGATGTCTTCGTCTGCAAAGCCGGTAGAAGTAGAGGTTCTGCCAAGCAATCCAGCTACTTGATCAGCGAATCCTGCTTTGACTGCTTTGATCTTCTCACCGGCAACATTGGATGAGTGAGTGGAGAGGGTGCCAAAGAGCTTCGATGATCGGGAAGTAAGCGTGGGCCTGGTCGAAGCTGCGTCGGAGACAGGGCCAGCAGGGACGGTGGTAGCCGAGCGACCGAACAAGTTCGAAGCGAAAGATCGAACCGCGCCCCGGATGCCTGCCTTCGATGCTGCTGCCTGAGTGGCTGGAGCGGAAGCGGAGGCCTCGGACCAAACCGAGACATCGACTTTAGGGTCTTTGCTGGCTGCAGTGCTGATTGCTGAGATCGACCGAGAGTTGACTGTGCTCTTTGTAGCAGGGATGGCCGTTGCGACTTGCTCGACCTGTGGTCGAGCAACAGCCTCACCAACATCCATCTCCGCATCTCCGTCACCATTCTGCAATAGCCCAGCCGCCAGCTTCTGTCTCTTCTCCTCGCTTAGCTTTTCCTGATGCTTCTCCCAAGCCTCGACCTCGTCCTTAATCAACTTGGCCAGTTCTCCGATCCTCTTTTTCAATCCCGAAGCATTGGGAGGAACGCACGCGAGTACTCCCTCAGGCTTGACCGGTGCTCTGGCAGCCAACATCATCAGATTGTTCGCACCCAGGATGTACCTTGGCGACTCATCCTCCTCTCTTGCTACACCATCTCTCCACTTGTGCAGTGCCCGCACCAAGCGTTCTTCTTTCTTCATCTGGCTGAGCTCCCTTCGATCTTCAGTGCCGAGAGCTGCTTCACCACCCCACTTCCTCCATACGCTTCGCCAGCCTTCGCGCGTTTCGCCTTGGCTGTCCCATTCTTCCTTTGCATAAGTCGACATTGCAACGTCTTTGCTGCGGTTGAAGACTTCACGGATTGCATCGAGACCGCCAGATTCCATCAGCTCATGTCGAAGGTTGTCGTAGATGTAGAGGAGTGTGTGGGTGTCGCTTCGAGCGTAGTAGAGCATCTCTTTGGGGAGGGGTCGTATTCTCCAATCTGCGAGCTGGTAGCGCTTGTCAGCGTCAAAGTTGCAGTACCTTGCCATGAGGTAGTTCAGACCATGACTGGGGAACATGAGGACGTTTGTTGCGTGGTAGGTGTCAAACAGGTTGACAAGATACAATCCGAGATCCCGCTGGAGCCAGAGCACGTCATGGTTGGCACCGTGCAAAACTTTGACCTTGCTCGGATCGGTGAAAGAAGAGTTGAGCAGCTCTGCATGCTGTCGAACCTCATCAGAGAGGGTGTCGATGATCCAGTCTCCCCATCGTGTTGAGAGTTGCATGAGACAGACAATACCCTGGTATGTGCGGTAAGAGTGGTGTTCGAGGTCAATAGCGATCTCCTTCACTCGGTCCTCATCAAGATGGTCTCTGAGCTGTTCGATCTGGGCTTTGGTGGAGACCCATTGGAAGGGGCATGCATCGGTGGAAAGCGAAGGGTCCTTCTCATTGAGCCGTGGTGGCGGGTTGTCCTTGGTTGCTGGATCTGGCTTGGACAAGGCGTGTATAGGTGGTGAGGAATGAAGAATCTCGTGATAGTAAGGGTTGTCTAAGGGGTCTCCTTCGGCACAGTACATGCCTCGTCTTGGGCCTCTTGGCAATGTTTGACCGTCGGCACCTAGTCGCTGAGGGTTCGTGTGACCAAGAGGGACCATTGCGTTAGGCTTGCCATACTTGAGGTTCGGCTGCCACAAGGTATCGGTCGAGTTGTCGGCTTTGGTCGTGAAGTTCTTCTGCGGTGGAGGGATGGGAGCGTTCAGGACCCATGATGGGAGGTTGCCTGTTTTGGGCAAAGCCTTGCCGTTCTGGACTGCTGTCATAGCTTGCATCCGTCCGTTGGCCGACTCTGTCTGTGCTCCTCCGGCCGAATTCTCTTGCGCGGCAACATTGCGTGGTGCGAGCTTGCCTGTGTACTCATCGAGGCACGTATCCGCGCTCTCCATCAAATGATCCACCAGCTCTCCGAGATTCGATGCAAAGGACTCGTTCGTTGTAACATCCGCTAGATCCAAATCGAGGTCGACCTTCGACTTTAACTTCTTACTCGAAGAAGCAGCAGCGTTCTTTGCAAGCGGGATCTTGGGCGCCTTAGGGCCGGAAGCAATCCAGGATGCAAGCTGAGAGATAGACTCAAGTAAACGATCTGATTCCGAGTCGAGCTTCTTGGCAAGCTTGCGATCCATACTGCGATGGAAGGCGAGATCGCCGTGTGTTGGGATAGCTGCTGCATTTCGTGTAAGCGGCTGTAACGCTGACTGCAACTTGAGTAGGTATGCTGGAAGATCTGTCTTCGGATCCGGTAGTGTTGTGTTTGCAGGCTCCGGTGTAGACGATTGTGACGAGGCCGCCGAGTTGGATGTGAACGCCGCTGCGGAGGACGAGCCAGGTGCCGTGGCTGATCTCGAGCTAGACGGCTTCGACGCGCCGGTGCTCTTTGATGATGCCATCTTTGACTCTAGGTGCTGTTCTGACACACACCAATCAAGTGGGTCGATTGCCGCTTTTTAGGTATTGCGGCGACAAACAGGTTGGTGGTCAAGATGGTGGAAAGCTTAGGATGTTGTTGTGCTCATCATCAATTCTTCTTGACAAATTTTCGGTTGCAAGGCGCCCAAAAAATTTAACAAAAAGAAAAGAAAAGAAAAAGTTGCAGTGGAGGCAGTTTTCCAGGAGGCAATAGCAACGTCGGTCTAACATTCAATTTTTTTAAATTTCGGCATCCTATTTACGCGTCGCGCGACGCGCGCCTCGTGCCACGAAACCAACACCTTGGTAACCTTGTTCTTGTCCTACTTCTCCTTGTCCTACTCCTCCTTGTCCTACTCCTCCTTGTCTTATTCCTCACTGTCGGCTCAAAGCATCAACCATGCCGCCGAGGAAAAAAGCAGCAGCAGCAGTGTCGTCCGCAAAGAAGGCGAAGAAGGTCGTTGATGATGACGACCTCGCAATCCAGGAAGACGACTCGGCCATCACAATAGCTGCCATCCCACCACCTCCCATCCCTTCCGAGCCCTCGACCCCGATTCAGCAGTCCTACACGTACGCATCTCCCATCCCCACAGAATGTAGCAAGATCGACCCCGCCAACCCCTCCATCAAAGTGCCCTGCGTTCTTGGTGTCGACGAAGCTGGTCGTGGCCCAGTCCTAGGACCTTTGGTGTACGGCATTGCTTACTGCCCAATCTCGTACCAAGACGATATGAAGCAAATTGGTTTCGCAGACTCTAAAGCCCTTACCGCTGAACGTCGAGACAACCTCCTCTCGGCTCTCGTCGACCATAAACAGTACCTCGGATGGTCAGTCCGTGTCATGTCACCCCAAGACATCTCAGCAGGCATGCTTCGACGCAGACCCATCAACCTCAACGCACAATCAAGCCAAGCCACGGTCTTGTTGATAGCAGGTGTGCTGGAGGAAGGCGTAGATGTGACAGAGATCTATGTGGATACGGTGGGTGATCCGAACAGCTATAAGAAGCTTTTGAGCTCGCATTTCCCAAGACATCCGCACATCAAGTGGACCGTAACGAGCAAAGCTGATGCGATCTATCCTATCGTTGGTGCGGCGAGTATTGCTGCCAAAGTAACAAGAGACAGGTGTATTGAGGCATGGAAGTATGCTGAACAGCAGCAAAGTCTGGTCGAGACTGTGGACACCAAGGAGGACACTGGGAGCGTGCTGGGCGATGCGACCAATCACATCGTCACACAATCAAATGGGCAGGACGACAGTAAAAAGCGCAAAGCAGACGCAGAAGCAGAAGCAGAAGCAGAAGTCAGCTCAGATCACAAGACTATCGATACCGTCTGGGACAACCTAGGATTGCTGGGCAGTGGCTATCCAGGAGATCCCAACACAGTTGCCTTCCTCAAACGCACCCTCGATCCGGTCTTTGGTTGGCCTGGCATCGTCCGTTTCAGTTGGGCTACTGCAAAGACGATGCTCGAGGAGAAGTACAAGCCTCCTTCCGCTTCTGCACCATCGACTACCAGCACCGCCCCTTCCGCCGAATCTGCACCGAGCTTAGGAGGCAAGCGTCTCACCCGCTCGCTTTCGCGCACATCACCTTTCACCACCAACACTCCCACATCAGAAGCAGAAACGTTCTCATCGACAATAGCAGAGACCCGCGCAACAAGTCTGTACGGCACCCTTCTTCCCCAGCCTTCCGTGGCGGGTGGCACAGCACATCGCGCTTATAAGGTCAAATGGATCGACGAGCCAGTAGCGATCTCAAAGTTCTTTGGTCCTGGAGCAAAGAAGTCGGCGCCTACTAAGGTCAGCACTGGTGCAGCCGATCAGCAATCAGGCGAGATCAAGGAGGATGCCTTCAGGGTATCAGCACTGCAGGCTTCAATCAATGACTGGTTGAAAACCGAGCCGCAATGGAGGTCCAAGAAGAGTTTTGCGGATAGCAACTCTGCAGAAGCAGCGAGTCAGATTCAGGTCAATGTAGGAAAGCTTACCAAGGATCTCGGATTAACCAGTGTCGGCGCATCGTTTTGTTTGTAATCCTCACCCTTTAACCTCATCCGCTATCATCAGGAATCACATGGTCATCGTCACCTACACACACAAACATATCGGATCGCCTTGTGCCGAGCAGCTTTGCATTGATCGTGCAACTAGAGCAACTAGATGAGACCCTGCCTCTTGAGCAAGTCATACGTCTTCTTGGTGTACGTGTTTCCGTGCTCATCCTCAACCTCTTGAGCATCCACCCCTGCTTCTGATGCTTCCATTTTACCTTTCTTTCTCAACTTATCCGCCAGCGCTAATGCATCTGCAATCCGCGTGACATCCCTGAACTGGACCGTATTCGGCAAACCTAGCGCTCGCATGCCAAAAGCATGCCTAGACTCGGTAAAATGCTTTTCAAAGTTCTTTCTTCCCTGATAGACGTGGTCTGAGCAGATCTCGCATTTGAACTCGTTTCGTAAACCATGCAACTTGTACAGCCAGAACGGGATCGGTCGACCATCCCATCCAATAGGCAGCTTGAGCGGATTGTACACGCGTGATGTGGCATCGTCATCGAGATCCTCATCCATAGCATTGGGATTGTTGGGATCATCAGAGTCGAGACCAGAGGTGTGGTTGAGTGCAGACATGCGATTGAGCTCTTCTTCTGCGGCTTCGGCTTCGGCTTGTCGTTCGCGATCGGTGAGGGCGGCTTTGCGCTCGACGTTGGCTTTGGTATCGGATCGAATGGTGGAGAGGTCAGATGCTAGTCCGCGGATAATGACTTCTTCACGTGCGATGGCTTTGGCTTTGACACGGTTCTTGATCTTCTCTGCTTCGCTTTCACCATTGCTTTTGGAAGGCGTAGGTGTAGACGAGGCTTCCTCGCCGTTCTGTTCAGATTGTGCTAAGCGGGCAGCTGCTTTGAGATGTTTTAGTGATTTGAGATGCGCGTCGTAGACCGTTTGCTTCGAGTAGAAGCGTCTGCATGCTGCACACCAAATGCCCTCTCCTTCTGCTGGCGCTGCTGCTGCTTTGCCCTTGCCTTGTGCGCCACCGAACACTTCTAATCCTTGCTGCTCCCATCCTTCCACTTTACCCTGCTCCCACTCTTCTTCGAACTGCGATGTTGCCTTTGCTGCAATTTCGTCTACATTCGCAAGCGGCTGCGTCTTTCGCAAGAAGGAGTCGAGGTACTTGCGCAAGTCGATGAGATAGTTTCGGTATGCATCGGTTTTCTTGGTGTAACTAGGGATAGGTGAAGAGGGCCCAGCGAGCTTGTCAAAGTCATCAATGTAGGCGAGATACGAGATACGCTTCGCTCCTTTCAGGTTGAGATATGCTTCATGGTAGAGGTAAAGATCCAAGAAACGACCTGCCATCTCTTCTCCCGAGAACATGCGGTCGATGAAATCCAAACCCGCGGCGTCCTTGTATGCAGCTGCTGATGTTGAGGCACCCGTTGCGTCGGTTTTTGTTGAGCTCGAGCCGCCTTCCAGTGCAGTGAAGTCGACATTGAAGTGATCCGGCAGCGCGCCTGGATACTTGTCGTGGTACTCGCGGATCCTGCCGAGACGTTGGTAAAATTCGCCGAAAGCATCGTCGCCGCCTTCACCGCGGGCTCGAGTAGAGGAGAGCAAATCGAGCTCGCGTTGTCGGTCTCCATGTTGGTCGCTGTAGAAGCGGTCGAGATACTGGTAGCGAGATGCAACGCGGTCGAGAAGGTGAGATGCTTTGTGGGCTCGCTTGAGCTTGTCCTTGTGAGTAAGATGGGAAGTGGACGAAGACGAGAGGACAAGATCGACGAGTGCTTGCTGATATCGCTCCGCCTCTTCGTGCGTCTGGCGCGCCACTTCTATGAGCGACGTATCGGCCATCGTGTAGTTTTCGGATAGCAAGCAAACTAGGTCAACAGAAGTGTGGATGGAGGAAGCAACGAGGAGGAAGAGAAGGGATCTGGACAAAGTTGAGTAGTTCCATTCCCGCAATCCGAAGAAATCTACGTCACCTGCGTTTATGGTCACGTGCGTAGTATGTCACGTGCGTTAAATGTCACGTGAGTAAACTATCACGTGAGTAAAATATCACGTGCAGCATTTTTTTTTTTTTTTGGCTGAGCCGCACTTTTTGACATCCGACTCCACATTCACACCTCGTCCTTCCACCTCGACCACCTCCATCATTCCGCTTCACCTTCTCAGGTCAACTTTACCCATCATGTCAGGAGGTATCAACACAGGCGACAGCAAGCTCGCCTTCGACAGCTCGGAAGAGGTTAAGGTCGCAACCACCTTCGATGCGATGGGTCTTAAGGAAGACCTGCTCCGTGGCATCTACGCATATAACTTCGAGAAGCCCTCTGCTATCCAGCAACGAGCTATCTTACCCATCATTCGTGGCCGCGACGTCATCGCACAGGCTCAGTCCGGTACCGGTAAAACAGCAACCTTCAGTATTTCGATGCTTCAGTCTATCGATACCACTTTGCGCGAAACACAAGCACTGGTACTCAGCCCCACCCGCGAGCTGGCGATCCAGATCCAGTCCGTCGTCTTGGCGCTCGGTGACTACCTCAATGTGCAGTGCCATGCCTGTATCGGCGGAACGAGCGTGGGAGAGGACATTCGCAAGCTCGACTATGGCCAGCACATCGTCTCCGGTACTCCTGGTCGCGTATACGACATGATTCGCCGCCGTCATCTTCGCACGAAGAACATCAAGATGCTCATCCTCGACGAGTCCGACGAGCTGCTTAATATGGGCTTCAAAGATCAGATCTACGACGTCTACCGCTACCTGCCGCCCTCCACCCAAGTTGTCCTTCTCTCAGCCACCCTCCCGCAAGACGTTCTCGAAATGACTTCCAAGTTCATGACAGATCCCATCCGCATCCTAGTCAAGCGTGACGAGCTCACTCTCGAAGGCATCAAGCAATTCTTTGTCGCAGTCGAAAAGGAAGAATGGAAGTTTGACACTCTCTGTGATCTCTACGACACTCTCACCATCACCCAGGCTGTCATCTTCTGCAACACGCGAAGGAAAGTCGATTGGCTCTCTGGCAAGATGAAGGAAAATAACTTCCAAGTATCCAGCATGCACGGCGAGATGCAACAGAAGGAGCGAGACGAAGTCATGGCAGAGTTCCGACAAGGAAGTTCGAGGGTCCTGATCACAACAGATGTTTGGGCAAGAGGTATCGATATTGCCAACATCTCGTTGGTCATCAACTACGACTTGCCGACAAATCGAGAGAACTACATCCACAGAATTGGTAGGTCGGGAAGGTTCGGCAGGAAAGGTGTGGCCATCAACTTTGTTACGGTAGATGACGTTAGGATTCTGAGAGATATCGAGCAATTCTATTCGACTCAGATTGATGAGATGCCGGTAAAGTTGGAAGATGTGCTCTAGGGGTGCCATCGACATTGTTAAAGTTTTCTCATCGATTCCCACATTCTCCGCGGCTCGAGTCGTCGGGGCGCAACACACACGCACGGCACCATCACATTTTCGATCTCATGGTGGAATAGAGTCCGTGACTTGCGGAAGACTAAAAGTACAAAGAGCACACGAGAAACGCAGACCAGGTATGCGTCCGGCGCTGCCGACGGAAAGAGCTAATGAGATCGAGGAAATTGTAGGAGGTGCTCCTCCATTGGACCAACGTGACTCTCGACATCCCTTCATAAGAATGTGGGCCGAGATAAGGGTGGGACGATCTGTGTGAAATGAAGATAACAATTAATATACGGCGTTATTGGGGTCACGATCAGACTCCCTTTACCACAGCCGTATGTTCTATGTAATGCTTAGTTTTCATGGTGTGAGACTGAATGACAAACACATATATATACTCCATTCACTGCTCTGGTCCTATTCGAGGCAGGATGTGTCTCTTCATTTGTACTCCTGTGTTGCTATGATACCGGGTGCCACTGTGCTGTCACCATGACAACAATTACGTACCTCATTGTACTTCTCGCTTACGTGAGCCTCCCATGTCTCAATGTCTCGGCCGTAACATGTGCATCTTGCTTGAGATGCCGACGCATCTTCAACTCCCCCCTTCGGCGGGATCTCCAGTCCTATCATCCTAGCCAATCGTGAGGTGTTAAGACCCTGTAAGGGTTTTGTCAAGACATCTGCAATGTTGTTTGCCGTTCCGACATATTTGATTTCCACATCGCCCTCTTGCACGTGATCGCAAACAAAATGATACCGTGTATCGATGTGCTTTAACTTCCAATGTTTGGCTGGATCTTTACTCACCTGTATGCACCCCTGGCTATCTGTGTATAGTACGGGCCGAACGTCCGTGGTCTCCAAATCCCAGAGCAAATATGAGAAGAATAAGGTTTCTCGCACCGCTTCAGAAGTGGCGACAAACTCTGCTTCGACTGCCGACAATGCCACACACTTCTGAACGTGTGATTTCCAACTCACTGGACACCCATATACATATGTTATCGACCCCGAGGTGCTTCTTCGTCCATTTGTGGGGTCGGATGCCCAGTTTGCGTCGGTATACGTCGTTACCGGTGTATCCGAGTGCTCATTTGTCTCCCCTCCTAGGTGCAACTGATATTTGTTCGTTTGGTTCAGGTACTTTACCATGTGGATGGCTGCCTTCCATGCACTGTCGATCGGGATCGACATATATCGCGCCAATACGCTGACGGCAAAGGCAATATCTGGTCGGGCTGTGTTGGAGACCCATAATAGTTGGCCGACCAATTCTTGATACTTCTTTGCTCACTGAGGTTCACATCGCTTGCCTCCGGCGACGTTCGCTACACTCAGCATGGGTACCCAAGATTTCTCATTTGCTCCTCCTAACCATTTGTTCACCATTTCCTTGATGTATGCTGTTAGACCCAGAGATATCCTCCTCCGTCTTCTATCACGTGTGATCTTGATACCCAGAAATTCTTTGACCCTTCCATTGTCTTGCATCTCCCATTTGTCCATGATCTCTCGCTTTGCGCGGTCTACTTCATCATGACTGGGTGATGTTATTAGCATGTCATCCACATATGCTGTGATGATCGTGATCTTGTCGCCTGTCCCTCTTGAGTATAGGCATGGTGTGCTCGGCATGCAATGGAATCCGATCGTCCGGAGATGTGAGTCTAACTCAATGTTCCATTCTTGGCCCAATTGTTTCAGACCGTACAGTCCTTTCACTACCTTCAACACTTTTCCGGGTGGTATTTCGATTCCTACTGGGGGCTTGAGGTATACATCATGGTGTATAGTGGAGTTCAGGTATGCTTGCTTTACGTCAATAGAATCCATTTCCCAATCTCGTACTGCTGCGACAGCGATCACCCCTCGAATGGATTGGATGGGTGCTACTGGTGCGAAGACCTCTGTATAGTCGATGCCCTCGCGTTGAGTGAAACCTCGTGCCACGAGCCGGGCTTTGAACTTTGTCGGCACAAGGTTTGCATCGGTTTTGATCTTGAGTACCCAACGTGTGTCGATGGTATTTGCACCCTTTGGGAGGTCGACTATCTCCCATGTGCCCATCGCCTCCAATCCATCCAGCTCCTTTCGCATGGCCTCCTCCCAGTGCTTTCTGTCCTTTCCACTCATTGCTTCATGTATGGTTGGGTCCAGGTTCTTTCTCCATTCCGGTCGCGTCACTACGAGTCCATAGAATTTGCTGTCAATCTGAGTTTCGGCGATTGGTCCTTGTTCCATCACCTCCGCTGTTCCTTCGCTTAATCTTTCTTCTGAGTCTGTCTCCATATCCATGTATTCTCGTAGTGGCTCTTCATCTGTTTCGTCGAATATATTTTCTTTGTTGTATCCTAGATCTTCGAAATTCTCCTCTGTCATCATCATTGGGGGTGCCTTTGTGTCAACCGGTCGCCACTCTGTTCTGTCTGACCAGCACTTTGATTCCATGAATTTTGCTGAGTTGCTCCAGAAGATGTTCGGATTGTAGTCCGGGCTGTAGAAGAGCCAGCCCTTCCTCTCTAGACTGTACCCTAAGAAAATGGATGCGACGGCTCGCTGGTCCAGTTTCTTGTTGTCCCGTTTAACTTTGGGTACGTTTACCCATGCCAGACAACCAAACACTCGTAGGAGCTTTAAAGCTTGTTCCGGCGACTTGCCAAACATCGCTTGATAAGGGAATTCATTATCAATGCTCGGAGTGAGGTTTATTTTGAATGCCGCAGCTCTGATCGCGTATGGCCAGAACTTCTTCGGTAGTCTCCTCTGCATTAGCAACGTTCTCATCTTCTCTCCAAGGGTCCTGTTCATTCTTTCTACCCGTCCATTTTGTTTGCTGTTGTACCCTACGGTGGTTTGCCACTCTATGCCCTTTTCTAATGACCATTCTAATGCATCATTGCTTTTCCATTCCGTTCCTTGATCGGATCGGATCGCTTTTAGCTTCCGATCCGTCTGTGTCTCCAGGAACGAAACAATCCTTTTAAGTTGCATAAAGGCATGACTCTTTCGTGTCAATGGCTGTGCATACACATACTTGCTATGATCGTCGACCAGCACCAACGTGCATGTGTACTCCGTCACGTGGGACGAGTCTATTATTAGATCGATGTGGATAAGATCCAGGGGCCCTACGGCTCTTTCGCCGCTACCTTTCCCCATCCGAGCGCTTGTGCTCTTGGATTGTACGCACTGCTCACATGTCAGAGCGGTGTTTGGATCCAATTTCATGGTATGCTTATCCTTTAACTTGCTTGTGATCACCTTAGCTTTATCTCTTCCTGGGTGCCCAAGACGCTCATGCCATAGTTGTTGCTTTGAAACTTTCGGCTCATTCTCAATATGCTCGAACTCCTCATCAACACCTTCAAACAATGGTGCTGATGTGGCCATCGCGCTTTCTTGCCATGTGTCGCCTCGGAACTCCAGAAGTCCTCGCTCACGATTCTTTGCAATCTTAAGTGTCATGCCATTTGTTAGAAAAATTTGGCTGCCAGTTGTGTCCAATATCACTCGTGCTCCTTCATCCGTTAATGAATTTGTTGACAGAAGGTTAACATTAAGGTGCTTTACATACAATACATTTTGCAGAGAGATTTCCCCGTAATCTGTTGATATGCTTGCATCTCCTATAGCTGCCGCTTCCAAGACCTCGCTTCCGGCGGTAATTATCCGCTTTCGGCAAGTTCTCGGGTGGATGAGCATGCTGTAGTTGTTCACCATATGGTAACTCGCCCCTGAGTCCAAGATCCAATGAGCTGTTTCTTTTGTGTTTGAGGGGTCCTGCCATTTCATTGGGAGGGTGAGGGAGCACCATGCTTCCTATTTAGGTTCAGCAAGGGGGGAGTCCTTGGGAATGGTAACCAAGGCATCGCATTGACTGATACCATGTCCCGGTCGCTTGCAGACCCAGCATCGGATTCGGCGTGATTTGCTTGCGTTCCTCGAGCTCGCATGGCTGTTGTCGGCTTTGGCTTCGGTCTCTCCGGCCCGTTCGTTTTGATCGTCGTTGCCGGCGGTTCTAGCACTGGCTTGTCGAGGGTCGATCCTTTGTGTGGGGACGCTCTCGACAGCAGTCTGCCGGATGCTTAGTGCGGTGGCAAGGGCATTGAAATCGATTTGATGGACGGTGGCAACCGTCTCCTTGTACACCGGATGCTGGATCGTGCATTTCTGCAGAGCCGAGAACAATGTATCATCAGCGAATGGTTTGCCGAGGAGGCTGCTTTCAGTTTGTATGGACCAGATCTCTTGAATTAGCTTTCTGGCGTCCGAGTTAAACATCTTTGTATCGTTGAGTTGCGAGATAAGCGCAAGTCTGTGAGACGTCTTGGTGGCTTCATTTGTGAGACCATTTTCGATCTTTCTCCATACTTGGTTGAAAGTAAGGTACTCCTTGATTACATCTAGAACGAGGTAATTTACATTGTGTTCTCCGGTAGTGTCGATTGTTCCATGCAGGGCGTTGATTAAAGCATCGTCGAGGGAGCGGCTCCATTTCGGGTGTTTCTTGTCGTACGTTCCCTCGAGATGTTTCATCGCATGAGGCACGGATCGGAGGAAAGATTTCACGTGAGCGCTCCAGCTATGATAGTTTCGTGACGTGAGCTTTGGCACGGGTTCGAGGAGCTTTGCTAGGGTGCGAAGGTTATATCGCTTGTCGCCATCATCAAAGTCGGAGTCGGAATCGGTGTCTTCGTCAGCTTCATCATTGATGGCCTCCGGCTCGTTCTCGCTCGTGGTATTATTGTCGACCCAAACCTGGGTGTTCTTGCCTTTTCTGCTTCCTTTGGTCCTCATTTCGGTGTCTTCTACCATGGTTGTCGGCGAGTTTCGGTTGGCTCGGTGATAGCTTCTTCAGACTCTTAATCAAATGAAGATAACAATTAATATATGGCGTTATTGGGGTCACGATCAGACTCCCTTTACCACAGCTGTATGTTCTATGTAATGCTTAGTTTTCATGGTGTGAGACTGAATGACAAACACATATATATACTCCATTCACTGCTCTGGTCCTATTCGAGGCAGGATGTGTCTCTTCATTTGTACTCCTGTGTTGCTATGATACCGGGTGCCACTGTGCTGTCACCATGACAACAATTACGTACCTCATTGTACTTCTCGCTTACGTGAGCCTCCCGTGTCTCAATGTCTCGGCCGTAACATGTGCATCTTGCTTGAGATGCTGACGCATCTTCAACTTGTGCACCTGCAGTAATGATGCCGTGAGCATGGCTCAACTCCTGGCATCTTTAAGGTGGAGAGTGTGAAGCCAATTGCATGTCAGCCACAAGCAAAGCTTTCGAGCTTCTTTTTGAAAATCAAGCTCCTTGACCTTCCTTCACACGGTATGATGTCTGTGGCGAAGCAAGGTAGTGTGCTCGGCGAGAAGACCGGATGTGTCTTGGCGCAGCGGTCGGTGGGGAAGGCACGCTGGGTTCTTTTTGCATGGTTCTCGTTGTCTGCAGGCAGCTTGATGAGCTTTGTTTAAAGACCCACAATCATCGACAGACTCTTGCTCACAAACATAAAGTCACAACACATATAAAAGTTTTCTTTCTGCTTCGGCCTGGCCACTGTCCACCATCGACCTTTCTCTCCTCCACCGAAAAACATGGTGTCGAAACTGGTCTTGGCCTATCTCACTGTGTTCCTGGCCGCTGGCGTCAGCTACGCCCTTCATGGTACTGCCGCTTTTGGTGCTGCCGCCGCAGGCTTAAAGGGGCTACACCCCGGTTTTTTAACCAGGATAATCCGCACCCTGGAGGTAGACAATGGTAAATTCCTGGCCTCCAGATATCCCAATGTCCCTTCTGAGCAACGGGCCAACCTTGGGGTTATTCCGGAAACCCTTGCTGTAAGGTCTTTCCCATTCGCCGGTCCTTCTCCTCGTGTTCATGTCTGACCATTTGCGTACTGCTTTGATTGGCTCTACAGCCGTTGATCCAAGGAGCAGATAAAACTGGCCGACTCTTGATCCCAGCTCCACATCCAGGCCATGCTCTTCTGCTGACGAAAAACGTACCTGAATATACGTCTTCCTTGGGCCCTGCTTTTATTCAGAGGGCCACACGTACGGGTGACTTAGTCTTCGTCAAAGCCAAATCCTGGACGGCAAGCAAGAACACAGTCAAAGGCATCGGAGCGATTACGGACTCGGAAGGCAAAGTCCACTACTTCCGTACCATTCCCTTTAATCCCCCTCGACCTGGACTCCATCCAAAAATGCGCGTAGCCACGTCGCCCAACCATGTTACCCCTCAAAGCCTTAGTAAATCCAAAAAGTTCTTCGGCTCTCATCCTATCACCCTCAAGCTTCCCAGTGGTGAACTTCATCATTCGAAAGACAAGGTGTTCCTCTCTCACATCTCTCTTGTCCCGAACACTGGCCCTCATGAGTTAGAATTGAAGGTCTATCCACCGGAAATTCTGGACCAAGTGCTAAAAGGTCCACCGCAGGAGATGGTACAGAGGAGCAAAGGATGGTCGCGACCGTTGGTAGAGTGGTCAGAAACGCCCAATTGGTCAAGGAAGGAACGTAAAGCGGCTAAGATGATGGAGGCTAAGCCTTCGTCACCGAGATGGTTCCAGAAGTTGAAGGCGCCTTTCTCGCGATCGAATCCGGACAGTAGGTCGCTGAGAGGTTCTGATGAGGGCTTGAGCAATAGTGGCAGTAGTCCGAGTGGTGCTTTGGTTCGCTCTGCTTGACGAGCTTGGCTTTTGCTTGGTGATATTGGTCTTGTTCATTCCTATTCACACGTTCGTTTGATTAAGCTGAATGCCCGTCTTGTGGCTTGTTTGTGGATTGACAATTGAAAGAGTGAGCCTTGAACATGCAGGGAGACCACGTCAATGACATGAAGCAGGCCTGCAATACAGCTATAAGTGCTGCAAATCAGTATCCAGACCGATGCAGCAAGCAAACGAATCGATGGAGACTCTGAACGGACCGACCGTGTTTGTCGAGAGGCAGTTTGTCACACAAAGCACGACAAGGTCGACTCGTTCATGCTTTGTAGGTTATCCCTGCGCCTGCTAACTCATATACCTCTGCAATCAACATACCGATTCGCAATCTATTTTGACAGGTCTCGTCACAAAGCGGCTGTCTCTTCTTCTGACCGAGCATTCTCCGGTATCAACGACAATTTATCAAGAGAGCATGCCATCCTCCGGCTCTGAAACATCGTTTGATGCCAGTGCCATTTGTCAACATATTTGCATTAGGCCCTTGCACAAGTGTCTTGAATTCCATCCTCTAGCCATGAGTTTGGAGGCAACCCTTGAATAAAGAAGAACTTCACACCTGGTTCAATGGTGCTGCCATCCGAAGAGTAACCAAAATCCATCACTTCCTCCTTTTCCTCCTTCTTGTCCCCAGCACCTTGGAACAGGTCTGAGATCTTAATTGAATGCTAGGTAAACCGTTTGACAATACTTTCCGGACAGCTGTAGCGCAAGCTCTCCAGAAAATCAATTTGGTGATACAGGCCCAATATCACGAACCGGCCCGACGGTTGGCGACGACGATGGGGGCGAGATCGAGAGGCGGAGGAGACTACGAGACTTAGGAAACAGAACAGATGGTGACAAGTTGATTGAGATTATAGAGCGATGTATGATCACTTTTCCTTCAGGGAAAAGAGAAGAAGAAAGGAGCGAACTACAAGATTGAAAGTACAAGACTCGATGGAGTGAAATTACATGACCGCGTACTCATGCTCTAACATGACCGCAAACTTCACTCAGCGTCGCCACCCGTCAGCTCCCACCAACGCTCGACATCACCCACCAACACCCCTATCTCATTCGGCAACAACATGCCATAATATGTGTCATCTCATCTATATACGCGCACATCAACCGACAGCAGAGACATATATACTTCTTACATTGCTTTGTACTTAGTTCCCACTAACGAGAACGATTCGCCACTTGCGGGGCACTTTTGGAGTTGCGTTTGTCTTGATGGGAAACGGGTATCTATTGATGCAAGCAAGTAAATGAGTGAGCAGAAGGCTGAGCAAATGAAAGTGTCAAGCAATAAGGAGCGATGCGTGTGAAAGTACAAAACGAAGGCCTATCAAAGGATTCCGTCTAAACGAGCGTGTGTTTGTCGACCTGGCGAGGCGAAAAGCAGATGACTATGAGCGAAGAGCGTGCACAGTATGAGCGGGAATGTGATACCTCCCATGCGATTGTTGAGACGTAGCGTTGTCGGCAGCGATGATAGTCTGAGCGGTCCTTGGTCTGGTCTGCGGACGAGGTGGGGCAGGCAACGGCTTGTAGCCAGACATTTCCCCCCGGTCTCGCCTCTCGGACGACGAATGCGAGTTGAAAGACTCGGCAAGTACCTCTCGCGGAATGATGTGTCGATTGTTGATCTCATGACTGCCCGCAGAGGAGCCGTAGGAGGCCTGTCGCTCCATTTCAACCGTGTGCTTCTGGCTGAAGGCGCGGAGGTTTGCGATCTGCTCTCGAGAGGGAAACTGCGATTCGCCCCAAGCGTCGGCTGTGAAAGGTCGCTGTTGACCGCCATTCTCGGTGGTCTTGCTCCGCTGTCTGCGTGCCTGCCTTGTGCCGTCAGCGAAAGCGGAAGGAGTCAGAAGAGCGCCGGCGAACGACTTGTGGTGTCGCAATTGCTGCTGGTGCTCGGTCTGCTGCTGTGCTTGCTCCGAGGCAGAGCGTGCAAGGTACTCGAGCTTGATTGTCTCGGGGGCTGTAGGTCTGCTCGAGCTTGAGGTGACGTTGGCAGTGCGAGGCTGGTTTGAGAGCAGACACTTGAGACCGTTGACCTCGTGTCTGTTGGCTTTACGCTGGCTGTGCTCAGACGAGCTGGCAGACGAATGTATCGAAGTGCTACGCTGCCTGGCTGCCGCAGCCCGCAAATCAGGTTGCGAGGTGGGGCTGACGAGCCGCTGCTGAAGAGACGAGCTGGGAACCACATTCGCTTGGAGCAAAGTCGGGTCGATTTGAGGGCGTCGTGCAAGTCCAGCAGGTAGACTGATTGGGATCAGCTTGCGTCCGTTAATCACGACTGGTTGCGCGAGCTGCACACTGTCCGAGCTGATGGATGAAGCGGCACCGAGAGAGGCCATCGATGCCTTCTGTTGCAGCTTGCGACTCGACTGGCTTGTGTTGATGTCGACGTTGCCAAGATCGAGCTGAAGTGCGGGAGCCACAGTTGGGCTGGCAGCGCCCACAGACTGAAGCTGACGTTGAGCTGTGCTCGACCTTGCGAAGTGTGCTGAGGCTGGCGAAGCCTGCAGATGCATCCTGCTCAGAGTGGGGTCGATCATGCTGCTGTCCCTACCTGGTGTCACGGGCTGAGAGCAGAAGCTCGAGTCGGCCGAAGCAATGCTGTTGCTGGAAGCGACTGTGCGGCTGGCCTGTCGAAGCGGGCTGTTGTAGTTGCTGAAGCCGCCAGTAGCTGCACCTCTTCCGTTGTTGCGTCGGACCGGAGAGACGGGAGGGGGCTGAGCCTCAGGCGCAAGCTGCTTGCTGGAGAAGCGTGATGATGCAGGCGACGCAGTTGTAGTGACGAAAGCAACATCTTGGTATGGGAAAGAAGCAGATCGAGGCGAGTCGTTTGAGCTTCCAGCCACAGCTTTGGATGCCAGCGTCGGACCCATCTGCTTCTTCACCAAGTTGAGGAGGCGTGACTTGCGGGCACGCTCAGGGTTGAGCAACATCGCTGAACACGAGAAGCGAAGAGACACCAGTCTTCGACGCTCTGGATAGACACTATCCTGCTCGACGCGGTAGGCGAATTTCCAAGCGAGTCTACCTTTCCGCTCGTATCCGGACACCTGATGACTGCCAGCCGTCTTGAGAGAAAGAGCTGCTTGACGGGTTAGCAAGTCTGCCTTGGTGTCGTCGCCGCTGGTAAGATGTTTGAGCAGGATCGAGCGATCAGCCTTGCGGGGCAAGTCGAAGAAGCAGGATTCGGGTCGCATGTCTTCTGAAGGGCCGAACTCGATGGTGCCACACTGTTGAGCCTCTTGATCTTTGTCACCTCGCGACTTGGGTCCTTTTGGCATGAGAGCTTGAGCAGCTTCGGTCCCTTGAACGAGCTGCTCAGGTCTGCCAAAAGGATCGTAAGCGAGGTAGGTCATGTTGAGTTGGCTCACACGGCCGTTGTCCTGTTCAAGATGCAGGGTCAAGCCTGAGTGGAGGTATGATGCCCAACCTGCTCCACCAGATTTAGCAGCAATGCCGCGGCTTTTGGGGCGTGGGAATGCAGTCGTGGTCCTTGGAGTGACGGGGAGTGAGTCGTTGGTCGTAGCAGGCGAGCTGGCCGAGCAAATCGAGGAGCAAGGTGTAGGCTGCATAAGCCACATAGGCGAGTGCAGCTCGGAACTTGTGGCAGAAACCTGGCTGGGACGACGGTGAGACACAGCAGAGTCGGACAAGCCAGAAGGCATGCCTGATCGGGGGGCAGAGGTGGGCGAAGGGATGCTTCGAGTAGCGGCGACAGCGGCTTGCATGTTGGCAGGCGCTGATCGGTCCGATTCGCCAAGCGTGCGTGAACGGAAGCGACGACCAAAGAATGGTGCGCAGCCATCCATTTGCACTGTCGAAGGGCGACGATTAGTGGCTGGATTGCTGAGAGGGCTTGGCAGAGGCGGTACAGGTGGCTGGGCGCACATCGCCTGCTCAGAGAAGAATAGCGAAGAAGTGTCGAGGCGCAGCTTTGGCGTCGAAGCGACGCGAGCTCGCAGAAGCCTCGATTTCGTCGACTTGTTGGCCATGTCGGCGTTATGAGCGGTGCTTCTGGTTGACTTGGATGCAGGAGACTGGGTAGGGGCTATGCTGTAGGGCTGTACCTCGTAGCGAACAGGCTCAGATGGTGACGGCGCTGGGAGCAGCGGAGGCAAGGGCAAGTTGGAGAAGGTGTGAGGCGAGACGTGCGACGCTTGACTGTAGACGTCTGCAGTGCTGGGACGTCGAGGAATATCTCTGGTGTGATCAGCGCGGGTAGCAGTGAGGGTAGCAGTGAGTGTGGCAGTGAGGGTGGAGTTGAAGCTGGGAATGGAAGGAAGCGAAGGAATGCTGAGAGTGTTGCATTTTTCTGTTGAGGCAGTGCAAACACTCATCTTGCTCAGGGAGACGTCCGGAGCAACAAAGGCGGGAGTCAGGTATGAATCAGCGCTGTGGCTATTGTCAAGAACAGCCACAGGTGCACCAGTGGTAGCACTGGATCGTGACATGGTTCCTTCGGCGCTGCTTGCTGAAGCCGAGTCAGAGGAGCTAGCGTGAGTGGAGCCTTGCGAGCGGGAGAAGGAGGGAACGGATTCTTCATGTGAAAGTTGGCTATCATTAGCTTCAAGCCCGGATGAAGGATCAAAGCGTTGGCTGTAGGCCACTTGGCATGGATCAACAAATGACGAGGCGCTTAGGCTGTCGTCCTGGAGTGGAGGCTGAACTGTATACTCTTTGTCAAAGAAGCGGTAGGTGCCTCGATAGAGCTCGGCGGGGGCTTGTGCCGGGGCCAAAGTGCGGTCAAGTGCTGGCGAGGGGTCTGTGTGCTGTATAGACGAGGAACGCGAGGAATCGGTTCCGGAAAGATCAGAGAGCCCTGCTGGTGACTGGGGTGGTGCTATGGAGAACTGTGCGGCGAAAGTGCTCTGAGAGGCGGAATGCGGCCAATGAGGTTCGTCGATGGTGTCCTCGGAGAAGCGTGAGGAAAGGAGGCGTTGCTGAACATTGTGACTGGGTGGTTGGTACTTGATCTTGGAGATGGACGAGGACTGCATGGGTTTAACCTCATCAATGGTGCCAATGTTAGAAGAGGGGAGGCGAGCTGAAGAGATGGCGCTGCTGGAGGCAGATGCAGAGGTAGGAGGTGGAGTGAAGCGAATGCTGTCGGGTCTGCGAGGATACTCGTCAGGGATGTCAATGCTGAGCCTGCCAAAGTGCATCGAGATTTGACTGGAGCGAGGCGAGTTGGGCGAGATGGAGCCGGCGATTGAGCGGCTCCGGGCTGGACAATGTTGGAAGCGATCAGATGATAATTGAACACGGGGATCAAGACAGAGCGGGACCTCGGCAGAGCTCCACAATGTGGATATACTTCCGGCTCTCGAGACTGCTCGAGACATGCCATTGTCGATTGCGTGGCTTTCTAGGTCTGAAGATCTGGACATTGTGATGCTGTGGGCGAAGGTGTGGTAAAACAGAGAGCAGACTGGTGTTTGAGAGAGGGGCTTGGTTGTATCATAATCACCGCAGACAAACGGATGCAGCTTTGGTGGGATGATCTGCAGCTCCACACAATGTTGACAGCGAGAGAATTCGAGCAATGCAGTGGACCGCGTCTACAGATATCGAGCAAGAAGCACCGAGATAAAAGGCAGTTTGAGATGGAGTGCTGTGGTTGAAGAAGACGACCGAGATGATGGTGGAAGACCAAGATGATGGTGAAGGCCAAGAGAAGGCAAGAGACCAAGAGAAGAAGACAAGGATTGTGCCCATTTCACTCACAGCTTAGACTCAAATTGGTAGGGGATCCCATCCAAGCCGGTTCTTGTCGGAATAGCCGCTATGGATTGGTAGCAAGGGGTTTCAAGGTTTGCTGGCATGTTGGCTTACTTTGTAGCTCCAAGAAGGCGTAGCAGCTGTCTCATGTTCAGTGTGAGTGTGAATGTGAGTGTGAGTGTGAGTGTCTGTGGCTGTCCAGTTCGGCTGGGTTCCGATCCATGAATCATTCAATCCAACGTGACATCTTGAAAGTGTCACATACGCCTTGCACTTGGCCTGCATCACTGCTTCACACTCCTAGTCTCGCCTCGACCGGGCACTTATCCCTTACTCTCTCCTGTCAGCAAGGTAGCTAGAGTCAATGTAGCTCAAGGCGCTTGCCCAAATGCCACGAGTGTAAAGCAGCAACAGGAATTGGCAAATGCAAGGGATTCAAAGTGAGGAATTGGACAAGCAGCAGCAATCCAAAATCCGCGGTTTACTCCAGCTGCAGTGCCATCTGGCTACTTTGCCACGCACTTTGACTCGTCGCATCGATCCTTTTTCCCCCTTTTTTCCCCTTTTTTCCCTTTTTCCTTGCATGCTTGTACATCACCACGGATTTACACCTGGCTGGCACGATATCAACAGCTTATTTGCGTGTGGAACTCGAGAGATCACCTTGAATCTCGCTAGTACCTCGCCGGCATTCCCGACGGCTCATCCCGATGTTCCTCCCACGCCTTGCTTCCAAAAGACGTCTTGATTCGGATACGGTTGGTTTGGCAGTGCGGAACACCCGATCAGGCTGAGTCGCTATGGACTCATTCTCAATCCTGCTTTCTCTCACGCTTGTTCGGCTTCAGATGTCCGTGTCCAAGCGAGGAGGAGCTTTCCAAACTGACGCCAATGCCTGGCAGCCCTCCGAGAGTGATTCATAATCGGGACACTTCCGATCGATAGCCGAGTGTTGGCTAAGAATCAGGATCATGGCCGTCCTGATGCCGAACAAGCTTTCGGTACCGCTCGAGCGTTCGCGATCTCCACTACAGAGTTGCCGTAACCCTCTCCGCCTTCCCACGGCCAAGCTCCGCTCTAATCCCCCAACACCTGCTTCCGTCACGATCAACGACCCATCAAGCTGCGTTCCTGACGCCCTCATTCTCATCTGTGCTCGTCCCTTTTACGTCCTTCTTACATCCTTCTTACATCCTTCTTACATCCTTCTTACATCCTTCTTACATCCTCCTTATGTCCTTCGATCCGTTTTCTAATCGATTCGCAGTTAGGCGGTGCCAGTATCACAGCGACACAGTGTTTGCGTTTTCAAATTTTGCATTGCGTTGATATGCGACATAGGACCATGCAAAGGTCAAATGTGTTTCGAAGCGATCAAGATAACGAAGAGAGTCGGCGTTTACTTGGAGTCTTCGAGGTACTGTTGGTTTCGAGTGTGGGAGAGACAGATGCAATTGCGGTCAGTATCAGCAGCATGTCCAAGTGTTGCATAGCGCAAGATTGTTGAATGCTTACCTTTCCTCGGATATCCTTCCACTGCTTCTGTTGGCGTTGAAGAGCAAATGCAATCAAAGTGATAGCAACAAACCAAGAAAGAGAGGTCAGTAAACGATTAGGATTAGCAAAGCACGATCAGCAAGCCAGCTTATGAATTGCAAAATCACGTCGAGATGTCGAAACTTACGCCCTTGTTATGCGAGTCCCACCATGCTGTGGTGGCAAGGTCGTAGCCGATACCGAAGGCGAAGGCACCGAAGAAGATCGATCCGACGCTGATGGAGTGCAGGTAGATGTGAAAGGTTGGTGGGTTGAGCGAATGGTAAGTAAGATATGTCAAGGTTGTCAGTAGAACTGTTTGTGCCGGGTTGTGACCAGTGCAGCAGGGCAACAGTGGCGATGGAGGCGAATATCGAGATCCTAGTCTATCCTCTGCTTTCGGACCCTGCTGCTCGAGAGTCGAAGGGTGCGATGATGCTGATCTGATGAGCTGAAAAAGTGAAACTCACTAAACAGAGTTACGCTTGAAGACAGTGTTGTAGACAGACTTGGCCAGCGACATTGTGAGGAGCGTGTGTGTTGGCGTGATTGACGATCGTGGAGGAAGGCAGTAACGAGTTTGATGGCGACGACCAGGTTGACAACTCGAAACTGCAATTCTAGGCGAGCGCAAAGGCTCAAGGCTCAGGCTGGAGAGAGACTACGGTTTGCTCTTGCTGCGATTTTAAATCCCAGCTTTCTCGCAACGGGCCACGGGCCACAATTCGCGGATGTGTTGAAATTCGGAACCGACCATTCCCTTTTTCGCAAACTTGATGTAGCCTCCAAAGGTCTAACAGTCGGGCCTCCTGCTTCTGCCTCTCGATTTTCGCACGACAGTAAACCCCGTGATGGCGATGCAGGGTCTCCAACAGCAGCAGCAAACAAAACACACCCACACCCACACCCACACCCACACCCACACCCACACCCACACATTTTTGAGAGAGACAGAAGGAGCCCCTGATTCTCTGCTCTGCTCTGTCCTTTCGCAACACAATATAGGCAAAGAGGGGCCAGCTGCATGTCGCGCATCTTTGCTGTCTCTTTGCATGCTGCCATGCTGTTTCGGAGGTAGAAGGTGATCTTGGCCGTCGTGCTTTCCTTTGCTATGATTGTGAGCACGTCTCTTCTTGCCGTGCCGAGAGAGCGGGAAGAGCCGTTCTTGGCTTGATCCATCGGCATGGTCCGAAAATGAGTTGTCATCCTTCTGACGTATCACATTATCACGTTGCGTCAGGTTGTGAATGATAAGAAAGCAGGCTGGTGGCGTGAGAAGAGTAGAGTCCAAGCGTAACGCCTGAGCTTGTTTGCAATGGCCTAGACCGCAATGAGCGATTCCAAATGACTGAGCGATGCGGCTGTTCCGTCTGGTTCTCTTCTCTGCTTGGGTGCCTTTGACTTTTCGAGTGTGCCTCCATCTTGCTCTTCGACTCTCTCCTTTTCTCTTGCACACCATCGACCACCATCTTCATTTGAGAGGCAAACCACCATATCCTTCCTCCCACCATATCCTTCCTCCCACCTATCCTCCTGGTCCCCACCTCGCTCTTTCTCATACTCTTCCTGATACACTGGTCATCTCATCTCAACGCCGGACAATAGCTGCACGATCTATAGCCTGAACGGATACAGCTCCCGCTCCATCACCGAATATCCTAAAGGACGTCGTCAAGCCTCTCCGAATCTCCCCTAAACTCGTTATAGGTAAAACTACCCTCTCGCTCCAAGCATCCATCCATCGCAAAGATGAAGAAAGTGCAGCGATTCATGGGTGTTGCAGACTCGAAGCCCGCATCGGCGCCTCTCAGCACCAGTCCAGCCAACTCGTTCCATAGCTCTGGCATCTCTTCCAATCAATACGCCGTGCCAAGCACACCCCGTGCAACATCGACGAGCTACGATGCTCCTGCCAACTTGCTCTTGCCGCCCTCTCTGGCCGCTCCAACATCTCACCAAACATCACAGCAATCCCAGTATGCTTCACGGCAGCTCTCGCCCCAGTCTTCCCAGACAATACTCCGATCAGCTCGTGCCTCTCCACAGCCATACAGTCCTTCAGCTCAACAGCAATACTTTGACCTTCCCACTCGTTCCCTCTCGCCAGGTCTCGCCACCAGCCCGAATGCTGCATCGCCGCTTGCCCAACCTCTGCCCACCCCTTCTGCTCAGCCCTCAGCCAACGACGCCATTCTCGTCGAACGATCTGACTTGCACAAATCGCTCAAAGCGCTCGAATCGCTTCTCGTCAATCTCGACGAGTATTGCCATCTTTCCGCTCATTTGGCCAAGGTCGAAAAGAAGCTCGCAAAGAGCGCTTCCGAGCTTGAACGAACCAAGATCGTCCTCGACACGCCTACTCAGACCCTCCAAGTCTCGTCTGCCATGTTCGAAGGCCTTGCTGAGGTCTCTTCACGCCATGCAAAACACGTCCAGAAGGAATACGAAGCTGTCAACGATGCCTGCGCCAAGTACTTCAAGAAAGTAGCAAAGGAGCAACGTGCACACGACGAGCTCGTCCAGAACCTTGATGCAAAGATCAAGAAAGCCAACGCTGCCCACGAGAAGAACGTCAAAAAGGCTACCGCCAACAAGGCGCTTGAATCTCACGACAAGTATATTGCTACCGTCCAGGCGCTCACCAACGACATCAGCCGCGCCAAGAACGCACATGCTGCCTCCATGGCTGCCAAGAGCCACGTCTCTTCTCTGCTCGTCGCAAGCACCCTTGGTGGTCTCGCTGACGTCGAGTTCAAGCGTCACTGCGAGTCAGTACGCAGAGTCGGTCCGCACGTCGGCCGTCTCAATGAACTTCTTTGCTTCACCTCGTCCGAGTTCATGCCTGCTCTTCAAGCATCCCAATTCGACCAAGCTCAGCACGGTCAAGCCGAGTATCTTGCAACCCTCGCCGCTCAGGTCGAGGCGCAGGTTGCCGCTCAAGCCCAGATCAATGCCAAAATCAACCAAGATACGCAAACCATCCTCCGCGCGCAGGAGATGGGTTGGCGCCCACCTTCACCACTTGTTCCTCCCACAACCACCTACGCCAACCTTGGTCGCAGCAGCAGCATCAACAGCAACCTCAGCAGGATCACTAATAATCGCCAATCCTTTCCGTCAGCCCCCACGAACAGCAACCTCTCCACCACCAGCAGCGCTGACAAAGCCAATGGCCTAGCAACACCTCCAGCAACTTCTGCGCACAGCTCCACCTTTTTACAGCAGCAGCCTCAGGCGCCATCGCGATCCAACTCTACCTCTAGAACACAGCCGCCCGCGCCTGCTTCGGCACCCTCTGCCGCTGCCTCTCTGTCCACTTTGCGCACTGTCGATAGCGATGCTGCATCCATTCATAGCGTAGCCACCGACAAGACTCCTCGTCCTGATCTTGACACCCCAAAGCCTCCATCTTCGGGTCTTCTTGGTGCGCCCAACAGTGTACGGCTAGTCCGTGCGCCCACCGGATCGACTATGAAGTCAATGGCCGTGCAGCCACAGACATGGCAAGATGCTCCTGTCTCATCTTCTTCCTCGTCCATCTCACCCCTTGCGCCTTTGACCCATGACCGCAACCCTACCGATTCGTCTGCGCAGGAAGGAAGCATTGTCGACAAGCTCTCTGTGCCTCGCGAAGAATCGGATGCTGCCCCCAGCCTGAGCGCAAGCAACAGCGCCCAGGGTTCGGAAGATGGCAGTCGTGTCCCCCGTACACCTGATGACAGCGAATCAGTGCCTCCAATGCAAGGCGACCGTAACGGCAACAACAGCAATAGCAAGTTGCAGCAGACATCTTCAAAGGATGCAGCCATCCTTGACTACCGCAACGTCCAGCCTACAAGCAGTGCTTTTGACCTTGAGCCTACCAAGCTCGTCACCTCTCCCACCATGCGACCTGCCCAGCGTGCTCTTGAGCAGTATCGCGAGCAGGCCAATAAGCCTCTCACTTTGCCGACAGCTACTCGGTTCGATCGCGACAGTGTCCCTAACAACGGTCAAGGTAGTCAGCTCGACCGCTCTGAGACCGTCTACAGCTCTGCCAGTCAGCAGAGTGGCGTCCAAGGTACTGACCAGGCCAACGCCCTCAAAATCAGCCTCTGGGAGCGTGAGCGTGAGCGTGAGCGTGAGCGTGAGCGTGAGCGTATGAGGCAGCTCGAGCGAGAGGAAGAGGCTTCGGCCTCACCAACACCCATGTCTGCCACAATGGAGCTGAGCTCCTCGCGTCCAACGTCCGGCATTTCCTCCGGCTCCACCGCTTCCTCTTCGTACAACAATGACGGCCCCTCACGCTCCAAGGTGAGCGATGTAAGTGCAAGCGACCGAGGCACAAGCTTTCAGGTAGGCCTTGGCTACCCGCGCTCGTCTGGCGCCGATGCTCATGACCTCGATCGCTACGCACCTGCTGTCGGCTCGACTCGCCTCTCTGCTACAGGCGTTACTCGCTCGCTCAGCACAGACACCACGGCATCTGAGCGGAGCTTTGTGGCCCGTATGAAGGCCCGCTACCAAGCTGAGAAGGATCTGGAACGCGAGCAGCGAGAGCTCAATGTGCTCGAGAAGGAGCGCGCCGCGCGAAGGGCAACCATGGATCCCAATCTCTCACTTCCATCCCTTGGCGGAGCACGAGGTCGCGTTCCGGAGATCGCCTCGCGCTATCAGATATCTGGTCCAGCCGCCTATGCTCAGGATGTCAACTCGAACAGGCGTTACCACGATAGCCTCCCTGCTAGCTCAAACTCTGGAGGCGGCCTTTCTCGCAATAGCGCCATCTCTTCTGCAGCATCTGCCGCCAGCGGTGGCATTGACGAGTTTGGTGGCCTCGTGAGAGACGGCAGGCAAGCTGGCACCCTTCCTGTTGGTGGGCGACCTATGGAGCCCCCGCACTCCGATGTCTGCGGCTGTCACCAGTGTTCCGCGCGACACTATGGCAGTGGCACCACCAGGATTGACGCCAGCGCATCTGCAGAGAAGAATGCCGGTGTCAGAGGCGATCCTAGAAAATACAACGTCCGTCGCACATCTATGCCAGTGCCGCCGAAAACTGACTCTTATACGCAGCAATCACTGTATGCCAAGCAGCACCAGCAGCACCAGCAGCAGCACCCTGGATACGCCTCTTCGCCGCCGCGAGCCTCGCCCCATGACGCCTACTCCCAACAGCAAGCTTACGGCTATAGCCAACAGCAGCAGCAACAGCATCCGCATCACCTGAATGCACCGGCATCAAGCATAGATAATGGAATCCCGCGACGAAGCTACGAAGATCTCGGCGCCGACACCGGCACGAGACGAGTAGTTTTCGCGAACGAGCGACAGAGGATCCGCTGAATGTGCATCAGCGCGGCATTGTTGAGCCTCCCGAAGCATCTCTTTCTCCTCAGTTCATCCAGGTCCATCTGATTGGCAGTGGAGCTTTACGTTCCTGAGCTAAACTTGTCGAATATCGAATACATTTGATGCTTCCTCCAACATTCCCCTACAACCGCAGCTACCTGTAAGGAACTTTACAGCTATGCTTTATGCTTTGTTTTTATGTTGCAATCTACGGTATCTCCTACAAACTGTAAACATCGGCGTCCGAAAAAGTGATGAGACCTGCGGGAATAAGAAGTGCTAAGGATGCGAAGCGAGGGCTCGCTTATATCCATCGCTTATATCTATCAAGTACAAAGTAGGCGAAGCAGCAAACCGGGGTCGCCGGTCAACAGCGGCGCTGTCAGAGTGCGGGGTAGAATGTCAAAACTCGGCGCTTCTTTTGGAGCAATCCCCACTTTGACGGCTTTCTGGCTTCGAGAAGCATACAACTTGGGCGCCGTTTTCCTGCACTCTGACACACAAAGCACTCGATTGGAGAGCTAATTCGAGAACCGGAGATCTAAGCTCCTCTCCATCCTGGGCTAGCGGCTACCTCGGCGATTTCCTTAGCTTCTTCTTCTTCAGCGGTGATGATGGCTCTCACCGTAACCTCGGCAAACGACGGCTCGATTGTTCTTCACCTTGTTTTGAGAGTTGACCGAGCTCACTCCGTCGGCTGGCGCTTCGCTAAGTTTGTAGGAGCGACTCAACGTCATGTGCTTTACGGCATATTACGGTCCGATTCGTGCCTCCTGAACGGCTCCTCTTTGCTGTGACTGCTTCGACACTGCTTGTCTATGTCGCATGGTGCATAATGAACCAAGTCACCGGTCGCTGGCTAAGCAGCGATCATTGAAAGGGCCCAACAGTGTTACCATCGGATCGGGCTGCTTCGATCGCAGCTGCGTGCTTCTGTCAGTGCAAGGTCAGGCTGTGGTCTTGGCAGACTAGCGTCTGGGGCTCCGCCTTGACCTCTCGAGCCACTAGTTCGCCGGTCCTGCCACACAAAAGTCGCTGGCTGTTTTGCTACGTCGACAACCTCTTCCGCCCTGCTCCATGTGTCAAAGTGTCATAGACTTCAGCTGAGACGGTATATAATGGCTCACTTGACCTCCAGCATTCGTGAGGTTGAACCTAAACCAAACTCCAACTCCTCCTAGCCAGCTACTCGGCTCAGCTTCTGGCTGTCAGACTCAACATCTCCGCCAGGGCGAGCAGCTACAAGCACGTTGAACAAGATGCCGTCTCTCACACTATGGACGCTGCTCCTGGTGGGTCTGTCCGCCACCTTTACCCTCACTAAAAACACCGCAGCTTCGAGCTCGATCTGTCTTGAAACCTCGTCTTCTGGCTCGGTCAATGGATCGAAAGGCTATCTCATTGCTCAGGCAGGGGAAACCACCGAAATCCTCACCTCTCGCGATGACGCACAGGTCGTTCACCATGCGGCTTTGAGCTTTGCAGCTGACCTCATGCAGATGGTCCCATCCTCCAACGTCCTGGTCCGCAACGTCACCGCTGCATCGATGAAGATGTCAACACAACAGCAACAAGGCAAAGAGAGGACGGTATTGGTAGGCACCGATGGGTCGAGCTTGATGCGCGAGTTCGCTTCCATGGATACCAATGTGCGCAGAGAAGCAGACAAGGTGCGAGGCCAGTGGGAATCCTGGTCATCAACTTTGCTGGGTGCACAGGGACTCGTGCTATTGGGTTCTGACAAACGTGGTGCTGCTTATGCGCTGTACACCTTGAGTGAAGAGCTAGGTGTTAGCCCGTGGAAGTGGTTTGCCGATGTCAACCCGACTCGGTCTCACGATGCTGTCTATTATTCTCCTTCCAATGCTTCCACTGAGGGTCAGCAAGGATCATTTGGTTCAACTTCGTGCTCCCACGGCCCACCTTTGGTCAAGTATCGTGGTATATTCCTCAACGATGAAGCACCGGCACTCACCAACTGGGCTCGTACCCACTTCAAAGGTCCTTTCCCACCTGAGAATGCCCCGCAATCCTTCAACGATGCGATGTACGCCCACGTCTTTGAGCTGCTGCTCGGACTCAAGGCCAACCTGATCTGGCCTGCGATGTGGTCCGACAGTTTCGCCGTTGCCGGTCTGCCAGATCTCCCAGGCAAGGGTGTCAACGGAACTGGCGCTGCTGGTCCCAACCAGCTCCTCGCTGACCGAATGGGCATCGTCTTTGGCACTTCACACCAGGAACCCATGGCACGTAACACACCCGAGTGGAACACGTGGTATCAAGGTCCTTGGGACTACACCACAAATCCGGACAACATCACCACCTACTGGGAGTACGGCGTCGAACGTGCTCAAGGTCTCGATACCATGTTCACGATGAGCATGCGTGGCAACGGCGACAAAGCACTGGACGGAGCCAACATGGAGCTACTTGAGAACATTATGGCAAAACAGAAGAGCCTTCTGCCTCACGATGATGCCAAGAATGCATCCAAGGTCACTGTCCCCATGATCATCTGTCTCTACACCGAAGTGCAGGGCTACTACAACGAAGGTCTCAAGGTTGACGATGACATCACGCTGCTGTGGACGGATGACAACTTTGGCTTCATTCGTCGTATCCCAACTGAAGAAGAGAAGAAGACTCGGTCTGGTGGTGCTGGTCTCTACTATCACGCAGACTACGTCGGTCATCCTCGTTCCTACAAGTGGATCAACACAGTCAACCTCGTCAATGCTTGGGAACAGCTCAACGTTGCCTTCCTCAACGACCAGACTGAGATTTTCATCCTCAACGTCGGCGATCTCAAGCCGGTCGAAGTTCCCATTCACTTCACTCTCAACATGGCTTACGACAACACCGGCTTCCGTCACGCATCTAACGTTACCACTTGGCTCGACACTTGGGCTGCCAAAACGTTTGGCATGGGAGCCAACAAGGAGCATCTCAAGATAGCTGAAGTGGTGCGTGGCTATTCGTGGCTCAACTCTCGAATCAAGCCTGAGATGGTCAACTCGACTACCTGGAGTGTAGTCAGCCATGCCGAAGCCGAATCTGTTCTTTCTCACTGGAACCGGCTTGTCTCGATCGTGGAGGATGACTTGATGCCCTACTTCCACAAGAGCCCGAACTGGGATGCATTCTATCAGCTCGTAGCATATCCCACCCTCGCCTCCGCTAACCTCAACAAGATGCACATCGCTGTTGGACGCAACAACCTCGCCGGCGCTCAGTCGAAGAATTCTGCCAACCACTGGGCCCGTCTGGCGCGCTCCCTCTTCAAGCACGACCAAGAACTAACCCAGGCCTACCACTCGCTCGGCAAGGGAAAATGGCAGCACATGATGTCTCAGCCACACATGGGAAGCCAATATTGGCAGCAGCCTATGCGGAACATGCTCGAACCTCTCGCCTTCATGCAGGTGGAGGATGAGGAATGGCCAAACACTGCCCTCGGAAGCAACTTGAGGGTGAGCGTGGATGGAAGCATGGGTGCTTGGCCAGGCGATAACCAGTACAACTGCAAGGATGGATACAACTGCCCAGACCCCAATTTGAGGGTTTTGGGCAAGTACGACGGTGACCAGTCAAGAAGAGTTTCGGTCGGTGCGGGTGATTCGAATCCTTTCTCATTCAGCGCCACTACAAATGTCACCTGGCTGAGTGTCGAGCAGCGACTTACCACTCTTGACTCGTTGCCGTCTTCGATGGGCAACTCAAGCTCGCAGCACCAGCAACGAGATTTCATTTTCCAAGACGGAGCAAGGTTCCTACAGAAGCGGAAGAATGGCGGCTTTAACGCCGGCGGAAACTTGGACGACGAATTTGAGGTCTCACTGCACGTCGACTGGTCGAAGCTGGGAGAGTATGATTGTGCGGATGTTAGCTCGGTGATGGAGAGGATGCAGACGGGCAAAGTGTACATCAACACGACAAGCATTGCTGCAGGACAATACGTTGGCATGTCAGCGTTGACCAACGTTACTGTCAGTCTCACTGTTGATCCTTGCACTGCCAATTCGGCGTCGAAGGGCACCTTCATCGGCTCTCCTGCTGATCAGTCCGTTTCGATGCTCGCTGCTCACGCAACCAAAGAGCCTGCTCGAGACGCTAATGCAACGCCTACCTACATCGAGACGCTCCCCGACTACGGCTTGATCGGATCAGGAGTCACCGTGCTCCCTCCCACAGCCGACTCCATCCCTGTTGGTGCGGGTCCCTCGCTTGCATTCAACTTCTTCATCCCACCCTCCTCCAGCAAAGCCAGCGACAAGGGAACCACCTCGTTCAATGTGACAAGCTGGCTAGCTCCCATTCTGAACTACAGAGACAAACGACCTCTCAAGTACGTTCTTGAACTCGACAACGACCCTTCCTCGCGCACAGAGGTCACGCCCGTACCGGAGAACATCACTCCCGGCACAAACTCAGCGGATTGGGGCAAGGTTGTCAGTGCCAACATTCGGAAGGTCACCACTGAGCTCAAGGCAAAGAGTAACGGAGGTGTGAGTGGAGAGCACACTGTGAGATGGTGGCCACTAGAGCCAGGGATTGTGCTGCAGAAGGTGGTTGTGGAACCGAAGGGGATAATGAGCACATTGACGAGTCTGGGCATGCCTGAGAGCGGGCGTGCTGGAATGATCTAATCCTCGCCACTCCTACGCGGAGGTGCTGGCGCTGATAATTATGGTTGATGAGGTTGTGGTAGAGCTGGTTGAGGTGGAAGAGGTGGTGGCAGAAGAAGTGGAATTGCTGCTGGATGTAGTGGATGTTGCAGCAGCGCTTGAGGTCGAGCTTGCAGAAGCTGCAGCAGTGCTAGTTGTAGTGGCAGAAGCTGCGAGCAAAGCCAAAGCGACAATGCTAGAGCTAGAAGTGGTTGCTGCCACTAATGAAGAAGGCAAGATTCTCCGGTTGACAGGGTAAATGCGCATCGGAGAATCAAACAGAGTAGACACCGAAACTGCTTGCCCGGGCTGCATATCCTCCTATTGTGCTTTTGCTGGAACTAGGCTCGCCCAATCGAGCAAGCATATCGCTCAGTTGTTTGTTATCCTATCGAGATCCAGCTAGAGTCTGCTACTGATCATCGCAGGACACGACGAGAGGAACGGCTGAGACAGCGAAAGCGGTTGTGATAGAGTGGCACTTTTTGACAGGCTTCGATGCAATCCAAATTCGAAAAATGGGCGCCGATTTCCGATCCTGACCGCCGATCTGAGACTTTTGCCCGATACGGCTTGCTTTTTCTCCTGTATTTTGGGGTCGCATTTTATGCTTCCTTTTCGATGATCCTTTTTGCAATAATGAAAAAAAAAAGGAAAGGTCGCATCGAAAGGGCGCAGAATGCTTCTGTAGATCCGATGCCGATCTCAAGGCCGTAAAGCAGAGGTGTCAGTCGTGTCGACCTAACATTCTTCCGCTTTACTCTTGGTCTACCAATCTCGATGATCTGCACCCTTCCCATCCATCCATCCATTACTGCATCCATTACTGCATCCATTACTGCATCCGCATTCATGAATGCAAAGCCAGCCTGATGTGTCAAGCAGTGCCTGTTGGACGCATAAGCGAGTCGCTCTAAAGTAACCAACCCACCGGCTAAAAATGGCTCGCTCCTCTTGGCCTTGCCTCCCCACTTCTTTTATCGAGAGCCAGAGGTGGCCGAGTACCGATGCAGCGGCAGACGATGCTCCGGACTGTAACTATCTCATCTTTGATGCCGATTGGAGAGACAAGATCGCAACGAGTGCAGCGGGCTCATGTATGTATTCTGTCATGCCGCGCAGACGTTGTTGTGTTGTGTTGTTGATACTGTAATCCATCCAATCATCTAGCTGCTACGGCTATGACTTGATCAATGCATTACCCCATAGGTTCATGCCATTGTATGAACGGTTCGACTCTGCATCAATGACAAGTCAGCAGAACTAGCGTTTGACGTGACGCTCAGAGCCTTCGCAATGTCGCCCATCAAAGGGGTTAGCAGCACAAAGCACCAAAGATCCAAGCTCGAGTGCGGCTAAACAGAAGAACGGAGAAGCTTTGGAAGTCAGACGACGCTATCGAGCTCGCTAAACGAGCATCAAGGAAGACCCTGATCCGCGTCTCAAACCTTCTCTTCATCTCGAACACCCCTGTTCTAGTGTCAAGCCTTCCACTGTTGCTTGTGTCGCCAAGGTTCTAGCTCGCCTTTGCGCGAAGAAGCATGATGATGGAGCTATAGCCATACCTCGCGCTCTGATCTCAAGCGGTTCGGCCCACCCTCTTCCGTATCTAACTCTGCCGCACATCATTATCAATCAACGGCAATGTCCTTCGCCATGTAGATCTTCGACAACCACAAGCTAAATCTATTTGGTCCTTGGCCGTAGTTTAGCTCTGCACAGCTATCTCTTCTTCGCACCGATCGATGAGTGGGTAGAAGCGGTAGAAGCGGGGAAGATGTGCACCACACGTATGAACAATGTCCCTCCTTCCTCGACACTCCAAACAAGTTGATATAACACACCCGTCGATCCTCCTCCCTAACCCCTCTTCCTTCAACATCCTCCTGGCACACCACTCTTGCCTATTCTGGACTCCATTCACTCTCACTAGAAGGTCATCCACTTCTGCCCTTTAGCCATTTTTTTTGCTCACCATCATCATGAAGGTGGTCACTTACAAGGCACTGGTTGCCCTCCTCTCGCTCGCCTTGATGGCTGAGTCTTCCCCAGTTGCATCTCCCTTTGTAGTCAAGGAATCTGTACCTCTTCCCTCGACTTGGGTGCGTCGTTCCACTGCCGACTCCGAGACCGTTGTCCCTCTGCGCTTCGCTCTTCGTCAGTCCGCCGTCTCTGGCTTGCAGGCTAAGCTCCACGAGACTTCCAACCCTGACTCTGCTCTCTACGGCCGACACCTTTCCGCCGAGCAAGTCTCGTCTTACCTCCAGCCTGAAAAGCGCACCGTTGAGGAGGTCGAGCTCTGGCTTCGTGATGCTGGTGTAGAGGTCGACGAGAACCTCGCCAAGCGCTCCTTCTCGGGAGACACCTTCACCGTCCACGTCCCCGTCTGGAAGGCTCGCCAGCTTCTCAACGCCGACCTTGGTGTTTACGAGCACAAGCGATCTGGTACTCTCGCTGTCCGCGCCGAGACTTACTCTGTCCCTCGCAGCGTCTCTGAGCATCTTGACTACGTCGGACCTCTCACCTTGTTCACAGACCCTAAGCCTCATGCCTCGGGCATTGCCGGCGTTCAGATCGAAGAGCTCCCTGACGTCGCCACCAACCTCGTTTCCAACCTTCAGAAAGCTGCCGGCGACAGCACCCCTGCCGCCTGCAACCCTGGTCGCGTCACCTCCCTTTGCCTCCGCACCTTCTACAAGACGGTCAACTACGTTCCTAAGGCGGCCAACAAGTTCAAGGTGGGCATCAGTGGTTTCCTTGGCGAGTATGCAAACTTTGCCGACTTTTCCGGATACCTCGGCGAGCAGCGTTCTGATGCCGCCGCGGCAGGTTACAACTTCACCGTTCAGTCGATCAACAACGGCTTGAACGATCAGAGCGATCCTGGATCCGAGGCTAACCTGGATGTTGAAACTGTTGGTGGATTCATCTTCCCCATCCCTTTCACCTACTACACTACCACTGGTTCGCCTCCCTTCACACCTGACGCTGCCACCGTTAACAACACCAACGAGCCTTACGAGCTTCAGATGAACTACCTCCTCTCGCTCGGGGACCAAGACCTCCCCAAGGTCCTTTCCACTTCGTACGGTGATGACGAGCAGACGGTCCCTCGCGCTTATGCCGAGAGGGTTTGCAACTACATCATGGCTCTTGGTGCTCGTGGTGTTTCGACCATCTACTCTTCTGGTGATTCGGGCATTGGACATGATGGAAAGTGCATTAGCAACGGAGCTGTCAACAAGAACGGTACTCGTCAGTTCCTCCCCGCTTTCCCCGCTTCTTGCCCTTACGCTACTGCGGTGGGAGCTACTCAGAACTTCAGCCCTGAAATCGCTGTAAACGGCGACCTTCGCGGCTTCTACTCTGGTGCTGGTTTCTCCGACTACTTCAAGCGCCCCTCCTACCAAGACAAAGTCGTCAAAGACTACATCAAGTCGCTCAACCAAGAATACAAGGGTCTCTACAACAACCAAGGTCGTGGATACCCCGACGTTGCAGCCCAGGGTTCCCGCTACGTCATCAAGGTCGGTGGTAAGAACTATCTTATCTACGGCACTTCTGCTTCCGCTCCTACTTTCGCCTCGGTTCTTGCGCTGTTGAACGACAACAGGATCAGTCAAGGAAAGAGCAGCTTGGGCTTCATCAACCCTCTCATCTACAGCAAGTGGTTGGGTACTCCTGCGTTGAAGGATATCACTGAGGGCAGCAGTAACGGTTGCAACACTACTGGTTTCCCTGCTAAGCAAGGTTGGGATGCAGTCACGGGTGCAGGTACTCCTAACTTTGAGGAGATGTTGAAGCGTCTTCCCTAGACAACCCGTCCTCCTTCTTCCGCGCTCTTTTTTTTGTTTCGCTTTCTTTAGACGCTCCGTAGACGGTGTAGTTGCAGTTTCAATCAAGATCTATGTTTGAAAACAATCTGGTGCCTGAGTGGTGTGATATCAAGCGTCTGTTCGCTTCAACGTCGAGGGCAGCAGCAATCACAAACGACCAGGCAGTGTTGCGGAATGGGATATATATCGTGCCATGTATTGCAACATAACAATCTCAGCTGTATCGAGCGAATTAACCGTGCTTCCAGTAGCAGATATCACCATCTTGCACCTTGTATTCCCTCCCGATCTGCTTGTATTTACCGGCTGCCTTGACACCAGTCTCACTTGCGTGTTCCTTGATGTCGTCGATGCCGAAGACCTCACCGCAGACAAACTTCTTCTGGAAATCGGTATGAATGATACCGGCAGCCTCGGGAGCCTTCAACCCTTTCCTGAAAGTCCAAGCTCGCACCTCATCCGGGCCGGCAGTAAAGTATCGGACCAAATCGAGACCGTCGTAACCAGCCTTGGTGATCTTACCAAGAGCACCGGTAATGTTGTCTCCGAGCGTGGCGAGTTCTGCTGCCTCTGCTTCAGGAGAGCCAAGTGCAAGGAGACGCTCTTCGAGAGCAACGGAGAAGGGAATCAGGAGATCACCAGGGTTGTTCTCGTCAATCCACTGCTTGATCTTGGGGAGCCACTTGTTCTTCTTGCGGACGTAGTCACGTTCGGAGAGGTTGACGAGGTAGATGACCGGTTTGGCGGTGAGCAATTGAAGGTTGTTGATGACTTCGACCTGCGAGCGCCAAGCAGATTGCAATAGGAGAGGAAAAGGGCCAAGTGTGAGTAATGGCTGTACTTTTGTCACGTAAACTTTCGCCTGTTACTACTACTGCTATGCGTTGCTGATGCTGCGATGGTATTGGTTGCGTTGCTTGAAGATTATTGGAAGGATCAGTTGAATACTAATTATCTCATATTGGCTTGATGGGCCATCGACGAGCTGGGTTATTAGAATTTCGAGTGTCTCAATGCGCACTCTTTATCATCATTTGGAGTTGCCTGCCAATCGCCTTGAGGAATCATCGATGCATTCCGCAGCGAGAGCAGCAGCAGCAGCAGTGAAAGTTGCAATGTTGAAGTACGGCAACTTACCTCGTTGTTGTTCCAGTCGCCCTTTCGAATATCCTTGTTGTCCTCCTGAACATACTTCAAGATTTTCTCGATGATAGCAACCTCTTCCTTCCTCTTCTTGTCTTCCAAGCTGACGTTACCGGCACTCCTGGCGTTCTTCTTCGAGTTGTCAAGGGCCTTCTCGATCCAGTCGATGTCCTTCAACCTCAACTCGGTCGAGATAATCTCCATATCCCTGATAGGGTTGACGTCACCCTCGACGTGAATAACCTCTGCATCATCGAAAGCCCTAACCACCTGAAAGATACCATCGACACTCCTGACGTTGCTCAAGAAAGCGTTACCCAAACCGGCACCTGTACTCGCACCTGCTGTCAAACCAGCGATATCAATGCAAGTCAAAAAGGCAGGAACCTCAGACTTGGGTTTGTACTGCTGCACCAACCAAGTGAACCTGTCATCGGGGACAGGAACTCGAGCCTCTTCAGGCTCGATAGTAGCGTAGGGGAAATTGGCGGATTTGCCCAAATCGCACTTGGCAATGACGTTGAAAAGCGACGACTTGCCGACGTTGGGCAAACCAACAATACCCATCTTGAGGTTATTCGAGGGACGACCCAGACGGATCTTCTCGACGACGGCTTGCTTCTTGGGAGGCATCTTGCGGGATTTTGCTGCTAGACTAGGGGTGGTAGCAAAAGTTCGAAGCGAGAGGAAGGATGCTCTAGCTGGAGTTGCTACTCGTATGATGCTAAGTGTGAGTTGGAAAAGAGACGCCGATGTGCGAGGTGTGAAGATGGAAATGCGTGAGTTGCTGGTGGTGGCCAGTCGTAGATGAGCCATGTAACAGCCGTCGAAGGGATATAGAAGGAGGACTTGCTGTAGGTCTGCGATGTTGCAAGACAAGAAACAAGGCAAGAATTGGAGTGAGTATTGCTCCATGACCGACAAGGCGAACACAAATTTCTTCCTGAAATGTCCATCGTTCTTTCTCGGCCGACTGAATTGTTTTCTCCAAAAAAGGGGGGAAGGGTTGTAAGATCGCCAAGAAGTTACAGCAACTAAATTTGGGGAAGAAAAAAACAAAAAAGGGATCGACGGATGTTGACGTTAAATTAATTTGCTCTGGTTGATTTGAAATTTCAAATGATGTTCAGGAGACAAAAGTGAAATGCTGCGCCGGAGAAGCGGAGAAGCGGCGAAGCGGCGAAGCGGCGAAGCGGAGAAAGCGCGTCTTCGGCACAAGAACAGTCTAAGATCGCACACACACACGCTGGCAGGAACAGTTGCTGATTCGAATTCAAACTGTTTGGCTTGGCATCTTGACCAATATCGCTGACACCAAGCTTGCTGTCCACCACCATCATCTCCACGCCCTATCGTTTGCCGCGAACACACGAACACACGCACACACGAACACACGCTACGATGCGATCGACAAATTTCGCACTCGCCCTAATGGCGCTCGTCCTCTCCTTTATCGCTGTTGCATCCGCCAGCCAGGCCGAACCTTCGCCTGCCCCTCTCGAAAAGCGTCAAGCAGCTGCTGGTGGTGGTGGCGGTGTCGCAACTACATACACTGGTGTCCAGATCATCTCCGGCTACAACCCACCACCTTCTCCGGCTCTGCCATCACCCACCGTCTCGCGAGGAACCATCTTGACTACCATCCCAGGCTACGGCAACAACTCCAACACTGGTGGAGGTAACCCTTTGAACCAAGGCTCCGGTATGGGTTCGTCGAGCGGTGCATTGTCCTTGTTGAGCGATACACACCTTGTTTCGGGTGCCGCTGCTTCGGCTACCTTCATGTGTGTTGCGGTTATCGCTGCGGCTGCAGTTCTTCTTTGAGCGAGCACGCGAAAGCATCTCAGCCTCGAATTCGGCGGGAATCCTTCAAGCACAGCAAACTTGCCAGCAGCAGCTTCAGTCGCCATGTCAAGCCATCCATTGCTCTTGTTCATGCCGCCGTTACTTGATTGAAAGGCAGTGTACACGAAGCAGGCGCTTGCAAAGCATCATCGACTTTGTCATGTTGGTCAATCCAGCTTCCCATCAACCTATCCCAGCCGATTTTGCACCCATCGATCGACTCGACAACGGACTATATATATATATATTTCCCTTCCCCTCTTTCACTTGTACATATTTCAGCTCGCCGCTCTTTTCCTGCTCATAGCCTCTCTTTTCTACGCCCTTCCCATTTGCCTTGTCGCGCATTCGATATGTTACCCCTTTTCTCTCTCGCAATGCATCTTTCTTTCAGCCAGAACTAGACTCAAGCAATGAACTGTTCGATTTCGAGAGCATACAGTGCACGTGCCAGCGTACAGCTACACTACAACATGAATGAGAGTCAGAAACAAGATCGGAGCAAGCATCGAGATCATCGAGTGTAGATGTGGCTAGTGAGAAGGAGCTTTCTTGGAATGAATGCGATGATGGCTGTGCTTGTGGCCATGTTGGTGATGATGGCTGTGCTTGTGGCCATGTTTGTGATGATGGCTGTGCTTGTGGCCGTGTTTGTGATGGCCGTGTCTCTTGGGACCAGATCCAGACTTGGCCTTGTGGGAAGGATTGTGAGGTGCAGGCAGAGAAGGCGAATGGGAAGATCGCTTCCTGATACCGAAAGGACTCATACCTCCTTCGCCTAACATCTTACCCAAACCGCCCATGCCTCCTCCGCCCAACATTGATCCCAGTCCGCCCATTCCTCCTGGTCCTCCGCCCAACATCGACCCAAGACCATTCATACCGCCGCTCGTGCTTCCACTTGTGCTTCCACTCGTGATTTCACTTGTGCTTCCACTTGTGTTTCCACTTGTGCTTTCACTTGTGCTTCCACACTGCCTATAAGCCTGCACCAAAAACTGTACCGCCTCCGGCACATTTTGCATGTTATACGTCAAATGAGCCATCATATTGAACCCGTTCATGCACACCGGATCACCCACATGACAGTACATCTTCCAATTCTTCGTCGTCGGGACCGGCTGCGTCTTTAAGGGATCACCAAAAGTTACCGCCCCAACCACATTGCGCCCTTGGATCTTGTGCACTACCATTGCACCTTTACTGTAACCGCCCAGGACGAACTTGGTTGAGGGGCAACGGGAGGAGATGGAAGCCATGTATTGAGAAGCCGTGTTGGCTCCGACTCCAGGAGAGACCATGTATTCGGCACTGGAAGTGTACACTGTGTCGTAGCATTGTGTGCCCGGCACGGCTTGTTGGAGGCCGTTGCAGAGGGGTTTGCCGACGATGCCAAAGGTTCCTTGCATTTCCGCGGTGCCTCGTGCGAAGATCAAGTAGAGTGGGGGACAGCCGCCGGAAGAGGAGGAGGAAGGGGAGAAGGAAGGGGAGGAGGAGCCACCGCTTCCGCCACCACCCATCATGGAACCAAGTCCACCCATGCCGCCGAGGCTGGGTATTCCACCCAAACCGCCAAGGCTGGGCATCCCTCCCATACCGCTCATACCCATCATGAGCGGTGAGCGTTTGCGTTTGCGACGTCGAGCAGGTGTTGTTTCTCCCCTGCTGGACAGAGTGCTCGAGCCTGTGCTTCCGTCTGCAGAAGTGCCTGAGCTCGCAGCACTAGTGTCAGCCGGTCCTGTGTCGACGGCTGTGCTAGTGCTGCCTGTACCTGAAGTCGAACTTCCGGGCAGGTAAGGGGTTGAAGCAGCGCCAGTGCTAGTTTCTCCCCCTCCTCCTCCTCCTCCAGCACCACCAGCGCCACCAGCACCACCTGCACCACCTGCACCACCTGCTCCGCTAGCACTACCTAAGCTTCCGACTCCTCCGGGGCTTCCTGCAGCGCCAGCACTACCTGAACTTCCTGCGCTCGTGCCAGAGCCACCGACACCGCCGGCTCCGCCCAATCCTCCAGCACCACTAGCATCACCTGGGCTTAAAGATCCCCCAAGAGCAGAATCTGCTCCGCCTGAGCCACCGACACCACCTGCTCCACCAGCACTGCCCGTACTACTCTCACCACCAGCACTTCCCGTGCTACTCTCACCACCAAGACTTCCTGCAGCCTCACCAGGGCTAGCAAGACTACCATCACTACCAGAAGCAGTGCCACCACTACCCCCCATGAGTCCACCCAAACCAGGCAATCCGGGCAAACCACCCCCTCCTGCACCACCACCTAGCATACCCATTAAGGGACTACCACCACCACCACTACCACCGCCCATCAGCCCCCCGCCTAGCATAGACCCCAGTCCACCACCGCCCATCATATCAGTCATCAAACATCTTTTGAGAAAACTTACTATCATCCCTCGCAACCCTCCAGGGGTTTGGTCTGTGTTGCTTACCGCCGGGGCAGCATTGGCCGTCGATAGTGTGAGAAAAAGGAGAGTGAGGTAGGATGAGGCCGCCAGGGCCTTTGGAATGCGCATCTTCGGCAGAAATTGCTCTAAGTGCCAGCTGCAGATGGAATAGCCGTATGGGAGGAGGGAAGAGGACACGGACGTTGGAAGGGGGTCGTGTTATATGCTGGTCCCCCTTCCCTAAGGTAAAGTTGACGTCTGTGTGTTGCATTAATCTATCCCTGCGCATGGGAGACTGAATCTCAGGTCAAATGCCAACGCCTTGCAAATACCACCGTAGAGGCTTTATGATGAAAGAACGATCAGATCACGTACGGCGTCACTTTGGTTGACCTAAACATCATCTCAGCCGGGGCCTAAACATTCAGCTGTGTCACATCTCATCAACGCACCCTCCGTTCTGATCGCTTCTGCATCACCAAAGACAGCCTGCTACAGCACCGACGAGCTGAATCTCATCGGAAAACCAACTTAGACACCCAGCCGCCGACACGCACACCACGTCACAGTAGGAACCTCGTAACTCGACTCTTCTGTATTGCAGTTGTCAACTTGTGCCACCAACCACCAACCCCACCGCCACTTGCGCAAGAGCCTCTCCGCTTTCATTTCGGCAACCTTCTCGAGCCTCTCCCAGCTCAATTAACCGTCCTTTTCCCGAGATTGTGTCCGAGCAAAGTCACTGAGATATCAAACGCTGATGATACGATGAGGGGAAGGGTAAGAGGGTTTTTAAAGTCAGTTAAATTTTGAGATACCAAACGTGTATATGTACAATGCTGGTTTGGTTTGCATAATCGCTTCGTTAGCGTAGTTGGATTATCGCATCCGTCTAATACGAGATGCCTCAGAATCACTCTCTGAGTTTGTTACAACGGAAGGTCACTGGTTCGATCCCAGTACGGAGCAAAAATTTTCACCTCCTCGAGGGGTTTATTTCTTTTTCTTTTTCTTTTTCTTTTTGTTGATTTCGTCGTGTCAACTCTAGTCTGCAACACAGCTTCGTTTCGCTGCATGTGTTCTATGATGGCAGAACAAGCACTGGAGGGGAGGTAGTTGCTGCTAAGGCGGACGCTTTTGGTGAAAAGCATTGAGGCAGTGCGGTATGCAAAATTGTGAAGAGCGGGCAAGTTTCGCGAAATTGCGTCTCATCCATTGCTGGAATGCTATTCACAACATCGTCAAAGCATACCTACCACCGTCAGAGCGCTTATGCTGTAACTTGCTACCATTTCATAATGCACTACTACGCGAAGCGAGCTCTAAGTCTGCTTCACAAGGTTGCTATTCAACGAAGGAACCCGGTATCGAAACTCACCAGAACCTTCCCTGACACCACCCACCCCCGTTCCAAGGCCTTCTTCTTCTTCGCTCTGTTTTGCCTTCTCACCAAGCTTCTCACCGATTCGGCCGAGATCATCGACCTCTTTTGGCTTCTCTTGGATTGTCTTGCCCTTCCCCCCAACTGCTTCCTCACCAGGAGCAGTAAGGGGTCGTCCGAACCACCCCTCGCCACTCCCCCAAGTAGCAGCCACATACATCCCAAGTCCAGCAATAAAAGTCAAAACGGTAAGTGTACATAAAGGAATCAGCAGAATCTGGCGGATCTTTTCCCAAGCAGAACCAGGGATTGGATCCGAAACTACCGTTCCGTGCCCTCCTTTACGGTGTGCTGTAGTGGTAGGGTGAGCAGTGTGAGAGGTGTGAGTGTGGGTGTGGGTGGAAGGAGGTGGTTTCGTTGCGAGAAGGCGTTGAGTTGGGGTGGTGGTGGTGCGAGTGCGAGTTGTGCGTTGACGTGTAGGTCTAGCAGCAACCTCTGTCCGTGTGGACCGTATGCGAGAGGTACCTTCTGCTTGACTCGAAGAACTTGTGCTGTTGAACATCGAAAGAGTGCTGTCTAGCTTCGCCTCTTGGGAGGTTGAGATGGGCGCTGAGCCCACAAGCCCAGCTTGTATGGCTAGCAGCACTAGTAGAGCCGCCGAGACCATCATCTTCGACTTGTTGTCACGCCGAGTTGTGAGCATTCTTGCGGATCAGCTAAGTTTCTCTCGTGATAATTGTCTTGGTGCCGAGTCTGCTTGATGCTGTGACTCTGTCGTTGGACTCGTTAGAAGTCTTGATTTGGCACCTGTGAGAGCACGTTGCTTGGTGGTAGAGGGAAGCCAAGACAACGCGCTTGGACCTGGTATCGCTGCTTACAACTGCGAGATGGTTGACGATCGTAAAGAGATAACGATACCAGAAAGCAAACCCAAGCAATCGAATGTGAAGGTTCGACGCCCTCTTTCAGCCCCAGCTTGCTGATACACCGCATTCATCAAGCCACGAAGCACACCAAGAGGCTGGCAAGCAACGATTCGCCCAACTCTCTTGCAAGTGGACGGAGAGCTCAAGTTCGCTTCAAAACCAAAGTCGCTGGAAGAACTGCAAGGCGAAACCTCTTCACGTCAAACAAAAAATTCCCACGTGGCTGCATTTAAAATTTTCGCCATTTTCCATTTATTTGGTTTGAGCCTTGGCCGGTTTTGAGCTCCGACGAATGAAGCGAACGTCTTTTTCCCACCGTCTTTCAGCATTGGGCGAATGATGGAGGTAGTCATCACTGTTCCCGCCCGCACTTCTATGTATGCAAAGGCAAGGCGAAATGGCTATAACGCCAAGGCCTCTCACTTTGCCCAGCCTTATCCTTGTCCTCGTGAGAACTAGTTTGCCGTCATTCCACTTTGTTTCAGTCGGAAAGGCAGTATGAGAGAACAAAACGATTGCAATTCCAAGTGACTAATCTATGCTACAAAATCTATTTACAATTTTCCTTCAAGAGAGGAAAGGGGGACTACTTGGTCAAGTAAACGACCTTAGCAAACTTCAACTGTTCCAAAATCGCCAACTCACTGGCAATAGGCTTCTGTGCAACGACGACTGCGTCGAACATCCCATCGAACTTTTCCGCATTTCTAAAATCTTCCATGTCGACTTTACCCCACTTTTCGCTGGTAACGTATTGGTCCACGTAACTGACTTCCACTCCCAGCTCTGTGAGCTTGTCGGCGAGTGTAACAGTAGGTGCGTAGGCCAGCGAAGCTTCGCCACGCTTGAAACCCATTCCCACGACAGCAACCTTAGGCTTACCCTGCTTTCCGAGTGCTGTGTGGTTCTGCGTAGCGATTTCGGCAAGCTCTACTGCCTTTTCAACTGGACGTCGCTGGTTAGCTAAAGCAGCTGTGCGGAGGAGGGGCAGATCGCAATTAGCGAAAAGATAGAAAGGGTTAACGGGGATACAGTGACCACCAGCGCCTAGGGAAGGCGTGTAAGGCATGAAACCAAAAGGTTTAGTTGCAGAAGCCATAACCACCTCATGAACGTCAACACCGTGCTTAGCGCAAGCATCGGCGATTTCGTTGACGTATGCAATGTTGATCAGGCGCTGGCAGTTTTCGTATAGCTTTGTAAATTCCGCAACTTCCGGTTTTGAGACAGGAACGACCTTGCTGAAGACGCGAGAATAGAGCTCGGTAATGCGATGCAACGAAGGTGTGTCCAATCCAGAAACAACCTTGGGAATGTCTTGGAATGCAGGCAAGGTTCGGCCTGGGTCAACGCGTTCGGGTGAGAAGCCCACATGGATACCCTTAGCGAGGAGAGGGGAGAACAACTCGCGTGTCATTCCAACAGTGACGGAGGACTCAACAACAACCGTGGATCCAGGCTGTGCGATACGTGAAACCATGTTAAAAGCCGACCTAATATGTGTTTGATCCACCTGACTAAGGTCAGAGGTGAGAAGAGTAGGGACCGAGATGAGGCAAAGATCGAAAGCCTTTGTCCTATCATCCGCCTCAAGATCGGAGATGAAAGTTACGTTGGGGTTGTTGCAGTGCAACTTCCTTAGATGCTGGCATCTGTTTTCGGAAACGTCGAATGCGACAACCTCGTACGCAGAAGAGAAACGCTCCATGAGATGAGCACCGACAAATCCAACACCAACAACCAGAACGGTACCATGAGTAGACTTGACAGAGTCGAATTCCAGTGCAGCGTCAGCAACAGCGTCTGAACCGAAGAAAGCGGCTTTGCTGGGCGAAGGAGTGGTTGCGGGGGTGAGAGAATCTTGAGAGGCTGTGAGAGAGGGACATCGCTGCATAGCGGTGAAGGAGTAGTCGGCGAGATCTTCAGTTTCAATGTCGTCTTCGTCCTCTTCGACTGAGGTGGGGTTCTTGCAGGGGTAAGCGGAGTTAAGGACGGGAGCAAGGAGGCGGACGACATCGAGAGAGTCTTTGGCGGGGGTCTGGTCGACAACGACACGACCAGAGCCGAGGTTGGGAAGGGTGGTGCGATCGGTGAAGGCAGACATTGTGGCAGTCGGTAGGGAGGGGGAAGATGCTGAGAAAAGGGGAGTGGAATTGCGATTGGCACTGAAACTGGCACAGGGTGTAAGGAGGGAGGGATAAGCAAAGATTTGATGAAAAGAAGTCTGAGTTAATTCGAGTCGCAAGTGCTGCTGTTATATATGATGAGAGATGAAAGCCAAGTTGCATCGAACACCGTAGACTGTCGACAGTCTATCAAGTTTGCTTGACAATAGCCGTAGTCACTGCAGATCACTCTCGCTATTTGCGAATGTCTTTCGTTGAAAGGTGCAAGAATTGTTCGCTCCATCAGCCAAAGTTGCAACAGCCTAGCTTCACTTCCGGCGGCAAAGAAAATCAGGCCACGTTCTGTGCACTGAGCATGAACAATGACCAAGCGGGCAAAAGGAGATGTTCTTCCAGGCTGCGGCGCAATTCGCTTCATGCAAACAAAGTTCAAGATCAGTCTCTTGAGCATTTCTTCGCTCACTCTCGGGCAAGGTGAAACACATCGATGAAGTGCGCGTGGGAAGAGAATCTTGAAAAGGCAGAACTTGCCGCTTTTGGTAAGATATGGAAGGGTGAGCGTGCATGTGTTCGCTCATGGGGAGGACTAGCTGGAGACCAAGACAGCACGGGTGAGCAGCTACTCAGAGCAGCGACCGTAGTGGTGATGTGCTCGATAGACCTCTGCAGGCTGTTGCAACTATGCAGAGTGCATCCCTCTCCACTACCACTCCGATTGAGGTGAAGAATACCATTCTGTTGCTTCACTTGAACGTTGGCGGATCGTTCGCCCTGTTGTACGACTCAAGTGACCAGCGAACGCCAGTACAAGCCTGGTGGATGCTTTCCCTACCTGCTGTGTGGAGCAAAAGCAGGCCATGTGGAGCCGAAAGAGGCTATTACAGCCTACAGTAGGGCGAACGGCAACCGGAATCGGGTCAGCACATGGGCTAGCATTCTTGAAGTCGCGGAAAAGATTCTGCTCAGAGAAGAGAGAGTCAGTACATGAATGGCAGAGCGTAGCATCACAGGAGTATTGCATCGCCCATGCCTCTTGCAGTGGTCGTAGCGAAACGTCGTCACGCGTGTATGTTCTCTCGAGCGAATATGTGACACTGCACTGCACTGTGCTGTTGAAGTCGACGAGGTTATTGCGAAGTGGAACAGATGGAAAGGATTGCCAAGTTCGCTTCAAACAGTGATGTGCAGGAACTTTGTATTCTTCCTTCTTCTCTTCCAGGAAGAATCATGAGAAGAGGGCGAGTATGGCTTTACGTCGGGGCTGTTGGGACAGTATGCGTGGCGCTAAATTTCGCTTTCCGCTGCAATTTTGTTGGGCAACACTCTCTCTCAGGCGTTTAATTGAAAAAATGCGGAAAATAAAAGGCGAAAAAAGGAAAAGGCGAAAAAAGGAAAAGGCGAAAAAAGGAAAAGGCGAAAAAAGAAAAAGGCGAACAAAAATCCAAAGAGGCAGCAGAACAGCAGTGACACGTTTTCGTTTGCCCGAATTGAAAAAGAGGGAATTTAAAAAGAGGAGAATTCGCCGGTCCGTAAATGGAATTGTAAATTATTGCCGATCACTGCACTCTTCGACATGAACATCAAGTGAACGCTGAGCGCACACTCAAACTAGCTGCCCTTCGCTATGTTGGCCTCACAGAGACAGTGGCAGCTAGCAAAGTCGAGGATGTTGGCATGAAAGCGGTCAATAGCCCAGCATGACACAGCACAATGCGGTGTTCTGCTTCGGTTGTGGCTTCACCACCGACTATAGTTCACTTGAATACATTCCCACGCCTCTACACTGCTTTTGCTGCTGCTTTTGTAGAGCCAGGCTTGTGCGCTGTGAGGTTTCGCTCAATGCGATCGACAGCGTGCAACCTTGTTTGCTTTGCTTTGCGTTCGTTCGATTTTGCAACAATGAGACTTTATCCACCACAACACTTTCTCTCAATGCAGCCACAAAGAGGCGGCTATTTCCCAAAGCCTCCGCTTCTTGTCTGATGGGAAAGGTCTGATGGGAAAGATCTGATGGGAAAGATCTGATGGGAAAGAGTTCAGTTCAAACCCGAAGGATTTATCTAGAGCAAACCGTAGACAATCATGCACAAACACTTGCTGGGAGAGACCCACACAAACCCTGAGACCAACAGTCACAAGCTTTCACCTCAACCAAGTCCCAGCTGAGTCCTTCCGGTCACACATTCAGCTTTGCTCCATTGATTCGGCACGTGCAATCTCCTGTCGTCCCTTCTCTTCGGGTTCAGTTTGTTGGTCAGCCTTAAGCTTCTTACAGCTTTCTTCTTGGCCACTATCGTCTCGTCATTGACCGCGGACTTTGGAGCCCACTGCATTCCCCATCTTAACATAAGCTGCCATCAAGTACAAGCATCGTTGCTGGCACCTTGGTTCGCGCTTGGATCGCTACTCATCCACCTCGAGCAAACAAGCTAGCGTTTTCAAGACTGGAACTCCGCTATGGAGAGCGATGGACACGATGCAAGTAATCGCGACGAGCCGCAACAGCAGGATGCCGCAGAATCAAGATCCTCCTCTACCTTGCCTTCTTCATCGCAGTCAGCGGTTGCTTCCACTTCCAGGGCTCCATTCCAGTCCTCTCCCGTTCCAGCTAGGTTCAGGCGCCACTTGGATCCAAGCAATGCTCCGCCACCGCCTCCACCACGCAGGCGCTCATCTTTAAGACACGACTCGTTCGCAGACTCTGCATCCAGCGATGGCGAGCAGGATGAGGACGACGGTTTTGACGGTCCAAGTCTCAATCGCTTCCACTTTTCCAGAGGATACTCGAACACCTTCACTTCGGGCAATCCGGGGATAATACCGAACACACCAACAACGCCTCTCACGCCGTTGACTCCTCTGGTTCACGGCTTGCATCGTCCAGGTGGATCGTTTGTCTTTGGCCAACGTCGAAAGTCAGGGTTGTCAAAGGAAGCTATCTTGGGCGCACATTTAGCGCAGGAGCCAGCTGCCACAACGACTTCGGAGAAAGAGACAGCAGTCGCTTCCACATATACCGTAGAGACTGAAGTAGCAACGACAGAAGAGGCACAGCGGGTACCGCTTACACCCACCTCGGTACCGGAAGAGCAAGGAGAGGAAGCCAAAGATGCTCTGTCTCAGAGGCGGCCATCTAGCGCGTCCACAACAAGCTCGATACCGGAAAGCCGACCCAGTGACTTTGTCAACTCGGTACACAGCGACCTTCTATCTGACTCCATCCACGTCGAGACCCTCAGAGAAGGAGCACAAACACGCCCTCTGCTGACTCAACTACGAGAGCGTCGGCCTAAAACATCAGCACCGGCACAAACCATGGAGCAAGACCCGTTTGCAGACTCGAACGAAGCACCCACCAAGCCCTCCCTCTCGCCCGGAGAATCGCAACGCCTCAATGAAGCCGACAAAGACGGCGATCTCGAAAAAGGCCAACTCCCCATTCCAGGTGGGAAGATGGGATTCGACCAATCCGCCTTCCCCGACTACGCCCCTCTCGTCCAATCGCGCGTCACAGTGGGTCGTTGGGGACTCATGCTAGCCATCGGAGCGCTCAACATGGGACTCATCATCCTGTTCCTCTTCCTCGCACCGCCCAGTGCATCGCTCGTAGTTATGATAGCCCTCAAATCAAGAGATATCCTTTCCGTCCTCTGGCAATCTCTGCTCTACATCATCTCTCTCCTCACCTACCCCTTGGGCACCAAAAAGCAAGCAGTCATCCATCCACCACGCAAAATCGTCTCGCTTGTACCCGTATACAAAGAATCAACCCAAGACCTACTCGACACAGTTGATTCCATCATCAAAGACAACCCAGTGCGACCTGAAGATTTCAACATGATCGCTATCATGGCTGACGGGTTCGATGTCGAAGACGACGTTATCATCCAACATACGATGCTCCGTGTTGAGGATTTCCCGTACTTTTCTTGGAAGATCCGCGAATCAGCCTTCAGGCTGCAGTTCGGGCTCAGGATGGGATTGCCGATTGTCATCGTGCGCAAAGTCAAGAATGCCGGGAAGAAAGATTCGCTCATCTTTGCCTTTGATCTGTTCAACAGCGATAATGAGGCCACTGGGCATTGCAATTCAGAAGCTAGAGAGATGGTGTTGGATCATATTAGGAAGTTGTACAACCAACCGGATCTGCAGCATTTTGATTTCCTTTTCTGTACTGATGCAGATACCAAAATCCTCGCAGGTTCGGTCAACGCGCTAGCCGATCGATTGATGGACGAGGGAGAAGAGACAGTGGGAGCATGTGGCATTGTCGAAGCTGATTTTGACAAGCCAGGGAGGAGTTGGAGGAGTTGTGGATTGTGGTATTTCTGGGATCATTTCCAAGGGTTCCAGTATACGTATGGTCAGTGGATTCGTCGCCGCTCAGAATCTTCCTGGGGCAGAGTCACTTGCATGCCTGGAGCCATCACGATGCTTCGTACTGGATGCATACTAGGCCAAGCAAGTGCCGAGTACCGCAAACACGTCGCAAACGGCAACCTCATAAACCGTCAAGTCCAGTATCAAGGAACCGACCGTCGACTATGCTGGACCATCATCTCCCGTTCCAAAAGCGTCCGTACCGTCCTCGAAACAAGAGCAGCATGCTTCACCATCCCTCCTCAAACCCTCTCGCACTACCTCTCTCAACGTCGTCGCTGGGGTTCAAACGCATACTTCAACGCCTTCGTAACAATGAGCCAGCAAAACCAACTGCTTGTCACGCGGTTATGGATGTCTTTGGAGCTTTGCAGATCAACACTGGTATTCTTCAGAATGTACAACTTCTGTCACTTTGTGTATAACTTAGTGACAAAGTTCAGTATTGTTGCAGTAGCACCCTTGTTGGCGATCACCATGTTACCGCAGATCTGGTTTCTAGTGTTCGTATGCGTAAGCACGAAAAGGTATAGACCGCTGGTGGTACATTTGTTATACGGGGCTGTGCTGAATAGGTTATGTAGTATAGTGTTGACTCCGACGGTGTATGCCAATGTGCTTTTGGGATTCGGCGACTTTAGGTGGGGAAAGAGTCATACCGGGGCTAATGCTGCACAACAGGCACAGGCAGGACAGGAGTCAGGGGAAGACAAGGAAGGCGAGGTCGATCTGGAAAAGGCAGATAGAGGCAACCAGAGACCGCTAACTTCACCCAAGGATCAGACTGAGATTTGCTAGTCAGACCGATGTTCTCCACACTATTGATGATCAAAACTTGACACATATGCTTGGTCGATGTTCCAAAAAAGGCAGACTGCTTGACACTTTGCAGCGAGAATGTGAAAGAGAATGTATGAGAGAATCCAAAAGGGACAGTAAAGTGATCTATGAAACGTCAAGGCGACGAAAGAAGGCAAACCTACTTCTGCTCCATCATCGGAGTTTCAGATACCAAGATCTTGCTCAGCCTTAGCAATTGAGTCCAAAAGGTTCCGGGTTTCCGCATCAGCATCACCGAGACCGAAATCCTTGGAAGCATCCGCCAGTTCATCGATCAGGTTCCTCTTCCTCAATCCCAGATCAGCCAAAGCTTTGGCGAGAGAGTCGAGTAGATTAGGATCTTTAGCTTCCGCATCCCCAAGACCAAGATCCTTAAGGACTGCACTTAATTCGTCTAGAACGTTGTCTCGTTTGCGAAGACCAAGGTCTGCTTCTGCTTTTGCGATTGAGTCGAGTAGGTTAGGGTTGGTAGCTTCTGCATCGCCAAGACCGAGATCTTTCGAGGCTGCAGCGAGCTCGTCGATCAGGTTACGAGAGCTTAGGGACGAAGAGAAGGCAGAAGAGGGGAGGGGAGCAGCGAGAGTCGTAGAGGCTACACCGAGAATGGCGAGGGTGACAGAGAGGATCTCGAGGAATTTCATCTTCGGTTTGAGATTGAGTGAGAGAGTGTGTGTCAAGGTGTGCGAGTGCGAGTGAGTGTTGAGGGATGATGGATGTAGATGTCGGTTCGAGGCCTGTATTTGTACCTTTTCGAACATATCAATGGCGTTGTACACGAGTGTGTTTAGTTGGACAACGATGGGGCTCCAAGGAGGAGTTTTGACGACACAACATGCTGTACGCTGTGATCTGCTGTGTCGAGCGTCTCTGCAAATCTCTCTTCATGCTACCAGCAACATCGCAAATCCACCTTGGCTCCGTTCGATAAGCACCACCTTGTTTGCCAAGACGACATCATCTTTCACGCAAACGTCGGTCGAACTGATAAGCACACCACCGAGCTTGCAAGTAGAGGAGAAGGTACGATGACGAAGAAGGCTTCCCAAACGTCGCTTGGTGAAACCGTCTAGATGCGGCGATCAAATGCCGAAGCAAAGGCCGCTGATAAGAGGATTCGATGGCGGCATAATCGAGGGGGTTACCACTGATAAGCACCGTGACAGGATTCTCGGATCGAAGGTGAGATGCGGGTCTCTTGTATCTAAGCGAGACATGTCAGGATGGTGGAGTTGGTCGTTATCATTCAGCTTGCCCGATTTGGGATTGGTTGAAGGAAGAAATGCCCGATACTTAGTAACAATGACATAATCAAAACCGCCCCAAGATCGAGGTTTCTTGCCCTTCAATATTGCTACGATCTCTGACAAATAATACATCTTGATCAAAACGCTTCTCTTCCAAGTTGATCATCGTAAAAGACAAGGATGGGCAAACGAGAGTCAGCGAGCAAAAGCTCAGCCATAGCCAGCAAGGCAAGCGTCCAAGTGTGGCCAAAGCGCAAATGCCCTCAACACAGTCACGCTGTCACTTCCTACCACAGTCGATTCCACTTGCATCCACGCAATGCAACTCGTTTTTTGTTTTGTTTTGTTGTGCTTGAAACAAAGTCGCAATGCTGACAGTATCGAACAGTGTCGAGCACTCAAAGCTTGCCAGCTTCAATACCACGAGCAGCAAGCTTGTCCTTCAAGATGTTTGCGACTTGATCGATGTACTCCATGGTTGTAAGGTAGTGCTCGCGCTTCATCTGTTTGCCGTGGTAAATGAGTGCAAGATCCTTGGTCATTTTGCCGCTCTTGATAGCATCGAGACATGCCTCCTCGAGTGCGTTGGCGAAATAGATGAGTTCGTCGTTCTTGTCCAGTTTACCCCGGAAAGCAAGTCCACGAGTCCAGGCGTAGATGGAAGCGACCGAGTTGGTGGAAGTCTCGTTACCCTTTTGGTGTTCACGGTAGTGACGAGTGACGGTACCGTGTGCTGCTTCGGATTCGATGATCTCACCATCGGGGGTAATAAGCTCGGAGGTCATCATACCGAGAGAGCCGTAGCCCTGAGCAACAATGTCGGACTGAACGTCACCTGTTCGTTTGCAAGTGATAGAGCAAGATTTGAGTCAGTATGCATGGATGCGACCCACGTATTGGCAGGAGAAAAGGTAACATACCATCGTAGTTCTTCAATGCGACCACGAAACCGCCGTCAGACTTGATCATCTGGGCGACAAAATCGTCGATCAAGCTAAGAGTGCGATTTGGCCCGCCGTTTAGGGTGTGTAAGGAGGTGGAAGATGGTGTAGGAAGGGCGAGAGGTCAGTTGACCACCTTGCAAGTCGATCAAGCAACGCCATCTTGCATTCATGAGAGAGAGATAGATGACACTTACCGGTGCTCGTACCAAAGGCCGAGAGCCTCAAAGTCCTTCTTGTATGTTGTCTCGTAGATGTCTTGGAAGATGTCCTTGAATCGGCCGTCGTATGCTTTGAGGATAGTGTTCTTGGTCGACATGTAAAGAGGCATCTTCTTCTCCAGAGCCATCTTGAAGGAAGCGTGAGCAAAGCCGCTGATGGACTCGGTAGTGTTGTACATGGCAAGACCAACACCTCCACCGTCAGGAAAGCCGAACACGTCCCACTCCTGTGGTGCAGAGCCATCGTTAGGAGTGAATGTCATCTTGAAGCTACCAGCCTTGTCAACAGCAAAGTTCTGGCAACGGTACTGATCACCGAAAGCGTGACGACCAATAACGATCGGCTTGGTCCAACCTGGAACGGGACGAGGCAGATCCTCGAGAATGATAGGTGCACGAAAGACGGTACCGCCAAGAATATTTCGAATGGTACCGTTGGGAGAGAGCCACATCTTCTTAAGACCGAACTCCTTAACACGAGCCTCGTCAGGGGTGATGGTAGCACACTTGACGCCAACCTTGTACTTCTTGATAGCCTCGGCAGCCTCAACGGTCACCTTGTCGTCCGTGGCATCACGATGCTCCATACCGAGATCGTAGTACTTGAGATCGATGTCGAGGAAGGGAAGGATGAGATCTTGACGGATCTTGTGCCAGATGATACGGGTCATCTCGTCACCGTCGAGTTCGACGACGGGATTGGCAACCTTGATCTTGGCTGGTGGTGCCGAGCCACGTGGACGGACGAGGGATGTGGACATGGTGAACGGTGCAGAGTGATGGCAGTGTTGCAAGGCGCGGAGCAGAGTCGAGTCCAAGGCAAAACGGTGTGGTTAGTGGTTGGTAGGGTTGGTACGGTGTAGATGGCGAGAAGCAGCAAGACAGAAGAGAGAAGGGCGATGGGAGCAAAGATGAGAAGGATGAGGTGTGTGGGTGCCAACAAGCAAGGCAAAGTGGAGAAGCAGATGGCATAGGAACATAGGAAGGGCGCGAATTGCTCTGAGCCCTAACATCCGGGCCGACAAGTTGCCGGACTGCCCAAGCCCGAAGGCAAATCCAATTTTAATTTATTTTTTTAGCCTGTCAGATCCGCAGACTTCTAACATGCGAAGAGGCGGAAAATTGGAAAATTGGCTTTTTCCTTTCCCTCCTCGTCAAGCAGCCAAGAAGCAGCCAAGTGCTATCGATTGTCTTGGCCCGCACAAAGATGCGGGAGGGAGAGAAAGGTCGCTTGCTGGCACTTACCAGGAACAGTCATTGTGGTGGAGAAAAGACGGTTGTTGATGCCGAACTTGGGTGAGGCGGGTTGAGCAGTGCGAGGAGCCCAAGCAAGAAGGCTGGCGCGAGTGTTGCTGGTAATGGTGTTGCTGCGAGCGACTCGAGAGGAGAAGGCCGAGTAAGAGCGGGCAGAAGAGGAATAGAGAGCTCGAGTAGAAGCGTTGGCGCCAAGACGAGCTGCGAACATCTAACTTGCGATGAGGTGATGGTGGTTGGTTGGTGGTGGTGGTAGTACAAATGGACCAATGAGACAGCGCGGAAAGAGCCGTTCAGCAAGCAATCAGCAACGGCGAAAAAGCCAGCGCAGAAGAGATAGCAGCAGCAGCAGCAGCAGCAGCAGCAGCAGCAGCAGAGGAGCGCGTCCGGAGGTCGCCGGGATACCAGCCAAGAAGAAGAAAAGGGACCAGCATCACGACGAATGCGGCCGAGAAGAACGGGCAGTTGGAAAAGCAAACGATGTTAGAGCGAAAGAAAGTTGCCGCGACGAGAAATGAGTGGCATGAGCGGCATGATCGAAAGCATGCAGCGATGAACAAAGACAAGCACTCGGAGTCAGTGATGTTCGTTGCACCTCTTAGAGACAAGAGTGAGGTCGTCCAAGTATGATCCGTTTAACCACGCTGAGACACGGAGCGCCGCTTTGGCGCACACTTCTGAGCTTGCGGTCGTCGACCGTTGAGCCTACGAGCGAAAACTTGGGACACTGTCGGCTCCGTGCGGAAGGCGGAGATGTTGGAATCAACGTACCGTGAAGAGGAGACGATGCTCAGATGAGGAGAGGGCTGGAAAGGGGGTTCGGTGCGCTACGATGGCGAGTGCTTTGCCAAGTGAGCTGTTCACTCGAGCCGCATGAATTTAGACGGTGAAGAACAGGTCAAGATTGTGATGATGATGATCGTGATGATGATGATCGTGATGATGATGATCGTGGCTTGATCACTAACAACGTCTGTCTGTGCTCACCCTCACAAGCGAGGATGTGGAGGACTTGTTGCTTTGCTATCAGTTGAAGATCTGCGATCAGATGGATCGCATTTCTTTGACTCCAGATCGGGGATCGACCTCTTGAAATGCCCGATCTTTTTGACGGCCGAGTGAGTGTAATGAGAGAGAAAGAGAAACGCGCACGGTCCTCGCTCCTCGTGTCTGCAACTGGCAGACACGAGCTGCTGAGCTCTATCGCTGTCCTCATCACCAACAGCCATGCCACTCGACTCGACTCGACTCGTACCATCTTTCATCCCGCATAACCGTCGACAGGAATCGAATTCAAATCCTACATACTCAGCATCCAGCCGAACTAGAACAGGAAGCATACCACGATGAACGTCAAGCCGCACAAGCAGTCCATGTCCGAGCTCAAGCTTCGTAGACTCACAGAGCACAACCAGCGATTGAAAGAGGATCTGGAGCGACCTCGTGTTCGTGTCTCGGAGGCGAGTCAAAGGTGAGCAACGTCCTCACGTCGGATAGGACTGGAAGCGAGCAGCTGTAGCAGCGACACTGTTGGTTTCCAGCCTGGAGTCTTGCAACTTGCAAAGCGTCGTTCCGCCATGGGAGAGCAAGTCTTACTGACAATACCTCTCTCCTTCTCATCTTGCTTATGAACAGCCTGATCAACTACTGCAAGAGTACACGTGACTACCTTGTCCCGTCCGTCTGGGGTCCCGTCAGCAAGGGCGAGGACCCTTACGCTCCCGCTGGTGGAGGATGCAACTGTGTTGCCATGTAATACCTCCTTTCGACCCGCCGCCTCCTGCTGTCAGCGACGCTTTCTTTGGCTTTGAGCCAATCTCCGAAGTTCTGCCCTCTCTAGCAAAGAGAGGATGTGGACTTGCTATACCCCGTTGGGCCGCACCCTCTTGCATATCTCTTCCAGCTGTTGCTCGCATACCAATTGCACATCCACTGCCATTTCACCGTCTCCATCCTTGTGTACAGATGTGTGTGTGTGTGTGTGTGTGTGTGTGTGTGTGTGTGTGTGTGTGTGCAATGCGATGTACTGAGATGAAGGGCAGAAGCGTGTGTGATGAGGTGAACAAAGCGCTGAGCAGTGACAGTGATTCAGCCGTGTCGCACAAGTCGCTAGAAATTGCCTCCACGCTGTCAATGATGAGGAGCAGCGCCACAGCACACTTTCAATTCTCTCTCCCATCACCACTTCCTATCCTTTCTTGAAGCACAGCATCCATACACCAACGCAGTCACAAAACTCAGCCTTCCAACGTCGTTCGCAGCTGACCACCGACACCACACCGCAATCGGTTAGGAGCGTAGCCCTGACGCTTCTTCTTTCAACTCGAATGAGACTCTTTCGCACAACATGACCCTCTCAGGTTCCTTCTGGAACTTCTGGTCCCACACTTCCCAAGCACCACCCAAACCACGTCGAAGAACAGCCGTCTTGACCGAGCAATACGTCGAGACCATCGGTGGAGGCAGCAAGGATGCCTTCTCCACCCCACCTTGCTTCGATCCAGCAATAGGAGATCCCCGCTTACCAGTCGAACTGACGGTAGACATCGTACTACTAGCGGCTCGCGAGATTGCCCTCGAGAGCCAAGGAGATGACAGCGACGCAAGTGCATCGCAAAGATTGTTGGATCTAGCCCGAGTCAATCGAGTCTGCCATCGTGCGATACTTTCAACTTTGCTGCTCCCCAAACTCACCCTGTACGGAATGCACCAGATCCGCGCATTCGCCATCTCTCTCGACAAAGATCGTCTAGGCATTCGTGCCCTTGCGCGAAGCCGAGTGCACACTTTGACTCTGCGCCCACCAAGCCTGGCCTCTCTGAAAGAGGGCTACAAAGGAGCACTGTTCGACGCATCTCAAGCGCAATCGCACTTCGAAAAGGACCTGATCCCATTCATCCGCATCCTCCTGAGGCATTGCACTTTGATCAAGGCTCTTCATCTAGAAGGTGTTCCTCACGGCTTGACGGGTCCCCTAGAGGCCATCTCTTGGCAGCTGGAAGAATTCAGCTGTCTAATCGGCCACTACGGTCGAGATCTCAAACAAGACTTTTGGCTTGGGGACCGCTGGACGAGCCTAACTGAATTGCAACTGCATGGTCCACAGTTGAGGTTGACTGCCACTACAGCTTGCGCACTTGGCTCTCTCCGCCAGCTGAAAAAGCTAGCTTTGATTGTGCCGGTGATTATCCCCTGCCGGACCAACTTGTCATCTGAATCGATGGACACTTGGTTGCGGCGGGATAGCAAACTTGGCATCAACCCGCTTCAGATTCTAATCGATCGCTCGACCAGCCTTGAATACTTGCTATTGGTGGGGCATGGAGAGAAGGACTATGTGGGGAATACAGCAAAAGATAGAATATGGCTGAGCAATCTTGGCATCCCTCTAACGAATTCGGAACGCAAGCTGAGGGTGAAGCTGGTGACGGCGATACGGAGGTATGAGCGGAACAGTGATGATGAGGTTGGGCAGGCAAGGACGAGGGTACATCCGTGCGAGGTTAGTGCTTGGATGATGGGCCGTGTTCAAAGGGGTTTGCATTGGTTTGAGAATGAAGAGGCGGTTCGGGCAAGTAGTGGCAAGGAGGAACTGAATCATTGGGTCGAGACGTTTGAGTTGCTCGATCGTGGGGCGTCGACGACTGCAACTTCAGCAATGATGAGTAGAACAGGTAGCAACAACACTCCAGCCCGGCACATTCAACAACAACAACAGCAGCAGAGAGTTAACGAAGCAATAGACGCGGTAGATATGCTTTCAGACGACGACGAGGGGAGTTCGGATGAAGCCTAGATCCTCCAATCCTTTCGTCCAATCCCTTTCGATAGCATGTAGATAGATACTTTGCCTCATCAGGAAAGCATCACAATGGTCAAGTTGATCTTGTGTCTAGTGTTGTTGTTGTGTTCGGTGGCAAGAGGGAGAGAGTTGGTTTTTCAGCGCCTGGAAAGCTCTAGTTGTTTTTTTTTCTTTCTTTTTTTTCTTTTCTTTCCGTTGAAATGCGGACGAGTTGAGGGAGACACATCGGCACTCCAATGGAATTCACAGAGTCTGTGGAGTGTTACAGAGCCCATGGAAGATAAGCAAGTCATCAATGAGGCAAAGACACATATAGGTGGTAACACATGTGGGATGCATAAGCGTTGTCACACTAACACACAGGAAGTGACAATGCAGGAGTGACACAAGGAGCAGCTCACCACAGGCTAGCACATGTGGAAGAGATTACCAAGCATATATATATATGACAATGTACATAGAAGCTAGTAGATAGAATAACAATAACAACATAACTGTACAAACAAAAATTCCTTAACTGATTAAGAGTCTGAAGCTTGGCAACTTCAAGGCACTTTGCCATCAAGATGCCACCCAGAGTAGACAGCATAGCCCTGCTCGAACGCACCATGCAAGTGATCAGAGAAGTCCACACCAACTGGAACAAAGACCAAATCTTGGAGTGTGCTTTCTCTATGATGAACCTCCAACCAAATACCAGCCAAGTCGAAAAGATTCCTAAGTCAGTACTCAGCATTGTATCACAGATCATCAAGCTCAATGAGAACAACTGGGCTATCTGGGAGCCCATGTTTATGGACTGCATACAGCCCATCAAGAATGCAAAGCAGATCCTCACCAGGGAAATATCTAGCAGCCACACAGACTATGATGAAGAACTAAATAGCCACCTGTTAGGCCTCATCCTGTCATCATGCAACCACAGTCCTGAAAGCAGTATTCATACATACACCATTCGAGAACAAGGTGAAGAGGAACAACTTGGCTCTACACTGTACAAGAAGCTCAAAACAGCACTCACAATCAATGATGAAGTTAAACTCTTTGCCATTCACGACTGAGTGCATGAGATCAAGTTAGTCCACCGAAATGTCATCAACCTTGGAAAGGAACTAGATTGAATTTGGAATGATGCTGCGAGCCTGGGCAGTCACATGGATGAAAAGCTCAAGAAGTCCACCCTCTACTGCTGCATCAAGGATGACTGGCTATACACCCAAACTGTAGACTCCCTCAAGGCTGCTCAACCTGGTTGCAACTACGAATATGCATACCATGCACTAGCCAAGAAGTACCAAGAAGCTGAGCTCTCAGGTCATATTCGAGCTGCAGCCAGAGTCACAAGTGTCAGCGGTCACGCACCTGAAACCTGAGATCAGTAGTAGTATCAGTACTATCACCGATTCTGTCGAATTATGTGACAGCACTAATGGTATTTCGATTCTTAGTGAAATATGTGACAGAGCCTTCTCTGTCACCTTTCTCGTTAGAATCTGTAGTTGTATTATTGTTGTGACAGATTTCAACTAACTGCTGTGGACACTCCGTCCAGAGGTAGCTCAGCACAATCAGACTACGATATGACTCTAAATGAGCTTGATATTGACACCAATGGTCTGGTGTGAGTATGGATTGTTGACACTGACACAAGTGTCCAGTGTGTTGACTAACACTTGAAGTGATCCCTGGGCCACAGTGGACATCTGCCTTCGGTTCTATGGTTATCTGGACCGCTGGTTGCTACGAACCACCTTTGGACATCAGGAAACGGTGATACAACACATGTGCTTCGATGAGGAGCAATCTGTTGATTACTACTATGCTGACTGTGAACTAACGTTACTTATTGCTTGAAGTAATGCTAGTTGCTTGATGAGTGTAGAGTGGATGGATCCACTCGACCATTCATGACAAGAAGGTATGCCTATATATCTCTTTGCAGCATTGCCAGCGACACTGCTCCTGCTCTCTCTCTCCAGAGAGTACCCTCTTCGTCAAGTATTGTACAGGTGTCTCCAAGGAGGCACCTCCTCTGTATCAGACCTTGTCCCTCCTGTCTTACCTGAGCTGTGTCAACTTCATTGACACTGCTCCTCTTCTTCATGTCCCTTTCGCCGGTGTCCTTTACACAGCTCTCCTTCCTCTGACCAGTGACAGTTCTCTTTTACTCCTGTCTTGTGGGCCCCTGAGTAGTAACCATCCACATGTCACTTGAGCTCGGTCCCTCTCGTGTGTGAATTGTCGTACAGACAACCTTGCTACCAATCTCTGCGGAATCTGCCACAAGGTCTCGCTTGTTGCAGATTCTGGTGGGATTCGTGATATCGATGATGCTTGTGCCGATTTCGCTGTGGTCTGCCATAGAGCTGATTCTACTGCCGATCTTGGTGAACTCTGTTGCAGCTCTTACGATCTACCCGATTCCACGATTCCTGCGCTGCCTTCATATCATTTCGGCCTTCCCTCGCTCTGCGCAGCTTAGGCCCATGACAACAAGCAACAGAAGTTCAACAGGCCAAGCTGGCAAGCATAGGCAGGTTCTCAACCAAGAGGGCTACAATAGGGGTAGATGCAACCCTGCAAACCCTAATGAACCAGCTAAGTGCTATAAGTGTAGGCAACCCAGGCACATTGCAATCAATTGCACCAGCAGTCAGGAGTGAACTCCTACTCAGCAGGGATAGGGATTTGGGTGCACCCTTTTCATAAGCAACACTGGCAACCATAACCAAAACAGTACATGGATTCTTGACTCTGGAACCACACATCACATGGTATGTGATGAGGATAAGCTCATTGCTCCGATGCCAAAGCAAGGATCCATAGACACTGCAGGGCATGAATGGTTGCAAGTGCAGGCAATAGGAGATGCAACCTTGCAAGTTGGAGATGTTAAAATACCCCTCACAGATGTACTTTACATTCCCAACCTTAGCAAGAATCTATTGTCTGTTCCAGCATTAACTGAAAATGGTGCACAAGTGATATTTGAAGAATCTGGAGCTACAATACTCCAACATGATGGAAGCATGGTTAAGAGCAAGACCAACCAATGCCAGAAAAGATGGGAAGTTCACAGTGACTCCCTAGCAGCACAGCTCAATGACCCCCTTGAGGGCATTGATGATAACATGACACCAGCAAGGCCTGCAAGCCACACAATAAGCAAACTATGGCATGAATGATTTGGCCATCCCAGTAGAAATAAAACCCAGCAAATCCAAGCTCACTACTTAGGAAGAGAAACACAGCTTGAGCACAACTCAAAGGACTGCAACAGTTGCAGTCAGGCAAAGCAAACACATGCAAGAATGGCAAGCAGCAAGACAGAACAAGCACAAGCACCATTAGAATTAATACACATTGACCTAATGACAGATCTACAAGGCCACCCCAACTATCATCATGCACTAGTAGTTGTAGACAATGCCTCATCGTATGTATTCATGAGACTGCTCCTCAGCAAAGCAGAAGCATTCCCCACCTTAAAAGCATGGATCAAAAGGGCAGAGGTAATGACAGACTGCATGCTAAAGTGCATCTGCAGCGACAATGGAATGGAATGGTCAAGCTTGGCAGCAGAGGAATGGAAGAAGGAGGCAGGGTTTAAATGGCAGAAAACCACCCCATATGTCAGCATGCAAAATGGAAGAGCAGAGTGCACCATCAGATCACTACAAGAAAAGATGCAAGCAATGCTCATCCAAAGATCAGTGCCAAAAGGTTTATGGCCCTATGCCATCATGGCTGCCAGACATGTACTTAATTTGACACCATCAGCAAATACCAACAGAATTCTGTATGAAGACTTTCATTGCATGATGGCTCACAGCTTGGCAAAACAATTGTGTGTCTTTGGCTGTCTCATGTGGGTTCACCTCCCAAGGAAAGATCATGCAGGCAAGCATGGTGTGAGAGCCATACCAGGAATCATGATCAGTTATGATGATGAGCACAAGGGATGGAAATTCCACACTCCAGAACACATGCTGTCTATCCAATGGAGTAACTCAGCCACATTTCATGAAGATAAAGGCTGGCATGATTGACCCAAAGAAAGGAGCCCGCTGCAAATCAGATTTGAAAGTCTAGAGGCAGAGGGTACCAGATCAGATACTGTCGACCATGAGCCCATACTAGAGCTGGAGGAGATCAACATACAAAACCTGTCCTCACATGCCTCCACTATGCAACCCATCGACACTGTCGAAGACAACCAATCAGAAATTGCCATTGAAGACATTATCAGGGAGGCCAATATGACCACCATGAACCTTACACCAACTTTGAGGGAAGCACTTGACAGTGATAAGGCACAGCAATGGCAAGAAGCCATATGCAAGGAGTTAGATGGGCTCGAAGCCATGGGGACTTGGGAAATCGTTGACATACCACCAAACACCAAACTTGTCAACTCTAAGATTGTCCTCCATCTCAAGCTGGACACCGATGGGGTACCTGTCCAACATAAAGCAAGACTTGTCGCACAAGGATTCACACAATGAGAGGGCATAGACTTCAAAGAAACTTTTGCACTGGTGGCACCACTCAGTGCAATAAGAGCCCTGTTGTCACTGGCAGTGGAGCGGGACTGGGAGGTCCATCAACTTGACATCACAATGGCCTACCTCAACTCCACACTCAAGCATGTCATCTATATGAAACCACTGGAAGGGGCAAAGGTACCAAAAGGAAAAGCTTATTGGGTAGTAAAAGGGTTATATGGACTCAAGCAATCAGGATGGGAGTGGAACATGGAGTTCGATAAGTTCCTGCAGCGCTCGAACTTCCATAGACTCGATTGTGCACTGTCATGGGCCTGAATGCTCAGGAAGCAGGAGGGTCACTGGTTCATATGGAAGGAGCACAGGTATCGGAGATCTAGCTGATACCAGTAGAGAGCATGGTCATAGTGCAGTCTCCATGGAGACCATGGACTCCTATGGACTCACATGCAAAGGAGCACTGAGCCATATGTGAGGAGGGCCAGGCACAGCCACAAGGAGGACCAAGCTCAAGGAGCAGGCACAGCCATGAAGAGGACCAAGCTCAAGGAGCATGCAGATGGTTACCACTCAGGGGCTCGAGAGACAAGAGTCAAAGGAACCGTCACCAGTCAAAGGAGAAGGAGCAGTGTATAGGGAACTGGCAAGCAGGTCCTGAGGAGGAGGAGTAGTGTTGAAGGAGTCGACACCAGGTCCTGAGGAGGAGGAGCAGTGTCGAAGGAGTCAACACCACTCAGGAGGCACAGGGGTGCCAAACAAGCAGGATAGCAAGGAGGAGGAGCAGTGTCGAAGGAGTCGACACAGCTCAAGAGGCACAGGGGTGCCAAGCAAGCAGGAGAGGCCCCCTGAACAGTACTTGATGAAGAAGGTACCCTCTGGAGAGAGAGCAAGAGCAGTGTCGCTGGCGATGCTGTGAAGAGGTATATAACCATGCTTTCTCATCATCAAAGGTCGAGTGGATCCTCATCCACTCTACACACATCATAACTAGTTATCACTTCAGCATAAGTATATATTAGTTTCAGTCAGCATAGCAGCAATCCATCAAGGTTGCTCCTCATTGTAGTGCATGTGTTGTATCACCACTACCTGACGTCCGAAGGCAGTTCATAGCAAACCAGCGGTCCAGATTAAGATAGAACTGAAGGCAGTAGTCCACTGCAGTCCAGGGATCACCTCAAGCATCAGTCAACACACTGGACACTCATGTTGATGCCACCAACCTTTTCACCAACACCATCAACCTCATCATCATCAACACTCACACCAGACCTTGGAGTCATCACAACCTATGTATTGATATTGATTGTGCTGAGCTACCCCTGAATGGAGTGTCCACAGAGGTCAGCCAAAACCTATGACAGTATATACAATGAATGTCACCTGCTGTCATCATGCAACTTGATAGTTGCCAAGCAACTAGCTCATTGAGACCGATACCGAGACAATAGCTGTCGCACAGTTTGATAGTCACTGAGTATCTCGACAGACCGACCTGGGTTTCAGGCGCGAGACCCCTGACATTCATGTATCTACACCAGAGGAAAGGGGGACAACTTTGCAATAGTGATTATCTATGTTGATGATACATTGATTATATCCCCAAAACTGACAACAGTTGAGCACATTAAGAGGGAGATAGGCAAGAAGTGGAAGATGGAGGAGGGTGGCAACATATCCCATTTTCTCAGGATCAAGATCTCCAGAGACCACAAGGCAAAGACTATGGACCTCATGCAAACCAGCTATGTCAAGCAGCTATTAAATGAGCATTTAGATAAATGTAGAAGAAAATCCAGCACACCACTCCAGGACATCCCAGTACCAGAGATGACAGCAAGCATAGCCAAGTGGAAGGAATACCCACAAATCATTGGCAAACTCCTATGGCTTTCAAATGGAACATGTCTGGACATCAGCCAAGCTGTGGGTGTCCTTGCACACTACATGATGCAACCATCGAAGGAACATTACAATGCAGCACAGAGAGTGCTCCAATATTTGGACTGCACCCAGGATGTCCACTTGCAATATGGTAGCAACAAGCAACAAGATTTTCTGGTGGCACATAGCAATGCAAATTGGGCAAGTGATGCCACGGCACAATGTAAGAGCTTGTCAGGGTCAGCAGTTTTCATACACAGAAACCTGGTAGCATGGAAGTTGGCACTACAGCACTGCACTGCCTTATTGGCAGTAGAAGCAGAATTCGTGGCAGCAACTGAGGCCACACAAGAAATTCTCTTCTTTGGGCACCTCTTCAAGGCCATTGGGGTTGATGTTGGTATCCCCATAATTTTCTCAGATAACACAGGCACCATCCAGGTAAGCAAAGACCCCACACAACATTGGAAGTTGAAGCACATCGACACCAAATACCATTTTATAAGAGACAATGTACAAGATGGAAAGGTCAAAATCAAGTACATCAGCACTGAAGATAACTTAGCAGACATCTTTACCAAACCAGTAGGCAAGGAGGCATTGCGACATGCATGACAAGGGTTAGGACTGACACCACAGCAAGGTACAGTGGCTCAGCAGCCTACTGCCTTGCTGCTGAGGGAGACAGTTGAGGGAGACATGTCGGCACTCCAACAGAATTCACAGAGTCCATGGAGCATTATGGAGCCTGTGGAAGATAAGTGAGTCATTGATGAGGCAAAGACACATATAGGTGGTAACACATGTGGGATGCATAAGCATTGTCACACTAACACACAGGAAGTGACAATGCAGGAGTGACACAAGGAGCAGCTCACCACAGGCTAGCACATGTGGAAGAGATTACCAAGCATATATATATATGACAATGTACATAGAAGCTAGTAGATAGAATAACAATAACAACATAACTGTACAAACAAAAATTCCTTAACTGGACGGCCACCAAACACCATCCTCCCCTCTCTCCCTTCTCTTCTTTCCACCACACTACATCTATCAAAGCCCTTCTCCTTGCCAATCATGTCTGAGATCGATCTCTCCAGTCTCCCCCCGCAGTTTGCCCAGGCGGTGGATGCGATCCGTTCGAGGGTTCCGGCTGAATTAGCTGCTCCTAAATGGGGTATTATTTGGTAGGTTCTCCCCCCCCCTCTTCCCCCCTCTTCCCCGTCCTCGGGTTCAAGCCATACTAATCGCCACACTCTTTGTTTGCTTGCAGTGGATCCGGGTTGTCAGATCTAGCCTCCTCGCTGGAGCAAGCTGTACACGTGCCTTATTCCTCCATCCCTGGGTTTGCGGAATCCTCGGTGGAAGGCCACCAATCGCGGCTTGCATTTGGATATATCACCTCCTCTCGCTCTGACTCGTGTGCTTCTTCTGCTGCTGTTCCCTCGATCCGGGTGCCTGTAGTAGCATGTCTTGGACGCTTTCACACATACGAAGGGCACTCCTCCAACACATGCGTGTTTCCCACACGCGTATTCCGCCTCCTCGGTGTCACCCACCTCATCATCACCAACGCTGCTGGAGGACTGACAGACGATCTATCAATCGGCACGATCATGGCCATACACGACCATCTCTCCCTACCAACACTAACTTCAATGAACCCACTCATCGGACGGAACTACGCCTCTCTCGGACCACGATTCCCTGCACTCTCCAACGCCTACGATCTCAACCTTCAACTCTCACTCTACCGAGCAGCAAACCAACTCGGACTAAGCACACTACTAGCCTCTGGAACATACGCCTATGTTCTAGGACCGTCGTACGAAAGCCGAGCTGAAGCCAACTTTCTGAAAAACGCAGGCGCAAATGCTGTAGGCATGTCAACTGTACCCGAAGTCATCACAGCCACTCATATAGGCATGAAAGTTCTAGCCATCAGTTTAATTACTAACAAAGTAATCCTCAACCCTCCATTCAATCTACAACAACTCTTGCTGGACGAAGCAAAAGATAAGGGCAATGAAAAGGCAGAAGCAAAAATCCAAAACATCATCCACCAAAACATCTCTCAAGCCGCAAACCACAACGAAGTACTCACGATCAGCAAACTTAGAGCACAAGATATGCGCAGACTCGTCAGCCAGGTCATACTCACCACGCAGGTGTGAATAGAATGAGAAAATGTATATGTGTTTCAAGCTACATATTCGAATCACTCGAGTTAGAAGGTAATCCAAAAAAAAAAAAGAAAAAAAAAACAGCCGCAAACCCGAAGTATGTATGTACGTGCGTAGTGAGGGAAGAAGACCATAGACGAGACGAGAAAGAGAAAGCAAAAGACTGTTAGTCTCTCTAGGACCCAACGTCAGTCGAAGCAGTTGGTAAGAGAGTAGCTGTGGTAAGATTTGATCGAGCCTTGACCGTTGCTGGTGCTGGTGCTGTTAGGGCTGGATTGCCGATCGGATCTGCTTTGGCCTCTTGCCCTGCGTTTGCAGCGTCGAGCTGTTTCAGTTGTGCAATGGCCTTGGTGAAAAAGGTAGCAGCACCGGGTGTAGCAATCCCGCCTGCACTCTCCACCTTTTCCAAGGATTCGATCTGTTGATCTCTCACTCTATCCTGCCATTTTTGCAACTTGCTCGTCTCATGTACCGGGAAACCAAAAATCCGAGGTCTGTATCTTTCCACCTTGGCCGCTGCAGCAGCGGTTGAGTTTGCTGGTGTTCCACTTGCGCCACCTGCATTTGCATTTGCATTTGCATTTGCATTTGCATTTGCTACTGCTGCCACCGCACCAGCTGCTGGTAAAGAAGAAGCATTCGCCGCTCCACCAACACCAGCTGCTCCAGTGGCTGCGGTGGGGAGACAAGAGAGGATGGAATCGTCGACATCGACATGTTCCTGGGTCCTGTCGGATCGATGTTGAGTTGCACTTAACAAGAACGGAGATTGACTTGACGGCGATTTGCAAGGTAGGAGGTGGGGATAGACGATGAAAAGCATATGGGGGAAAGTGCTTCCAAAAAAGGCACCATCGATTGTTCCATGCCTGCTGCTTTTAGGCGAGTAAATATCCTCGCATCGAGGACAAAACAACTTGACCGCTTTCTGAAACGGGTTATCGCTCAAGCCTACGGGCAAGAGAGGTTGTTGATAGCAAAGCACACGAGGACATCGACCGAAATCAGCCCTCTTGTACTTTTCCAACATCTTGGCCAAGCCTCGTGTGGTGATGACATAACGAGCATGTACCAATCCGTAGAGGAGTTTAGCCTGAGCTTCTACCGAATCACGGATCGAGTCGGAAAGATCATCTTCGAGGGAATCCGTGATGAGATCGAGTGCTTGTGGATAGTGTTGAACTTCTGCGTTGAGACCGGTGAGATTGAAACGATCGAGGATATAGTCTTCGTCGACTTCGCAAAAGTACTCGTTGCCTTTGGTGGAGAGGAACCAGGTGACCCAAGAGTTGGCGGCGTAATCGCTCGATCCTTCCGTCAGATCGTCCACTGTGGCAGTGCAAACGGTGGGCATACTGTCAATATCGTAGCAGTGGCGAGATGGAGATGGCAAGCGTAAGTCGGTTGGGTTACAAGATACTTACTCATCTTGGCGGAGGATGCTGTACAGGGATGGGGAGGAGGGGGGAGATGCCTGATCTCTGGAGTCGATGAGGCGATGCACTGCTATTGCTCTGCCCAAGTGCTGGTGCGGAAGAGCCGAGAGTGCTGAGTCGAGGTGGTGCGGAAAGATGACTGTTTGATCGGAAGCTGGTCCGAATGTCGGCACGAGGCTGTGCTGTTTTAAATGTGATGTCTTTTAAATGTGATGTCTTTTAAATGTGATGTCTTTTAAAAGGGCTGACTTTTGAAAGGGCTGTGTTTGAAATGTGATGTGTTTGAAATGTGCTCTTTTAAGAGCTTCTGCTGATATGGTATCGGATGATGCCGACGATGCAAAAAGCTCAGCCGAATCGCAGGCAGCGGTCCAGAGTCAAGAGTCCAAGTCGATGCTGTCGATGCCGTTCAAGGTGCTCGTCGAGAGTCGCAATGCGCTGCGCCAAGAGTGTCCAAGCCTGAAAGACCAGCCGTCGGAATGTGGCAAATAGGAGATGGTGAAAGGAGATGGTGAAAGGAGATGGTGTAGCAATGATCTAGCAATGATCTAGTAATCTGGATTTTGCTTAGACCAAGGCCCGTGTCTGAGTGAGAGAGCTGCTGCACAATCCGGGTCCGGGAAGGCGCTTCCCGTCGAGAAATGTGAAGAAAAATCATCGTGATCAGACGAGGAGAGAGCGGCTTCTCCTCAATAAAGATGGGAGATCGAAAGGCGATCTAACAACCCGCATCTTTGACCGGCAAAGTTCCTTTTGCAAGCTGCACCCCAACATGCAACACGCTCCAAGGCCGACGGCGGATTGCGCGCAAGTGTTCTAAAAACGTCCCTCCAGCATCCCTCGATACGGAGCAGTTCGGAGATCCACTCTTCCGCCGTCTTTCTGCGATCGGGCCGAGGGCTTGCACGATCATCCTCAGCTAGCAAGCGGTGGTGCAGCAAAGCGATGGTGCACTTGCAAGGCCAGACAAAGACGGCTCTCCCGACTTGTGTTTGCAGTCAGATCGGGCTGATATCGGCATCTATCGGACCACACCGTGTGGGAGAGGAGATTCAACTTGTTTATCGCCTTAGGGGGTATCAAAGTTTTTGCAATTTTAAAAGTGCGGGTTTTTTCGAGAGCACATTTTTTGAGGGAATTTGAACCCCCCCCCCCCCCCAAGGAAAAGCAGGTTTCCAAAAACACAATGAAATCATATGACTGATAAAATACATAACCTAACAGTGGTCATGTTACTTGTTGCTCTCATTGCTATTACCCATTGCTTGCTTATATCTTGCTTTCCTCTTCACACAATGCACTCAATGTAATGTTTCATATGGTGGTGAGAAGAATTGTATTGAACAGAAGAAGAGAGAGTGCCTGTCAGATTGAGAATGGTTGTGTCAAGACTTGCTCCTGTCTCCAAGCTGATGTGCTTTGAGTCATGGCAATGTAGTCCACAGTAGTCCTCTCATGATGTTGAGACAATGCAGTAGTGTCTTCCTCATTGCACCCAGTGGATCTGAACAGTGCCTGGAACAAACCCTCTCAAAGATCATGTGCAGCAGAACTTCAAAGTCTTGACACTGCATACTGTGACATTCCTTGTGTTGCAGTGGCAAGATCCAGTTTGTATTCCTGCTGATTTGTGCATCTTGTCCTCCTGAGCTCTTGTGTATCACTGGCATCAAGTTGGAGGCTTTGAACAACCTCACTCACCTCATCCTCAGAGAAAGAGGGCAACAGCAGGTCAGCAATATCAGCAGGACAGTCATATTGACTTGCAAAGGTGTGGGCAACAATGCAGGCTTGGATCATCTTGGCAGCAGTGATGCAGTCCTTGAAATGGTAGATGTTACCACAATAGCCTGTAAGGCACTGGAAGCAGTTCTTCAGGTATGCAATGGCATGTTTGACTCATACTTGGACTTGAGAGAGCATGTAGTTGAAGTGTTGAAGGTCTCAACTCTTGTTGGCAGCAATGTGAGAGAATGGTCCAACTGTGAAGGCAGAATGGCCATATCCACCATCAACCCAGATGAACTCACCTTCATCAAGGTACAGGCAAGGCTTCTTCAGGATGTTGCTGCCTGAGGCCCAAACCTTTGAATCCTGAATGCTGCCAGGCTGTCCAACAACTGATTTGACAATCTGCAGTGAGTGTGGCAGGATCACCAGCACTACATTGATGCTGTGGAAGCCTTTGTAGCAGAAGTGCTCTCAACTGAGCACTCCTGGCTTCCAGGCAAGAGGGATGTGTGTGTCATCCACCACAAGCCAGCCCTTACCCCACTCTTCAACCCCAGTTGTATTGCGCACCCAGGCAGAAGCATGTTATCTCTCTCCCTCTGAAGCAAACTGCATGACCTTGTTGTTTAGCTCAAGGAGGCCAGCGACTGTGTGATTGGTGTATCCAACAATGCTCCCAACACTGCAACCACATTGCAAAGCAGCATCACATTCACCACCTCCATTTCCAGAATGGCTGAGTCTGTACAGAGCCACTGAAAGAATCTCTTGCACTTTGTTGAGAGACATCACACCTGAGCTGCTGTAGTTCCACTGGAAAGCCTCTGTTTGCTGGAGTCAGATGGCAAGATTGTTGAATGCTTCAGGTGACATATGAACAAGTCCACAATACATCCTATGATTGCTTGATTCATACCTGTTGAGAAGGTGGATAAGCTTATCAGCATGGCCAAGAGGAGTGTAACATGTGATTGTGTACCTTTGCTTGCATATGAAAGTGTACAAGCAGACAAGGTGTTGTGAGAGTGGAATTGGGTCACCATCATTGTCCAAGTTGTCAATGTCAGTGCTGCAGGAGTGCTGCACTCTGTCAGTGTTTTGGATGACCTCTGCAGGTATAGAGAGCTCAAGAGTGTGGACAATGTCATTGAGAATTACTTGCTTGTCACTGTAGTGCACCATGGCTGGAAGGAGGAAGGGAGTTGGAGAGGGAGCATGGAGAGGGGGGATAGAGAGGGGGGATGGAGAGGGGGGATGGCAGCAAGAGCAATGCTGAAAGGTTGCAGAGTGGAGTGGTGGTAGTAATGGAAGAGGTGTGAGAGTGAAATTTTTTGTTTAAATGCTTTTGAGCTCATTATGTGACTGTGCTGTGCATCATTTTTATTCACCTCATACTTGCACTCTACAGAAAAACACTCAGAAATGACTTTGCATTGAGACTGGATGATAGTACATGTAATGCTACAAGACAGGAAGATTGAATGAAGAGTCCGTGTTGTTGTTGTTGCTGGTGTTCTGACAAGCATCCTGTTCAACACTGGCCTGAGAAGCAAGGAGGTGCACCATCTCCATCACCATTTCATGATCACATGTGCAAACACATTCATTGCACTCTTTCTCCTCCCTCTCGTGATGCAGGTGCATCTCCTTGTGCTTGGTATGCTCAGCCTCCAGTATTTTCTCGTGTCTGGTGCATTCCTGTTCAAGCTGCAGGCAGATCTGAAGGGTATCAATGGAAGAATGATAGAAAGCTTCAGCAAGTGTGTTGTGCTTGTGATCAAGGGCACCTCGCTTGCACTTGGTGCTGGGAGAGAGCTGGGCTGAAGATTGAGAAGAGGTGGAATCAGAGACATCCAAACCACCAGCAGTGGAGGAAGGTGGTCAAGCCTGCAAAGGTGGAGGCAAAGGTGTGTTAAAGATGTCATCATCACCAGTGCCAGCAAAGGATACACCAGAAGTGGATGCAACAGCAGCCGGGGGGTTGGTGGGTTTGATCAAGTTGAGAATAGGAGGCAAACCATGGCCATGAGCACTGTGATTGTACAGCTCGCTGCCACAAATATCCATGGGTATGTCAGCTGAGCCATTCAAAGGCATGTCAGGCTCATCATTGCTGGTGAAGTCAAGACTGGGAGTTGTGATAAGTGCTGCAGGATCAGCATTGAATCAGCCATTCATCATCTCATGCATCCTTTCAAACCAAGCATACTTTGTTGACAGGGCAATGCGAGATATGTAGGACTGTTTAAAATCAAAAGTATGAATCAGCATCCAAGCATACTATTGCAAGCAACAAAGATCACCAAAACTTACCAGGTTGGATGCATCCATGTCCTCCAGCAGTGTACCAGCTCCAGTGAGTGAAAGCTTCTTCTTCTCCCTGTAGTATGTCTCTAGCAGCCACCTCAGCTTGGACTTGATGTGATTGGGATCAACAGATGCACCTGGGAAAATCATCTTGGAGATATCCCAAAAAATGGGATGTTTGCAAAGTTTGAGGGCTGGATCGCTCTCAGCCAATTCTCGAGATGGCAGCAGAGTGTGCTGGTAGGAGTTGTTGTTGTAGAGGATCATGACAAGGTGAAGAAGATTGGCACCTGACCATGTCAAGTTCTTCTTGCCTGTGGCAGATCTAGAGGCTCGAGTTGGACAGGAAGTGTGGATGTCAGGAGCACTTGTAGAACCAGATTGAGACAGCACAGGCACACTTTCAGTCTGAGTTGCTGAGCTTGTAGGTGTAGTGGACTGGCATAACAACTCTGCAGAGATGTCACAAGAATCATCAGTGGAGGAGGTCATGTTGAATGAGTGCAAGGAAGAGGGAGTGAGCAAAAGTGCAATGAGAGTGAGGAAAGGAGAGAAGATGTGGAGTGATAAAAAAACCGCATTTTCACAAATGTGCCTCCTGAGCTGCATTTTTGAAAACACGGTTTTTTTTTTTTCCCTTTGTGGAGCTTATGTAAGCTTTTGCGGTTTTTTTGAAAAATGCGCTCTTGAAAAAACCCGGGTTTTTAAAAATGCAAAAACTTTGATACCCCCTCTTGTTGGGAAGTTCAAGCAGAGAACAGCCGAGCAGCTTTGCACCCTTTCTTGAGGATATCGATTCCTGTCTTTTTTTCCAGCTAAACCGAAAAGAGTGGCTCGCGTTCTCTTTTTTTTTCTTTTTTTTTTTCTTTTTTTTTTCTTTTTTCTTTTTTCTTTTTTCTTTTTTCTTTTTTCTTTTTTTCTTTTCTTTTTCTATTTTTCCTTTTCCGTGCGTGTGTGTGTGTGTGTGTGTGCTGGTGCGTTGGAATCTTTTGCGTTCGGAGCACTGATCGGATCTTCTGTTGTTGGTCTTTGTCGTCCGTCTTTGTCGTTGTCGTTGTCCTCGTCGTCGTCGTTGCTCTAGACATTCATCCCTTACCTTGTCCCTCTCTCCCTCTCTCCACATCCTCCTCGTCTCCTACACCCTTCGTCGTCGTCATCCCTCGCAAAGATGGCCATCGCTCGTTCCGCTTGGACCTCCTTGGCCCGCGTTCAGGGCTCCAGCCTTCGTTCGCTCTCCACCTCGGCCGTCTCAAGGCAGCCTTCTCGTTTGCTCGCCGCCGCAGACAAGGCTTCCCCCCTCGCCTCCTCCTCGCGTCTCACCACCGATCCTGCCGCGCTTACCGCCTTCATCCCTTCCACCACCCGCAACGCTTCCTCCGATGCCAAGCCGCAAGAGATGACCGTTCGTGATGCATTGAACTCGGCCATGGAAGAAGAGATGCTCCGTGATGATAAAGTTTTTATCCTCGGTGAAGAGGTCGCTCGTTACAACGGTGCTTACAAGATCACCCGTGGTTTGCTCGACAAGTTTGGCGAGAAGCGTGTCATCGATACTCCCATCACCGAGTCTGGTTTTGCTGGTTTGGCTGTCGGCGCCGCTCTTTCTGGCTTGCGTCCCATCTGCGAGTTCATGACCTTCAACTTTGCCATGCAGGCAATTGACCAGATCATCAACTCGGGTGCCAAGACTTACTACATGTCCGGTGGTAATGTTCCTTGTCCTGTCGTTTTCCGTGGTCCCAACGGTGCTGCCGCCGGTGTAGGTGCTCAGCATTCCCAGGATTACGCCGCTTGGTACGGTCAGATTCCTGGCCTCAAGACCATCTCCCCTTGGTCTGCTGAGGATTGCCGTGGTTTGCTCAAGTCGGCTATTCGTGATCCCAACGCTGTCGTCTTTCTCGAAAACGAAATCCTCTACGGCCAGTCCTTCCCCATCTCCCAGGAAGCTCTCTCGGACGACTTTACAATCCCCATCGGCAAAGCCAAGATCGAACGTCCTGGCAAGGACATCACCATTGTCTCTCACTCCATCGGTATGAACTACGCCATGGAGGCTGCCGAAATCCTCAAGAACCAAGAAGGCGTAGAGGCAGAAGTCATCAACCTCCGAACCATCGCTCCTATGGATGTCGATACCATCATCGACTCGGTGAAAAAGACCAACCGTATCGTTACCGTGGAGAGCGGCTTCCCTCAGTTCTCCGTCGGAGCCGAGATCGCTGCGACTGTCAACGACTTTGCTTTCGACCACCTCGATGCTCCTGTCGAGCGTGTGACGGGTGCCGCTGTGCCTACGCCATACGCTCAGAACTTGGAGAAGCTCTCCTTCCCAGACACGGCCATCGTTGTTCGCGCTGCTAAGCGTGCTCTTTACAAGTAAAAGCGCATCCGTGCAAGAGCCCTTTGAGCTGAGCGGCAGCGTTAGTTGGAAGCAAGTTACCGTAGCTTTGAGAGCACCTTCTCTCTTTGCGCTCCAGCAGCTCAACAGATCTTACCTACCTTGTACCTTGTACCTTGTACCTCTATTTCATCTTTCTTTGCTTTTTTTCAGATGGTGTAAATCCATTCCTCATTGCTGCCTATGCACACTCTGTCTGGTGTCTATGCCTCAATATCTCCACATCCCTCTTTGCGCACCACTTCTCATCGATGTCATGCTGATCGACTGGAGGAATGAGTGTGCGGGAGGGGAAAGCCTGTGATCCAACTTTGTTAGCTCATGTCGGTAGTAACAGAGTGGGAAATTCGGATTTGCTTCTCGTGCGAGAAGTTGGCGCGAATCGGAGATGTCAAGTTGGCCGCATTTGGAAAGAGAGTGAGAATATCGGCCCGATTTGAGTGTCTGTCGCTTGGAATGCAAGAGACACGCGCGTTTGGCATGCAACTGACACCTTGGCTTCTTGTCCACCAACCATCATTCGAGACCTCAGCTACTCAACGACCACCGCTCGCCACCAGACAGCTCTGTCGACGCTACTGGAAAAAAGAAAAGCCAGCATCTACCGCCCTTGCCCCGCCTCGCCTCGCAATCGCATCGCATCGCATCGCATCGCATTGCATCGCATCGGACTGATCACAGGATATCGCTCATCACCGGCAACAAGCAACGACGTTGAAACAAGGAGGCAACAAATTCCATAGCAGATCCCAGGCTGACATCGCTATATAACAGCTAATAGCTCGCAATGTCGAACGCACCAGGAGCAAGCACAGCCGAGTTCGGCCAGCCATTGAGAAAGTTCAAGGTAAGAGCACCCACCGCGATCAGCCGTTGAAACTCACTTTGCTTCTTCTTGCTCTGACACCAACCTTGCTTTCGACGGTATCATTATTCACTCTCCTCGCCATCTCAGCTGGTCTTCTTAGGCGAGCAATCGGTTGGCAAAACCTCACTCATCACACGCTTCATGTACGACACATTCGACAACACCTACCAAGCGACCATCGGCATCGATTTCCTCTCCAAAACCATGTATCTCGAAGACAGAACCGTCAGATTGCAGCTCTGGGATACAGCAGGACAGGAGCGATTCCGATCCTTGATCCCATCCTATATTCGAGATTCCTCTGTTGCTGTGGTGGTTTATGATATCACCAGTAAGTTCGATTCCCGTTTACCGCTCGTAAGGATGAACTTACACTCTTCTTCTTGCCACTTGTTCTTGCCACTTGTGCTTGCAGACCGAGCATCATTCCAAAACACCTCAAAATGGGTCGACGATGTGCGAGCAGAGCGTGGCAACGATGTGATTATCGTCTTGGTTGGTAACAAGACTGATTTGAGCGATAAGAGGTACGTCCCCACCAACACCCTTTCTCTATATATATGATTGCATCTGTACAGCAGCACCACTAACACTCGAACTTGATGTCCTGGCTACCGCTGGAATGATAGACAAGTTACAACGGACGAAGCAGAAAAGAAAGCTCAGGAATTCAACGTCATGTTCATCGAAACTTCGGCCAAAGCGGGACATAATGTCAAGGTCTTATTCAAAAAGATCGCCCAAGCGTTGCCAGGGATGGATAAGGATTCGGATGTTGCCAATGCTGGCCCTACTGCCAACAAGAGTAAGTCTCCACTGCCAATCTCGCCTGATACTTTGCATTCACCAAGGCAGCACAAGGAGCTGATGCCTTTTTTCAATCTCTCACTTGTGCCTTGCCTAGATATCGACGTAACCGCGCCACCAGCACAAACGACAATGCATGACGGATCGTCTTGCAAGTGCTGATCTCCACCGCCGCTTTCCATGCAGTATTTAACAAGCAAGCAGTCACTTGTTTCTCCGCGATACATAGCAGCTTGCCCAAGACTTGCGACCATCGTCTTGTGGCTGTTGTCTTGTGGCTGTTGTCTTGTGGCTGTTGTCTTGTGGCTCTCGTGGATCTGTCTAATCATTCCTTGGTTTGAGTCTAGAGTCGATAAACGATTTCGTGTCACCTCGATGCAACAGCTTGTGTGGGTCTGGTGTGAGATTGGAGCGTTGTGCTTCTTCGCACTTGTTCTGAATCCGTTACCCTGAATTCGTTACCCTGAATCCGTTACCCCTGACTACTTTTTCGAGGTCCACTTTCACGCCTTTTTTTTTTTTTTTTTTTTTTTCTTTTTTTTTTTTCTTTTTTTTTTTCTTTTTTTTTTTCTTTTTTTTTTTCTTTTTTTTTTCTTTTTTTTTCTTTTTTTTCACGCCTTTTTTTTTCACGCTTTTCTTTTAAATTCAGTTTGTTGGCCCGTTCGCACTTTCTCCGCATTCTCAATTCTCACCTGCCACAAGGATTCAGCTCAACAGGATCATCATCTTCTCTACCATCATCTTCTCTACCATCATCTCCTCTACCATCTTCTCCTCTACCATCATTCATCTCGCACCATGGACAGCCTCGATCTGCCTACCCACCAGCTCATCCTGGATGACTTGGCTCTCAACCTCGCCCAGGACATTGCCAACATCCCTTCGGCTCGCTCTCGTGTTCGATCTCTTTTCGATCAGCGTGCTACCACTAGCAGAGTCACGACTGGATCCAAGCTTTTCCTCTCCGCCTCGGCTGCTCGTACCCAGATCAGTCTTGCGCTCTTTGCTTCGTCGATCTCTTCGGCTTCTTACGACACCACCGACATCAAGAACGATGAGCATCTTGTCCCTGTCCTTGATGACCTCGAGCAGCTCATCCGTCAACTTACGCTGATCGACTTTGATCAGCAGACCAGCTGCACTGCTCATCCTCTGCCTGACCAGCTCGCCTATGCGCTCGTTTCCAGCTTCTTGCAGGTCTCGATCAATGCTCCTCATCACCGTGCTCGTTGTGTGCATGCCCTCTTCGATCTCGCTGCCAAGCTAGGCGATGCGCTCCGTGCTACCTCGGGCGATGCTCACACTCTGGTCGTCAAGCTCGTCCCGCTTTTCAACGGTTTGTACAGGGCTATTGCCAACACTTCCTTTGGTTGGAAGCTCCACGAATTCGCTCGTCTTGCCGAGGTGCTCAACCCTATCTTGACCTCCTCCCAGACCGTGAGGAGGCTCAATGAGGCTCTGCTTCTTCTTGATGATCAGGCCACCATTCGTCAGCAAGCTGGTCGCGCTACCAGGCGTGCTCCCAAGGTGGCCGCTCTCCTCCCTACGGATGTCCAGTCCGAGGCTAGTGTCGATACCTTCTTCTCCGGCGATGAGGATGAGGATGGTGCCCATCTCATTCCTCCCGATGGTGGCTTCACTTTTGCTGATCGAAACACTGCAGGTGCTCAAGATGCTTTGGACTACCGCATCTCTTTGCTCGCTCGCTATCGTCAAGCTGGCGTGCCTCTCTCGGGTCACTACATCCTTCTCTCATCGATCCATATTCTCGAGACCACTCTCGCTCAGGCTCTTGCTTTGGCTGCTACTCCTTCTATCAAGCACTTTTCCGACTTCCAGAAGCTCGGTCTTGATCTCCACCCTATCAATCCCAGCCGTCAATCCCAGGCTGATCGATTCCATCTCGACTCCGCCGCCAACGAGGACGACGCTGAGCATCTCCACAGTCGTGCTGTATTGGCTTCTACTGCCGCTAAGAAGGCTTGGGAATCGCTGCTTCGCTTCTCGATCCAACCTGACTTTTCCAACTCGGCTACCACCACCACCAATGCTTCCACTGCCAACGGAAGCACTGTGGGTGGCCTCCTCGCTGCCGTCCCTCTCATCGGCACTGGCACCACCGACAAGTCGGCCGCTTTCGGCGACTCCTCCACTACCCACACCGCCGAATCTACCCTTCACGACCTCGAGGAAACCCTCTACGACGTCCTCCGTGCCAGCAACCGCAGCTTCCACGACATCCAACGCTTCCTCCTCAGCGAACGTCTCAAGAGCATCGAACTCTTCCCCGAGCTTCACCTGCCCGAGATTCTCGCTGAAAGTCTCAAACTCTCCGCCCTCTGCTCTGTCGCACGCAGCTTGGCTGGGGAGGACAAGAATGTCGATAACGACCTCTTTGTTCGCATCCGTTCTCTCCTCTCCGAAAACGCTCCCGTGTTGGAGCCTCGAGTTCAAGATGCGGCGCTACAAAGCGTAGGTGTGTTGGTGCGAAACAACTCCTCGTTGGCTCTGCCGATGACGAGGGTTTTGCGTCACTTTGTCACTTTGCCGTTGAGTATCTTTATGCCTAATCCACGTGCAGTTAGCTCGCCGGTGCTGTTGGCTGCCGCTCGCTGCTTGGCTTCCTGCGTTACGATTGCTCCGGGCGATGATTTGGTCGTTTCGACCATGTACAGTCTGCTTAATTACTTGGGCAGGGACACTCCAGGTGGGTTGGGCGTGGGAGGGGTTGCCGGAAGTGGCGTTTCCGTTCGCAGTGGTGCTTCTCGTGCCATCACCACGCGAGACACGGTCGATGGAATGCCCATGTCTGGCTCGCAAGCCAATATCTCCGCGAGATCGGAAGATCAGAGACGACTCATCAACCTTGGCACGATTACCGTTATCTCTCGTCTTGCACTTGAGGTGGGCAAACCCGACGTGACGGCATTGACCATTTCCATGTTGTTGCAACGTCTTCGTAATGCCGATGTCTCTGCTGAGGCTGCGATTTTGGATAATGTAGTGCCGCTGGCTCTTGCTGGTCCACGCAGCGCCTACATTGATGTGGTTAGAGCGTTGTCAGCTGTATCCCGAAGTGCCTTGACTGGAGGCGCAAACCGTCGTGCAGCAGTAGCAGTTGTGTCTGCTCAACTCAAACTCGCTCGTGGTCTTGGTCGTCTCGATGAGCGAGACGAACGAGACTCTTCCGCTGCAGATGAGAACCAAGCTTCGGGTGGGAGGAAGGAGATTTTCCTCATCGAGCTGCTTCAGCTTTTCGTTGAAAAGGGAATCCAACTCCAGACGGTCGCTTCTTCGCCCAAGAGTAGCGCAGAAGAGCTCGCCGAACTCAACACTGATCTCGCCACCCTTCTCCCCGCCATCGCTGCGCTGTTGGAGCACAAAGACATCCACCCAGAGGTGCAGCCTACAACAGAAATCGTCTCCTTGTTCCGTAACATGTGGTTCCTTTCCGTCCTTTTCGGTTTCGCTTCGCCCAAAAACTGCAGCAGTAACGTTGCAGCGGACGGATCTGCCACTGCTGCCCCCACTTCCGTAGCACAAGCTCAAGCTCAGATCGTGGGCAGATCACTCAGTTCGATCTCGCTCAAGACTCCTACGCTTGTGCCTGAAACTGCGCATAACTACCTCGAGAGCGATCTGGAGTACAACTCGGTACTCAAGCGAGACTTTTCCAACCAGACGCTCGATTCGCAGAGGAAAGCTTTGAGTGCTGTGATTGCCACGCATGCAAGCGATATTCGCTCGTTCAGCTATGCTCAGGTGACCTTCCTCTCGACGATCTACAATTTGGAGTGTCTGCGCTCCAGCATGGGTCGCCCCTCGATGGTGCTTTCCTACTTCACCAATGAAGGGCTGAACAGCAGCGCGCTGGTAGGCGCTATGCAGGCTATTGCAGATAAGGTGATTGAATCCTTCATCCGCCATCTCGGCTCGCAGGTCAGCAGGCACTCGCTTGATCCTCGTGTTTCGAACGAGGTTAAGAACCTTATGCTTGCATGCTGTCACCGGGTTGCCAAAGTTAGACAGGTCTCGCAGAGTATCCTCAACAAGCTTATCTACGCTCTTCCCTCATTGCTATGCGAGCAGGATGTGGTGACGACCATGCTCGAAATCCTCACCTTGCTCAGAGACGGATGCGAGGCAGAGTTCAAGGACGAATTCGCACCGGTGTATAGCTATACGTCCGACCGAGCTGGGATCTCGTTCGATCTTTCGGATTCCTACACGCAGAGGAACGAGATTCTGTCGCTGTTCTTGGCCAAGTCGAGGGAGTATCTTTCGCTGATTATGGGTTTGGCGCCACTGGAGGTGCAAGGTATTTTAGAGAGGTATCTGGCAACATTCGACGATTCCATTCTCCCCGACCGGAGCGAGCTGGGTAAGAGTATCGCACTCGAATATGCTCGAAGCATGCCCCTTTCCGCCCGTAAGGAACGTCTCCTCCCCGCACTCGGCGGTTGGAGATCAGACGCAACTAGCTCGTTCATCGGTAAACTTTCCGCCAAATCCACCTATCTCGGTGAAATGACGGGTATCCATCACGCCCTAAGCAAAGGCCTCATCGAACTCTCCAAGGACCCGAGCAACAACACATCTCCTTCCTCCGTTGCTGAGTGTCGCGAGCAACTCGCTGCACTCTCCAACAACGTTGGTGCCAAACGCAAAACCCTCCCTCTTGCCGAGCTCAGAAGATTACTCTACCGAACAGCAGCACTCATAGTTGCCCTTCCCAATCCAGACTACGAGTTGCTGCACTTGATCGTCTCGATCCCCATCCTCGTCTTGACACCGGAAGCCATCTCCACGGCGTGTTCCGTCTGGACATGGGTCATCGGAGCACGACCCGAGGTCGAGGCCAAGATCATGGTCGAACTCACCATCGGTTGGGCTTGCACGATTGTCAATCGTCGCGGCATCTTCTCCGCTTCCCTTACCGCTAAACATCCCTTCCTTCGCAAAACCGAAATGGGAGCATTCAATCGCGACGAGATCACAGCCGAACAGGAGCAGGCGACGAGGCTGTTTACTCCGCATTTGACGCTCGTCCATCTGATCGCGAGCAGGTTCGAGGCGTTGAGGTATAGAAATGCAAGCTTGGTGCTTACGTTGGCGAGGTTGGTTCAGTATACAGGTGCAGCGGTGGAGAGGATGAGTACTCATCCACTTGCCAGGGAGGTGAGGTTTAGCTTGTTGAATTTCGGGTTTAGGTTGATCCAGACTTGTCAATTGGAAGCCTTGGCGGAATATCAGTTGAGGGAAAGCTTGTATAGCTTGGCTTATGGTTGGTTTGAGGCGGCGCCGCAGTGGAGTTTCGGGGGGAATCGGCTTCAACTCAGCGCGGATATGCAGGTGTTGGCTGAGACGTTGCAGTTGTTACAGAAGGATACGATGAGAGCGGATCAACATGTTACCAGTTTCCCTGCCACTCTCTCCGCCGTTCGCATGCCCCGTGGTTTGACGCTGCAAGATGCCATCAAGTCGTTCGAAGAGAAGAAAAAGGTGTTGCAGCTGCTCATCGAAAACGAATACTCTCGGCTCTCGGTCTGGGCTAACCCGCTAAACACCCCCACTCGTGGATCTGACTTCACTGGATCCCTCACCAAGTCTCTCACCGAAACCTCCTGGCCCTCAATGGTGCAGTCGGCATGGAAAATCAACCCTCTCATCGCCATCCAACTCGGCGTACGTTTCCCGCACCCTAAAACTCTCCATACCACCCTCGGCCATCTCGTCCGTTCTCAACCCTACAAAGTACTCTCCTCACCCACCTCTCTCAAATACCTTGTCGAAGACCATCTTCAACTGGCACTCCACGAAAACTCGGAGCTAAAATGGCTCCTCTACTGGTCACCTATCTCTCCCATCGAAGCAATCAACATCTTCCAACCAGAATACAACTCTCACCCCCTCCTCCTCCAATACGCTATGCGGTCGCTCGAACAACACCCGGTGGAACTTACATTCTTCTACGTTCCACAGGTAGTACAAGCTCTGAGAACAGACGCGTATGGCTACGTGGAACAATTCATATTGGAAACGTCAAAGATCTCACAGCTCTTCTGTCATCAGATCATTTGGAACATGAAAGCTAACTCGTATAAGGACGATAATGCACAGGTTGAGGATGCGATCAAGCCGATATTGGATCGTATGGTTTGCAATATCGTATCAGCTCTCTCGGGTAAGGCTAGGGACTTTTATGAGAGAGAGTTTGCGTTTTTTAACCAAGTCACTAGTATCTCAGGCAAACTTAAGCCCTATATTAAGAAGAGTAAGTCTGAGAAGAAGGCGAAGATCGATGAAGAAATGGCAAAGATCGATGTGGTCCCAGGAGTGTATCTTCCAAGTAATGCGGATGGGGTAGTTGTTGATGTTGATCGGAAATCTGGACGTCCGTTACAATCGCATGCTAAAGCACCTTTTATGGCTACCTTCAAGGTTCATAGGGAAGTCATTAGGCCAGGAGATGAGGGAGATGAAGATACACCAGCTCGAAAAACTCACATTGATGTATGGCAAGCAGCTATATTCAAAGTCGGTGATGATTGTCGTCAAGACCTACTTGCTCTGCAAGTAATAGCGATGTTCAAGAATATCTATACAACTATAGGCATGCATGTCTATCTAAACGCATACCGTGTCACTGCAACCGCTCCCGGTTGTGGAGTTATCGACGTAGTTCCCAACGCAACCAGTAGAGACGAAATGGGTAGAGCAAAAACCAACCATCTCCTTACCTTCTTCATCGACACTTACGGAAACATAGACTCAATACCCTTCCAAAATGCCAGGATGAACTTCATCCAAAGCATGGCCGCCTATTCCATAGTTTGCCATATCCTTCAAATAAGAGACCGACACAATGGAAATATGATGATCGACAAAGATGGCCATATCGTTCATATTGATTTCGGTTTCCTATTCGATATCGGTCCAGGTGGTATGCGATTCGAACCTTACTCCTTCAAGCTTAGCCATGAAATGATTGATCTCATGGGTGGTCCAGAGAGTCAAGGATTTAGATTGTTCGAACAATTAGTTGTAAAGGCTTTTTTGGCAGTTAGACCATGGTGTGACGAGATAGTAGATACGTGTAAACTTATGCTCGGTACTGAATTGCCGAGTTTTAAAGGGACCGCGACAATAGAAAGGTTGAGACAAAGGTTTAGGCCCGAGTTGGGAGAGAGAGAGGCAGCCGAGCATGCCAGGTGGTTGGTGAAGGATGCGTATGGCAATAAGAGGGCAGTGTTGTATGATAAATTGCAGGAGGTTACGAATGATATTCCTTTCGCTCGCTAAGCGGTGTTAGGGCTTGGGGGCGTTAATTGGTGATCACCCTTCCCATTTGGCTCAAGTTTGACAGGCATACTGCTGTACATCAAGAATACAAACATGCTTCTCGACTATATCAATCTACTAACGAATGTGCATCTTGGCATCTTCCGGCAACTGTACGTTTGCAATTCCTACAAAATGATAAAGGCAAGAAAGCACATAACCGAGAGAAAGGAAACGGGGGGGGGGAAAGGAAAGATCTGAAAAGGCACCAACTAGAATGTCCTTCTACAATGTGATATCAACTAAAGTATTTTACTGTGCTGCATTGTTCCAACCATAAGTCTGAAAGTCACCGCAAGGGTTTGGCAAACGGGCATACCAATCGCGAACATTGGCTCGCTTACCCGGATTAGGCATAGTGCCGGCGGCCAACATATCGACATAACTGTAGAGCTGCATCAAATTCTTCGACAGGGCCAGCACGGGATTCTGAGAAGAACTCGCTTTAAAGTTCCAAAAGATACTTCCCGCGGACCAAGCATAAGTTGCAAACTGCATCTCAAGGTAACTCTGCGCATAACTGTTTGAGTTTAAACTCTGAATCGCCGAGAACTCGCCCATAATGACGGGAACAGGGAATTGAGGACCGGCAGCGCCATACTCGCAAACCGAAGACTGAATCGCATCCGCTCCAGGCTCAGGTGTCTGGAACCAACCGGGATAAGGATGATCCTCATAAATGAGCATGTTCGGGTCTTTATCTTGAACAAAGGGTCTCCAAAGATTCATCTTTTCCAAGACGGTACCAGGAGCAAAACCATTATGGAAAGTCATTGGGATCTTGTACTTGAGACAGGTTTGGTAGCTTCTTTCGTAAAAGGATTGGGTGATTTGGAATCGGGTTGTGTTCAAACTCCAATCGTCACTAACGACCCGAGGTTCGTTGACGACGCCGATAGAGTTGACGATCGAGCTATAGGGGCTTGTTGTGGCCCATTGGACAACTTTTTCGACAAAAGTATCGGATCGAGCTTGGTTGGCTTGAGAGAACCACTGGATGTTGGTGGTGTTGTGTCCAGAAGATTGATCACCGTTTTGGGATCCAGGCATGGCGTGGAGATCGAGCATGACGTACATGCCACGGTTGTAGCACCATTGGAGCATCTTGTTGAGCTGGTCCATGTAGCCGGTGGTGACAAAAGGTTCCGGCGAGACGGTGGGGATGAAAGCCCAGAATGGGATAGGGATGCGGATAAGGTTGATACCAGCGTTCTCAAGAGTGTCCATATCAGCTTCGGTAACCCAAGAGTTTTGGTGATCGGCAAGAACCGAAGCGGCACGACTGCCAAGGTTCTGAGTGAAACGCCACTCATCCCAAGCATCAGGACCGCCGTTCTGAACCATCCAATCTTCAAGCTGCCATCGCTCCAAGACAAGCCAAGAGCCAAGACTGACACCGTAAGCCTTGGTGTTGGTGTCGGTCCAGTTCCATCGTCGGAAAGGAGTGATGGTGGGAGCTGCAGGGGCAGCCGAGGTAGTGCCGCTAGCACCATTGCCGTTGCCGTTGCCGTTGCCGTTGCTGTTGCTGTTGCCACTGTTATCGGAGGAGGAAGGAGTGTTGGAACCCGAGTTGTTAGCCTTGTTAGATGCTGCGGCCGAGAGGTTCTTGTCGTTGGACTTGGTAGCCTGGCTGACACCGACACCGGCAGCCACACCGATAATGATGAGGATGGCGAGCAGGATCAAACTGAAGAGAAGAGGTCTGCGCTTGATAAAGTTAGCAGGCTTGTTGGGTGCAAGACCACGTTCGAGACCGGCTGGGTTGGCTGGGTTGTAACCCTGACCACGACGACCTTGGTACTGGTGGAAAGAGCCAGCGGCGGCAGCAGCAGCAGCACCACCCTCCTTGTTGAAATAGTAAGTGCTGGAACGCTGGCCGGGAACGCCATCGGGAGCTGCGGGGAGAAGGGCCTGTGCCTGTGGGGTGGTGGCACCATCACGGTCGTGCTTTTCGGAATCGAGGGTCAAACCGCTCATGACCGAGTATCGACCAAAGGAGGCAGGAGTGCTCGGACGCAAGGTCTGAAACTCTGTGTACTCGCCAGGAGGCGAAAAGGTGGGGGACATGGGGTCCGGGCTGTAGTAGGCCGAATTAGGGGCCTGTGACGTTGGACGCGGCATTGTTGAGCTGCTATGCGTGTTGATTAAGATGGAGCAAAGGCGGGAGAGTATGTAGAGGAAGATGCTGTAGCTGTGCTATATATAATCCGTTGTTTTCCTTGAGAACGAGGGCGGGTGGAAGAGCAGAGGTGGTATATGGGTTCTTGAGCGTAGACTCTGTGTGGGTGATACGGGAGAGAGAGTTGTTGGAGGGAGAGAAAGGTGATGGAAGGGTGAAGAAAAGGTGATGGTGAGGAAAGGGATGGTGATGGTGATGGTGAAGAGAGAGAGAGGGGTAGAGAAGGAGGAGGAGGGGAAGGAGGATGAGGATGAGGATGAAGGGAAGCGAACGAGGAGGAGGGGGGAGTGAAAGATGGAGCGAGTGAAAAAGGCCAAGAGGCAATTCAACAGCCGACACAGTGACGAGAGAGAGGCAAAAGTCCTCGTGATGGTCTCAGAATCCAAGAAAAACAAAGTGATCAAGTGACCAAGTGACCAAGTGATCAAGTGACCAAGTGACCAAGTGACCAAGTGACCAAGTGACCAAATGACCAAGTGACCAAGTAAGTTGGTGATTTGCGGGAAAAGGGCAACAGGAACAGACACATCCTCGCAGTTCCGAAGCAAGGCGTCGTGGCTTGACTGTCGGATCACCCGCCTAGCGAACAAGACGACTTACGAGAATTAAAAAAAGAAAGAAAGAAAAAAAAGAAAAAGAAAAAGAAAAAAAAAAAGAAAAAAAAAAAGAAAGAAAAAAACATTGCAATTTCGAGGGTTTGCCAGTGCAATCGCACGGTCAAGGGCAGAGATGGAACAAGAGGCGGGGGATGCTTGGCCAAATCAACTGTAGCTACGTGCCTGGTTCGGTTCTCTTCATCTCGGGCTAGACTGGGGCCGAAGGTGTTGTGCTTCTAATGAAATCAGACAGTCACCTGAGCTCATGATTTTAGAGTTGATATTCCAACAGAGTTCCGTGCGAAAAGGAAGGAAGAAAAGGAAGGCAGAATACCACACAATACCCGATCTGGCAATCGACGTCGGACGTTCCAGAAAAGAAAACCTCAACAACCCAATTTACTAACCCAATTTACTAATCCAAATTACTAACCCAAATTACTAATCCAAATTACTAATCCAAATTACTAATCCAAATTACTAATTACTGTTTACTAATTACTGTTTACTGTATTCCTTCCATTCCTGCTTCGGCAGAAATCAGCGACAGCCGACAGCCACCCGACCGCGTTCGGCAGCTCAAGCTCAAGCTCAAGCAGAAGCACACTTTACACAAGTGCTTGGCACCTCTCCACGCCCACGCCACCTTTGATGCTCGGAGCCTTTCTTTTTCTCGAGATCTGGCAATGTTAGAGTTGCAAAGGTCACATTTAGTCGCCCCGAAAGCAAGTGGAGGCTGCACGGACCCTTGCTTTCTTGCTCCACTCTTTCTGATCCAGCTTCACGCTATAATTCCTTGCTACCCTTCCTTCCTACTCATACCACCTCCCCCTCCTCTTACTCTTGACCATAATGACAACCCAAGCCTGGACAGATCGCTACTACCACATCGACCGAATCCTCAACGCTCCCGGCCCTCTCACCGATCAAGCCTTCCGTCCTGGCTCCCCCACTAAAAGCTTTCTTCGCGACCAATCCAAAATCCTCGTCATCGGTGCCGGAGGTCTCGGATGCGAAATCCTTTCCAACCTAGCTCTCTCCGGTTTCTCTGACATAGACATCATCGATATGGACACAATCGACGTCTCCAACCTAAACCGTCAGTTCCTCTTCCGCCAGAAAGATGTCGGTCGATCAAAAGCTCACGTCGCAGCAGAATTCGTTCAACGCCGAGTCCCCAACATCCGCATCACCCCTTATCACGGCAAGATTCAGGACAAAGACCAACGCTACTATCTCCAATTCGACATAATCATCTGCGGTCTAGACTCGGTCGAAGCGAGACGATGGATCAATGCAACCTTGGTAAACATGGTCGACCAAGAGGATCCCGATTCGCTAAAACCTTTGATCGATGGTGGTACCGAAGGCTTCAAAGGTCAAGCCCGTGTCATCCTCCCCACCATCACCTCCTGCTACGAATGCAGTCTGGATATGTTGAACAAACAAACTACTTATCCAATCTGCACGCTTGCAAACACTCCTAGGTTGCCAGAGCATTGTATCGAATGGGCTTCCCTTCTCGAATGGCCTCGCCTTTTCGGCGAAAACAAGTTGGACAACGATGACCCAGATCATATCTCATGGCTCTACCAACAAGCTTCGACCCGCGCAACCCAATTCGGCATAACCGGAGTCTCCTGGAACTTGACCCAAGGAGTAGTCAAGAACATCATCCCAGCAATCGCTTCCACCAACGCCATCATCGCTGGCGCATGCGTCCTAGAAGCGTTCAAATTCGCCACGACTTCAGCTCCCTACCTGGACAACTACATGATGTTTACCGGAAACGACTCTGTCTACACATACACCTTCCAGCACGAGAAAAGACCGGATTGTCCAGTTTGCGGAGGTGAATCCCGAGAAATCCTCTTCACACAACACGATACAGTGCAAGACTTGATCGACAAGCTCGTCGAATCAAACGATCTACACATTAAAAAACCAAGCCTCTCCCTGCTCGGCAAACCATTGTACTATCAAGCACCGCAAGAGTTGGAGCAAGCTACAAGCCCCAATTTACCCAAAAGGTTGGGCGATCTTGTCCCACATGGCGCCCAAGTCGTAGTGACGGATGCTGGATTGCCTTTTACTTTGGCCATTGTGGTCAAGTTCGAGTAACGTGCAATGCTTGTTGGTTGCAATCAAAAATTCGTCTTATGGCTATCTTTGATGTTACCCTATATCATGTGAACAGCCAAGTTTTCGTATTACAAGTTAGTTCCAACCCCAACCGCTCACACCAAAAACGAAACAGGCGCTACTTACATCAAACAAGAATCATGTCCAACATTACAAATGCAATCGAAAGACCAGCTTCGTGGGCCTAGCCAGGAGATTTGCTTTTCCATCCCGCATAGGTGCCAGTGGTAGTTCTTTGCCCTTTCCATCCTGGTTGCTCCTACATTGTGTAGGGAGGTTATGGTGAGTATCGTCTTTAGTGCAACAGTGGGGGGGGGGGGGGTGAATGAGGTGTAGTTTGCACATACCTTGGCTCATTGCTTCCAGGCTTTTGTCTCCAAGGCCTTGGTCTTTTTCGCCGTACATTAGGTGTACTTTTCTCTCCAGAAATCTGCGCAGGTAGTCTTCTGGTGTCATCAACTCCACCAGAGGTGTATAGCTGGCAAGTTTCGAGTGTAGGTTTTGCAATCCATCTTTGCTTGCCCAACGAGTTTTTCCTTTCCGTCAGTGGAAATCCTTCCTGAGCTTTCAAAGCACGACCATGGGTGCGGGGTGGGGGGGGCGTCTTACACTTGTACACGTTTCCTTGCTGCAATCATATCCTTGTTCCGTCAGCCAAGGTTCACAAGGAAGCATCGAATGAGGAGGAGTACAAGGCTTACAGGGACAACAAATTGCTTTCGTTCAGCAGAGAAATAGAGATAACTTGCTGGATTCATGATTACATATTCCACCGACATTCCTTCTCGCATGGTGCAAGAGGAGGGCGAAAGGATGCAGTAGCGATTAATCAGTTGCCCTCCAAGACTGTGTCCCGCTACTTCCCGCGACTCATACAAATGTTAATGTCAGTATCTTCCATCGAAAACAGAGAGACAGAGAGAGAGAGAGAGAATGGGGTGTGAGGTGTGGGGTGTGGGGGGAAGGGGGAAGGGGGAAGGAGGAAGGGGGAAGGGGCTTACAAAAAACAATTCGTTTCATCGAAGGGTATACAAGAGGGTTGCTAAAGTGCAAGAGCAGGATATCAAGAGGTTCAAATGATGATACGCCTCCATCATCTTTACCACAGACACTTGCAGAACCGTCGCCCCACTACCACCCATCCAAGATGCAACAAGAAACAGCGACGAGCGTCAGCTTTAATCCAAACCGCAAGAAACGAAACGACTTACACTGTTCCCTTTCCACACCAGCAATGCATCCTCTTTGAAAGAGCAGAACCTCAACTTGTCCAATCCGTTAAACTGCCACCGCCTCCAACCTTGCCGTGTCAGTTGTGGTAAGGCAAAACAACAAGCTCGCCCGATTGCAAGAGGAAACAAGCTACTCACGAACTGCGGAGCAAGGACCAAAACCTTCCTTTGCTCTTCAAGCGGCAGTGAAGACCGAGCGATGTGCATATATGTCCATGCTGACCCTGCGTCTCTGTCTGACTTTGCAAACACGAGGTGAATGGTTGCGGATGAGCATTGCCATGGTACAATAAGCGTTGAAAAGAATGACTGAGAACAAGACAAACAGACCTTTTCCATGTACATGGATAACTACCTGCTCAACTGCAGCATGAGCTTCGCTACTGACCCAGGAATCCATGTATAGGGCAAGACAAACTCTCGTTCCTTTCAAAGAGCAAGTCCAGTAGACAAGATGAGGTCTGGCACCATCGACTGTATACATGACGGTGGCAAAAGGCAGTACAGTCAGTTTTCAACCATATTCCCCTCAGTTGCAGAAGCCTATGTCTCTTACCTTGGTCCAGAACTAATCCACTGCCTTGGGAGATTGCTTCCAGATGTGGTGTGCCCGTCGATGCCATTTTGCATCAGCAGTAATCTTCCAATGCTAGAGTCAAGGTGGCTGTCAGCAAACCAAGCTTAGCATCATCATCGCTCGCGTTGTGGTGGTGTTAGCCAAGGACCGTGCATCGTCAGCATTCTGTACAATTCCAGTCCAACCTCTCCTTTCTCTCACTTGATCTCAACTTGGACCCTCAAAACGTCACACTGCTTCACACACATCATCGAAGCATACTTGATCGTAATCAGTGTATTATGTTATACTGCTCCAGCTTAGAGCTGAGCACGGTTCAATTTCCCCTCAACAAATCCCCTTACCAACCCAAACAAACTCGCCTTCTCCCCCACAACTTCCTCCGCAGCCCTCAACGCACTTACGATATCCCTCGACAATCCAGACTCCAACTCCTGTCTAGCCATGTGTTCCAACTTGCTCGTCTGCTTTTCTTCCGATTTGCCTACCGCCCAGATTGCTGCTTGGCTTGCTGCCAGTCCGAGTGCTTGCTCTAGTGTTGCTGAACAACTTTCCTCCGCCTCGGTTGATAATTTTGCTTTGTTGGTTCGGACGTAATCGGTGAGGTGCGAGCTTAGGTCGAGTAGGGTGCCGAGGGTAGCGATCCGAACAGCGCTGGTGCGAGTGGTGGGTCGGATGATAGCACATCCCGACCTCGTAGATGGCCATGATTCAGGTCCGCGGCACAACACCAGGACGCATTTCGTATGGTTCCAAAGACTGGCCACAAGCACAGAAACGATACTCCGGATCTTAGATGAGGCCGTCTCTTGTGCAATGCGAGATGCTTCGGCAGCAGAAGGATCCAGTCCGAGTAAGCTGGTGAGCTCGTTGGGATGCTGTAAGAGATGGACTAATGGTTGCAGTGTCCATGCGGAGATCTCGGCTAGGTGTTGAACGATCGAGGGGCCGGCAGAAGCCTTGTTTCGTCGTGCCGAGTGTGGCCGGGAAAATTGCTCGTTTTCGATCCTCGTCAGACTGTAGAACAGGCTGGAGATCAGTTCTACCTCTTCCAGCTGTTCCAGACTAACAGGCGCGCTCCAGTTGCCGTTCCCAAATTGGTCATGAGTGGAAGAAAGATGGCCGATAGTGCCGGACACCGAATCAAGTCGCGCCTGAAGCTCGCCAAGGTTCATCGCTCGGTCGATCTGCTTCTGGTACACCCGCACGAAACCGTACACGTCCGTCTCGACAAATCTTGCACTGACGCCTCTCCAGCTTGGATTGTCGCAACCAGCACCAAGATTGTCAATGAGGTTGACTACGATACGCAGCATCATCCTCCAGCATTCATGCGATGGGTTTGGATCGCCGGAAAGCAGCAGAGGTGAAACTTGACTGTTCTCCAGTGGATCGGTCAGCATGTTCGAAGTGAGTGCGTTGACAGAACCTTGCAAAGCGAGCTCTTCGCTCGAAGATGGCTGTGATGCTACGGCTAGCAGCAATGACAATAAGGGCTTCATCAAGACGACCTGGTGTGTACTGTTCGGGTTGACGGGAGCACTGACCCCGTTTGCACCCTCTGGTCGTAACACCGGTGCTCGTCCTATCAGACTGATAGTAGCTTGTAATAGCTGCGTCTCTTGGATGTGCGACAGCCAAACACCGGTCTCGGCGCCAACATCGTGCCTGATTGTCATCTCAAAGATGCTGACGAGAATGTCAAGGTCGTCTTCAAGATATTGCAAATCAGTTTCGTGTCGAGCTGAGGTTTGTAAGATACGCAGAGTAGATTCAACCTTGATGCGGAGAGCTTCGATGGCGTGACGACAGAACAGCTCGATCGATGCGTGCAGAGCCTTGTGGCTTTCGATTGTCTTGTCGTCCGGACGAACCATCGATTCTTGTGCCGTGAGCAGAGCGCGGATGCGTGCGACGCAGACAAGCGCCATCTCGAACACTTCGCGGTGGAACTCGGGCGGAACAGCCCCCTTCAGGCTGTCTTCGACTCGGAAGAAGGGATGCGTGACAAGGCGTCCGCACAGAGTAGCGGCTTGAACGATCTGATCAGTGCTGGAAGCTTCCTTGTTTCGTCGATGACCCCAAGCGAGTTTCATGCACTTGGTCAGCAAAGCCAGCCGTGTAGCGTGGACACCACGCATGAAGTCGCCCTCTCTGCCCTCATCAGCAGCTAGAGTTGCCAGCCGAGTCCATGCAGAGATGATGGCCTTTTCTAGTGCAGTCATCTTGTCCTTGCTGATGGCTTGCGTGACGATGTGACCCATACAGAGCTCGATGCACTGCGTCCATGCTTGCACCACAGAGTTCTGCACGTCGATCAGACTCCATTCCATGTTGATCGTGTAGACGGCCAACAGTCCCTCTTCGAGTAGCGCAACCTCGCCACCCATCTCGCCGTCAAGAACGTGACCCTCCGCCTTGATGCGAAAGGATGAGACACTGAAATGGTAGTCATCTCCGTACCGACGATCGAGATCAAAGTCATCCTTGCGCGCCGGATGGCGCAAGGAATCGATGTAGATTGTTGGCAAGAGCTCGGCAAGTTTGCGTTCCAGCGCGGCTCGCATCGAGGGATCGCAGGGCATCGAAAAGCATTTCTCGATAGCGCCGAGCGTTCGGTCGGACGACACGAGGATGTCGAGCAAGGCTTCAATGCTGGCTTTGCTTGGCGTGCTGCTCTTTGCTTGGTCCTTCAGGATACCGCCGAGCTGGATGTCGTGCTGCAACAGCCTCAAAGAGCGAGCCTGGCACATCTTCCGATAGCAGTAAGACGTCACAGCAGTGTCATTGCTCGAACGCAGTGTATCTTGCGCCTCAGTGAAGCCTTCAGCTAAGGTCGAAGGAACGTCGGATGCTTCGCAGATGACATCCGCCAGGGCTTGGAAGAAGGCTGCGTTGGTACGAATAGTGTCGAAGGCTGCTACATGCTCTGCCGCATGCACCCAAGCCACGTCAAGGAAACGAAGCACTGCCTCGAGCAACTGGGGGCTGTTTTCAGCAGCCGTCTTCCACGAAAGGACCGCTTCAGAAGCAACGTCAAGTGCTGTCTTTGTCAAAGCCTGTCCCGTCTTGTTGCCGCTTGTTTGAGAGGACGGTGCTGGGGTTGCTGAGTCAGTCTGCTTGGCTTTGGAATCAGCTTCAGGTCGATTAAGACGTGTCTCTGTAGTCATTGCCAGGTGACGACCCGTCAACAGGAGGGTTCCAAGGGCAGGCTGAGTATCGACGATAGCTGCAAGCATAGTCCAGACTCGCACCTTAAGAGCCGGATCTTGGTTCGGGTTGCCAACCAGGTCGACTAGCCCGGACAATGTCTCTTCGAGCTCTTCGAGTGTTCCCATGTGACCGATGAGACCGGGCGATGGTTTGCCTGCCGAAGCTAGATCAGCTACCGAGCGCAGGACTGCGGTGATGAGATGCGCCGCCGTCGAGCTGATGAACGTCGATGTGGGGAAGAGCACATACGCAAAAGCGGCGCTGGCTAGCTCGACTCGTTTTGATCTGCGTCCACCACTGAGCGCAGTTCGAGATGCAACGATGGTGTGATCAAAGAAAAGGCGCTCAAAGAGGCCCATGTTGATGCGTGCAGACATAGCCTTCTTAGCTGTCTCTGCCGGGAGCGTAGACAGGTTGCGGAGCGCAGCAATGGTGAGCTCACGCTTGCGAGAAAGGATAAGCGTAGCAAGACGCAACATCGAGGCGATCCAGTCTTCGGCCAAGATGGCGTCCGTCTGTCTTCCTGCTCTGCTCAGTGCGTCGAGCAACTGCTGTCCTGTGCCGATACATGTGATCAAGGGAGCAAGGCAGATAATGCTAGGATGTGTGACCAAGCTCCTCTCGACCGCCTTTACGAGAGCGGCGGCCGGTCCAGCTTCTTCGACCAAGTCGGAGGTCGGTGTAGGTGACAAGCACCAGCTTTGCTCTTCCAAAGCCATTTCGAGTAGATGGGTACATTTGGTACCGATCTCGAGTCGATCTGCCAATCGGACGTACCTCCAGCTCTGGTACTCGGGCCAGACGCATTCAAAGATCCAGCTGAAAATGCGGAGGAGGACGCTGGTCTTGGTCTCGAGAACATCGGTCGACGAGGTGGAGAAGGACCTGCGAAGTTCGGAAAAGAGCGAGATGTGAAAGTCGAGCAAGGAGACCAAGCCGCCATAGGAAGCGCGGCCCATCTCTTGTGTAAGGAGCGCGGAAAGGGTGGATGCATCTGCACTGGCGCCGCCCTTGGAAAGGTATGGAACAGCGCCAGGACTGCCGATCAGGGCGTTGGATGAACGAATCTCCTGCCAAACCGCATCAGGATCGTACGGCAGCAGAACAGTGAGGAGCCTCAGTGTCGAACGGACAAGGCGAATGTTGATGGGAGCGGCGACGAGCGCATGTGAAAGCAGGTTGACGGTAATGGACGAGAGTGTCTTGGCATGTGCAAGCTCCTCCTTCTCCTTCTGTATATGCTCGAGCTCCTCAGGCTCGTAGTCGAGCGAAAGCTCGTCGGCATTAATATCGCGTCCATCGAGATGGGCGAGCAAGGACCATGCGAGGTCTGCGCTTGCCGAGATGATGCTAGCAAAGAGGTCGAGAAGATCGGAAGCAAGCTCCTCCCAAGGCTCATGGGCGTCGGCGGGAGCGAGCTGGGCAAAGCTGACTGTCTGCTTCTGATCGCGGAATGGGTCGGCATCGGTCTGTGCTGCACTGTGGTCAGCATAGGCGGGAGGGAAGGAGGAGAGAATGTCGCGCATAAGCTTCCAAGCGCTGACAGGTCGAGCGGGACTCCAGAGGACGATGACGGGCTCTTTACCGAGCTCAGAGATGGTGGAACCGGTCGTGCCGGCCGAGAGGCGAATCTGAGTGCCGGGGATGCGCATCATGCGTGTGATTCGGTAGGTGACGGAAGTGTAGCCACCGCCTTCCATGGTCTCAAAGGGTGCGTTGGGCGTATTGGCACCCATGGGCAAGACTTGAGCAAAGGTCGGAATGTTGGCAAGATAGTCCAAGACGGCAGCGCAGGCTCGTTCTTGAGCTTCTGGACGAGAAGGACCGTCGAGGAGGGAGGGCCAGGTAGCCTGTGCGTCGACGCGTGCGTGGCCAGAGAGAGCCTTTGTGAGGAGGATGAGAGGACGGAAGCTGACGGGCCATCGTCGCCTGGCGGTGTCCAAGGTGGTGCATCTAGACTCGTATCTGCTGTCTACTTGCCAGAACTGATCGCAGAGAGCGGCAACACCATCGATGGCACTTTGACTGAGCTCGAGGGCAAGACCAGAACCAAAAGTGGCCTCCCAAAGGCTGACGAGTGCATTGAAGTTGGGCAAGAATTCTGGCCTGACAAGTTCGGTTATGCTGAGAAGAAGACCCTTAAAGACAGCGCGATATGCGAGAGCAGAAGGACCAGCTATGGCAAGAGTGCTGGCACCGTTGCTGCTGGTCAGCAAGGGAGATGCCAGCAAGGACATCATGGTTTCGAAGAGACGAAGTTCTGGAGCAAACGCGGCTTGCGCTAACCTCCTCCACAAGGGCGGACCACCATGCTCGGTCTTGATGACATTGGCCAGCTCGGAGACTGATGGTGAGATCTGGCGAGACGAGTCGGGTTCAGAGGCGTCGTAGTGTGCGACAAGGGCATCTTCGAGTCGATGAAGGACGAGAGCCCATGCGAGGAGGATGGGAGCTTGAAGGGGATCTGCTGAAGTGTTGCTGAGAAGGTCAAGCGCCTGCTCAAGACCTGCTGGATGTTTGGAGATGTGGGATTCGGCGCCTTCAACAAGATCCAGGCCATCCATCACTTGTTCTAGTGATAGGAGTTCGACAGCGATGAGAACGAGAAGGTGACTGACGCACTCGACGGTTTCAGAAGCTTCATTGTCGAGGAAGCCGATGTTGGCCTGGCGCCTAGCGACCTCGGTGTCGTGTAGAGCGCGGAGTAGAGCGAGGAGGGAGGCGGGTGAGGGGGATAGCCTGCCATAGAAGAGAAGGAAGACAATCTCGAGGAGGCCAAACTGTTCCCTGAGGATCTGCTTGGCCCACAGGGACGAGTAACGCGGCTGCTGACGTATTGACTCGGGAAGCGATAGATTGACAAGGGTGCAAAAGTGGCTGATGGATGCGAGGGCGAAAGGTTGGTCGGCAAAGAGGTCGAGAATGTCGTTTGCGAGGTGGAAGTAGACGTGCTGCTGATCCTCTGTGATGCGAATAAGGGAAGAGATGGTACGAAGAAGATAGATGCGCTCCTCGAAATAGAAGATGTTAAAGTCATCGAGCAAGTCTGCGTTGGAGGGTTGGGTGATGGAGCTCTGTGGGCCCTTTTGGAAGGGTGATGAGACATCTTTGAGTCTTGTTGGCCTGCTTTTGACGGGCGTTGGGGGAGTTAGTTGTAAATGAGATTGAACGACATCATCTAGGCCTTGCAAATGGCGATGTTCTGAAGAGAGAAAGGTTTGTAGAAGAGTGAAAGCGCTTTGTTGAGAGACTTGATACTGGTCTACAATGGCTTTGCAGAGATCGCGGGTCTGCTGGTCAAGTATGTGCGCCGATCCATCGTTGAGCTTAATACTATGGGGAAAGGAAGCATTGGACGTTTCGCCAAAAGTCGGGCTGGAGCAGATGGGGAAAGGCTGAAGGCATGAGCTGAGATCATCTTTACGATCTGCTAGGAGGGACCTGATCTGTGATGCATCGCGTTGATGACGAGCGAGCTCGAGGTGCTCAAAGATATCCTGGTACGAGACGAATTGTAGGGATGACAAAGATGGGGCCTTTTCCGCAGAGGTGGAAGCGAGAGCGAGAGTGGATGGGCCAGCCTGGGCGGAAGAAGTGGTGGTATCTTGGACCATGATCGAAGCGTAGAAACGACGATGGTCTCGTCCGCAAAGCTTGAGTTCGAGAGTAGAGAGCCTAGAGCATGAGCATGAGCTTCGATGGTGCTGGCTTGCGACGTTCACCTCCGAAAGGTGGCAAGCCGAGCGGAAGCGATGAGGGTATACAGATGCGAAGGTATGGGAGACAGAGTCGTACCTGTGGGAATGCGTTGTGTGTTGGTGTTGTGCGCCAAGAACAAGTGTCAATGCTCGAGTCGAGGTGAAAGAGAGTCGAGGTGAAAGAGAGTCAAGGTGAAAGAGAGGAGAGAGAGAGTCGAGATGAGAGTCGAGGTGAGAGAGATTTTGCGACTCCGTGCGTTCCAACCTTGGTGATCGGCTCCACTCTCGCCAAAAACAAAAAAAAAAAACAAAAAAAGAAAAGAGCAAGATCGGGAGTACGATTTGCGAGTCAGCTACCCGATTCGGAGAAATTCAGCCTCCGCCTCGAAGATATGGGGATGCTGAAGATAAACGATCCAGCAGGACACGAAAAGTGACATAAGGGGGTATCAAAGTTTTTGCGTTTTTAAAAACGCAGGTTTTTGAAAAGCGCGTTTTTGGAGGGAATTTGAACCCCCCCAAGGAAAAGCGGGTTTCCAAAAACGCGATGAAATCATACGGCCGATAAAATACGTAACCTAAAAGTAAGCATAGGAAGCATGAATCATACGGCCGAAAGGGGGTGTAACCTAACAGTAATCATATGAAACATAAATTATACGGCCGATAAGAGACGTAACCTAACAGTGAGCATATGATACTTGTCCTGCTCTCGTCGCTATCACCCATTGCTTGCTTATATCTTGCTTTCCTCTTCACACAATGTAATGTTTCATATGGTGGTGAGAAGAGTTGTATTGAACAGCAGAAGAGAGAGTGCCTGTCAGATCGTGTAGTGGACTGGCATAACAACTCTGCAGAGATGTCACGAGAATCATCAGTGGAGGAGGTCATGTTGAATGAGTGCAAGGAAGAGGGAGTGAGCAAAAGTGCGACGAGAGTGAGGAAAGGAGAGAAGATGTGGAGTGATAAAAAAACCGCGTTTTCACAAACGCGCCTCCTGAGCTGCGTTTTTGAAAACGCGGTTTTTTTTTTTTCCCCCTTTGCGGAGCTTACGTAAGCTTTTGCGTTTTTTTTGAAAAACGCGCTCTTGAAAAAACCCGGGTTTTTAAAAACGCAAAAACTTTGATACCCCCATAAGTCGATGTGACGAGAGATCGGGAAGATCGGGAAGATCGGGAAGATCGGGTGAAACCAATCCGATGACGAATCGGGCGGAGCCGATCTAATCGGCGATCGGATACTACTGAGTCCCGCTCGTTGTCATACTTTGTCATTGAGGGTTAACTGTGCTTAGACCATCGTCGACCACCGAGTGTCGACAGCTGTATTCTTCCATACCTTTATCAGGGGAGGTGACGAATTCAAGCTGCAGTGTGGAGTTGAGTTGGATAACTCAAGTTGCGTTCACTGTCCACTTTTCAGTTTGGGGCTCAGCACGGGCTCAGTCCATTTGCCATATTTCCCTTCTTACAACTCTTATCGTGCGAATGGATCCATGCGCTTTTTTTTTTTTTTTTTCCAATGGTGAGCGGAGGGGGAAGACGTGACCAACACTCACTCAAGTTTAGGAAATTTAACATTTCTTCATCTTTTTTTTTTCCCCGCTCTGAATTTCTCGGCCTCCTTTTTCCAACAATTTTCACGCGTTGTCACGGACGATAAAAGGGCGATAACTCAGCCGCCGCTTTGATTGATCGTTTATCAAATAATCCACACTGCTCTTGTGCCTCCTTTTAGCTGTAGATAATCGGCATCTAAACCGCTTGATTGCCAGAGTCAACGGCAAAACAGGAGCAGATCTCAACACACACGTTCGCTTACCTTCTTGTGCGCGCAGACCCCTTCCTTTTCTCTCTCTTACCACCACATCCACCGCCATCAGCATTTCAACTAGTCTCCACCATCACGCATCAAGATAACGCATACAACTGTCCCGCATACAACTGTCCCGCATACAACTGTCCCCTTCCTCTTCCCCGGACTCTTGCTCGTCGTTGCCACTCTCCGCCTCCACCTAGATACTTAGATACCAAACCACGCCCCCTTCGACTCGTTCATATCAACGTTGGATTCCTGGCTAGAATCGAGTCACCTTTCTTTAGTATAGCTTCTCTTTACTGCACCTCGAGGTTAGTCTGGGCTCTCCTTCGAGTGCCTCTGCTCGCATATCTCTCTCGTAGCGATGACACGCGCCCTCAACGCCGGGCACAAGCGCCTGTTTGCTCTGATCGCCCTTGTCCCTTTCTGGCTCAGCTTTGCTACCCTTGCAAGCGTCTCCACCACCAATGCTTCTCTCGTAGCCAACATCTCTCCTCGTCCTTCCGACCCTTCCCGCAAGTCGCTCTCTTGGGGTCCTGAACACAAACACAAGGTCTTTGCCGATATTGAGTCGGCCAACGAGGCTCCTCCCCTTCGTCGAGGCCTCGACTTTGCCAGCCGCAAGCATGCATACGCTGCTGCCATCCACTACGTCAATGCCGAAGCTGGCCCCAAGAACCCTTATTCCGTGGCCACTCGCCTTGCAAAGCACCTTCTCGGATACAAGCAGGCTCTTGCTCCCAACGGTCACGACTTTTACGTTCGACCCGATTCATACACTGATCCTTCCAGCGGCATCTCGCACTACTTCATCCGCCAGCTCGTCAATGGCCTCGAAGTTGCCGACGCTGATCTCAACATCAATATCTCACCCGAGGGCAAGATCCTCTCCTTTGGCTCTTCCCTCTTCCCTGGACACGCTCCTCCACCTTTCACCAACCAAGGTGTACCTTCCACTGAAGCAGCCTCCGAGGACGAAATCTCTCAGCGATGCGATCAGCTTCGATCCCAGCTCCAGTCTCGTCTCTTCCCTCAGCCTCAGTCTGACGCCTCGCCTGAGTACACCGAGACTCCTGGTGCCGACTGGTCCGATAGCAACGAGGCCTTCGTTCGAGGTGGCGTACACCAGTATGTCTTTGACAGTCTCGCCAAGCCTCCTGCTGCCAGACACGCTTCTCAACGAGCCAAGGTTGACCCTCAGAGCGTGCTGCCCCTTCAGGAGGAGCTGCACGAGCTCTGCAGCGTCCCTAGCGATGATCCCCTCCTCCAGGGTGCAGATCTCTCCTCTCGCCTTGCTGGCTCTCTCTCCCACCTTCGTGCCAAGCGCGATCTCAACGGGCCCGAGTCCATCGTTGATCCTCGTCTCGCCCTGATCTACTTCTTACGACAGGCCACCCCTGACGAGCGTCTCGCCGCTCGTCTCTCGGACCCACGCGCTGCCGAAAGCGAGGCTGCTCAGATCGTCACCACTTTTGAGCACAAGCTTCAGCCTCACGCTGGCAAGACTGATTCGGGTGCCCAGGCCTCTCACACTCAGATCGAGTACCTTCACAACGTCCCTACTGCCAAGGGTCCCGTCCCTGCTCAGCTTGCCTACGTCCAGACTGAAGCCGAAGGCCTCAACTTGGTCTGGAAGTTCCAGGTGTCTCTCGAGGACAATGCTTACGAAGCCTACGCCGATGCTCACCGACCCGGTAGCATCAGCACTGTCCTTGACTGGGTGCACAGCATGCCCAAGCCTCGATCCAAGTCGAACAAGGTCCCTTCTCTCGGTCGACCCGACTTTGGCAGCCACCAGGTGCCCGAGCTCGGCCGCCCTGACTTTTCCGGCTACACTTCCTCCAAGCCTGTCCAGGCTGAAACTCCTCCCGCTCCTATGGCTCACGATCCCGTGTACCGTGTCTTCAAGTGGGGTCTCAATGATCCCACCGAGGGTAAGCGCTCCAACGAAAAGGGTGAGCGCTACCAGCAAGCTTCTCCCGCTGGTTGGCACACGGTCCCCGGCAAGCACTCGCCCTTCTCGCCGCTCGAGGCTGACGATGCTCGTACTGTGGTAGCAGACAACACTGTCTACTCGGACACTCGAGGCAACAACGTCTTTGCTCAGGCTGATCCCTCTGGCAACGGCGAATGGAAGTCGGAATCCATCAAGCGACCCAAGGGCCGTCCTAGCCCTGACAAGTCGACCGACATGATGTTCAACTACCCTTACAAGTGGCGCAAGTCAGAGAAGAAGCACTCAAAGCTCTCTCCTGCCGACTATGTTGCTGCTGCCACCGTCCAGCTCTTTGTGACCATCAACGAGTACCACGACCTTCTCTATGCCTATGGCTTTGACGAAGTCTCGGGTAACTTCCAGGAGCACAACTTCGGCCGCGGCGGCGAGGGCAACGACGGTGTCATCGCCTTTGCTCAGGATGGTGCTGGTACGGACAATGCCGATTTCATGACTCCTCCCGATGGTCAACGCGGTAGGATGCGCATGTATGTTTGGGATCAGTCGACCCCCTTCCGTGATGGAGATTTCGAAGCTGGTATCGTGATTCACGAGTACAGCCACGGTCTCTCGACTCGTCTGACGGGTGGTCCTGCCAACAGTGGCTGTCTTGGCTGGGGTGAGTCAGGCGGCATGGGTGAGGGCTGGGGTGATGTGCTCGCCTCGATCATCCGTCGCACCGGTGCTGCTCCTCACGACTGGCCAATGGGCTCCTGGGCATCGAACCGCACCAAGGGCATTCGAAACTACCCGTACTCGACCAACAAGACGATCAACCCCGAGACCTACTCCTACCTCGATCACGCAGGTTACTGGGGAGTGCACGCCATCGGTGAGGTGTGGGCGACCATGCTCAACGAAGTCGAGGAAGCGCTTGTTGTCGAGCACGGCTTCACCACGAACCTCTTCCCTCCTGCCACCAACGCTACAGCTGAGGAGCAGTCCGCTTTCTTCCTTACCGATGACGAGCTGACTTCTCTCGGCAAGCACCGTGTCAGCAAGCGTCGTGTGCCTCGGCACGGCAACTCGCTTTTGGTGCAACTCATCCTGGATGGCATGAAGTTGCAGCCTTGCCGACCCAGCTTCTTTGACGCTCGTGATGCGATCGTTCAGGCTGACAAGCACCTCACTGGTGGTCAGAACAAGTGCCTATTGTGGAAGGCGTTCGCCAAGCGTGGATTGGGTTCGGATGCTAGCGTGATTGGCCGCACGCCTTGGGGCGGAGGAAAGCGCTCAGACGGTTACGCCGTGCCTAGCGAGTGCAAGTCTGCTTAGACTATGATCGCATCCAATTCGCACCACCTCCCGTTTCATCTCTTCTATCTTGTTCGTCGTTGTCGTTCCTACCTCGTACCTCCTGCCTCGCGTTCCTCTCAGTCCTTCTGTTTTTTTTTTTTTTTTCCCATCAATCACGTTGACATGATGTCTCGTAACTTTCCTCTCGTTCCCCAGTCTTCCGCCGCATAGTCCTTAAGCTCCCATATATCCTGCCCTCTTGTTCTGTTTGTGTTTTCTATCTCGCATCCTCAATGTCGCATCCTCAATGTTGCAATCTCAAGCTTAATGATCGAAACACGTTGCGCCAGTCTGTGTTTCCTTCCCCCTTTGGTTGCAAATTGAATTTTGTTCCTGAACCTGACGCTGATGCTGGTGGCTGATGCTGGTGGCTGGTGCTGGTGCTCCTCCGCTTGAAACCACGCGGGCACTTCGGCCAGGCTAACTGCCGCCACTATAGGGACAATATCCTTCTGCAGTTGCCCATGTGACAGACAGACAAGTGAGGTTTCCGTAGCAACGTCCACGCGCACTCGGCCTCGGCAAGCTCTCACTGTATCGGCCGGTAACGAGGGCCGCCGGTTGATGAGCTCATGCTTATTAATCGCACAGACGCGTCACGTGGATATTTTTATCTTTCAAATTGCGCAGTCCGAAAACCGAGCTCGTCGTTGACAATGTCGTTGCTTCCGAACCACCACCACCTCCACCTCTCCGACGTACTCGCTTACCAGTTCCTCGTTGGTCGTAAGTAAGTAACCGAAACCTCTCGACAGACAGAAAGCAGATGCCCGTGCCTTCTGGTTGCAGAAGACAGTGGTCCTATCGTGACCTGCGCGACCATCATCTAACCCACTTCCATCTCATCCACCAGTCCTTCTCGCCACTTCTCCCTTGTCCTCGTCATCCGCGCTTGAGCTCCAACACATCTTTCTGCTCGCCAGCGCTTCTGTCTAATCACCATTACCACGCCAATCCTGCTGCTCGACCGTCTCCATCTCCGATCGACTTCATACAGCCACTTCTTATGCGCAGTAACCTTTACGCTTTCCGTCGCCGCACAACCTACGGCTGCTTCTGCCTCTCTTCGTCATGGACGCCGCCACTTGGCAAGCGGGTTCCTACCCGTCCCCGTCTTATCAGCCTGCAGCCGCTCAGGCAATGACCTACGGCAACGGTCTTTCTCCGGTCTATCCACAATACGCAGCCGCCCCTACCACTAACGACTATGCTTTTGCAAACCCAACGTCCGCAGTCGCTCCATCAGGAGACGCCATCCCTCTCATCCCAGACGTGGTCGCAAATCCTTGGAACACCTCGCTGCTTTGGTCCGGTGGCATCATGGATAACAGAGATCCGCGCTCTACCTTCTGGCCTCTGACCAGCTGGCACAACTCGAGCGTCCCTTCCAATGTCGACACTTCGCCTATCGAATACTACTACCAGTCCACCACTGCTGGCGACTTTGTCAACTTTTACTTCATTGGTCACGGTCTTTCTGTGCTAGATTATCGAGGGCCCAGACGAGGCAGGTACAACGTCTCCATTGACGATGCCACCTCGTTCATCATCGATGCATATTCCGACACCGATGAACTTGCCAAAGCTTCTGGCTCTCAGCTACCTCCCGTCATCTGGACTTCCGAAACACTCTACGAGGGCACACATTCGGTCGTCATGACCAATCTCAACAACCTCACTGAGATGGATTTCTGGGGCGTTGTCATTAACCCGAACAACTACAGAGCGGGCAAGTCTTTCATGCCCTCTGCCTCCAATGTCAAGACCATCATCATCGCCTCCTCCGTCACCGCAACCATCATGTTCCTCATCTTCATCCTCGTTGGATCGCTTATCTACTACTGCAAGCTCGTCCGACCAAGAAGGCGTCTTCAAGCGCAGATGAATGCCGACCGCAAGGAAGCTTTGCTCCCCAACTCTTCCTCGTCGCAGAATACTTTCCGCGCTTCACGTCAAACAGCGATGGGCTCGTCATCGCGCTTGCGCCTCGACACAACCTTCCTCTCTAGTCAAGGCGATCTCGGCAGAGTGCCAAGCAGGGTTACTGCCGCCACAAACGAATCGCAGTACTGGGTTCGACCTCAGTCAGAGATGGCACAGGTCAGCATCACCAGACAACCCACCACCAGAACCCCAGCTCTATTCCAGGAGATCCGTCTCGGCTCGCCACAGCCTTCCACCTTGCCGAGTCCAACAGAGTCTAGTCCGACGGATCAAGTTCTTGCTTCATCCACCTTTTACTCCACCACATACGCAGAGCCGGCCTCGCCACTGTCTCCGAATAATCCTGACTACGCTATAGCACACACTCACACTCACACTCACAACATGTCCTTCCGGCAAGGCGCGCCTGCTTCCCAGGATCGCACTCCTCTTCGTCAACCTGTGTCCCATCAGCAATCCAACTCGTTGAATATGGTGTACCAACCGACCAAAACCGTTCCATCGGTGCCGGCAGGAGAGAGGGCGACTCACTTACACCATTCGCGAATCAGCTCTTTGCCCAACGCAAACCCTTTTCAAGATCCGATCGCTCCTTCTTCCACCACTACACTTGTAAGAGCTGGATCTCGTCGACCGCTGCCAACACCGCCTACTGCAACAACGCCTATCAGTCCCATGACAACTATCTCCCCTTTCTCCACCCCCACCTCCACCGCTACCGCCACAACAGCAGCAGCAACAACATCATCGTCGCCCACCAATTACACGCGCTCAAATAACAGTAGAGCACCAAGCAACCAATTGCAGGTTTCATCGTCTGCACGTCGAGCCTATCGAACCGAACAAGACGCTTGCTCACTTCACATGTCAGAAGATGGCATGTTTGATGATCATACTGGCGAAACTCTTCTTCCACCACCATATGCGCCTAGGGATATGGGCAGACATTTTGTATAATTTTTTGAGTGGTCGTGAATGAATTAATGCAATGGGTTAAGGCCTGTCTGGCTGAATTGGTTGCACCTTCGTCGCTGTCATGTGAGTGGAATTGCTGATGATTCGCACTGCTATACGATGTCTCATCTGCTGCTGTGGGTTGCTGCACAACCGGACCGATCGGTCGAAACTATCACTTGCACTTGACCTCGGCTTCTAACTCTGCTCTTAGTCCTTCGACTAACGATGAGCGACAAGTTGAAATGTCAATTCGGACAACGCTTTCACTCAGAATGCACATTGCTCAAGCCATTCCACAGGCACCAGGCGTGGTTCTCGAAATGCTCTCGACTATTCTCTGCAGTGAAGTGGAGCGAACAGGTCAGACAGCTCTGCAGGCATCTTACTGCCCTCAGTTTTCGTTTCCTACGCTTGTTGACAGTGCTCAAGCTACCGCCCCAGATGAACATCGGAACGTCATTGCACAGAACAACAATGCACGTTCGAGCTGTTCAGCGACTCACGAAACAGTCTGAAGAGTGCATTGATGCTTGGGATATCCCTTCGGCCATCTTGAAGGTTCGCGACGTGCAACCGTCATGGATTTTGCAGACTACTCTCCAGGTGCTCTCGGTCAAATTCGACGCTCTTATCCAGCCATGTCCACACAATTCTGCTGGCATCTTGCAGGCCTCGAATTGGTTTTGTACGCATGGTGACGGTGCCCTTGCTCCCCACCCTAGCTTGTCCTCGAACGGCGCTCCGGGCATGTCGATGCCCCACACTGCAATGCCGATTCGTATGAGCTGATCTGCGCTCGGCAACGAGACTGTATTGTAAGTATGTCGATGCTCATGAAGCCAATCCAACCATATGCTGCTGAAGAATACGATCCAGCAAGGTATCGATGAGAACTCGGGCCAATACGGCTAGGCATAGGATGTGGCTGTTGAAAGTATCATAGAATACGGGTGTCGACACTCACCGGTCGACAACAGTCCAAGCACGGTGTTCAAGCTATTGAACAAAAACACTATACTATATTGACCTGAGAAAAGAATGTGGTGAGAGCCTCGAGCTCTCCCCTTGATATACAGCTCGCACGTAAACTGTCCCACAATTTTAGATGTCACCACACATCACTCCAATGCTCAATAGCCATATGTCGTATTGCCACACTGTCTGATATTGTCTGAAAGCTCTGCTTCTTCTCTCCAAGACTGTGTAATTGATATTGACATTGCATGCAAAAATTGTGCATCAAAAAAGAACTGAGAATTTTTTTTATTGTGGGACAGTTTATGGAGCATGCCACCAAATAGCAACACTGCTCCATTCCTGACCTTGTGGGCTGTCGACTACAATGAAACTTGCAATGTAACTTGGTGGGCGCCTTCATATACATCGAAAGTAGTGATCGGCTCTGCCTGATCTCCGATCAGATCGGCCCCGCGTCATCCTTTGGCATCGCACTGGATCACAATCTCCAGCACCCCCTCTCGATCCAGTATGCCCCATCGATCCTTGGTGACAATACCCTTCCAGTCGGTAATGTGGATACAAATGTGAGTGCACATGAAGCCTGACCTGATGCCTGAGGTGAGCCACCACTTGTGACTGTGCACTTTGAGTTTGTTGATGTTCATGCAATGCAAGGTGTGCATTTCGATCCCTTCGATCTGTTGAGCTTGCAGCATCACGGCCGTGACAATGAGCATTGTCTTGGTTGGAGGAGTATTGCAATGGTGGCATGGCCAGTGAAAGTGTGGCCTTGGCCGTAATAGCGCCTCTCAAAAGCATGTTGGATAGGCAGAGAAGCCAATTGTCATTTGTGAACCTTTGAGCAGGTCACAATCCACCTCTTTGGCATATGCTTTGAGCAAGTTGGACACCAGCGAGAAGTATTGGCGTGCAGGGGCCAACTTGGCCGTGGATCGCAAGCGGTTATTACTTGTCTGTCTCAGGGGTGGTAGCATCACATCGGAAACAGGTGCTTGAATGATTCGGAAGAAGTCACCACTGGACAGTTGGCTTTTGAGGCGTAGCAAGACATGATGGATCAGTTTGGTGTCTCCCGACTCGATCACCTTGATGAGGCAGATTATAATGGTGCGGTGGGTGCGACGGTCGAGCCAATACATCCTGGTGCTGTGTAGCTCGGTGTGTGTAGAGTCGATCATCAACTTGAGCACCTTGTCAATACTTTGCAGATTTCTTGACTCCACAACACCACCATGGAATTGGGGAGCGACTTGAGGATGCATGCTAACTTGACAGAGGGGCAGGAGATGAATGTGCATCTTGGTCGACGTGTAGAGGGGCATCTTCCTCTTCAGAGCCATTTTGAAGGAAGCATGAGCAAAGTCGCTGATGGACTTGGTAGTGTTGTACATAGCAAGACCAACACCTCTGCCATCAAGAAACCTGAACGTGTCCCACTGCTGTGGTGCAGAGCCATCGTTAGGAGTGAATGTCATCCTCGAGTTGCCAGCCTTGTCAACCGCAGGGTTCTGGTAGCAGTACTGATCACCAAAAGTGTGATGACCAAAAATTAACAATTGGCTTGGTCCAACCTTGAACAGGATGAGGCAGACCCTTGTGAATGATAGGTGCACGGAAGACAGTACTGCCAAGAATGTGTCAAATGGTACCATTGGGAGAGACCCATATCTTCTGAAGACCGAACTCCTTAATGTGACCCTCATCAGGGGTGATGGTGGCACACTTGATGCCAACCTTGCACTTCTTGATAGCCTCAGCAGCCTCAATGGTCACCTTGTCACCCATGGCATCACGATGCTCCATACTGCAATCATAGTACTTGAGATCAATGTCGAGGAAGGGAAGGGTGAGATCTTGATGGAACTTGTACCAGATGATACGGGCCATCTTGTCACTGTCGAGTTTGGCAACAGGGTTGGCAACCTTGATCTTGAGTTGCGTCTTGGGCGCTTCGCCATGGATCTCCTCGATCCTTTGCTTGTACGAGTTGATGGTCTCGCGTCCAGCATCCTTGAACTTGAGTTGCGCCTTGGGCGCTTCGCCGTGGTGTTGCGGTGCCGACTCTTGGTGGGTACGGCTCTTCATCTCAGTGATGGTACTGCTGCGAGCAACTCGGGAGGAGAGGTTGACTCTGCGGTCAGGCAGCTCTTGATCTTCATTGTTGACGGCACAGGTCAGCATCAGGGCGGTATCAGGGGCGGTATTGGGGGTGAGGCTGAGCATTTGCATGGTAGAACCCATTCCCCCCTCGATGCAACCGTGTAGCCAAACGTCACACCTGATTTGTGCTGTCGTTGCCATGCACATGACAAGCCAACATCTGATCTGGATCATCACATGTTCCTTGCCAACGATCTTGAGTGCATCGATGGCTTTACTGTCCTGCTGTCCATCGTGATCATCTAGGAGCTTGACGAAGAGTTCCATAGTTGGGTATGAAACTCAGCTGACAGTAATGATGGTGAGGTTCTGCCCGTGAATCAGCTTGAGGCATTCTGCATGCTTGATGAACCCTTTGGCCTCATCATTGGCAATCTTGCCTTCTACGCCAGCCGATTTGCAGATTGCTCCAATGAGCTGCTTGAGAATAGCATTGGAGGCATCCTTGGCAGCGATATACTGCTTCCCATCCTTCTTGAGTGGGGGAGCATCATTGACATTGTCCCCAGTAATCACGGCCAAGTGAACACGGTGCTGGAGCATCTTGCAGGTCTCCTTGTCAATAGTGATGGCATCACCAGTGATCATCTGAACTGAGGTATTGAGCAGCTGAGCCTTGGTGATGATTGTTGCAATGTCAGAGCAGGGAGGGTCAAACACAGGAACAAGATCAAGGAGCTTCCACTGACCATCAGTGTTCATAGAAATGCTGAGCAAACCAAAACCTCGCAAAGTAAAGCTGTCAGTGACCTTTTGGTACTGGGTGGCAGTCTTGGCATCAGGGGTGCAGGGCTTGAGAATAGTGTTGGTGGCACTCTTGGTGGCGATGTACTGTTTGCCGTTCTTCTCGACCTCGGTGGTAATGCGCTTGGAAACGGAGTCAAAGGGGGTGAACTTGTGGTCTCTGTCGACAGCCTTGGTCTCTTGCTCCGAGCATGATGACTTGAAGAGATGTTCTAGGAAGGATTGGGTGAATCGGTCCAATGCACTCTTGAGGTGGTCTGGCGAGATATAGAATTGAGCAATGCCTTGAAGCTCCTCAAGGTCGCTGAGATGGCCGACATGGATGTCCATGGTAACCCTGGACATGTCTGTCTTGGGGTCCTGAATTACAAGTGCCTTGAGGTTGGTGGCAAGGTGTGCGAGACAGTAGTGCATGTCATCCTGAGCAGAGATCTCGAGATCCTTTGTGGGGGCCGCGAAATGTGCTGCAGCTTTGGAGGCGTTAAGGGTATCGTGGATCTGATAGCCAGGGACGCCAGTGGTGGGGGAAGTGGCAATGAGGGAAGAGCGCCGAGCAGCGGAGAGGTTGAAGGGAGTGATGGCAGTGGTGATGCCGAGACGCTCACGACGAGCGTAGGTGTCCATGTCCTTGGCATCGACAAAGGTCTTGATGGCTCCTCCGATGGTCGCTTGGAGACAGGGCTCGCAGGGCTTGTCCATGGTGGCGACGTCAGTGTAGAGATGGGGATCCATCTCGCCGTCACCATACATCTCATGAGTGCTGCAAAGTGCTTTGCTTGTCATGGACTTGCTTGTATCGTATGTATCTTCGATGCAATTGTAGTCGCTGGCATTGGGTTTGTCGCCATCCATCGTGAGTGCTTCCGAAATGTCATTGGGTGTGCCTTCCAGTGGCTTGGGAAGAGGTTGCTTGTCATCGATCTTGATGTTGAAGCTTGCATCCACACTAGTGGGATGGGAGACAGGTGATGATGAGGTGTGGAGTCCACAATGAGCAGCCGCAGCATTGACAAAGCTCAGACCAGTGATGGTGAGACCATTGTCAGGGGTCTCGCGCCTGAAACCCAGGTCGGTCTGTCGAGATACTTGGTGACTATCAAACTGTGTGACAGCTATTGTCTCGGTATCGGTCTCGATGAGCTACATTGCTTGGCAACTATCAAGTTGTGCAATGACAGTGGGTGGCATTCATTGTATATACTGTTGTAGGTTTCGGCTGACCTCTGTGGACACTCCATTCAGGGGTAGCTCAGCATGATCAATATCAATATATAGGTTATGATGACACCAAGGTCTGGTGTGAGTGTTGATGATGATGAGGTTGATGGTGTTGGTGATAAGGTTGGTGGCATCAACACAAGTGTCCAGTGTGTTGACTTGATGCTTGAAGTGATCCCCAGACCACAGTGGACTACTGCCTTCAGTTCTATCTATATCCAGACTGCTGGTTTGCTATGAACCACCTTCGGATGTCAGGTAGTGGTGATACAACACACACACTACAATGAGGAGCAACCTTGATAGATTGCTACTATGCTGACTGAAACTGATATATACTTATGCTGAAGTGATAACTAGTTATGATGTGTGTAGAGTGGATGAGGATCCACTCAACCTTTGATGATGAGAAAGCATGGTTATATACCTCTTCACAGTGTCGCCAGTGACGCTGCTCCTGCTCTCTCTCTCCAGAGAGTACCTTCTTCATCGAGTACTGTACAGGGGCTCCTCTAGCCCTGCTCCTCCTCCTTGCTATCCTGCTTGCTTGGCACCCCTGTGCCTCCTGAGTGGTGTTGACTCCTTCGACACTGCTCCTCCTCCTCAGGACCTGCTTGCTGGTTCCCTATACACTGCTCCTTCTCCTTTGACCAGTGACAGTTCTTTTGACTCTTGTCTCTCGAGCCCCTGAGTGGTAACCATCTGCATGCTCCTTGACCTTGGTCCTCTTCATGGCTGTGCCTGGCCCTCCTCGCATATGGGCCTGGTCCTCTTTTGCATGTGAGTCTGTAGGAGTCCATGGTCTCCATGGATACTGCACTACAACCATGCTCACCACTGGTATTGACTAGATCTCCGATACCTGTGCTCCTTCCATATGAACTAGTGACCCTCCTGCTTCTTGAGCATTCAGGCCCATGACAACCATCACCTGCTGCAGCAGGCACGATATTTCCCCCCTCGGACGATGCTACGTCAGAGGCTTCGTCCGTCTTTGAGTCCTGCATGACATTTCCCCCTTCGGACAATGCCATGTCCAACTCCTCTTCCAGATCGGAAGCTTCATCCATTGTTGAGTCCTGTATGACATTTCCCCCTTTGGATGATGTCGTGTTGAATCCTGTTCCAGAGCACCAGCTTCCACTTCAAACCACCTTGGATCCTCAATCATGAAGTGGAGGATGCAGGTTGCATCCTTCTCATTGCTGATGAACGAGGTCACATGTGTTCTCATTTGTCATTCAAGCTCGAAGCAGCTATGGAAGGGGTAAAGAACATGCTTTGCATGATAGGGTGTGGTAACACACTTGATCATGATAGTGAGGGGTGTCACTACTTGCTTGATGTTAGTCCTACTGGTGTATTTGAAGATCAGCCCAGCCTTTGGTTCTTTTGGTGTACCATAGGTGTTGTCATTGATCAATTGACAATAATAGTTTTGTACTATGTCTGGAAGGCAAGGGAGGAGCTCCTCAATCACCTCGACGAAGTGTTCATACAATGAGTAGTCAGGGTTTGACATGTTGATAGTATATCGGCTTGTTGGGCTCATAACCTGTTGAAAAGTGAAGACGATTTGAGTCCCAATACTGGTGATCAGGGAGAGTCTGAGTACAATGTCACTGCTGTTATAGACAGAAACAAATATACTCAATTGACTAAAGGAATGTGGCAAGAGCCTAGTGCTCTCTGTGAGATATATATACATGTGAGCAGCACATGCCAAAGGTGGGAGTACTCCAACTTAATGATCTACCATGACAACAGATGGGACTGTGTTGCACCTGATCTCTGGTGAGATCAGCTCAGCTCGATCTCTGATCAGATCGGTCATCTAACCAGATCGGCTCTGTCTGATCTCCGAACAGATCGGCCCCGCATCATCCTTTGGCGTCGCACTGGATCGCAATCTCCAGCACCTCTATGTGGTGTGGCATACTCTCTATTAGGGTCCTACATGTCTCTGGAGTGATTGCTGCCCATTCAGCCTTGCATCTCTTGAGCAGTTCATCCCTGGACTTTGCAATTGTACTATACTTTGAGAGTTGCATTTTGGGATGGTGCCAGAGGTGTTCAATCAGGTTTAAGTCAGGTGACTGTGCTGGCCATTCCATAATCTTGATGTTATTGCTTGTCAGCCACTTTGTAGTCTTCTTGGATGTGTGTTTAGGGTCATTGTCTTGCTGAAAAATGATATCAGTATATGCATGCTGAAAGTGCAAATCCAAGATCATTTTCACAAGCTTGTCATTCAAGATTTCAATGTACTGGTCTGAATCCATTATACCCAGCACCAAGTGCATACCTCCCACCCCTTCTCACATCATACAACCCCAGATCATGATGGAGCTGCTGCAAAACTTGACTGTAGGCCTGACAAGCTTACTGTTGAAGCTGGTGTTCTTAACTCAACAGAACTGCTTACCATCTGGTCCAAAAAATTAAATCTTTGTCTTGTCTGACCATACAACCTTCTTCCAATCCTCAACAGTCATATCCTTGTGCTCTTTGGCAAATTTACAGTGGGCTATGTAGTGTCTCTTGGGTAGTTTTGGTTTTTTCACCAACCTCCATGCTTTGTAGTGACAATATTGAAGTACTTTCCTTACTGTGGTTGGGCAAGCTTTGACTTGGAATGTCTCCTGCAGTGCTTGACATGCTTTCCTGACTGTGGAGGTGCAATTGAGCTTGAAATAGTGGTCCAGGAAGCAAACATGACAGGGCTGGAGTTTTTTTTGGCTGGCCCCCCTTTGACTTTGGAACATCAGTTGGGGTGCTTTTGCTGATGCAATTCACAGTAGACTTGCTCAAACCAAGTTGTTCAGCAACTGAATGTATAGATTCCCCATTGTGGAGGTGAAAGAGTGCAGATCTGTGCTTCTCTGGAGTGGTTTCAGGCATGATAGTATAGATATGATGGTGTCAGACTGGAAGTGCCACCAGATTGCTCACAGTCATCTGATTGAGCTGAAACCTTCCACATCACTACTTTTGATGTACATGAAGGCACCCACCAAGTTCCATTGCAAGTTTCATTGTAATTGAAAGCCCACAAGATCAGGAATGGAGTGGTGTCACTATTTGGTGGAATGCTCCATTTACTGTCCCACAATAAAATTATTCTCAACTCCTTTTTGAAGCACGATTTTTGCATGCAATGTCAATATCAATTACACAGTCTTGGAGAGAGGGGACAGTTTACGCGCGAGCTGTATATACAAAGTGTCAGTGCATCCCACATGCGGGAGCATCAGTTGAAGGGTACTTTGTTAATGATGATGATATTCTAAGTCAAAGCGCAAATCCGGAGGGGGACTTGGCTGTTTCAGCAATTTGAGTCCAGAAATTCCGAAGTCCCCCTCTCCATTTTCGAGAGCTGCAAATTTTTTCTTCAACTGCATCATCCTCAATGACAAAGTATGACAACAAGCGGGACCCAGTAGTATCAAATCGCCGGTTAGATTGGGGCTGCCCGATCTCTCGCCACATTCACTTATGTCACTCTTCGTGTCCTGCTGGATGGTTTTCTTCAGGAGTGGTTTGGTCCCGCTCGATGCAATGCTTCATATTGAATGGTATACATCCATGCAAATTGTGGGAGGCCAATACTCCCACCTCCGGCGGCCTCTCTCTCCTGTATAAATATATCGAGCAGAGAGCTCTAGTCTGCTACATAATAGAAGAGGACAGTTGGCAACACTCAACGTGTGATAACAGTCAATGCACAGTACTACTGCTATTGAGGCAGAAACACTATACTATATTGACCTAATTCGAACGTGGTGGCAGCCTGGAGCTTTCCGCTCGATATATATATACAGTAACGGCACATACCCAAATGTGGGAGTATGCCTCTCAAAGATGAAGTGTGACAACGAGCGGAACCAAGCAGTACCACCATCGTCGACCACTGAGTGTTGACACCCGTATTCTTTCATTATTCTAACATTTTACTGGATCGTAACCTTCAGCACGTTCGTCATTCTTATCATATGCCTGTGATGCATTTGTCATAAATTTGGGCGAATCAAACGCAGCTTTATGTTTCAAGTTCCAAATTACTACAAAGTCTAAAAACACAATGTGTCCACACCGAATACAAGAGTTGGACACAATTACATGCTGAAGGATACGATCCAGCGAGATGGTGATTGAAGCGTAGGCCGATAGGGCAAGGGATCGGGCAGAGCGCCGATACAGTAAGAAATCGTTAAGCACTGTGTTGAGCAAAACACTATACAATATTGACATAAGAAAAGAATGTGGTGAGAGCCTCGAGCTCTCCCCTTGATATATATACAAAGTCTCAGTGCATCCCACATGTGGGAGCATTGTTTTCAGTGACAAAGTACGACAACGTGCGGGACCCAGTAGTATCCGATCCCTCGCTCAGATCGGCTCTGCCCGATCTTCAGGGTCGTGCTGGATAGTTACCCTCAGCAAAGCATCGCTAAGTGTCGTACCTTTTCTCATTGCAGTTCATTCCCAGGTCTGAAAAGGTGCTGCGCAGACCAAAGTAACATTTTTAAGCCGGCTAGCGGGATGTGACATGTGTCTTTAGGCGTCGTTAGATTATAATGATTATTGAAGGTGGCAAAATGCCGATCAAGAAAATGGCAATTGTCGGAAAGTCA